AAAAAAAAAAACGTTGGAAAGGAAAAACCCGGAGAGGGAGGAGAGCATGAAGATGATGATGATGATGAGAAAGAAGCAAGAATCGCTCGCTCTAGATGCTCGCGTATCCGCTGTGATAGATATCCCGTTCGTTCCTGTGTGTATATCCGCCAATCCAGCCGATGATCAATCCAAAAAGAGAAAAAACAAGTAGCCATCAAAAAACAACAGCCAGCTAGCAGAAAGATAAATGAAGATCTCCAATTCGTCGTTCCATTTGAAAACCTCCACACCGCACTCCAAAGCGTGTCAGAAGGGCTATCCTAGCCATACACACACACACACACAACACACATCCCACACGACCGAAAAGCAATAACAAAAAAAGTTTGGGGGTGTCTGAACAAGAAGCGTGATGAATGATGGAAAGGTACAGAGAAAGAAGCAGAGCGCTGACACCTGGGAAGGAGTAGTGTTGCTCGGAAGCTGCCAAAAAAGAACCAGCTGAGAAGAAGCAATGACAATAAAATTGTCCAAAAAGTAGAAAGAAAAGAACCAAAAAATAGGAAATATGGGTAATGAATCGTCGCGTCATGAGCGGCTGGTCTTTCTGACTCGATAACATCTCTCTCCTGGTCCGTTCAAGCCACCCATAATGGATAGAGGTAAATGCTGGAACATCTCGATGTAGGGGAAACATTGATCCGAGGCCAGACGACCACAGAAGCGGGAAAAGGAAATCTAACATGCTTAGACAGTTAAAGGGTAACCGACAACCTGCATCACAAGGTTCGTAGCAGGAGAAACGCCGAAAAATAAACAGCATACAGACAGCAGCATTAGCGATCGGACCAGCCGCGCTTAGAAACTGCTTGCAGCAAGCATTTGCTGCGACTGGGCCATGCTAGTCTGCATGCTGCCCATCGAGGTTGGCGTGGGAAGATCAGCCAGAGAAGTCGACATGGAGAGACCGGAGGGCATGTAGTCGTTGGCAGCGGAGAGCGACTCGGGAGACTCCTCCTCGAGCGCGCCAAGGCCGTCCTCGTCGTTTTCCAGCTCTTCCTCGCTGAAGCTGGGAAGCGGGTCGCCCTCCTGGCGGGGCTCGTGCGTACGGCGGTGCCTGAAACGAAGACTGTCAGCAAGTTGTTCATCCAAAAATAAAGGTCTCGCACGTGGAAACTTACTGAGCGAGGTTGTCGGATCGCGAGAACGCCTTGTTGCAGAGCGGGCAAACGTAGGGCCTCTCCTGCGTGTGAGTGCGCACGTGCCTAAGCGCCGAGTCAGCCAATCGAACGTCGAAACAGGGGGGTGTTCTGTAAGCGCTTACCTCTTGAGGTGCTCTAACCTCTTGAACAAGCGCCCGCAAGTGGGGATCGGGCAAGAGTGGGATTTCTGCGGGTACGGGCCCAACTCCATCATGGTGGCACTCCGAGCCCGACGGAAGACACCGGGCGCTTGCCGGGTGACGGCACTTTGGTGGAGAGAAGGTTCCGAGAAGTCATTCGTCAACGACAGGTCGTCTTGAGGCAGCATCGGCAAGGGTTGTTGAACGGGGCTCTCCTCAACGGTCGCGATCGGCGTGCCGTGTCTCGACATGTCCTGCACCTCAGCCTTGGCGGGCATCGTGGTGTATCCGTTGTGGAGGCTTTGAGGGGAATCGTGACCACTCTCGTCGGCCTCAGGAAGCGGCGCTACGGAGGCGGAAACGGACCGACGGAGATCGCTCGGCCTGTGAGCAGCATGCGGGTTGGCCATGGCCGCGGGAACGGCGGGGCTGCCGCTGATGGACATCGAAGACCGTCTCCTCCTCTGCTTGTAAGTGGGCGAGCCCTCAATCACAGAGTACATGTTGCCAGTGAACGAGCGAGGACCCGCGGCGAATTGCGGGCCGGCCAGGTTGGAGGGGGGCAGCTGCATCAGAGGGTTGAAACTCGCGGAAAGACCAACATCGGGAATAGCGGTGTAGAGGCCAGTGTCTTCGTTGGCAATGTACGCGGGCTCGGCGCCGAGGCCAATCGAGTGCTGAGGGGGCGTGATGGGCTCAAACGACATGCCGCGCGTGCTGTAGTCCTCGTAATGCGAAGAGACGAACGACGGCGCAGGGGAGTACTCCATATAGGCGGGCATCGAGCTGTGGCGCTGGTGGACCTGCGACAGAGGGATGCCATTGCGATCGTAGGGAATCGGCGTGTAGTCGCGTTCGCGGGACTTTGCGATCATGGGAGCAAGCGGCGGCGCCATAGTCATGGGGTAGCTGGCCATCGGGATGGCGTCCTCGGGTATCGTGGCCGGCATTGCCTGGTGCATCATCGACGGAGGGGGCATCGAATCCATGGCGCGCATGACGGGGGAAGTTGCTTGCGAGTAGGCGGGGATCTGGTTGTTGAACGAGGAAGAGTTGGTTTGCTGGGCCTTGGTGAGCTGCTCGAACAGCGATTGCGACGAGTCAAACTCGAAAGACAGGGCAGGCTCGTTGACAGCGACAGTGGTGGCTTCCTGGCCCATCTTTTCCCTCTTGAGATCGCGCTCCAGGGCGTCGAGGAACAGGCGGTCGTGGGGCACGCTGTACCAGTAAAAGACCTTTTGCTTCTTCTGCGTGCGAATGCAGTTGTTCTTGTAGAGGAAGTCGAGGAAGGCGCTCTTGGGCTCCTCGAGCGAGGCGTCGGTGCCGGCCTTCAGGTTGCGCAGATCCGAGAAAATGCCCTCCTCAAACTTCTTCGAGTTCTTGACGGGGCGGCCAAAGGCCTGGAAGCGGAAGGAAAGGCATCGCACAATGTCGGTACCCGAGATGTGGAAGAGGTTGTTCCTGCGCGCGCCAAGCGTGTGAGTTTCCGGGAAGCCATTCAAAGCCACAGGGTCCATTGCGGGACGCGACCTACCATAACACGCAGGAAACGTATTCGCCGGTGGGCAGCAGGAACCTGCGGATGTACTGATCCGGGCTCCAGTCGACGGGAGCGGAGATAAGGAAATATTTAACTGGGCACACAGCGGGTCAGCGCAGGAGGCAGGCCATTGGACGCAGCAAACTCACGGTTGTCTACTTGCTGCAGGGCGACGATGGAGTCCGGCGGCAGGCTCTGCTGCGCGTCGTGGTCGAGAAGGAAGGTTTCGGGGGCGACCTGGCGTGCCTGGGGCGGGGCCATGGCGGCATGGCCGGTCGAATACATGGCGGAGGGTAGAACGAACGATGGACGTCAGACGTTAAAATTGCGGGGGTTGGGCGGGCGTCGCAGAAGTGGGTGGTGGTTGACGGCAGGATGGGAAGGGCTCGCGGAGCTCTTCTGAAGCGAGAGTTTTGGTTTGAGATGGTGCTCAGGATGGGTGAGGTTGGTAGAAGGGAAGGGGAAGGATCGAGGGCCTGCCTCGTTCGCGATCGAGTTGTTCGAGCAGTGGCGATGATGCGGTAGGCGGAGGTAGGCGACGAAACCTGTCGAGGGAGCAGACGGGCTTTAGCATGTATGAGCAGTCTGGCGCAGTGTTTCAGGGTGAGGAAGGAGATTAGCGCTTTATTTTTGGCAATCGAGACCAACCATTCGCCGAGTGCCGCCGACTTTGCTGCCACCGGATCCCGGTCGCAGCTGGGCGGCCCCTGCGCGACGTGGCTTGTCGAATGATGTTGGTCTGGGTGAGCGCTGCGCGTGAAGTCACACTGAGTCCACCGGCCACGTCTGCCCGCTTAGCGCTCTAAATTCCACTTTGCTATATCGCCGAGTTAATGGGCGGCGGCCATCATGTATCCAACGCTCCCGCGACCCAAGACTCGTCCCTCCGCGTAAGCTTGCCCAAAGCACCGACACACTCCAAGTCTCCTTGCAGTGTGTGCAGCCCAGCCCGAGACGCAGACGCAGGAACAATGGCCAAAAGGCTGAAAAGGTTTGATCTTCCGTCCTGAAACTGCCTGCTCTCGTCTCGGGAAGCCGTCAATCATCGTCCGGCTAGGTACCTATCCGTACAGTAACCCACCTAACCTAACCTTCGACTGTCTCTCTCTCTCTCTACCGCAGGGATTCCCATGGCCTTGGGTTTGTCCGTACAAGCCCCTCATCTATTGCAAACCCAACGCGCGCGCTCCAGCTCCAGCGACCCCGTCGGCGGGGCCCGCCAAGCTTGGCTCTTTGGGCAATATCCATGGAGCGCATCATGATTCGCACAGGCCGCCTCGCAGCTGGAAAAGGTACGCGGCGGGCGGGCCAAGCGAGCGAGCACGGCCTTGGATTCGGTTGCATAATGGGCGGGCGTCGGGTACAGGCCTGACAAATCCGGCAGCCACACCGCGGAGCAGGAGCCGCATCGAGAGGCCAGAAGGGCTGAAACCGACCTCTGGCACGTCTGGGGGGCCTCGCGTCCTGAGGCATCTGTATGAGAGGGAGAGAGAGATCTGCCCTGATGGCGATTCTACTTAACCCAACATGCTTGCTCTTAATCGTTCGTGATGGTCGACGGACGATGACGACCCGATGCCCCATTTTCCACCTTCCTTCGCCTTTTTTTGACAGCCGCCACAAGCGGGCGTTGGGTCGGCGGCGGCAGTAGTTCGTTCCCTACGTAGTTACTGTCGTCACACTGCCCGCCGTTGACGACGTTGCCGCAGCCGTAGCCTTACTAGTTACATACTGTACGTGGTAGAGTAGATACAGATACACCTACTCAGTCGACGATCCCCCAACAGGGTCCAAGGCGAATAATCACCGAAAGCTGGCCTGGAGCCTCCCGAATCTCATGATAATGGCTGATCGCAAGGGCGTTGCATTATCGCGCAGCAGCATCAGCATCTGGTTTGATGAGCAAGATCCGCGCCCCCCGCCTGCGTCAGATCAGACTTGGAACAGGGCGTCTCTGGTCTCGTAACATGACGCGCAAAGGCTACGGTTTCACATAGACAGCGAGATTCGCTCCGCTCTGCGGGGTCGGCAGGCTGCACGCGCGGGCGGCGGGCGGGCGTGGGCGCGGCCCCCGACTGCCGAAAAGCGCAACTGGCACATCAAGCGCATTTCCGCTTCTGCCTGCTGCTCCGTCGAACGTTGCACTCGCCCTCGTGGGAAGAAATGAGCCGTCTCCACCCGCCCGAGGTCGAGGCCCTCGTCGACCCGCCCACCGCTCGATCGCCCTTTCTTTCCTTCTCCCACACACTCTCTCTGACCCCCTCCATCCCACACCGTCACATCCCCCCCCGTGCCCCCTCCCCCAAGCGGCGGTGTCAACGCGCCCACCGCCCACAACAGCCACAGCTTACTAGAAGTCCCGTGGAAGAACCTTAACTCCACCCCAAGCCCTTTGAGCAAACGCCTGGTCCGCCTGTCCGTCCGCCCGCATCGCGGGAAATGAAGCTCCTCCGATGCTCAGGCCAACCGGCAATCTTGCTTGCAATCGTCGGATATGCGCAATGTCCCTCCGCGCGAGAGACGACGCCGCCTGACTCGCCCAACGATGATGACGATGATCGCATCATGCAGGCGTCGCGAACCAGCTTGAGCGCGCGACCGCGACTGCCTCTCCTCCTCTCGCTTGTCGCCTCGCACCGCACCGCTCTTTGACAAAACTTCTACGCCGTAGAGTACACGGCCTCCCGATGCTGCTGACTCCGCACGCCGCGACCTGCGCCCACTCCCACACGCAAACCCGAAGCGAAATGCGAGAAAAGCACACGCCTGCTCGGGGCGAAGATCTCGCGAGGCGGCGCCTGCGCGGCAATTCGCGAACTCACGATCCGCCGCTTGTGAGGCCTTGACGAGGAGCACGCTCCGCCTTCTCTCTCGCTCCTCTCCCTCTCTCACCGCTTGCTTGCTGGGCCACCGCTCCCATGCGCACACACATGGACCACCCCTACCCACGTCCACGCTGGCAAACCTTCCGATTGTACCTTGCATTAGCCTTCCGCGCTTCCCACGTGCTGTGTGCCCTGCGCGAGCTGTGTCGCTCCCCGACTCCCCCTCCGCGGCCTCTGGTGCCCAACTCTGCACCCTGCACCGCAAGCCCGAATCTCAATGCATGCGAAAGGGAAGGCTGAGGAAAAAAAAAAAAAGGGACTCGGGCGGTCGAACACCCCCTATCCCAATGGTCAACCCCTCGTTTCGGCTCGATCATACTCCCGATCCTAGCGTTTGTTGTGTGCCTGGCCGCTTAGGCTGGTGACCCATGACCGAGTGTCCGCGCTGCGGTGTGCGCCGCCATGCGTTGTGCGCCTGCGCGCTGGGCGGGCTGCCGAGTCCTCTGACCTCTCTCCTCCAGGCCTCCTCCCTCGAGGCCTGCCGGCAGGGACCGTGGCACCCTCGCTGAAGCCCCCCCGTTTGCTGGTGCGCGCGCTCACAGGAGCGAAAGCCCGCCTGCACCCCACCGACCCCTACCTGCGGATGCCGCCCTGCATCCGCATCGACCTTCCGACCGCTCCCGCCTCCGCGACCAGGTCTCCAGCCATGCCCACCCCTGCCACAAGCAATCAATCGAGAAGTAAGGGTTTTGCGTCCAGAACGTGCTGTCCGCCACGATCGACGGGTGCCCGGCACCTGAGCCCCCCATCGGCGGGCCTTCCGTTGTGGATGCCCTGCGTTCTGGAAAACTTCGCATTGCTTGAGCGTCTTGCCTTGTGGAAATGGTCATTCGATACTGTCGTCATCCTTTTTGTGGGCGCCCTGGTCTCTCCCGCTGCAACACCGTTGATCTGCCCCGTCGTTGCCCTTCCGTCCGCTGCCGTTCCCAGACTGGTATAGTGTACATGTGCCCTTTGAAGAAACTCCGTTGCCTCCTTGGTCACCTGCAGGGTCAACGGCTGCTGCAGCTACTGCATCGCCGCCGTTTGCTGCATGCTCCGGAACTCATCTGAGCGCCGCCATTGGACAAACTCCTCCGAGAGGACGCGGCCGGGGCCTTCTTCCGTGAGCTTGAGCAACTCAATGTGGCCCTCGCCTTTACGCTTCCGGATCCTCCAGATGCCTTCTCCAATCTCTCGTCTCAGCCCTAACGCACCAATCAATGACCTGCTCTCCGTCCTGTGGCAACGGGGCCCCTAAAGTGGCGCAAACGTGTCAGGATACAGGGGGCGGCAACTTACAGCAAAGAACGTCATCGGCGAACTTCAAGCAGCCAAACGCGTCCCAGGGACACGGTTGTCTCCTGATGCTGTCCGGCACTTCCCGGAGGCCAAAGAGCACTTTGAACGTCTCTTTTCTTTTGACTATGCCGGGGATTCTCTGTGTCTCGAGCTCTTTGATCTGGTGGAGCCTGCCTCCGCTGTCCCTGAAGCCGATGACGAGTCTAGGCACGTTTAGCAGGAATGACTGTGCCCACATGCGGAGCAGCTTGCGCTCGAACTTGAGCAGTGCTCTGTCGTCGTTGGGCGGGAAGATTTCCGTAGTCTTCAGCTCAACCCAGTTGATGGCCCGGTCGGCGTCCTCGGGCTTCTCGTCCCATACTGCGTCTACTTCACCGCCTATGACCAAGCTGTTGTCTCCTATGGCGGTGCGCACGACGGAACAATATTGCGAGTAGTTGTTGACCACTTCCTCATCTCGCCCCTCAATGGTGTCGCGTGACACTGCGTCCCAGATATTCGGAATCACAGACAGGGTCTCGAACTTGTATCCTGCCACTACCGTTAGTCGTGTCTTGGTGGAGTGCGGTAGAAATTTTACCCCAATACGACATCATCTCAGGGGGGAACCTGTTGCCTGAGTAACCATTATGGCGGAGGCCGTTTCTCTCTTCATCTCTGCGGATGTGATGCTCTTCAATGAATCTGCCAGAGCCTTCGTTAACTTAGCGTATCGTCACTCTCCAGCAGGGACGCTGTAGTCATGCTTGCAGCTTAGATTACATACAGTTGGTCCTAGGAATGAGGCAGTATGTCAGCTTTACATGTCTTGCAAACCATCTTTTGTTAGGCTTACTTACCTGGAATTTTGTAGCATTCATCTCAAACCTATAGATTCGGTTAGTTAGTGCCCATTTTTATAGGCATAGAAGCGGATCCTACTCGCTGAATTTATCGTAAGGCGCGGTGACGATCTGGGTCAAATTAGCCAAGTCTTCATAACTGTTTTTCTCCAACGGCTGATGAATTGATCTGGCCGATATGATCATAGCCGCCACCGGTGTGTACGGCTGTCTTTTCGTGCATGCGGATAGCTGCCCTATAAAGGGCGAAAACCACCACTGAAGCCGTGGCGGGTAGGTTTATGGCTCGGTAGATCTCCGATACATCTTGAAGCCAGGAGATGGCATACTGAGTACCACGGAGATGACCACGGCCTACCAAATGCCGTTGGGGCCCCCTTCGGGCTGGGATAGCATACACCGAAAAGACAGCCTTGATGCAGCGCGGTTGTTGGCGCTTCGATCCACCCAGTCGCAGGTCTCCCCGCCAACGCCAAGATCCAAGTACCACTGGGGCCCGTACCTTGGTCATCATCCCCCGCCACGTCACGACGTCCGCTTCGCACATGTGGCCATCTTTCTTCTCCAGATCCATGATGGTACGCAGTAGGCTGTCAAGGTGCTCATCGTTGGAGTCGTCGAGCTGGTGGAACTTCTCGAAGCCCTTTGAGAGGTCGATGCCCTCCGGTGGGATGGGGGGCGGGTAGTAATAGCTCAACGAGGAGCAGTCGGGATGGTATTTGCGCTCGTCATCATACGAAAAGTATGCGATTTCCTGTGGCCGTGTAAGCGGATGCGTCGAAGTGGAAGTCCCCAAGCGCGCGGGTTATGAGCAGCGCAATGGGCCAGCCGCGAGCTCACCTTCGGAGCTTTGATCTTTGTTTTTTGCCCCTCGAAGCGATACGCTGGCTGCACTTCGAAGCGCACAGGGTCATCCATGGTGGCGGGCAGTGCTGCGAGATGTCAAGGAGATGGCGCTCGACATGCGCATGCGCGACGGTAGGTTGTCAGTGAGCGTCACAGTGGCTTAGCGCCGTTTAACTCCGCGCGCCCCGCGGCTTAGCCGACGCCCGCGATCGCCAATGCGGAAAGACCACAACAGTTGAGCTGCGGAGGTGCCGTCGTTGCCCGCAGTCTCTCGCCTCCTCTCCGCTGAGCTTTCGCCTGCAATAATGTCGTCGCGCAATCCTAGCCACCCTCCTCATCGCACCACTACCGCCTCGGGTGTGCGCCGAAACCTCTTCAACAGCAACTTGTCGCGCCGCCCCACGGCCGCTTCTTCTGCTTCTGGCACCTCCGCCACGACAATTCAAGTCGCTGAAGAACCAGCGGCCGATAGAGACATCGTCGCCCGGGATGAAGAGGGCAATTACAAGCTCGAAACGCCCGAGCTAAGTATGCATATACGGGACGAGGAACAAGAAGAGCGAGGTATTTTTCCACTAAAAGTTAACCTAGACGGCGTAGTCGAGGCTCGAGCAGCGCTAACTTATACTGACAGAAGCTGCGAACCAACTAATTGAGAGTTATCGGAAGCATCAACACATCGAGACCAGTGGTAAGAAAGAATATAACATTGACTCGACTCGACACTAACAGAGCCAGAATTCAAAGCCACACTCCAGGCCAGCCTTCAGGCGAAGGTAGAGTCACTCGACGAAGACAAGTGGATGTTCGAAGGAGAAGACCCAACTCCGTCGTAATCCCGTCCAGGTATCATGAAAGTAATCCTGCGTTCACGGTAATGGCTCTCTCAATTGCTCTTCGATACCCGACTCCAGCAGTCATAACAGCTCTTTTCACTTTTTACTCATGTTCTCATCACCAGCATCCTGCTGCCCCGCCTAATCCAATGCCGGCGGCGGCGCTGGCGCCTCCACCCTGCGAGAAGGCTTGTTGCCTCCTCCACCGCCGCCGCCCATGAACATGCCCATCATATCCATAAGCGGGTTGCTTTGGCTCGGAATCTTGATGCCAAAGTACATCTCGCCAATCTGATTGAGCGCGTCGCTCCAGCCGGGGACGTCGTCCAAGTTTGACTTGTAGTGGCTCTTGAGCATTCTGAACAGATCTGGACTTCCCTTCGTTACGGCAAGGAGCAACAGACCGAGGAAGTTGAGCAGAGGAAGCGAGGGGTAGACACGGATGTCAGAGCTCGAGCTGCTGACTTCTTGCATACCCAAAGAAGTGTTGGACTGCGACAGGCGCGTGGTGAAGAGGAGCAGGCATTGGTTTGCGGCGCGGACGTTTCCGGCGAGGAGGTATGGAAGGATGGCGCGGGCGGCGTAGAGAGGAGCGGTATGCGCGGAATCTTCAGTGTACCATTCGTATTCAAGCTTGACAAGGTGTTCGGGAGAGTCGCGCGTGCCGTAAACGAAGTGTCGTTCCGCCTCGTAGGCTTCACCATCTGTGAAGTTGTCGCGTCAGCAAACGCCCAACGCGCTGAAACAAACAAACGCAACTAACCGTCTGCGCATATCGTTCCCGCGACATGATGCAGCTCCGGATCACCCGCCGGGAACTCGCCGTACTTTGCAGACCACCTGCGGACGCCATCAGTCAGTTTACGGCATTCTTTTTCCCTTCACTCAATGTCACCAGCGCAAGCACCGCGCAAACCTACCCAATCATTTCCGCGATAAAGCGCTTCTTGGTGGGCTCGTCCTGCGGGAAGCTCCTCAACAAGCTCAGCAGTTTCGCCTTGCTCGCCGCATCGGGCTTCGTCTCGGCCTTATGGTACACCTCGAGCAAGAAGAGGCAGAGGTCGCCGCCGCTGCCGCCCTGGCCGGCCTGCAGAAGCAGGCCCGCGCCCGAAGAGAGGATGTTGATCGCGGCATCCCAGTTCGACTGCTTGACGTAGCGCGAGGCGATGACGCGCAGCTGCTGATGCGCCTCGTAGAACTGGCCCTCGGCGATCCTGGACGGTTGTCAGTGGGCGAGCTCAGCGAGAGTGTGCAGGGAGCTGGTAGGTAGGTACTTTTCCTGCTGGCGCGCTATCGTCTTCTCGATCTTGGCCGACATGGTGCGTGGTGTGGTTTGGGGTTGGCGGGGGCGGCTCGTCGAGAGCTTGTTCCCAGTCCGAGCAACGTCTCGAGCGCCCTGGCGCCCGCAGGTCGTGCCCCTCGCTGATCCGTGGGAAGTCCATTAGTTTTGATTTATTTATTTATTTTATTTGTCACGCTCTCTGACATCAGTAATTCCAGCTGGTATAACGCGCCGTTAGTTTAAGGGTAGAATTGAAGCTTCCCACTTCGAAGTCTGCTTCAGGACCGAGTTCGAGTCTCGGACGGCGCATCTCGTTTTGCTGTTTTGCGCGAGGCGTCACCACAACAACATTCATCTGTTCGCTTACACTTTTGCTATCCCTTCTGCAAGAAGTCAACTCTACGAAAACAAGTATCAGAAATGCTGAAAATTTCATTTCGATAACAGCATAGGTCATCCTAGTCAACTTAGTTGCATGTTATTCTTCATTGCATGCTGCATATAAACCACATGGCTTGTCACCAACCAGTCACATTGTGTTCTATTAGAGACCAGGCCTCGAACAATCAATATCAGCTGAAATCGTAAAGCACTGGCTAACTCATGCCTACTAGGATTGCATGACGGTAAATTCACAGCTTGTTTGTAGCCCGACTGTCTGGTGGAAGTTATATTTACGTACGCTTCTGTCACAGTCACATCCATAAAGCACAGGGCCATTAGAGTCCTACTTAAAAGAGATATATTTTTGCCAAACCACGGCCGCACACAACAAAGCCAAGTCAGGCCCAGCATCCAGTCCCAAGGGCAAAGAGTTCACGTACCGTGATGATCGATTACCACAGATCAACAAGACTGTTACTTGCGACCAGGTAGCGACCTCATCAGTCAGTGAACCATGCTGGCTATGAAAACGAATTACACTGGCAACAGGAGACATGACCTTGACAGGACAAGAGCAGGCTACAGTAAGCATAGACTTCAACTTACTATCATCTTCGACATAGAGACAGCAGTGTTTAATATTCGTATCCTTTCAGCAGACATCCAGGTCCAGGAACCATGGTTTGCGCCCTCGCAACCATATGACTCCCAACCATATGCCATACAGTCCACGGTTAACGCAGTGAATCCAGTTCTGCGTTAAGTATAGTCAAATGTCCAACAACGAAGGATATAAAATCACGGCGTTTGCCTCGTTCTTGCAGCGTTTTCTGTCACCAAACATACTCTCGAAGTATAGAATATATACATACCGTCTAACAAACACGAGGCCTATACCCAAAAGAAAGACCTGCTAGTCTGCAACAAGCCCTTCTAAGGCTCACTACCAAAAAAGACAACTCACACACTCCAACCTTCGCGATGCCGATCCCAGCTATCCGACTGGACGGCTCTTTCCGGCAAACACGCCCTCGCCGCCAAACAAGTCCTCCGCATCAAACAAGTCCCCCCCAGCAGGCAGCCCAAGTACCACAAACCCAGCAAAACACCACCACCAACAACACCAACACCAGCCGAGCACAAGCGGAAGCGCGCGCACGCGTGTACATGGAGCACACAAGAGCCGTGTACGAAACACTGACCAGCTACCGACGAGCGCAAACCGAGTTCCTGGACCGCGAGCACACGCCCGACGAGCTGCGGGCCGCGCTCGCGCTCTCATGGCGCGGCCTCCACGCTCTCATGGCGCGGCATTCCGCGCAGTACAACAATGCGGTGCGCGCGCAGGAGCTGGAGATGCGCGCGCAAGAGCGGGCGCAAGAGCTGGAAGCGCAAACTCAAGAGCCGAGAGCGCAAGAGCCGCGGACGCGAGTGCCTCGGAGACACATGTCAAGGCTGGTCAGGCGGCGACACCAAAGGCTGCTCGAGCAGCTGCTGCGCGTGCGCGATCTGATGGCGGTTGGACAGATTCGCGAGGCGCGGATGCTCTTGTTTGGCGAGGAAGAGGAGGAGGAAGACGACGATGATGACGAAGATGATGATGATGACTATGATGAAGAAGAAGAAGAAGGAGAAAGCTGGGCCGTTGATCTGCAGGACTACTTGGACAGCGACGACGACGACTACGACAGCGAAGACGACTACGCCAGCGACTCAGACGCCGACGATGTCCAGAGGCTTATGCCCAGACTAGATGACGGAAGACACTTTATGTTTGCAGTTGCGCAGGTTCCGAGGAACTGGAGGGGCGAAGACGGTGCGGGTGAGGGTGAGGGTGAGAGTGAGGCCGAGCGGCCTTGGCAGGCGAGGGCTTGGTGTGCGAGCTGGGAGTTTAGGTGATATGTAGCGGTTTCGGGGTTCGGTTTTCGTGGTCGTTGGTGCTTGGAACGTTGGCTGCTTGGATTAGGTGTGGTGCAACTTCCTTGTCTCTTATAGAGAGATCATCTGCCTACGCGGTTTGGCGCTTGGGATTTTTGTGACATCGCGGGTTGTTTGGACTGCTGCCGGTAGTGCCGTTTCTTCTTTTTAGGTCCATTGTGCTGCTGCGACACGGCACTTTGGAGCACAGGAAAACGCCATCTAAAGCACGTCTTTACACACAGTGTTGCCCTACCGTCTAGTGTAGCCGTGGTATAGTGCCATAAGCTGATATTTCGGTCAGTTGATCCTTTCTATTTGGCCACTAGGTATGGGTGGTACATACACCTGTCATTAGTTGTATAGTTTGTTTGGCAAAACCAAGCTCGACCAATTTTGGTGTTTGTTCTGTTTATGATTCAAAGTAAGCAGCTTATGAATCTCCCGTGTGATCTTTGAGGACGTTCCCTGTTATATATATAGATCTGGCTGTGCTAGTATTTCAGTTTTCTGCGACCAGGTATGCAAGTAGTAAAAAGCCCGCAGATAGACAATAGCCTCATCATTTACCCTCTAAAACGCCCAACCCATGCCGTATGCATCCCCACCCCGAGCACCTAATACAACACGCCCTTGGTGCTAGGCTCCTCGCCCTCCCTACCAGCAACCCTGCTCGTAGCCTGGCGAATCGCGACGGCCAGGGCCTTAAACGCAGACTCAGCGCGGTGGTGATCGTTATCGCCGCGCAAGCAGTCGACGTGCAGAGTGACGCCAGCGCCCTGCGCAAACGACTGCAAGCAATGCGGCAGCATCTCGGTGCTGAGGTCGCCGATCTTCTCGCGGCGCAGGCCCAGGTTGATGACGCTGTAGGGCCGGTTGGACAGGTCGATGACGGCGCGCGACAGCGCCTCGTCCAGCGGGCAGTAGGCGCTGCCGAAGCGGGCGAGGCCGGTCGTGCCGCCGAGGGCTTGCTTGAATGCCTGGCCCAGCGCGATGCACGTGTCCTCGGCCGTGTGGTGGTCGTCGACTGCGTGCGTGTGTTAGCTCGTCGTGGCTTGTGTGTCTGCGCCCGCGGCGGCGAAGAAACGTACTGTGCAGGTCGCCGCGGCATCGCAGCTTCAGGCTCCACCCCGAGTGCTTCGCCAGCGCGTGCAGCATGTGGTCCAGGAAGCCAATGCCCGAGTCGACGTCGATGTGCTGGCTCTTGGTGGCCTGGGCCGCATGGCTCTTTTCCTCGCCGTTGCCGTCGGCTGACTCCAATGGGCCGCCGTCCAGGTTCAGGCTGAGCTGGATCTTGGTCTCGTTGGTGTCGCGGTTAAGCGTAGCTGAGCGGACTCTGTCGGCCATGGTGACGGTGTTGGGTATTTTCTTTTTTTGCGGGGCAATTGGGAATGCGGGAGATGATGATGATGATGATGGTTATGATGGTTTTCTTGCAAGCCGCGGGCCAATCATTCATGGCTGACAAGTCCCGATCGTCTGGGCCCTGATTCAGCGATTAGATGCGATTAGATAACCTTAAACTTTCCAGGCGTCGCAAATCTGCCCGCAGTCCGAGAGTCCTCGAGAAAACTACCAACGCCCACCTCACCAGAACCACCCCACCACTCGCCGCCATGCCTTCGCAAATCCAGGACGAAGAGATGCAGGACGCCCCCGTCAACGGCCACACCGAGGGAAACGACATCCAGGCCGACGCCGACGAGTTTGGCTGGGACAGCGAGAAGCAGCGCATCCGCGTTGTAGGTTGCCGCTACGCGCTCTTGCGGGAAGGAATCGAAAACTGATAGCTCTTAGCTGCCCGGCTCGGAAAACACGGCCGCCTCTTTCGAGTTTGAGAACGAAGACCACACGCTCGGCAACGCGCTGCGCTACGTGATCATGAAGAAGTACGCCCAACTCTGGCGCATGCTTTTTATACAAAGCAAACTGACGTGCGCGTAATAGCCCGGCCGTTGAGTTCTGCGGTTACTCTATCCCCCACCCTTCGGAAGCTAGGATGAACCTCCGCATCCAGACATACGGTCAGTGGGGACAATAAGCTACCTTTCAGGACAGCACGCATGCTAACAGTACGTAGATGATGTCAGCGTCTATGATGTGTTGGAAAAGGGCTTGGAAGACCTCGCCGATCTGTGTGACGTTGTGATCGACAAGTTCACGGTTGCGCGCGATGACTTCAACGCCCAGTCGGCATAGAGGGGCTGTTTGGGCTCAAAAAGAAGGGAATTGGCATTAGCAGGCGTTCATGGAGCATTAGGTCAAGTGCATGTTGCTACGGCGCTGCAAGGAAAAGAGAAAACTTTGGTATTGCATATGTACAGGGCGTCGGAAAAAGCAGGCTTAGTTGCGACCCTGTTATAGAAATCTGCGTTAGCATCCTCATCACGGCCAGCGACCATTGCATGCGTGCCGCGCAAGAACAGAACTAACCTCGAGGAAACCGCTGATGAAGTTGTGGGGCAGCTTGGTCCTGGAGTCCTCCTCTGCCCTGAAGTACTTCAGGACGTGCGTCAACTGCTTCCAGTAGTTGAGAGTCTCCTGTTACGGCGGGAATAGCATCAGCCTTCAGATCACCTCCACGAAGCAATAACGCCCTTGTGTCATTGTGCCCCCGCGAATGGTCAAGCCGTACCTGGAACTCGGAGTGCGAGTTGAAGAGCAGGACATCGACGGCCTGCAGCTGCGAGACGTAGCGGTGCCTCTCAAACTCCTGGCGGACCTTGGTCCTGATCTGCGAGACGGGCATGCTCAGGGAGTACATCTGCTGGATCTCGGGGGCCTGGAGAACGGGCGCAAACAAGGGCTCCGGTCAGCCATTGCTCGAGCTAGAAAGCCGCGACGCACCGCATTGGGACGGCAGCTCGACAGCAAAAGAGGGGAGACATACGGCGCGCAGCCACTCGCGGTAGGACTTCAGCACGCGGAACTTGGCATCGTTCCAGTTGACGGCTGTCCTCGAGGTCAGCAAAGCTCAGCTCTCCCCGGGCAGCGCAGGGCAGAGGCGCGAGGACGTACACGAGCGCGTGCGCTGGGCGAGATAGGTGGGGTTGATCATGGTGGTTGCGGATTGGACTCTCTAGGTACAGGCGGGATGTGCCCGCGCGCCGGTAGCTCGACGTCGTTTGGAGAGAGACTGGCGAGGCGCGGGCCGGGACTAGTCACGTGCCGATTAGCTATGCGCCCTCGACGTATATCATCGCCGCCGCCGCAGCGATCCCGCTGACCTCTCCAGGTTAGTACCGTCGCAGAGACCGCGCTCTAGGATTTGCCTTTTTTTTTTTTTTTTCTTGCCTGCAGCCGCTAACGAGTGCGAAAAAGACCTCCGACACCCTTCACCTTCTTCTATCTGCTGCGCAGCTACAAAACTTCATCCCGACACCATGCCCGTCGTCCGCAGCAGCAAGGGCTACGGCCGCAAGAAGGCGCCGCCAGAGGGCTACGAAGACATCGAGGACACGCTGCTCGAGTACGACAATGCGATGAAGGACGCGCTGAACGCGAGCCACGAGGGCAAGAAGCGGCAAGAGACGCAGTGGCCCATCTTCGAGATCACGCACAAGCGTACGTCAGGCCCCTCTCCTGTGTGTATGCGCGCGCTAACACAAGCTCTTTGCCCCGCGCCACAGGCTCCCGCTACATCTGGGAAATGTACTGCGACGAGAAGATCTCCAAGGCGCTCTACGACTGGCTGATCAAGAACGGCAAGGCCGACGCAAACCTCATCGCCAAGTGGAAGAAGCAGGGCTACGAGAACCTCTGCTGCCTGCGCTGCATCCAGACCAAGGAGACCAACTTCAACAGCACCTGCATCTGCCGCGTGCCGCGCGACCAGCTGAAGGAGGACCACCCCATCCAGTGCATTAGCTGCGGCTGCCAAGGTTGCGCGAGCTGCGACTAGCTTGCAGCGCGTAGCGTAGGGAGGAGGCTGGCAGTGGTGGGGAAGCGTGGAGGACAGAGGGAGGGAGGGAAAGAGCGGGAGCGGCTTGACGACGGTCCGAACATTGTTTGTTTTGGCCTGGGGACCGACGCCCGCGGGTTACTTCCTGGCGGAACCCTCCATCGACCTGTCCATGCCACAGCCTCGCCGACCTCGGACATAGAGAGAATGATTGATACCCTTATGGAGGAAAACGAAAAAAAGAGCTTAGTCACCATTCATACACGCTCGGAGAAGCAGAGCAGAAGCTACCAGAAGTCCCTTGAGAGCGTCCGGGCAGGCATGCACCCATACTTCCAGCACCAAAGAAAAAAGAATCAATGAATCAAACGAACGATGACCATCATCTCACCTCGACAAACGAGCAAGGCAAAAGGCGCGAAGATCAAGGGGAGGCACCAAACACGCCCCCACGGCATACGCAGCAAAGTCAACAACCACAACATCAACAATAAGAACAGGTATCAAGCGGTGAGAAAGCGGAATGGAAAAAAGGAAGAGAAAAAAAAAGAAGAAAAAAAGCAGCAGCAAACGCACGGGCGGCCATAAAAAATCACGGTAGATGAATGAATGAGCCCCAAAAAACGAGCGAATGAAAGAACGGACAAGAAACAATTACGCCCGTCCCATACGTCAATCCCTCCATAGGTAGTCTCCCACTCCTGCGGGCCGCAAATAACTCCCAACCCTGCGTGCATGCGAGACACGCACGCAGCGTGGCGTGGCGTGCGTGCGTGCGTGCGTGCGTGGTGCCGCCGTTGCAGTTCCCTACCTGTACCTACCGTACCTAGCTAGCTAGCCAGCGTCTCCTCCCTAGGTCCTCTTCCACCGCCAGGCCCGCCAGCCCGCCCGCCCTTGCGCCGCCCACGCACGCACGCTAGTGAAAGGGATGGCGATGCCAAGCCGCGCGCATCGAACTCCCATATTTGGTTAAAAAGGCTTTGTGCTGCATTCCTGGGCTTTCTTTGACCGCCTCTCGCATCTCTGGTCTCCTTTCCTGACTGCTGCTCTACTCTGTACTCAATATTCCGGGCTCCATGCTCCATAGTCTAGACTCCGTGCATGCTTACTTGCTATTGCTTGCCTGCCTGCCTGTCGGCTTTCTCGGTTCCATGGCTTGCTGGCCCGCCGTGCCGTGCTATGCTCTGCTATGCTCTGCTATGTATACAATACCATACCACGCCATGCCAGTCCGAACAACAACGGACAGACAAACAGACCGACAGACAGACGGGCAGACTGATTGATTGTTGTTGTGTTGTGCCGTGTGAGCGTGTGTTTGGTATTGGCCATTGGCTCTAGCCCTCCCCACCGTGCCACAGCAACGCCCATCCCGCCCGTCCATAGTCGTAAGACCTACGTACATACGTGGGGTTGCCGCCCTACCCACCTACCCACCTGCCTACCTAGGTGGCGCCGCGGCGGCAAGGCGGCCCGCCGCCGTTGCCGTCGCCGTTGTTGTCGTACGTGCTACAACCTAAGGTAGGTCGCACCTAGCGGGCGGTGTTCAAAGGGGAAGGATGCTCGCATGCTTGCTGCTGCTGCTACCTGCTACCTGCTACTAGTCGAGTCGAGTCGTACACGACCCCCACGCGCCAGAGGCGGAGGCGGAGGCACTGCCTCTTGGTAGTTAGGTAGTTCGCTAGGACAGACAGGTCACAGTGACCGAGACGTCTCGCGCTTTTTGGCAAGAGAAAAAACCCCCCACACAAAAAGTGTCTTATTATTCAAGCATTATGAATGTTGTCAGGAGGAAGAGCCATAATCGTCATAACATAGCCATCGCACCACCACCACCGCCGCCGCCGCCATAGGAAGCTACCGCTAACGCCAGACCCGCAACCAAAAGACGCTCCTTGATACAGAATGGATAGGTAGGTAGGCCGGCCCTACGCTTGCTCGTCGGGCGAACAGGCCCTAGCGTACGCAGTGTTGGGAGGGGAAAAAGAAAAAAAAAAAAAGAAAAAAGTGGAAGATCCAAGCCCCCTCCCCAGCCAGACGTACGTAGGCACGTAAACACGCCGTGCCTGCTGCCGCCGGAAGAACCCTGTTGCGAAGGAGAAGAAGAAGAAGAAGAAGAAGAAGAGGAACGGAACCAGCGAGCGTGGGTGAAAACAAATAACACCAAACAACAACAACGTAAATAGTAAAAAAGTGAAAAGGCCCAACAGAGTGCTGCCGCCCCACCCAGAGACGCCGTGAAGAGTTGCCCCCCTCCCTCCCCTTTCCTAGTACATGCCCCGCACCCCCATGTTTTTTTTTGGACGCCCCACCCAATCAATCCTGCCTGCCCTGCCCTACCCAGATGAGACGAGACCAGAGCAGAGCAGACCAGAGTCCTGTATGCTCCAGCCCAGCCCGGCCCGGCCCGATCCAGCCCAGCAATGTGCGCCTGAAAAAGAGAAGAAAACAAAGAGACAGGTAAAAGCATTCGACAAGAAACCAGGCGCGTACGCTAGGCACTGGGGCTCTAGCCGGCTCTGGAGTAAAAACGGCGTCTCATGTGCTGTGTAAGAGCGCCACCAAAAGAGGGAAGTAATAGAATCCTGGGCCGCCGCCGCTGCTCCACCGAGGCATGTGGCGAACGGTGAGCGGTGAGGCAAGCGTGAAGCGGAGGGTGAAGAAGTGTAAAAGCATGCGTGCGTGCGTGCGGATTGGAGACGGGCCAGCGCCCGAGTTCTCGTCATCCATACGTGGGCTCGAGACGAGGCCGTTAGTTCAAACCAGTGTGTGCGCCTGAATGCGTGGTGCGATGTGGGTATCATGCGTCGTCGTAAAAAAGGTCATGAGGTCGGAGTGAGTCGGTAGCTTCTTAGGAGCTCCGACTCAGTGAGGTAAACGTCAAAAAAAGTCAATGTTCATACAGAACAGAGCACCATATTGTTGACGTGCTAGAAGAGCCAAATGCAAATGTCAAGTTCATGTCTTAAAACATCGTGCTGGCCGCTCTTCCCAAATACGGCCTACCGCTCGTTGAGCCCCTCTTACTTGGGCTCTCCTGCGGCTGTTGCCTAGTGGTGCCAATCTTCTGAAACCCTTGGAGGATGTCAATCTCAAGGCCGCCTTCCTCCTCGTCATCAGACTGCATCTCAACACCAAAGAAATCATCTCCAGTCCTCTCGGCGGTAGGAGTCTTCATCGGGCTCGGCACTGACGGGTTGGCAAAGAAGTCGCGTAGGTTCCGCGAGCTCGCAGGCGGCTTAAGCCATTGCTTGGATGCTTCGGGCGTCGCGACCGAGTTGACACGAGTGCCTGTGATGTCGGCAAGAATGTTGGAGCTGCTGATGGCACGGCTGCTAGTGGGGCGCTTGGTGGTGCGTTTCTCGGGCGAGCCACGCGCTGAAAGAGTCTGGCGCACTGGGCTGTCGTTGAACACGTCAAAGTGCGTATTAAAACCGTCTTCCAGCAGGTTGAAATGTTCCTCGTCCGGCAGATGGAATGCAGGACTCCATGGATTGGTCTCTGAGAGCACGCCAAGAGTCTTGTCAGGTGAGCCGATCAATTCGCGAATGCGATTGCGATGGTTGCGCAGGTTCGTGTTAGGAGAAATAGACGCAGGGGGTTTGGCTGGCTTCTTGAAAATTACAGCAGGAGTAAGGGGTGCTTGCAGCTCAGAAGCGTTCTTCTCGAAAAGCGGAAATGGTGATGACGATGGGAAGGATGTGGGTTGTTTGAAGAGAGGACGGCCCTTCGTCGGGCTATCATACGAGGAACCCCGCATACGAGCGATTTCCTCTTCAGCGCGACCCCGCTTGATTGCAGGGCGGTCGAGGTCTGCTTCTGAGGTCGGAATGGTACCCAGAGGGTTACCCTTTACGGCGGAGGATTCGATGGAAGAATAGTACCCACTGTCCCCAAGTGCAGAGAACTTGCGCTTGCGTCCGCCACCACTCGACGGTAAGAAGCGAGGCGCTCTTGGTGGAGTTCCGTCTTGATCATGATGAGCATGCCGGGCCATAGCAGCAGGAGGTGATGAGTGAATTTCAGCGGGTGGGGGCGAAGAACGCATGGCATGGGAGGCGGGCGGCATATCATTCTCATTGCCAGCATCCTGACCATCATGGATAGCAGGATCTGAAGCAGGGATAGTCGCGTCCGAAGACAGCTCTGGCTCTTCGGGAAACTTGCTCGAATCAATGCTGTTGCCCTTTGGAGTAGATTGAAGGTGGAAGGACCCCATTGCCGCTGCCCTTGTCGGCGCAGTCGGTGGTCGAAGGATATCGCTATGAATAGATTGCAAGAAACCAGGGCCGTCCTGGTTCGTTAGGCGCCTCGGCTTATCTTTCAAGAACTGGCGTTCAAAACCAGGCTCAATTGCCCAGTAATTGCCCTTGCCGGGGTCGTCTTTTGGCCGTTCCTGTTTGATGAATGCTTTGTTCAGACTCAGGTTGTGGCGGATACTATTCTGCCACCCAGTTTCGCTAGTGCGGTAGTAGCTGAAAGTATCAGAGATCCACTTGTAGATTTGTGCGAGGGTAAGGCGCCTCTGAGGTGCGCGGAGAATAGCCATGCCAATTAATGTGGCATAGCTGTAGGCTGGCTTTGAACCATCATCTTCGACCGGGGGCATCTCGCTTGGCGCAGGAACAGGCTTCTGGTCCTCTTCTGGCGCTTTTCCTTTTTTGGAATGCCTGTCGCGGAGAGGGGCCGTGTCCCCAATTTGGCGTCTCGGGACGTTTTTGGTATGAGAAAGTGCGTGGTCCGAGTATTGTGACGGATGGCTAGCGAACATTGCTGCATAGTCGTTCTCCTTGTCCATGGCGCCGACAGTCGGGAAGGTGGTGAATAGGGCGTTCTGCGACTTTGGTGCGGCGCCGTTGGCCTTGGAGGGCAGCGAGGGCTTCTTCAATGGCGAGTCGGTCGTGAAGTGGGTTTGGCGGGGCGGAGAAAAATGTATCGAATTGATGTTGCTCTCGGCCAGGGCGTGCGGGGCCGGTGAGCTCGAGTGGGCGTGATGCTTGACCGGTGACTGGGCGCTGGTTTCGGGACTGGAGGGGTTGAGGAGGGTATGGTGGTCGGACGAGACGTCGGTGACTGGGCCAAAGGCAGACAGAAAGGCGGCTTCTGCGCCGGCGACGTCGTGGTGGTCGAACGAGGTGACGGGATCCTGGAAAATCTGCAACGGCTGCTGCTGGCGACGCGTCGCAGCCATGGCAGGCAACGGCTCGGTCAAAACGGCCGGCGCAACGAACAGCGGGGGGTGGAAGACGCGTGAAGACGCGCAAGGATTTGAGGATCGAGGGTCGTGGGGGAGGTTGGGTGAGGCTGAGCGGTTGACAGCTTGTGGAGCGGCGGGAACGGGCGGAGGGCGGACGGGGACGTCGTGGGATCGCGTGCAAAAAACGAGGAGAACAGGCAGGACAGTCGTGATCTAGAAGGCGTGCGGCTTCTTCAGGGAATCAAGGGCGCAACGTCTCACGAAGCGGCCGAGATCTTCTGGCCGTTCGCTTGAGGGGCGCCAAGCGGGAGATTCGATGACTTCAGCGTGCGTTACAAAGGAATCGCCGCTTGGGTGGGCTCGGCGACGGAGCAAGAATGCGCAAGGGACGGCGTGCGCAGGAACAAAGGGTGGAATTGATTTTGATGTGGGGATTGTAGGAGTAGGTAGCGGGAGAGTGGAAGCTATCGTCTTTGCTGCTCGCTGATACGGATTACCTCTCTCTCTCTCACGCCCAATCCAAATCCCCACTTTAAGCCGGCCGCTCATTGCTGGCTGAGTTGGCGCCCGTTGCCCCTTCCAGCCCTTGCTTTTCGCTCGTCATAGGCCAATCCATCCCATCCCGGCCCCGACCTGCCTTTCTCTCACCATCGCCGCCTGATGACTTGTTGCTCGTCCCCTTGCCATCAAGCCGCGTGAGTGCATGGCTGAAACGCGCCAACCCCTCAACCCAGCTGTGGAACTTTGAATTCTTCCCGCTGCGCCCGCGCAGATCGCCTTCAAGATGATGGAACCACCTCCCCCTTCCGGGACTAAACTATTGACTTGACTGTTTTCTGACAATTGGCGACACCCGTCACTGTCAATACTTCGTACTAACCTAACCGACACCTCGAGCCTTGACTTGGCTCCACCATCCTCCCGCGAAGCTTATCGTCCCTATCGACGTATGTACTCCACCGGGGCCCGTGCCGCTTCTTATGCCTCTGCCCTTCGCGGCAATTCGATGTGCACAGGGCTCCAGCCGCGCGTGCATGTAACTACCTGCAAGTCCTCTACTTCAGAATGACGTCGAAACCGCCATCAATCGGCCCTAGCTGAGAATTGCACGACGCCAACTCGACCGGCAAAAAGCATCTCGGACCAACCTACTAGTAACATCACTCCCCCATGCCAAGCGATAAACTTTTACTACGACTTCGCTCCCCGAGTCCCCACGCCCGTCCGCCAGTCTTGATCTACAGGGTCTGGAAAAGCGAGCGATCCATGTGGACTCACGAGGCCACCACGTGTCGTAGCATGCTCGTCCTCTCATGGCGCCCAAGTCACGAGAGTGATTTGACGGCGAGCAGCATCGAGTGCCTACCCTATCGCGGGTAGCACCCAAGCCAAACTCTAAAAAAGGGTCCATCCACAAAGCGTTTCACTGCAAGATCGATCTCACGCGCATCAGCCTCACTTCCCCTCTAGTCCACGTGGGCATTCCATGGCGGCACATCACCAGCACGGGACAGACCCTGAAAATCAGCCTCTAGAACGTTAAAGACGCTTCTTTTCCTTTTCTCGATCTTTTCTCCAACTCAACGGTTTTTTTGTCAGCATCTAACCATTTTCGGCGCATGACGGTGATACTGTCTGCACCGTGACTTTTTCGGTCGTCGGTTTGTGTGGCGCAACTCCAAAGTAACTCGTCGCTTTTTCGATCGGAGAAGCGCTCGTTTGTGTCCCCTAGTAGTTCGGTTTCTTCTGCCTGCGTACAGGCGCATTTTTATTTTTTTCGCTGCTCGTTGTCTGAACTGGATCATCGAGAGCTGCTGAATTCCGCTTGTTGTGCAACTCGACCAAGATGCTACAATGTTACATACTCGGTCTCTCCAGTAACCCGCCATTGGATTCTCGCTCCAGGCAGTCCGCAGGAGCGCAAACTTGTCAAATCGCCTAGCTCCATGGTGTGAGACGTCTTAGCACGCAATTTACCTATCACTGCACTGGTTAAGCATCAGCAACGCTACAGCGCCTCGAACAGAGACATGATCCAGCTGCATGCGTAGTGGCGCTTCCGTGGGCTGCATTGGCACCGTTTAGGCACCGCACAGCTTTCGCTCCATCGGAGCATTATTGTAGAAGTAGCCGCCGCACCTGTGCCGAGTTCAGCCGCGGATGGGCCGACGCGAGCGGCCGTGGGTCGTGGCGGCTTAGCGGAAAGGCTTGGCAACTTGTTTGAGTCACCATCGTCACTTCGCAGGTCAAAGCTCAAGGCTTGACCTCAGAGACGGCCGCACTCCTACTCCTCACATACTAGGTACTTCACCTCTGTACGTCGCTTAAAAAAAAGAAAAAATACGCCACCCCATTCCGCCTCAGTGATACCGCAATCATGGCCGACGATGTATGCGCTTCCCCCGCCAAACGCCCTGTCTCCATGACGTGTGACTGACTTTGTCTGCCCGCCAGGCCCAGTTCACCGAGCGCAAGAAGCGCAAGTCCGTCTCCTTTGCCGACGGCGCCCAGATCGTCGACAGCGACGGCCAGGTCAAGGATGTCAACAGCTCTATCGGCGAGAAGGCCACGGCCGAGAGCCACGCCAACGAGAGCGACAAAGCCGTCGACGAGGTAACGGACATGTTCAGCAACCTGGCCAAGAAGAAGAAGAAGAAGTCCTCGTCGAAAACCAAGGAGGGTGGCGACGACGAGGCACCCGCCGCCGAGGGCGAGTTCGACCCGTCGGCGCTCAAGAAAAAGAAGAAGAAGAAGAGCAAGCCCGCCGACGCCGACGACTTCGAGGCCAAGCTGGCCGAGGCCGGCGCGGGCGACAAGGAGGAGGAAGAGGCGCCGGCCAAGGAGGAGGAGCAGGCGCAGGAGGGCGACATGGAGAAGGGGACGGGCATCTGGGCGCACGAACAGACGACGCCGATCAACTACACACTGCTGCTCGGTCGCTTCTTCGCGATGCTGCACTCGCACCATCCGGACCTGGCCTCGACGGGCGCCAAGAGCTACAAGATCCCACCGCCGCAGTGCCTGCGCGAAGGCAGCAAGAAGACCGTCTTTGCCAACATTGCCGAGATCTGCAAGCGCATCAAGCGCACCGACGAGCACGTCACGCAGTTCCTGTTCACTGAGCTGGGCACCAACGGCTCCTTTGACGGCAGCAGGCGCCTAATCATCAAGGGCCGTTTCCAGCAAAAGCAGATCGAGAACGTGCTCAGGAGATATATCGGTACGTGTCCATTAATGCCCAGACATCCTCTCTTCCTTCTGGGCAGTAGCAATACCTAGGCAGCAGCGCGCTAACAAAGAGATCACAGTCGAATACGTCACCTGCAAGACATGCCGATCGCCCGACACGGAGCTCAACAAGGGCGAGAACCGCCTCTACTTCGTGACGTGCAACTCGTGCGGCTCGAGGCGGTCGGTCGCGGCCATCAAGACGGGTTTCTCGGCCCAGGTGGGCCGGAGAAGGAGACAGCAGGGTTAGGTCACCTAGACCTAGACCTAGACCTAAACACATGGCCTTTTTGGGGGGGTTTGGTGTTGTGTTTTGTTTGTTTGTTTGTTTGTTTCTTTCTTTCTTCACGTTCGGGCGCGGGTTCATGGCGTGCGTGCTGCTTGCTCTGTTCGGCGCTATAGGTGGTTATCGACTTCATGGCTGGCGGTGCGCGGGAGACGTTTGAATCGCTTTTTATGCCTGCTCGCCGTTGTAGTGTATGTACGCGGTGTGTTAGATGGTGATGATGATGATGATGATGGGAGAAGAACGTCGCTAGGTGGCTGTCTTCGACTGGGATGATACGTACCTATTGGACATATGGAGCTGTGCTGCCGTGAGTGAGTGAGTGAGTGAGTGAGCGAACGATCAACCAAGCAGCCAAGCAACCAAGCAAGCGATAACTAGCTAGGTAGGCAGACAAACAAGTTGAGCAAGCACCAAGCAACCCCCCAACTCCTCCCTCATAAAGCCCACACCACCCATCCGCGCCCCACACCCCCGCAAACCGCAGCATGCACACGCACGAAAACAGCAGGCAGCAGCCTACGCCGCGGCCGCGGAAGCTGGATCCGGGTCCAGCGTCCAGCGCCCCAGCACCCCGTCAGCAGCAGCAACAACAGCAGCAGAGCACCACCGCATCACGCACCGCACACTGAGGCCTACGACTCCGTGGACTAGACAACAGACAGGCAGACAGGCAATACCCACAACCCGGCTCCAGCAGCGCATACATACATAACAATACATACGCGCGCAGGCATGCATGCACGCACGCACGCACGCACATATGTATGCACGTAGTATATATGCACGCCATCAATTCACCGCTCAGCGGGGAGAGGAGAGGACGCAAGCACCGAAGCACCGAAGCACGTAAGCACATAAGCACATAAGCACATAAGCAAGCACAGCAGCGGCATAGCAGCATGTAAAAACGAATCTATTAACGCCGGTCCTCTAGTGTTAAGAATCCCCAAATGCTCCCAGCCCACGACGACGACGCCGTCAGTCAAGTCACGCGGTCGTCGGTGCAGCGCAGCACCCAGTGGCTCTTCCGTCCATTCACACCACGCCGCTGCCGACCGAGAGTCCCAAAGCCCTCTGTTTCCCCGCAGGCAATCATGCACACACACAGTCTAGCTACCTAATAAGTCGTCTTTGCCGCTGCCCCTTCCGTGCGGTCATGGGCGGGGCATCTGCCTCGTTTGTTGTTGTTGTTCGTGGCGTAGTAGTATATGTAGGTCATGATGCTCTGCTGTCCTCGGCTTCTTTCGGTAGCGCGGCTTTTTGTTGTGTTCGTCATTATCGTCCGGGTCTCATCAAGGACTACTACCAAAAAAAGAATCTGCACAAAAAAATGCCAAGAACTTTTTTTTTTTTGCTCCTCTTTCCAGTTGCGTTGCTAATTGTCGGGCTTAGACGGCACCGGCAGCAAGCATCTTCTTCCTCAGGTGGTTCTTGTACTCGCCGATGCTGCCGTCCCACCTGTGGACGGTCTTGTTCTCGCAGACCATGATGTCCTTGGCGATCTTGTCGAGCAGCCTGTTTCTTGGGTTAGCGAGCTGTTTGGGAGATAGTAATGGTGATTAGAATCATGCTTACCTGAAGTCGTGGGAAACGACGACAACACCACCGCTGAAAGCGTTGATGGCGTCGGCGAGCGAGTCAATGGTAGGGATATCCAGACCGTTGGTAGGCTCGTCAAGCAGCAACATGTTGGGGCTGTCGAGGGCAAGCATGGCGAAAACGATACGAGACTTCTGACCCTCGGACAGAGTACCGATCAGAGCAGTCTGGGCCTCACCAGTCAGACCGTAACGGCCGAGCTGCTGGCGCCAGTACTGGTAGTCCTGAGAGACGGAGGAGAACTTGTCACGGACGAAGTCGAGGACAGACTTGGTCATGTCGAGCTGCTCAGCGGAGTGCTGAGAGTACATGCCAAGCTTCAAGTGAGTGTGACGAGAGACGGAACCGGTGGTAGGAGAAAGGTGGTTGGTGAAGATGCGGAGCAGAGTAGACTTGCCGACACCGTTGGGGCCGACCAGGGCAGTACGGGAGTCCATGTCGACACCGAAGTCGAGGTTCTCGTACAGGTTGTCCTCGGGGTTGCCGGAGTAGGAGAAGGTGACGTTGTCCAGCGAGAGGACGGGGGGCGGCAGCTTCTCAACATCGGCGAAGCGGAAGGTGAAGACGCGGTCCTGGACAACGGGCTGGATGAAACCTTCGGCCTCCATCTTGTCGAGAATCTTCTGCCTGGACTTAGCTTGCCTGACCAAGTTGGCGTAGGTACCGGCAGAAGCGATGAACTTCTTGATGTGCTTGATTTCCTCCTGCTGCTTCTCGTAGGCCTTCATCTGGTTCGTCTCGTTCTCGACCCTGGTCTTGATGTAGGAGTCGTAGTTACCACCGTAGTACATGAGAGACTTCAGGCGCATGTCGATCATGTTGGTGCAGACACCGTTCAAGAAATCCATGGAGTGGGAAACAAGAATGAGGGTGCGGTCCCACTTCTTCAGGTACTCCTCAAGCCACACGCAGGCCTCCAAGTCCAGATGGGCAGTGGGGTCGTCCAGAAGAAGGAGAGAGGGCTTGACGAAGAGGGCCTTGCCAAGCGCAACTCTCATTCTCCAACCACCAGACATGTCCTTGGTCTTCTTCTGGATCGTCTTCTTGTTGAAACCAAGACCAGTCAGGATGAGGGAAGCGCGAGTCTGGAAAGTGCTGGGGTCCATGGTTTCCATACGCTGCTGACTGTTAACGATTGCAACTCAATTTTTCGGTTTCGTCGAGTTAAAACATACCTCGTAAATCTCCTCAAGAATGGGGGCCTCGGGACCCTGCTTCTCCAGGATGTCCTCGGACAGCTTCTCCAGGCGGTCCAGCTCCCTCTGCGCCTCACCGACGACCCAGTCAAGGGCGCCGGTGTCGGTTTTGGGGGCACCTTCGTTGAGCAGGTAGATGTCGATGTGCTCGGGGAAGGGGAACTCGCGCGCGTCGATGGCCTTGAGCAGAGTCGACTTTCCGCAGCCGTTCTCACCCAGCAGGCCGTAGCGGCGGGCATAACTGACTTCCAGAGTGGTGTCGTTGAAGAGGACCTTTCCGTGGAAGACCAGCGAGGCGGAGGTGATCTTCACATCGCGGCTGGCAGGGAGCGAGGCGAGAACACCGGTGGTGACACGGTCGGACAGACCGTGCTCGTCCTTTTGCAGGGCGAGGTTCTTGACCTTCTCGGCCGTCTCGTCGACGGTCGTCTCAGCGTCGGTGACGGCAGGGTCCTGGCCCTCGTCGGCGGCCTTCTTGGCGGCCTTCCTCTCAGCGAGCGACTTCTTGGGCTCCTTGCCGGTAGCGGCACGCTTGGCGTCACGGGCAGCCTTGGAAGCGGAAACCATCTTGTGCTGAGTGTCGGGGGTGGTTGATGGAGGGGGTGGTGGGTATCGCTGAGGAAGAGAAACAGAGTTTTCGTGGGCGACAAAAGTTGCAAGGACGTCAGCGGGGCAAGCTTCGGCGCTATCAGCGATAGGGAGCAAGAAAAGCGTAGGGCTGTGCGGGACCCGGCTCTCGGCGCTTTGTATCAGAGGATAGAAATGAGAAACGACGCGACGTCGAACTGAACAAGAAAAGGGCCTCGAGGACAAAGTTGGCTGCAGGCCGCAAAGAGAGAGTTGAAGCGCAGGTGGGAAGAAGAGAAGGCAGCCATTTTCCAGCCACTCTTTCAATGTGGCGAGCACCTGCGAACGGCCAATCGGGGAAACGCTGATCCACCTCACTCCTTGGGCACCAACCTATCATTCCCCCATCCTCAGGAGCTGAAAGACCCTGTCAGCTCTGACGTGTGCAACCAGCGCAACGCGTACGTACCTTTGTCCTTTGTTCGCCCTGAGCGGTGAGTACTCACGTACTTTGTCTTCATCATCAACCCTGGTATCCGCCATCACCAAGGTCCAAGAATTTATTGCGGGACTGCCCACACTAAAATTTCATAAGACCCGGGTCCCGCAAGGCTTCAGGCTTCTTGCCTGAACCATGGTTGATGTGTATTCAAATTCAAGGGATGGGTCTACGGTCAGCACCCTTCAAAAGTACCACTTCTCTTCGGAAGAAAGCTACGATACATCAAATCACATCTTTGACCAACCAACACATTTCTTGGACTATATCCGCAGCATATGTTGTATAAAGTGTATTGTCCAAGATCCATTTGCTTTTATTACTGATGCATTGTTGACTCAAGCCCGGGGACAACTAAAAAATAATTGTCAACTTCGAAGTGCCGACCATGAAATACAAGCACTAGCTAATACTATCACGACCTCTTCATTTTTAAAGGTTGCAACCGGGCAGTAAAGTTGATTAACGGTTGTTACATTTCTATATTTGCACAGAATTAATCCGCCAACATCGCAGAGAGAGAACCAATTCGGAATGCCAACGGGACTCCCAAAAACATACAACAGCAGCAGTTACTTCACCGAATTGCCTACTACTACCATATCGCGGTCCAGGTATCCCGTCAGAGAGAGGTGCTTAACAACCGCAGTGTATTTTGCCCTCTCCTGCGTACGCAGGTATAGTCTTGAAAAAAGGCAACGGATTTTAGTCCTGATGTTTTGTCAGTGGATGCTACGCAAATAGTCACGGCTTCAAACGCCCAGCATCGACCACGACGGAAGACATAGGGTAAGGACTTGCTGTGGATAATAGCTGGATATACCACTCGTGAGACTACAGCTAGCTTCTACTTACTCGTACGAGTCCTTACGTTTTACAGTGATATCGATTAACATTATCTTTCGTTTTCGGCACCTGGCATCACAGCCACCAGATAAAGATGAACAGTAATGCTAACAAATAACAAATATACGCGAATATCAACATCAGGTAAGTGCGGTGCGATAGTTAAGACAACTATTCAGAACAAAGCGGCTTAGTGCCTTTTCCGCTTTTCTTTGTCCTCTCGGTCCTGAGGTGTTCCTCTCGCTTCTTGCGTGCTTCAGTGAAAGTACAGCATGAGTGAGTATTTGCACCCTCCTCTTAACATGAAGAATAATCGAGTTCGCTAGGTTCGTACCGGGATACGCCTTTGCTCTATGGAGTTTAACGGTAAACCTGGAAGTTGTTAGGCTATTAAGATAGTCACTGTATCTAATAGTCCTATAGGACCTCGATTTTCTGCACGCTCTTTCTATGGCGCATCCTGAAAATAATCATAGAGGTTTTGCTTCAATGCCGACTGCCCTTACGCCGAAATCCTCCCATTTGAGGTAGTAATAACTGCCGGACTGGTACCTGTATCTGAGCACAAGGTCGCCTAATCGACCTATTATACTAATCTAGTTACTGCCCCACTCGAAAGCACCTTTGCTACTTGTGATAGGAGCCCAACCCAGGTCTGTTCAGTCATGAAAGATATACGAGTACCACACGAAAAATCTCATGTAAATGGGATTAATCACTATTGCATTTCTTCCACAAGCCCAGAACTCAATCACGCAAAGTCCGAGAAGCAGTTTTCATGTTTACGATAAAAGAGACGTCGCCAAAAAGCAAATCTGGATTTCCATCCTTGGCCAACGTGCGTCAGGAGAATCCACCCTCCTTGCCGCCAAGCCACTACCACCAGCCAGGCTCGGCAGTCGTGTGCGCTGGCGAGGGGCGACAGGCCGAAATCTCGTAAAACGACAAGACGGAGCCAAGCTTGGCGGTTCTTCGACTGTTGCTTGGCAGTCGTCCTGCTTGCCGCGTGGCGGCTGTTAAGGAGTTCGTAGAACCTTCATCCTGGGATTGCCGCTCTCCTTCGTTGGCATATTTTCTGCTTTTGGTGCTGGATATGGAGCAGAGGAGGCTGGGGGGAAAGAGCGAAGGAGGGGAGGAAGGTTCGTTTGTTGGGGAAGGGGATAGAGGGTCGTACTGAAGGTGTTTGCTAAGATGGGGATGGAAGAGCTGGGTTGTCGATATTGGACTACTCGTGGCGCGCCAGCCTGGAAGAAGACTGGGACGAAACAGAAGGCTTGTGGGAGCTAGACGAGGAGTTGGCGACCTGGCCGTCTCGATACCAGACGCGTCCCAAAGAACAGAGATTAGTGTCTTTACCCTCAAGGCTTTTTACTGTCTGAACTGACTGGTTTAGGAGCAGACTCAGCTGAACCGGCATTACCCATGCTGCTTGAAACAAAGCCGATTGAGAAACAAGCAACATGCGGCGACACGGGCAGTCGTGCCAAACTAACCACATAAAACAAGCGCTAAAACGCCGTTTATGAAGGAAAGCACAAGGGTTAAGCTCCTATAACTGTACGCACCGGCACGACGACATGGCTTTCGCTTCGGCAAGACGTAATTTGCGCTCCTCATAATCAGCATACATGACGTCGATATTACGCTCCTCATCTTTCTTATGGTATCTGCGCTCGAAGGGATCATAATACATATCCAGATACACGTCTTTATTGTAATTTTTGACCAGAGTGCACCTATATTACAAACATTCGTCAGCCAAAACCTCTCAAAGCATTTGACGGGAGACTTGTACTAACCAAAAGTGCGGGTCCCGCCGCCACTCAGTGCATTCCCCGAATTTAGCTCCGTCTTTGAAGCGACAAACATGTTCACAGAGCTTGGACGTTATACCGTCCTTCTCAAGAATCACCGTCCTGGTAAGCTTTCTGAGACACCGGCTGTCGTCCACTATGTCGAGGCCGAAGAAACTAGTGACTGGGAAGAGCCTCTCGACTGTGTCTCCATGGAGGATCATCGATATTGGCACATCGACCCGGAGTACTATGGAAATGTTCTCGGTGCCCGAATACTGTCTGAGCAGGGACTCTACCCCATTCTTCAGGCTGGTATTTAGCGGCCCCAGATGGCTTGCGGAGACAGGAAGTTTGTTGTAGTCAAGAAATTGATATATAGGACGAGGAAATGGGCAAGAGCTTAAGTAAATCATGAGGTTGCGCGGGTGCGACAAGCCGCAGAACTGCGTGTTGTAATAAACGCCTGCGCGCCATGTAGGCATTGTCGTTAGTGACAGGTCTGGCCATAGGTATCCGCTGAAGAGGGACCAGGTGTGGCGGCGGATTTCTTCGGCGAATTCGGTCTTGATTTGGCGGCATGTGCCTAGGAGACAGCGACCTCCGAGCTTGTTGCGCTTGTAGTCTTTGATTGCTTTGTATTGGAAGGGCTCGCAGGTCTGCTTGAAAGATTTTTGCTCTGCCCACCGCCGGGAGGGCCTTTTTCGATCGACATCATCCCAGATACGTTGTGGTTGATCCTCGTTAAGGCTAAGAATGTACTCTTGGTACACTTTGATCCGAAGCTCTGGTGGAAGATCTAGGAAGCGGAAACCTGGCATCGTGTACAGTGCTTTGTATTTCTACAGACAAGTGGGGTTGTGTTGTGTCTTCTTTCCTGCTGTTGTTTTTCGGTTAACAAAGTATTGATTAGCAGGGAGAAATCGCGTTTAAAAGCTGGAATCTATCGTGTGCAGATGAATGATGGACAGTGGACCGTCGTAACACATGGCAAAGTATATGGTGCTTATGCTAGCCTACCATGGTTGGGGTATGATTTATGCCCACCCTACCACAGGACAGATTTCTCTTTCGACGACCAACCAGAGAATTCTGGCCAAAACGCGAGATTAGCTTACCACAGGCTCGTATTGGTTTTCTGTCTTGTCCTGAGGTGAATCTGGCAAGCAACAAGGGAAAAATGATCGCTTCTCAATTCACTGATTAATAAAGTGTACACGAGGTTACCAGTAAGGGACAAGTTACTCGAAAGCCTTTTGTCGTGGAAAAAGAGCAAACAGATGATGCAGCAAAAACTTCTGCCCAGTGAACATAATCTGTAGTTCGAGCAATCTTGTGTCAAATTTGAGACTATACCTTAAATTATCCCTTGTCCCGGTAAGCTTTTGTGCATCTCCATAGGCCTCAAACGCGTCCAAAGAACAACACTCATCTCGGAAGGCCGCATAAGCCCTACCACTTTCTCGCCCCTTAACCCATAAAGAAGCCCGTCAAAGCTGATAAATCGCCCCAGTAGTCGCCGGTTTCGGCCAGGAGCCCATAGGCGCACGAACGTACTTGTCCTTGTCCAGATCACCACCGATCATGACCGTCCCATCGCCATTATCAAAGAACTCGCCCACCTCCAAGTGTTCATGGATCTGAGCTCTTGAGCCCAGCGTCAGCGAGATAGTGAGTCCGACGCCGGGCCACTCGGGCGTGGCGAAGACGGCAGGGAACTCCGCGTCAGTGCCGTAGAAGACTGCAAGCTCTCCCGGCTTCAGCTGCGCTCTGCTCGCATCCATAAGCTGCTGCAAGTGGTCAGGATGCGGCGGAGGCTCACTGAGCCCGTCGATAGTGGGGCTATAGTGGACGAAGTCGAGCGGGTCTTTCTCCCATAGCGGGGACGGCAGCTCGCCCTGCCCCTCCTCCAGCTCGTCCAGCCTGCCCTGCGCTTTCGCCCGGTCGACTTGGAACCACGTGCCTTCGCCCAGCGGGCGCGCAATCGCGTGCAGCAGCACCGGGCCCGGCGCCGTGGGCGGAGGGTCTTTGTACGTGCGCCAGATCAGCGGCTGCAGCGGAGGGAATTGCATGTCGGGGTTCGCGAGGTCGAAGAAGGTGTTGTGCGCGTGGATTGTCAGGACGTAGCTGTCGTAGTCGGATTTCTCTTTCACCCACTTCTCGTGCACGCACTGTAGGATCTGGCTTAACGACTTCATCAGGTTTCCTTCCACGTGGATGCTCGCCCAGGCGTGCAGCGGCATGGCGCCGTCTATGATCGTCTCTTCACTGGGTGACAGTCCTTGTGTGAATGAGATGAATGCCCCGGGAGTTCCCCCAAGGCCGGGCAAACTGATGGGGCAACCGACGTATCTCCATGTCGCTGGACTAATGATGTTGTAAGGTCCTGGGTCCGTGGCGCTGAGGTTCAGGGTATCTGGGTCTAGGAAGATTCGGTAGTCCTCGCGATCATACCGAATGACCTTGTAGCCGCGCGAAGTCAAAATGCCGTTCGTGTCAGGTTCCTCGGCGGGAGGGCTTTCTGGTTGTGACCTTGTTTTCCTGCCCATAGCTGGAACGGTATGATGGTAGGTGAAGAATGCTCGGTTGACGGAGGTGGTGATAGCGGAAGGAGTGGTGGTGAAGGTCGAAAGAGGAAGGGAACTAAGAGCTAATGAAATTTTGGCATACCACACAGACCTATGAATGTTTCATGTAGCCACGTCCAGGATCAATCATTCGAGAGTGAACATTATCAGTCTTCATTCGCTTAACAGTCTCATTGTCCTAAATCCGCCCTAGAACCAGCCATATTCTACCGAAGCACACAAGGCAAGAACATCTCCGCTGAGTCCCGTAGTATCCAAAGTAAGTCAAATGATCGACCATGAAATTTATGACAGGAACCTCTCAACCCCAAACCCGCCCCTCCATTCAAAGTCCAGCCAAGTCTCCTGCCTCCCGCTTCTTCTTCAAGTCCATAAGGGCAGCGACGTCCGGCTTGCCCTTCTCCAGCCAAACCTGGTAGAAAGCGTCTGCGATCATCTCCTCGGCGCGACCGAACTCGACCGCATCCTTCGTCGGGGCCTTGACGACACGTACCCAAAGGCGATCATCCAGCTCTTGCAAGAGGTTGTGGGCGTGGACATCGGGGTCGCTGTAGACGGTCCAGAAATCAGCGCCGCGGTACCACTGCTTTTGGATAGTGCCCGGCCGGTCCGAAGTATCGTCGTACTTTGCGACGAGACCGCCGACCTCGAACGTCACGGCCTTTTCTTTGTCGTGCATGGAGAAGGTCAGGGTTACGCTCTCCAGCGCTGGCCGCGGATTGTTGCAGAACGTCAGTACGCTGGCGTGACTGGCGCACAGCTGGTGGTAGAGAGTCGTGCAGATTTTCTGGGTATAGGCTTTCGGTACGTCCATGTATATCCTTAGGGTGAGATGCTTGAGGTTGTTGAACTGTGTATTGAATGGGCCGCTCAACACAGTGCCCATCATGTGGACCGCTGTGCCAGCCACCATATACATTTTGCTGTATTTTCTGGACCTCCTCATGAGTGTTGTACCGTCATCGGGCTCGGAGTCCTCTGTGTTGAACTGAAGTTCGAGGCTGCGCAGGCTATTCTGTTGCTGAACGGGTAAGATCTTTTGGCGCAATGAGCTAAACACAGATGCTGGGTGCGCAACGTAGTGGTGGCCCGCGCGCTCGTACTCTTGGAGTTCGCGCGCCATCTGTTTGTTGGCTAGCCAGGCCCCGTGGTTGGTGTCGTGCCACAGCCCATTCAGTGGGTAGGTGTTCTGAAGCCGCGGCAGGTGTGTAGAGTTTTCCCAGTAGCCAGGCATCTTTGCTGGAGTGGAGTCTTTGGGATCAGAGATGATGTATCCATACACCTCGTCCCGAAGCTCGCGCGGAAGGTCGAAGAAGGACGTGGCTCCTACGCCAGGGTTACTCGCCATGGTGGATGAAGTGGGAACTTCGTTGTGTGTTGAGTCGGTCATGTTCTCAGGAGGTATGTTGTATAGCTGAGTGGAGGTTCGTGTGTGTTTTACTTGCGTAGCTCGAGACCTCCGTAGTAGTTTTTAGTTACCCTTGATACAGTTGGGTGACACTGTGGGGTGTTCCTGTGGAGGGATGCTGTGGGGGGATGTTGTAAAGTGATGGAGCAAAAGGAAGCGGGGGGAGGACAGGGCCAGTTAATATAGGGGGTGTCCGGTTAGAAGCAGAATACCTCAAACCGTGGTCGGCATAGCCCGCTACCAAACAAAGACAAGGAAAACAGAAACCGAAATTCATCAACGCTCATGTCAATTCTTGACTGATCGCAGGGAAAGTTGATTTCTGTGGTTAGGACAGATATCCGTGTACCACTCATACCTTCCAGCTCAATTATTTCCCAACCTCGAACACGATTTTCTGCACCTCCATGTTGTCGAACTTCTTGAACGCCTCGGGCGCCTGCGACAAGGGCATAATATTCTTCGTCAAGCACTCCAGATTCTCCTGATTTTCCTTCAACACTGCCAGCGCCTGCGGAAACACCGAGCGCACTGGGCAGCGACCCATCTGCAGCTGAATGTTTTTATCGTAGCCTAACCAGCGAGTCAGCTTAAAAGAAACAAGACAAGTAGCGTAAAAGAGTGGCCATGTACCCTCCATCGCACTCAACGGCATCTCCCCATTATGCACACCCACCGAACTCACCACCCCAAACGGTCTCACAATGCTAAACGCCGTCTCCAGCGCCCGACTCAGCCCCACAATCTCCAGCACGACGTCCGCGCCGCGCCCATCAGTCGCCGCGCTAACTACGGCCTTGACATCCTCGCTCGTAAAGTTGATGGGCGTCGCGCCCAGCGCGGCCGCCTGCTCCAGGCGCGCAGGCACGCTGTCGACCGCGAAGATGCGCTGCGGCTTGTACTGCAGCGCAGCGACGAGGGCGCAGATGCCGACAGGGCCACAGCCGATGACGACGGCGACGGCGGCGTGGGTCTGTTGGGGTGGGAGGCGAGTGAAGCCGTTGTGGGCGGCGAAGTACTAGGGGTTTGTCAGTGTGAACGTGATGATCAGTTGGGGAGGGGCATGCTGCGTACGCCGGTCTGTGGGGTGGAGTTAGCTTGGTTTTCGCGTGGATTTGTGGGTTGCTAAGGAAACTTACGGGGAAGATGTCGGCCATAAGGACGAGGTTCTGTTCTTTGATGCCTTCTGGGGACTTAAAGACAGAAGAGTCGGCAAAGGGGATGCGGACTGCATATGAGTGAATATGATTAGATTGTACATGTCGCTGTGAAATCAGATGACTTACCATATTCCGCCTGTCCGCCATCCAACCCCGGGTACCCAAAACAGCTAGACTCGATGCAGCGGGACGAAAGGTCCAGCTTGCAGTAAAAGCAGTTGCCACAACTGATCGTAAAAGGGCAGACGACCGCATCGCCAACGCTCACGGTCTTAATGTCCGAGCCGATTTCTGTGACCGTTCCGGTGAACTCATGTCCGGTTATGAAGTCGGTGCCACCGCTTGCTTCCAAGCCGCGGTAGACGTGGAGCTCGCTGTGTCAGGTCAGAACGGGATCCCAGTATACCTTCTTCCGCCATGGCATGAGCCATCTCTCACAAAACAATCTGCTTCCTCCCAGCAAGAAGTTTTGGGAAGACAAGACTGGCCGTAAAATCCGGGAGAGGTGTACATACCTGCCGCACAGTCCGGAATACTTCACCTTAACCACAATATCCGTCGGCTTCAGCACGGCAGGAACCGGGCGCCTCTCCACAGCAACCTCTCTAACACCCTTAAAGACGACCGCATCCATCATAGCCGGCGCCATTCTGCAAAACCTCGACAAACCAATCAATCAGTCCAAGCAAGCCCGACACACGAAGCAATTGAAAAACCGCACGAGCTCGAAAAGTGGGGAAGCGTGTTCAAAAACGAAATTTATGTTGACTTGGAAAAAGGACGGAATAAAGACGAGTGCACAGATCACCGCTGTAAGCAGTGATGTTTGGCGTTTGTAAAGAGATAGACCTACCTAAGATCCAATGTGCTGGCCAGCAATTCTGGTGCGCGGATGTTTGCAGAGGAAAGGGCAATGACGAGATTAGCCGGCATCGGCAGGCACGCTTCCGGACCGAATCCCTGTGCCCCCCATAGAGCTTCACCCAAAACGGCAAAACTACTCGGAGAGAAAGCGTCATTAACAGACTAGCTGCCTATTGACTACATCTCTCGAGTGGTGATGGCTATATCCCTTCTACATTGTATACAACCAGGCACCTCGTCTGGCATATCTCCTACGCCATGCCGCCACAGAAAAGCCGTCCCACACGCTATCAAAAAACGCCCATGCAATACCCTTTCTACAGGAAAACACCGCCCAATGCATAAACTCCCGCCTCTTGCACACCACCCACGCGCACACACACGTACCGAGCAACAATTACTTCTCTGCAGCAAAAACAGCGCCCGCCCCGCCCTCAACCCCGGCCTCAAACTCCGCCGCCGCCGTCTCCGCCGCAACGCGATCCCTCAGCGCCGCCTCGGAGCGCACCCACTCCATCGCCCTGCTCTTCGCCCGCGCCTCGCTCTTCACATGCGCCAGCAGCCGCAACGCCCCGTTCGGCGTCATGTTCTCGATGCGGCGCGCCTGGCCCACGCTCTCGGGCCTCGCCGCCGCCAGCAGGCCGCGCTCCTCGTTGCTCAGCCCGTGCACCTTGCTGTAGTCGAGGTCGGTGGGTAGGCGCAGGAACTCGTCTTTCAGGAAGACGCGCATGCGCGCGTTTTGCTGCTCGACGTACGGCGCGTAGGTGCCTTCGATTTCGACGCGCGCGCGCACCGCCGCGTCGAATTGCGCGATTTCTGGGATGATGGGGAGCAGCGAGGCCGTGGTTACGTCGGCCATGCGCAACAGGTCGAACGCTGAGCGCCGCGTCGTGTCTTCGCGCACCTTGAACCCGTGCGATGCCCAGGTGGGCGAGCCAAAGGTTTGCTTTTGCAGAAGGGCCGTCAGCTCCTTCATTTGGTCGTGCGTGTCGCTGAACGAGGCCCATCGTTTGTCGCCCACAACGCCGGCGGCGCGGCCGAGTGCCGTCAGGCGGCTGTCAGCATTGTCGGCGCGGGCCGACATGCGGTATTCGCTGCGGGAGGTGAACATGCGGTAGGGCTCTGAGACACCCTTTGTGATCAAGTCGTCAATCATAATGCCAATGTAGCCGTCGGCGCGAGTTAGTGAGAAAGGCGATAGGTTCTGAGCAGAACGACCGGCGTTGATACCGGCCACTATGCCTTGTGCAGCGGCTTCTTCGTAGCCCGTGGTGCCGTTGATCTGTCCGGCAAGGAACAGGCCACGAATATTCTTCGTCTCCAAGGTTGAGCGGAGGTTTCGTGGGTCAACGTAGTCATACTCAACGCCGTACCCGGGCTGCAGCATTTTTACGTTCTCCAAACCCTTGACCGTCCGAAGCATAGCAGCCTGGGCATCAGCAGGAACAGTCATGGAGATTCCGTTAGGATAAATGACATCGGTGTCAAAACCCTCGGGCTCCAACCAGATGATGTGCTGCTCCTTGTGACCAAAGCGGAGGATCTTGGACTCGAGCGAGGGGCAGTATCGGGGACCTTTCACGGTTTCCCTAATATGTATACTCTTGTCTAGGTTTGCGCGGATAATGTCATGTGTGGCGGCATTAGTGTACGTGCTGAAACAGTCGAGTTGGTCCTTGACTTGGACTTCCGAGTTGAGGTAGCTGAAAGGCATCGGCGGATCATCTCCTGGTTGCCGTTCGAGTCCCGTATAATTGATCGTCTTGTGGTCAAGCCTAGGCGGCGTGCCAGTCTTGAGCCTGCCAAGTGTGAATCCTGCTGCGCGCAAGGACTTACTGAGCCCAAATGTGGCAGCTTCGCCCATGCGCCCGGATGGGAATACCTCGAGACCTGGCGTCCTGTTAGCCAACCCAACCCCCATCTGTTCCGCCGGCGGCACTCACCGATGTGTATCTCCCCACCCAGAAAGGTTCCCGTGGTTATCACCACATTCTCCGTGTCGATAACCTCGCCGCTCTCCAGCCTTACACCCGTAATTTTTCCATAACTTCCCTCTCCCTGCTCTCCCTTCTCAACCACGATGTCCGCCACGCTTCCCTCCACCACGCTCAGCCCGGGATAGCCAACCATTTCCTCGCGCATGTACCGATTATACAGCTTGCGGTCTATCTGTGCCCGGGGCCCCCAAACTGCGGGGCCCTTCCTGCGGTTCAGAACGCGAAACTGTACGCCCGCCTTGTCCACAATTCGGCCAACGACGCCATCCAGCGCATCAATTTCGCGGAGCATTGTTCCCTTGCCGATTCCACCGAAAGAAGGGTTGCAAGAGCAGACACCGAGGTTGGAGACCGAGGGCGTAACGAGCGCGGTACGGGCGCCGGAGCGGGCGGCGGCGGCGGAGGCTTCGGTACCAGCATGGCCACCCCCAATGACGACGACATCATAGCGAGGTCTGCGGAGAGAATAAGATTTGGGTGTTGACTTGAAAGTAAGAGGGAGAGAGCCTACCTGCCGGTCTCGCTGGTGATGGTGGCAAAGGTTCGTAGGTAGTTGGCGCGGCGGTAAAAAGTGGGTTGGCGCACGCGGGGCGCGTTTTGCCAGAGCCGGCGCGCCCTCAGAGCAATTGGCGCGCTCATGGTTGAGGTGTAGAGTGGTACGCGAGTATGGCGGGCTGCTCTCAAAAAGTTAGGATGCGATGCGTTCCGCTCGGGCCGTGCACGCTCGGCAATCCGGGGTAATGATCACTTCCACGGTGAAGCCAGATACCAAAAGTTGTATCGCCATGTCGCACGAGTTCAGCGAGCCCTCGGAAAAGAAAAGCATGTAGAATTTACTGCCTATGCATTGCTTGTCATACAGATCCCAAGAACCTGAGTAGAGTGGTATCAACGCCCGCAGTACACAGTTTTCATCTGTCCCCCAATTGCCATAACCCTTCCACATAGGCGCATGGCCGTGTTCATAACTCTCGACCTCTCCGAGCACTCGATCACGAGTGGCCAATGCCGCTCGACGGCTCCTCGGCCGCACTGGTCTCGTAGCCCTCCTGATTTTCCGGGCGGTAAGGCCTGCTCAAGACTTCGATGTTCCCTGGAATATGTCAGTGTTACTGTTGCGCTGGATACGCCCAGACGGCCAGGCGCCGCCGACAAAGGTCACATACTCTGCGTAAGATTCAAGCGCGACTGCTTGATGCCCTCGGCGTTCTCGTAAGTAGACATCCGCGCCTCAGCGTCGACGTGCATCAAGGTGCTAGTAGCAATCAGCAAATGTTCCAGCTTCACCTCCGGTACGACTCCTGACAAAACACAGTTTTGTCCAAGATAATGACCAGACAAGCGCTATTTCACGAGGCGACTCACCCCTTGGGAAGACCGAGCAGGTAGTCCCTCCTCGGGCCCTCGTCGAAGGAGGTAATGGAGAACCAGCTGACGCTCTTGTTGTCTCCGCGGCCGTAGCTGGTGCCCAGAGCGTAGCGCACCATCTCGCGACCAGTGCTGGCCTGAACGGCCTCAGGTTCGGCGGCGAGGCGGCCAATGATGCTCATACGAGCCAGCGACGCGCGTGGGGTGGTGGAAAAGGCGCGGCGGGAGAAGGTAGGAAGGATACGTTGGCGCATGGCGTTCATCTTGGCGGTAGTCGAGAGAGTGGACGTTGGGGAGAGGATAAGCTGTGACTGAGTTGGCGTGGATTTGGAACAATTAAAAAAAGAGAACCGTCGCGTCCAAGGGCCTATCGTGTAGGAGCTTGGGCGCGTTTGACAAAACCTTGGCATGTTTGCCGAGACTGCAAATGTGACTACTCGCACGTGACGGTCCCTTGCATCGTCGTGTCAGGAATCGTTTCTTGTCAACCAACCATCCCATACATGCTGACCTCCCTTGCGCCATCCCGGACAGGGTCTCACATGCGGTTTACCGGGGCATGCCGGTGATTCCCCGTGGGCGCCATGGGCGGCACACTCCATGTCTGATTAGGTATCAAACTCACGCTGGAAGGATGCCTCATATCTACTCTAGTCATTGATGGTCTCGGTCCGGCGGAGATCGCGCCGTGCGGGTGATGCGGTTGATACGGACTTCCGGACTCGCGGCTCTCGACTCACATATAAGATAGACATCACTGTCTTTTCCTAACATCCAGACATCTCTTTGCTTACTTTCAATTCACTAAATCACCACCAACGGAAGACAAGTACAACAGTCATGCCTCTCGTCAAGATTGATATGATCAAAGGCGTGCGCACGCCCGAAGAGATCAAGAAGCTCGCAGACATCGTCCAGGAAATCATGCTAGACAAGTTCTCGGCACCCGCGCGGGACCGTTACCAGGTATGGCATTTGTCAAACGGTCATCTTTGATCAAGGTTGACTTCTTAGTAGATCATCACTCAACATGAGCCGTATGAGATAATATGTGAAGACACGAACCTGGGCCTGCAACGCACAGACAAGCTCGTCTTCATCCAGATCTTCCAGCAGGGCCGTGATGCAGCCAAGAAGCAAGCCGTGTACGCGCAGCTGGCAGAGCGTCTTGAAAAAGAATGCGGTGTTCCTGGCTCGGACCTTATTGTTAGTGTTGCAGCAAACACAAGGGAGGACTGGAGCTTTGGACTTGGCAGGGCTCAATTCTTGACTGGAGAATTGTAACAAGAGCTGTGGAATGATAGAACAATAGAAGAGAAGAACATAGAGTTACACGAAAGAAGAAACAAGACATAGAGGCAAGACTAATTTAGCAACGAGGTCGACTATCTGTTCATTGGGTGGTTCAGCTGAAACACTGTGTAGACACGTTAAAGATAGGCCGGGCATAAACTGTCTCAGCCAAGCGAAGAGCATGGCCAGCTCTCGTCTTGAGTTCTCACGAGCTTCTGAAATACGAAAACGTTGTAGTACCGTGATACAATCACGCGACTCGGTTCATCTCCTAGGCATCTGGCGTGGGACAAATCAGGGTCTCCGCTGCTGTGTTGCCAACACCAGGCACAATGCAGCACGCGACCAGGGTGTCCTAACGACAAGGCTTCCGAATCCATCGCCGGGTCATGAACAACCAGTCCCCAAACACTCGACGTCATACCTTGGCTCCCCTTACTTCCATCCCACCAACAACAATCTTCTTCACAACTCGCCAACGCTGGCCTATCGGGGCCCACGACACCTCTGCCCTAGTTCTTCCTTGCCATTGTGGATACGTCTATTGGCAAAGAGTTGCGGCGCGTCCATCTCGAAGCCTTCTCAATGAGGTCTTGTTAGCGTGGGACGCGGCCCGACTTCCAGTGGCTTAGCAGCTGCTGCACTGCCTAGGAAGCTAACGACTAACAACGAAGTTTATATATTGATACCTGACCCTCTCGTGCTGACGAGAGCTTCTTTTCATAACTATTTGCCATCGGAGCAACATTCTCGATCACACGCATATCTTCAATATTGGATAAATCACAGCCACAATGTCACTCAAAAGAGCAAATTCAGCGTCTTCTTTCCTCACAGGGACGACTCTCGAAAACGAGCCCGACGAGCAGTTCACAAAGCAAGACTCAAGGCTCGAGGTTCACGAAGTCTCAAACGAAGGCTCATCCTCATCCTCTCACCAGCCCGCTTCACAAAAGACGCCGCAATCGCAACAGCAAAAGGACCGCAAGCCGATCCCCAAAATGATTGCGCACCTTAAATACAAGTATCGGAGAGCGCAACGCCGCCGTAAATCTACGCCTGTCCCCGCCCGTAAGCGCATAGAACGCATGGACCTCGAATATCGCTGGGCTACCGGGGTCGGTCTCTCTTGCTACTGCAGGCAGTGCCATCTAGACAGCTAACGTATACAGTCATCTAAAGATCCGTCCGCCTGGCGAATGCGAGGAGATCTGCGTTAGAATTCCGGGTTCTTTTTTTGGTCCATCAACGAAGGCCGGCGAATGACATTCAGGATTTGTGGTCCTTCGACTAGCATCCACATGCCCGTTCGCGAATCCATATCATGTCGATGCCAGCGCGAGAAGCTTGTTCCGCAGCGCGGCGACAAAGGCCTTGATCATTCTGGTGATGGCCAACACGGGAGAGCCAAAAGACTGCAGCGCCCGTTAGCTGCGGTTGCGACTGCTGTGCGCGGCATCACACGTACCAGATCATCTTCGGTCTCGAGGTATGAGCGAGAGGCGCTGGAGAACATGACGACAGGAGGAGCTTAGGAGCTTGAAAGTAGCACACTGGTCGCCAGACGGGTGGTTCAGATGATGAGGGTTGTCAAAGAACGCTTCAGTGATTGAAGGCCAGTGAGTCAGCCGTGTACGTTCTTTGTTTCTCATGTTTTCTGCATCTCCATTTCCAGATGCTTGTTCTTTGTCATGAAGGCCAGTGGCTTAGTCTCGCGAATGAATTTATCGAGGGCAACGAACAAACATCATATGCATGTCAACCTTTGTCTCCACTCTGGTTTAGTAGAAGCAATCTCCCTCGACCCCTAAGAGATACATCTTCGCTCTCTAGCTCGAAACCACAAACCCCTAAGGTCTGATACCCAACCAGCGCACTAAAACCAGGGCTCCAAACCTCTCTACAACCTCCAACAAAATGGCAACACCACCACCACCACGACCAGAAGACCCCCACCCCCAAAACACCCCCTCACCAGCAGCCCTCCCCACCTGGCTCGCCTCCGCCCTGGCCCTAAACCGCACCCTCAACACCACGAGCACAACCACAAGCACCGCGTACCCACCACCAGCACACCCCACCACCCAGCAAGCAGCAGCAGCAGCGCTAGCACCACCCACGCCCCTCGCACCCCCGCCACCAACCACCCAACCCACCACCCCTCTCTACGCCTCCACACGCTCGACGCTGCTCCTCCTGCCCCCACCCCCGCCCACGCGCCTCCTCTCCCTCCGCCCGTGCACGCACGCCGTGCTCACGCTCTCGCGGCCCGTTGGCCCTTTTGTTTCCTCCTCCAGTACCAGCTCCAGCACCTCCGCAAACACCACCACCTCTACTTTCGCCCAAGGCGCAAGCGCAAGCACCCTCACCACCGTCGGTACCCTCACAACCACCACCCTCGGCGCCCCCACCCCCACCCCAACACGCCCCTGCGCCGCCTGCCGCGCCAGCAGCGGCCGCATCCCAGCGCGCCCACCTCGTCCGCACCGTAACAGCCACTACCGGCACCGCGGGTACTACGACGCGCACGGCCCGCTCGCGTGGACGCCGTGTCGGGCGTGCCATGGGCTGGGGTGGGTGGTGCGGGGGGATGGCGTTGGTGCTGAGGGTGGGGGGTTAGGTTTAGGTGTAGGTGGGGATGTTGGGGTGGGGTGGGGCGTTGTTTTGGAGGAGGGGGAAGGGGGTGATGAGGGAGGGAGGTGTGAGTGTGCTTGGAGAGAGGATGGAGGGCCGATGGTGCTGCGGGTGGTGGATGCGGTTGTGGGGGATTTGGAGGAGGTGGGGACGGGGATGGGGATGGGGAGGAGGGTTTGTAGAGCGAGGGTTGAGAGGGAGGTTAGGTGGGTTGTGGGGGTTGCGTTGATGGGGTTGGAGGAGGATGAGATACACAGTGTACAGTAGGCGGGTATAGCAAAAGACGAAGAACAATGAGGTGCTGCATTTACTGATATGTGCACTGATATGTGCTTTGACTGGACGAATAGCTACGCACAAGAGGCTGCACAAAAGAGCGAGTAACCACATACATGCACAGGAACAGTACAAGGTGGACGAAACAAACGCTGACCATCAATCATCAGGCACGGCGACGCCCAACGTGCCCTCTGCAATCCCGCCCAGCACCTCCTCGACATCCTCTCCTCGCTCGCCCAAGACCCACCCGAGCGTCTGGCTCCACGTCTCGCCGTTATTCTCGAACCAGTCGCCCAGGCCGCGCGTGTACGACTGGACCTGTCCTTTCAGCGGCGCGTTCTCTTTCAGGAACAGAATCTGCGCGGGGTCCAGCTTCATCATGTCCTCGACGACATAGTAGTGCGGGACGTCGTCGCCCCAGCCCTCGCAGCCCGGCTCGTGGAACGCCGTCGCCGTGTACTTGGACCAGTACAGGCGGTTGCTGTAGTTGGTCGTGTCGGCAAGGCCGGGGCTCATGTGCTGGTGGTAGTGGGAATTGAGGGCGTTGGGGCTGGAGTGGAAGGGCGAGGTGAAGTGCGCCGGTGCCGCGGGCAGGGGGTAGTTGAGGTGGATGTTGAAGTTGAAGACGAGCTGCTGCGCGTCCTTGTCCGGGAAGCGCTTCTTGAAGTTGTGCGCAATGGTGCCGTTGCTCGGGCAGATCTTGCTGTGCACTACCTCGCGCAGCACGGCGTGCACGTCGGCCATCTCGGCTAGCTCCACCGTGGTCCAGTTGTGCAGCAGCGCCGCCCGCTCCGTTATCACCGGCCGGCTCATGCGCGTGTGCCGTGGGTGCGTCGCGTTGTGGAAGGCCGTGTTGTAGAGCCATAGCCGGTAGAGGGCGCGGCGCAGCCGGTACCGCTCTTCGTCCGTTATGAGGCGTCGGTCTTCGAAATTGTACTTCCACTTCTTGAAGGGGTACATGTCGCACCACTTCTCTGCGACGCGGCCGACCTCGAGTATCTGCTTGAGGAGAGCTATGGAGAAGGGGACGGAGCGGACGAGATGGGCGGGCTGGCTGGCGTTGTGCGTCAGCAGCTGCGTCGCGTCTTCCAGCGGCCCGTATTGGGCTTCGGCGGCATGCTCGAGGATGGCGAGCCTGCGCGAGGACGTGTAGATGTGGCGGAAGCGATGGCAGGTGGAGGAGAGGGCGAGGACGTCAGTTACGGAGGAGCAGTGTAGGTAGATTTTGGTGACGAGCTCCGTGGGCATGAACTCGAGCAACATGGTGGCGGAATTGCGTGTCTGGCCTATTTAGTCTCTCTCTCTCTTTCTTGGGTGAGATGCAGCTTCCCGTGGCGGCGACGGCAACTGGATCTCAATGCAGGGCGACGAGGGAGGGTTTAGAAACAGGCGACCCCGGCGTTGGGGCTATGGAAAGATGAGACATGCAACCAGGGACAGCAAAAGACATGCGGCCCGAGGGCGGCACTCTGGGCGCGTATCATGGTGGTGGATAACTAGGTAGGTCGGTGATGAGGATGATGGCGGGGGGAATTCAATGACATCGTGGGAGTTTCCCCACACTGGAATGTCACCGCCCAACCTAGCCATCGGCAATCGTACGATGCGTGTACTTTGACACGTCTACATCAATGGACATGGAGTCTCCCCTCCTGCGCCTGCCCTCTGAGATCCGGGGCCAGATACTGGAATACGTTCTGCCCACGACGACGCGCATCCCTTCGAAGCACGACGCCAACGGGCTGGTCTGGCTTCGGGGCCACAATGCCGTCCTCGCAACCTGCCGCCAACTGCACGAAGAAGGGGCGGCGATAATTTACGGGCAAAACACGTTCGTCATCGAGGTCAGTTATGACCGCATCAGCTTCCGCTTCCGCTGGTTGCTGCCAGCCAACTGCAATCTGGCGCCCAACCGCGCCTTCTCCTTCCTCGACCACTTCAGCCAGCGCAACATTCAGCGCATCAAGAACTACTACATCAAGATCGACCATGTCGACAGCTACACGGGAATGATCAAGTTCAACTGTGGCGGGCGCGGCCTCACCGACGGGCTGCGCGAGAAGGTGCGGCAGCTGATGACGGTGCTGCGGTGTGCTGGTGAGTTGAATCGGGTCGAGGTACGGTTTGTGGACAGTAGCAAGAGGCCGCGAGACACGCAGGTCGTGTTGGAGCCGCTGCTGGTGCTGCGGGAGGTGCGGCGGGCGCGGGTGAGGGGCGACGTGATGGCAGAGTTTGGCGAGCACGTTGAGCGCAAGATGAGCATGACGGCGGAGCAGCGGAGAGCGGAGCAGGTGGTGGTATAGGAAGATAGACTGTGTGTTTGATAGGAGGCGTCCAAAAAGAGGCCGGGTAAACCGCGGCCCCGGGGGAAGGAGGGTCGAGGCCAACGCGCGCATCGCCAATGCGAGACGATCACCGGCGGGAGCAGCGCAGCAAGCAGCCGCCTTGCCCGCTGAAGCAGTCAGAACACTCTCGGCGGCCAACGCTCGATAATAATAGCAATGCAAGACGCCCCCATTTGCGCATCACTCTCTTCCCGTTGCCCGAGTCTCGCCAGGCTTGCGGTGCACGCCTCCGCTGCTGGGTCTGGCTGCACCTCAAGCCTCCCCGAACACCAAGAGCAGAGCATGCCCGGCAGCCACAGGCGCGCGAGATGAGCTGCGGCGGGCTAGAAGCGATACTGACGCTGCGCATCCACCGCCAGCCCATCCCTTCCCTTCCTCCACGCCCACCCCCCGCGACCAAGTGCCACCTCCGCCCATCAACACACGCCATCACCCGTCTTTGTACCTCGTCGCCTCCCTCCATCATCGTTGTCCCATCAGCCCGCACCGCCCGCACCCAAAGCCCGCATCGCCTCACCATCACGCCCCGGCGACTCCGCGACGACTGCCTCGGCGTCCAAGTCCCTCCCTCCATGGCCCGTATATAGCCCCAGAGCTCCATCCAACTTTGATGCCATGCTGCCCGCACAGATGCAGCGACTCGACGGCGATGAGGCCGACCGCGCGCGATCTTCCAACACGTCGCCTCCCGTAGGCAACCTGCCGCCCATTGCTTCCACCCTCTACCAGCGCGACCCTCCTCCGTCTGCCTCCAAATACTACGACCCTACGTCAGACGCTGGCTATCCGTCGGCAGGCCGGGCCAACGGTCGTCACGAAGCCCACTATCCAGCTCAGGTACGGTCTTGCGAAATGCGTGATGCGCCAAGGTCGACATGAATGCCTCGCTAACAGCTTTATTCACAGTCTCGGGAACCTTACAACTACGGCGATGCGCGACAAAGCAGCGCCTCATATCGCTCACCCGTAGCGACCAACTTCCCCCCACCTCTCACCCAAGCACCTTCACACTCGCATACGCCGGGTCATCTCGAGCACCTGCCACACTCGCCTTCATCGCCGAAGCTATACCACGACCACAACCGGAGCATCATGAACGGACCACCGCCGATTGCGCAAGCGCGGAGGCCATCAATCGAGGTAGTTATATACAGTCCCTCATTTACAACTTCGCATCAGCGCTGACCCGCGCCGATAGATGTCGACGCCAGCTCGAGCAGATCCAATGTCGCTATCTAGCATCATGTCCGGCTCCGAGCCCGCACCAGCTTCTACGCCATCCTACCACGCCCCAGCACCTCCGCCACTGAAGCAATACACTCCCGTTCCGATCAAGTCTGAACACCCCACGCCTTTCCATGCGCCGCTCAATGGCACTGTCCCTCCACTTAGCCTTGGTCCCGAGCGGTCTGTGGTCAATGGGGGCCAACAGATTTTCGCACGGTCTATGCCGACTGAGGAGGCGGATCCGAAGGCCGTTGACGCTGAATACATGAAGCTTGAACACCTCGACAGCAGTGACTTGGAGGCCCCCGGATATGAGCAGGATCACGAGGAATATCGTCTGAACACCCTGAAGCGTGCAAGGGAGGTCGACGAGGCCGAGGAGCACAAGCGCAAGGTGAGGATACCACAAAGAACTGACAATGGTTTTGGCTAATTTTTTCTTTTTTTTTTTTTCTTTTGCAGCGCCGCCGAGACGTTCAGACTAAGAGATACTGTGACATCTTTGCGTCCCACGCCGCGACAGCCAAGGCCCACTACAATGCTCAACACGAAAATGAGGCATGGCAGGAGGTACAGGCTCAGGAAATCGCGGAAGAAAAGGAACGCAAGAAGGACATGCAGCGCAAGCGTCGGCGTGAAAAGACTCTGCAGGTCGAGTTTCAAAAACGCGACGAGGCGTTGGCTAAGGCGGAGATCACGGCCGACGAGGAAGAACGAAGGAGGCTCATCCACGAGGCGGAGAAGGCAGAACTCAAGGCCAAGAACACCAACCGACTCCTACAGGGAGGCACACCCAGTGCGGATATTCGGGAGGTCACCCCACATGCGCCTAATTTCGAAGGCGGCACGATGAGCACGTTCCAAATGACGGAGGATGCAGCCCGCGATGCGCCAAAGAGGAGAGGCAGGCAAGGAGCCAGGCCGCGCAAGAGCAAGGAGCAGAAGCAGGCCGAGAAGGATGCCGCGGCCGCAGCCCAACTTGCTCTGGACCGTGGAGACGAACTTCCGCTCATTGCTCCGCGTGAAGAAGCCCGACTCGAGGCGCTCAAGAGGGAGCGTAGCTTTACTGAAGAATCCAGTCCTCCGGCCCAGATGATGCCAGTGGGAGCCTATGAGTCGAAAGAATACAACAAGCTGTACGACGCTATTTGGAAAGACCTGGCCAGGAAGGATATTCCGAAGGTCTGCCGTATCAAGGACAACTCTCTCGCGACGAAGCAATCCAACCTCCGAAAGACTGCTCAGTTGGCTTCGAAGGAAGCTCGCCGTTGGCAGCTTAGGACCAACAAGAGCATGAAGGATGTACAGGCCCGTGCAAAGAGGAGCATGCGTGAGATGTTGTCGTTCTGGAAGAGGAACGAGCGTGATGAGCGCGATCAGAGGAAGTTGGCCGAGAAGCAAGAGTTGGAGAATGCCAAGAAGGCCGAAGCGGAGCGTGAAGCCAACAGGCAGAAGCGAAAGCTCAATTTCTTGATTTCTCAGACCGAACTCTACTCGCATTTCATTGGCAAGAAGGTCAAGACCGACGAAGTCGAACGCTCCACGGACGATGTTGCAGTGTCGAAACAAACGCTCAAGCCCGCCGAGGATGGCGCTCACGCGATAGACCTACCCGAGAGCAATGCCAAACTTGGCACGAAAGTCACGAATTTCGAAGACCTGGATTTCGATGCCGAGGACGAGACTGTGCTGCAGCAGGCGGCTATGGCCAACGCGCAAAACGCCGTCAAGGAAGCTCAGGACCGTGCCCGCGCCTTCAACGAAGGCCAATCTGCACAGAGCCAGTTTGATGATTACGAAGAGATGAACTTCCAGAACCCGACCAGTTTACAGAGTATGGATGTGCCGCAACCGAAGCTTTTGTCTTGCCAGTTGAAGGAATACCAGCTCAAGGGTCTCAACTGGCTTGTCAATTTGTACGAACAAGGCATCAACGGTATCTTGGCAGACGAAATGGGTCTCGGTAAGACTGTACAGTCCATTTCCGTCATGGCCTACTTGGCTGAGACCCATAACATCTGGGGCCCCTTCTTGGTCATCGCGCCTGCGTCAACCCTGCACAACTGGCAGCAGGAAATCACCAAATTCGTGCCGGATCTCAAGGTCCTGCCTTACTGGGGTAACGCCAAGGATCGCAAAGTCCTGCGTAAATTCTGGGACAGGAAACACATCACGTACAGGAAGGAATCGCCTTTCCACGTGCTTGTTACCTCTTACCAGCTGGTCGTTCAGGATGCCCAGTACTTCCAGAAGATCCGGTGGCAATACATGATCCTCGATGAGGCTCAAGCTATCAAGTCCTCCCAGAGTTCGAGATGGAAGAGTCTGTTGGGCTTCCACTGCCGTAACCGTTTGCTTCTGACTGGTACTCCCATCCAGAATAACATGCAGGAGTTGTGGGCCTTGCTGCATTTCATCATGCCAAGTTTGTTCGATTCGCACGACGAGTTCAGCGACTGGTTCTCGAAGGATATCGAAAGCCACGCTCAAAGCAACACGAAACTCAACGAAGACCAGCTCAAGCGTTTGCATATGATACTTAAGCCATTTATGCTTCGACGTATCAAGAAGCATGTGCAAAAAGAGCTTGGAGACAAAATCGAGAAGGACGTCTTCTGCGACCTCACCTACCGCCAGCGCGCATACTACACTAACCTGCGCAATAAGATCAGCATCATGGATCTCATTGAGAAGGCTGCGGTTGGCGATGATCAGGATACGGCCACGCTGATGAACCTTGTAATGCAGTTCAGGAAGGTCTGTAACCACCCGGATCTCTTTGAGCGGGCAGAAACGCATTCGCCTGTGGCTTTCTCTCACTTCGCCGAAACCGCCTCGTTTATGCGCGAAGGTCAAAGTGTCGACGTAGCTTACTCTGTCCGCAACCTCATCGAATACCAAGTGCCGCGGTTGATCGGTCGTGGAGATGGACGTCTTGACGTTGCTGGCCCTGACAACGCGCACGCAGGCTGGAGAGGTAAATACCTCTCTCACTTGATGAACGTTTGGAGCCCAGACAACGTCCTTGAGAGCTCACGCGACGATGGGGCGTTCTCTTTCCTTAGATTTGTAGATGCTTCGGCTGGTGAGGTCGCATCTGCGGCTTGGGGGGACGTCTTCCAGCGTGCTGTTGAGATCTCCCGGAAACCGCGCCGCCTCGGAAGATTTAAAATTTGCTACGATGAGGATGATGCGTCGGCGTATAAGCCCACTCATGCGCTGTTCAACATCGTCGAGCAGAACGATCGTCGGCCACTTGCCGAGATCACGCCCGAGGGATGCATGGCCAACCTGCTGAACGTCTCGAAGAATGCTTTTGAGAACCTTGGGCTGGGATCGATCGAGGCTTCTGCCAAGCCTGCCGTGTCGGCGCCGCCAATCGAGCTGCACTACTCTGGTCAAGGCACGCTCTTGGAGCGCGAGAGGTATATGTTCAACGGACGGATGCGGACTGCTCTATATGACATTTCCGAGAACACCGAGCAGGCCCTGCTGGACCAAAAGGTGGACCCTGCCGATTTCCCATCCACCAACATGCTTCCTCCGCCGGCAATGTCGAAGTCGCGGTACACGCACATTACGGTACCGTCGATGCAGCGCTTCGTCACCGACTCGGGCAAGCTCGCGATGCTGGACCGTCTGCTCAAGAGGCTAAAGGAGGAAGGCCACCGTGTCTTACTGTACTTCCAGATGACGCGCATGATCGACCTGATGGAGGAGTACTTGACGTATCGCAACTACAAGTACTGCCGGCTCGACGGCTCCACCAAACTCGAAGACCGTCGCGACACGGTCGCCGATTTCCAAACGCGGCCGGAGATTTTCGTCTTCCTGCTGTCTACGCGCGCCGGTGGTCTCGGTATCAACCTGACCAGCGCCGACACGGTCATCTTCTACGACTCGGACTGGAACCCGACCATCGACTCGCAGGCCATGGATCGCGCGCATCGTCTGGGCCAGACTCGGCAAGTGACGGTGTACCGGCTGATTACACGCGGCACGATCGAGGAGCGGATCCGCAAGCGCGCGCTGCAGAAGGAGGAGGTGCAGCGCGTCGTCATCAGCGGCGGCGCGGGCGCCCAGGTCGACTTCAACACGCGCAGCCGCGAGAACCGCACCAAGGACATTGCCATGTGGCTGGCGGATGACGATCAGGCCAAGATGATTGAGGAGAAGGAAGCGGAGATGGCGGCGGCCGAGGCGGCGGCCAGCGCGCAGGCCGGCGGCAAGCGGAAGAGGGCTGCGGCGGCGAAGAAGGCCCGCGAGGTCAATATGGATGACATGTACCATGAAGGTGAGTGAGCGAGCGTGCGGTCTTCTTAACCCTACCTACACTCTTATTGTGTTTTTAGAGAAAAGGATGGTGGTGGCTGACATGATGGCCGTACAGGCGAAGGACACTTTGACGATGGCAGCGCGAAGCCGTCCGGGGCGGCGACGCCCGTGTCGGAGGCGCCGGCTAAGGGGAAGCGGAAGGGGGTTAGCAAGAAGGCGAAGACGCTGAAGCAGCGCTTGGCGATTGCGGATGGCAGTGGGGATGTGCATGGGTGATTTTCAGTCTTTTTCATTTTTCTATAGGTTTATTTTTCGCTGCTGCTTCTTCTTTTCTCTTTGTGGTGTTTGTCGCTGTTGTTGTGGTTGTTTTGAGCGGGGTGGGGTGGGGATGGGGATGGGGATGAGAAAGGGAATGGGTGAGAGAGTGAGATGGGGGGTTAAAATGGAGTTATGTGGTGGTGGTGGTAGTAGTGGTGAGAAGGCAGGGAACGAGTGCGTTTGAATGCATGCATGCACGCATGATGGCTGGATACCTTGGGGTAGGGCGGGGTAGGTGGAAGGGTTGGATGAATGGGTGGCGGATTAGGAAAGGAAGGAAAGATGAAGACGCGTGCGCTCGGCTTCGGCTGCATGCATGCATGTATATGCGAGATGCGCTGCGATGCACTGGGATGCGTGATGGATGTACGGCATGGCATAGCTTGCTTGCGTGCTTGGTTGCTTGGACAGAGGGACAGAGGGACAGATGGATGGATGGACGGGTCGGGAGGTTAATAGACGATGGATAGGTGGCTGGCTGGCTGGCGTAGTGTATGTGTGTGTGTGTGTGTAATCGTATGGTCTCTTGCTTTTGGTGGTTCTCTCTCTCTATCTCTCTATCTCTCGTTCTCAAGAGCAAGCGCTTTCTTTTCCTTTTCTTTCGTCCCGACACCGTTATCGTCATCGTCATCCCCTTTGCGTCCGTAGGTACCTAACTCGTTCGTCTGCCCTGTTAATTGTCAGGGCAAAGCAAGACAACCCCCATACGCACCTGCTCGGCTCGGCTGGGAGGGAGGGCGTCGCTACGTACGTAGTATATCCACCTATCAGTCTATACATTCATACGCCCGCTCAGTACCGTTCTTCGCTCTTCAAGCTGTGTGGTGCGGATTAGTGTACACGAGGTTTTTAGTAGCTTCTTTCTAGCTACTACTACTATGATTGGCTGCCTTGCGTACTTGCTGGGTTATATGATATGGGCATGTATATGTGTGGTGTAGGAGAAGGGTGGTCCCGAAAAAGTAGCGGACGGGTCGGCTCGGCTCGCAGGCTGTGGCACTGTGGCTGGCTGGCTGGTGCGTGCCTCTCCCAACAACCAGACCAGACCAGCCACGCCGGCTCGCCCGCGCGCAGGCATCAAGCAAAGCAGCTACAATAGCCTCCTCGCCGTCTCAGCCCACCATACCATACGCATTGTATCCTTCGCGCGCTCGCGAGCAGCACCAGCTAACCACCCACCAACCACACTCCGCACTGACACACGCCGTGTCTCAGCAGCAGCAGCACCAAACCCTCGCCCGCGCATTAGGGTTTGAGGTCCGCCGCACCTGGCGCCGCACCTGGCGCCAAGCTTCGTGGGGCTCTGCGGCCAAGCTCGAGGCGCCGTGGTGCATGGAAGCTTGGCGGTGCGGCTGCGACGCTTGGGCGTGTGCGGGTTTTGTGGTCTTTTGGGGGTGGTTTGAGGAGGGTTGGATGTCTCTTTTTTTTTTGAGGCGAGGATAGGTGTGTGGGAGGGAGGGCGGAGGTATAAAGGGGTGGTGAGCTGTGTGCTGTGGTTGTTGTTCACCATCATCATCAGCATCAACGAGAACAGCTACCTACTGTTCTATATTCCGGGTTTTTTCTTTCCGCTTTCCTCTTCTTCTCCTTCTTCTGCAGTTCCGTCTTCGTCTTCTGCCCGTTTGCTGCATTTTAACAAACCACTCCGCGAGGCGATCGATCAACCTCTGCTGTTCCTTTCCTCTTCTGGTTTCTTACCTATCCAACCACAACCGCAACCGCAACCATGCTCCTCAGCCACATCGTGTTCTTCGCCTCCGCCGCGCTCGCGACGCCGCTCCTCCCGCGCGGCGAGCAAGTCGTCTCCGGCGACGAAGTCACCGACACCAAGTGCCTCGACACGAGCGCGTACGTGCAACCCCAACCCCCCACCTCCCCCAAGCCCCGCACACCCAAACCCAACTCCCTCAAACCACGCAACTAACACCCCCTCCCCCCTTCAGCTCCCTCGACACGCACGAAACCAACGTCGCCCTCCTCAACATCTGCGGCGGCATAGCCGGCAGCATCCAAAAGTGCGGGGGCCGGCCGAGCGCCACGACCGGCGAGGAAGGGCGCAGCCGCTTCGACCTGCAGGCCACGGAGGCGGACGCCGGCGCGCAGATCAACATCTCCAAGGGCCGCTGGGAGCGCTGCGTCAAGGCGGCGAGGTTGACGTGCCCGACTGGCACGTTTATGAGCACGTGCGTGGGCGGCGCGACGAGTGGTGATGTGCAATTTATGCTTAGTGAGGCGTGAGGGATGGAATGAATAGAGGTTTGGCAGGCGTGGCGCTGGTCGTTGCGTTGGGCTGCGTGCGGCGGGTCCGTGGGCGCTTTGCTGGCTGTGTGTACGATAGGTAATGCGCTGTGGGGGTGTTGGCCGGTATAAAATCTTTGCGGAAGCACTGTGCAGCAGTAATTCATGTGCGGAGACCTGTTTTTGAGCCTGTGTTTGGCTTGTCTACCTACCTATAAGTGATCCTTATGTCCTTTCGTAGCTGCGAGATACGATGTTTACTTGGCCTTGGATAGTTTTGCTCATTCCTTGACTGCATATCGAGTATAGTATACTGTATCCACCAAATACTCCTTAGGTAGTGGCGATGAGGTATACTACTGTATTCGGTAGTCCCTCAATATCTACAAGAAAGCTAAACCTCCAGGGCTTAACAGTATGTATAGAGATATACGTATCACGAGGGCATTCTACAAAGGCATGACCTTGAAGCTACCTATACATGCATGGATACAGGACTCAAACAATCCAGTCATGTTAGCATGTGTGAACATGACAAAGAAAATAAAACAAAAAAACAAAACGACGCAAAAAGGAATCGAATCGAACCCGCCTTCTCAGGTGGGCTCCCTAGTCCAAACTCTAACTCACTTGTGTTCGGGACAGTATTGTTTACCGTTTAACCCCTAGACCAGAGCGCGCATTACTTGAGTTCAGGTAACTGAGCTTGACGTGCTCGATCCCCCATATTATATATTGCGTATTTAGTGCTGCGCTTTAACAGGGTTTGTTAAGTGGAACTTTTTCATTCGCGGCAACGTGCGAACGGGAATTTGTTAACACGCTTAAAAGAAGTCTTCCATCTACCTGCTGCTACGTTTACACCACGCCCCCCAAGCTCATTCCAGATCAAGCACACAGCGCCTATCCGGATCCTTCAACACATCTTTAAAGCCCACTGGCTTCTCAACCCCCAGCTTCAGCAAAACTTCCACCACATCCTCAAGCCCACACCTCCGCGCCTCCACAATCATAGTCTCATGCCAGGCATACCTCCCCCTGATATCGCACCCCCCACTGCGCCAGCAACCTCACCATGGAAACATGTCCGCCAACACAAGCCACGAAAACGGCTTCGCGGCCCAACTCCCCCTCGGCGTCAGCCACTCCCCCACCTCCCCTCTGAACATCATACCCCCGCTCCAACAGCGCCCTCGCCGCATCCACCTGCCCCCGCTCCGCCGCCATCCGCAGCGGACTCTCCGCGCAGTACATGTCGGCGCCCGCGTCCAGCAGGGCGTGAACGACGCCCACGTGCCCCCGGCTCGCAGCCAGCTGCAGCGCCGTCGACCGCGCGTATTTCTTGAAGTGGTGGTTCGGGTCCGCGCCGCGCTTTAGCAGGAGCTTGACGATGGCCAGGTGGCCCAGCTGCGCGGCGACGGCCACCGGCTTCAGGATGCGCGTGTGCGTGAAATCCGTCGTGTGCGGGTTCGCGCCGCGGTCGAGCAGGAACCGCGCCATGTTTTCTTTCCCGTTGCGGCAGGCGCCCACCTACGCATTGTTTACCTGGTGCGGCATCAAGAACTCCGCCGCGGCTAGGTGCCCTCCTTCAGCAATCTCCCAGAGCGTCCATTCGACTCCGTCGATATCCAAGCTGAATTTGCTCTGGGTTTGGCGTATGCCGGTAGTGCTACAGGGCCGGCCAGCCGAGCAAGCTTCGACGAGCGGAATTGATGCCGAGGCTGCGGGTCGCGGGTTATAGCGGGAGGACGGCAGGTATGCCCTTTGTATACGCCGGGTGTGGCTGCAGCGGAGCGGCTTGGCACCGAGGGCGAAGAGGTGCTGCATCATGTTGGCGTGGCCTTGTTGCGTAGCGGCCCAAAGGGGAGACGCGAGGAGCATGCTTTCGGCGTCGATGTCGAAGCCGGGGCCCGCTTGCGCGATGAAGTGTTCGACGAGTGAGATGCTACCGAGCCAGGCTGCAGCGGAGACACACGCCCGCGCCATGTCTGCTTCCGAAGGGTACGGCTTCTCGGGCTTGATGATCTCGGCAATGAGCTCGCTCGAGTAGATATCCCAGGCTGAGATGTGTGTGCATATAGACTCGAGGCATTGTTGCTCTCCCTCTTCTTTTTCTTCTTCTCTTTCCCGTTCTTGAAGTTGACATTGTCGTGCAGCCATAATCCTCCGCACCACTTCACGGATAACACAAAAAACTGCCGAGCGCTGTTCACGCTCCCTTGTCCGTTTACACAGCAAGGGCACAGGCCACTTAACAGGGATGAGACATACGCCTCGTATTGTGATGGGGTTGCCTGCCCGGTAGAAGCGCTCAATAGACGCGGTCATGAAGATGGCAGCAGTGAGTCCGACATCGAATGTTTCTGCGGTATTCGTATTAGTTTCCAATGGTGTTGCTGGTGGACTCATGTGCGTCTGTATGGCGCTTACTGCAGACGAGACGCGCACGCAAGGTGCGTCGCAGTTTGAGCGTGTGGGCTGTTTGCTCCATGATTGCGGCAAAGACCTCTGGTGGGAGGTCGAACATGTGCATCTTGGCGAGGTGACTTAAGTGCTTTCGTGAAACAGGCTGAAGAGTAGGTGGATATCCGTGGCATGTTATTCTTGAAAAATGTGATTAGATCTTCGTAGTGTGGCTGTGTAGGTGATCCGGGTGGATTTAGCCTCATTGATGTCACTGCCACGCGACATGGAATCTTTGAGCAATGCCACAATGAAGAATAGTATTACCATATGGGTGTGAAGGGACACGAGAGTACAGGCCTCTAAATGGCTCCATTCTGTTCGCAGGAATGGATTGGTCGTTTTTGTCTGTAGCTCTGCGGCCCTTACACACAAGTTTCAATGTGGATGAGGAAGCAGATTCCGGACCCCATCTGACTGAGTCGTGTTTGCGGTTGCTGTCCCTTTGGCGGGAGATCAGGGATGTGATGTACGAGAGGTACGCCTAAGCATGGCCTCTAGTTTGTCGAGCCATTTGATATATCCCATTCAGGTGCCAGATCGAATCCGTAACGCCATTTCGATGCAATCCCTTACCGCAACGCCGTATTTGTATGACCGTTCAATCCCCTTTCAGCAAATGATGCCATCGTTCTCGACCTCCACTTGCGGGACGCCCATGCCATCCTTGGTCTTTCTCCTCTTCTCATTCCTCTTGCGCCTCTTCTCCTCACGTTCCCTATCCTCTTTCTCCTTGGCTACCTCCAGCCTCTGTCCCAAATCGACAACCTCATCCCTCTTCTCCTCGTCCCTCTTCCTCTTCAACCACGCCAAACGATCCCGCACCTCCTCGACCGTGGCCCGCCTCACCTCGCCCGTCTGGCCCGTATTCACAAGATGCTGTTTACTGTTCAAGTGCTCGACGTACTGCAGGTTGTCCTTGAACGTGAGGTCGCAGTTCTCGCAGTAGAAGCCCGCGCCGCGGCCGCGCTTGCCCACCGCTGACCCCGCTGGCACCAGCTGCGTCTTGCCCACCATGCTGCCCACGTCGAGCCGCGACTTGCGCGCCTCCGTCTCTCGCGCGTCCGGTGGCGTCGATGCTCGCCGCACGTACTTCTTACCCGCGAGCGCGGCTTCGTATCGTGCTTTGCCTTCCTCTTTGGTCTTCGCATCGTGGTCGGCTGCGCGCTGCGCGTATTCGGCGCGGTCCCAGGTTTTGCGGAAGCTGGTGTCGCTGGAGGCCGCGCCGTAGGCGCCGCCATCCTTTTTGCTGGACATGGCGAGCTTGTCGGAGCAGATGAGATTCGGGGAGTAGAGAAGGAACGGTGGCGTCGGTTGGTGGGATTGGGTAAATGTTGTAGGAGGTTGTGAGAGGTTGTGACGTTGATGGAAAGGAAAGTCGTTGCGCGCCAAAAGCTCGGACACACGCGCGACTGCGCGAAACCGCGTGCAGCTGAGAGAAGGGAAAGCGCCGACGGTCGTTCACTTTGCAAATTTCACGCCAAAAAGCAATAGTAGATGGCAAGATATGTACTATCCATCCTTCTATACATCCCCCTCAAATAAAATCAAACGTATCCCCACTCTTATCCCTCACCATAGCACCCACCCGCTTCGACCCAACAACCCGCTCCAGCGCCAACCCATCCCACTTACTAAACATAGCTCTCACACCCGCTTCACTGGGATCCAGCCTCCCCTCCGCAATGCTCGCACCCAGAAACTCACCCACAACCTCTTTATAGAATTCTGGGTTCTCAGGCAAGCCGTACAGGACCACGCGCCTGACGCCGCGGATCAAGTACCGGCGGAAATGGTGTGCGCGGCCCGTGTAGAGCAGGACGCTATGCCGGCCGGTCAGGAAATGCGAGCGCGCGCGTCGCACCTCCGCCTGCTCTGTGTACTCGGATACTGCGCCGAAGCTGAGGTTGGCTGTGTCGTTGCTGTTGGCGAAGTAGTTGCGCACGCGGACGAAGTCGAGGTAGCTAGGGATGAAGACGAGGACGCCAGGGCCACCTTCCGCGGGCTTAGGGAGGCGCTTGAGCCCTGGCAAGACGGCGCTGGTGAAGTACTTGAAGCGGGAGTCGGGGTCTGCGGCCGGGCTGGCGGAGTCGAAGCGGCTGAACGTCTGCTTCACGCTGATGCCGAGGTCGAGCATCGCGCCGTCGTACTCCGGGCTAATTTTGGCTTTGCCCGCTACGTTGCGCATGTGCTTGTTGAAGAGGGCGTTGAACTCGGGCGCGAGGTATGCCGACAGCACGACTGTCTGGCGCAGGTGCGCGGCTTGGTTATCCAGGTACCAGGTACGTACGCGGCTGAAGTCGCAGCCGTGCGCGTCTTTGGGTTGGAGGTTCAGGTGCGAGAAACAGTATTCGACGTGCTCCCAGTTTTGCATTAGCATGGCGTCAGCCTGGTCCACTACCACGAGCTCGATGGAGGAGAGGAAATCATAGTCCGTCTTCTTCTTTCTGTAAGGTTGTTAGATGCATGTACTATGAGTATACGAGGTTGTTTTACTTACTCTCCGCCTCTCTCGATGGCTCTGCGCAATCCCAAGGGGCTGGCGAAGATAATGTCGGAATTGTAGAACTGCGAAAAGTACTTGACGGTTTTCCTGGTGAATTTCAAACCCATCCTGAACTCGTTGTCGTCGTTGCCATCGAACAGTTCACGGAAGTCTTCCGGCTTGTCATCGCCGAACCGGCCTTCTTCCTGGACAAAGGAGTCCTGGAAACGCTTTTTGTTCTCTTGTTGCTCAGGCTCGCAGAGCTTCATGATCGTATCGATGGTCCTGGAACACGACTGTCGCGTTTCGAGAAGCATCAAAACTTTAGGCCTGGTGAAGCCTTGGTCTCGAAGCTCAGCACCTTCGTCCTGTTCCCGTGCCAATCGAGAGTTGTTCTTGATGACCTTGTCTCGCGTCTTGAAGACGTGGTTCAACGCATGGAGACATGTGAGTTGGCGGAGGCTTTCTGCGTTTTTAACAGTCCTGGAGCCGAACAGAACGTCCTGGTACGCGAACAGAGGTGCAGCCAGCGCCTTTTGCACAGGATTGAACTCGGGCAAAAGACTCTTGGCCGTCGAGGCGAGTTTCTTCTTGAGTTTGAGTTGATCCGGCGATGCGACGGCCTTTTTCAAAGGTTCAGCTGCTCCAGCATTCGAGACAGCACATCTTCCAACGCCCTCGATAAGCGACTTGCGGGTTTCCCAGCGATTTTCCGAGACGGCCTTGAGCTTCTGGGCGAGCTGATTCTCTTCCGGACGAGCAAAATGCGCCTCGAACGGATCAGACATGTCCTCCTCTTCATCGTCATCGGGGCCAATTTCCTCCTCGTCAGCAGCGTCCTCGGGGTCCTCAGCCTCGTCGACCTGCTCATCATCATCCGGCTCGGGCGCCGGTGCAGGTTGGTGGTCAATTTTCCTTTTCTTTTTCTTCGGCTGCTCGTCGTGGTTTTGCTGGAGGGATTGGAGCAGGGCCGAGTAGGGGCGCGATGTCGGGCCCGAGGGAAGTTCGTCTTCGTCATCACTCGAGACTTCCTCTTCCAACTCCGATTGCACCTGGTCGCTCTCGGCGTCAGAGGCCTCCGAGCCGCTTGACGCATCTTCTTCCACTCTGGACTTGGTGAAGGCTTCGCGCTGGCCGAAGCGCGCGCCGCCCCTTCCGCGACCACGGCCGCGGCCTCGTCCTCGAAAACCTGCTCTTCCACGAAACGGCGGCATGGTGTCTGCTGTCGCAACTGGTTTCGCGGCGCGGGTGATATAAAAATTCGTGCCGGGTAGGGGCGCGCCGGTCCCCGTAGCTGGCTATCTAATCTTGATAAGATTTTGTTTTCACGTATTCGTACCCGTATTCGTGGCTTCTCCGCATCTGACAATTGCACGTCTCTCCTTCTACGACACTCACTGACCTTCACCAATGATACACGCTAGTAGTGTTCTGACTACTAGTTATCGCAGTATACTTCACCCGCAGGCATCTTAACCGACACGAAAGGGAAATGTTCATTATGCCTGCCATACTACCACAACTACTACGTACTTCGCTAGCGTGCAATGAAAGCAGTGTGCTAGGCAAAATGAGAGCAGGTCGTGTAAAAAGTAAGTCGAGCATTTGCTGTACTCAAGCAAGTTTTGATCCAATAACAAGTCGTTCTGTTGGAGCATACTGAAGCAAACCGTGAGCAAACCGCATGTAAACAAAGCTGTATGCAACTCATCATCTGCAAGTCGCCGTTTGCTGAACCAAAGCCGTGAGGGCCTTAGATGTTGAGCCAAGTTGTGATAGAGCTGAATGACAAGCCAAACCGTGAATCAAATCGTAAGCATCTCAACCCCAAGCCACTGTGTTGCCTTTGCAGATATCCCTTCACTATCCACGCAGGCCGAACAGCAGGAAGCCCATCACCTTCTTGAAACCCCGTACAATCTTGCCCTTGGGCTTCGCATTCCTGCAAAGCTTCTTCTTCGTCCTCCTGCGATGAGCTTCCTTGGTCCTCTGCTGGACATTCTTAAGCTCCTTCTCAGTCACCCTGATTTCCTGCCGGGCCATTTCGATCCTCTTCTCGGCTTTCTTGATCTCTGCATTGATAACCTTGATCTTGTACTGGGCTTTTCCCATCTTCCGCTCAATCTTCTGATCGATCTTCCGCTCGACCTTCTCATCATGTTGATTGGCCGCCTGTTGCTTCTCATGAAGCTTGTGGATGTTCAAAAGTGTGTCGACAGTCGGCTTGCCGGCGGCGTCCCACCGCTCGTACAAGACTGTGTGTTCGTAGAAGGGCGAGAGAGGGCTGATACCGAGACGGTATACGAACGGTGCCAGCACGCAGAGCAACTTCTTCTTCCTGACAACCTTGTTGGAGAAAATGTACCTGTGTACTATATCAATGTGATTTCGGTATATTGAAAGGGTAATTAGAGGTTTGGGAAATTCCACTTGCCAGAAAGCAATATCGCGGGTAAGGATCTCGGGTGGACTGATAAGGCGTCCGTCTTGGTCTCTCTTGTCAATCCTGTAGGCGATCTCTAAGGTGGGCTGAGGAGACGTCCCAACGACGACAGATTTCTTGACAGAATTGAGGTGGTCGAAGGCGGCGGGAAGGAACTTGAGGAAGCGCTCTATGACCAGCGTTTTATTCTGGCAAAGAATGACTAAGAAGTTGGCATTATCAATGCCTATGGTGAGAGTGAGATGCTCGAGGGTCGGAAGCTTGTTCACCATGTCTTGGTAGTCGTGTTCGAGGCAGTCGTGCAAAAGACCGCAACGATAGTCCGAATGGGCAAACTGGAACTCGGAGCTCGCCTCGCGGGTGATGATAGTCTGGAGCTCAAGCGAACGCATACGATGGGCAACTGGCGTCTTCATAGACCACTTGCCCCAGCAAGGGTCGGCAATGCCTTGGTAATGGTGGAACACTATGGCGTGAGTGTGCTTGCGAAGCGCGTACTCGAACTCGTTGCGGATCTGCGAATTAACCAAGAGGATGTCGACCACATACTTGGGCCGCATGCGACGAGCGATCCCGCCAACTTCATGGTACGGAACCTGGTAGTAATCAGCGCCCCAAGATGATGGAATATCTCCATCGTTGATGAAGTCTTGGATAAGATGGTCGTAGATGAGGTCGCGGATCTCACGGGGGCAGCCCAGGATGTGACGCATGGTGGGAGTTGTTGTCGGTGTTGTTGAACGAAGGACGAAGGACGGTCGGCAAGAGAAAAAGGTGATCATAACAAAAGAAAGTGGTCGGTTATCGTACCCTATGACGTGTACTTACTGTAACGGGTTAGTGTTAGTGAACGGAGGATGTGAAGGGGGGCGACAGTGAAGTGAATTCCACACTCACATTACTTTGCCAAGATATACTGGGCAGTTAACATCAGTAAACACCCTTCGGTGCAGACAATGCGCTCACCTCCAACACCCTCAAAGGACCCAGCACACGCAAGCACAGCGACAAGAACCAATACTCACGCAAGCAGTCTCCATTACGCATACCTACCCACCATCCCTCCGTATTCCAACCCCATCTATTACCCAACAGCCAGCCATGCAGGCGAGAAACTCCGAGATGACCACCACTCCCCCCACTGCCAATGAAGTATAACATAAAGACAAACACAAACACAAAGACGAAGAAGAAGACGAAGAAGGAAAAGAACCTCCCGATCCTCATGCCCCTTATCAAGTCATTAACGTGAAACCAGACATGAAAGCATTGACGACGACGACGACGACGACAACGACAACGACGTTAAAAACCAAACAGCAGACAGTAGACAGAAGAAAGAAATAGAGAAGCGAGTGAAGAAAAAATCCTCGATGTTTGTTTGTCTTGATCTGATATACCCTGCCGTCCGCCCACCAATGCCCCACCATCCATCCAATGCTGCCCCCATCCCTCCAGCCAGCCTAAAAAGACCTATATGTGTGTGTGCTCTGTCGTACCCACAGAGTCGACCGATTGATCAATCAATCCATCAATCGACAAAGCAGTAAGTCGTAGAAGCCGACCGAAGAAGGAAATGATGTTTAAAAAGAAGAGGAGAAGGAGGACAGACAACAGACAAAACAGCAGCAGAAACGCAAGAATAAAAAAGACCAAACTCTGCAGACCCTTCACCCCACATACCACCATCAACGCAGCCTACGCTACCTACGTGCCCTGGTGCTCCCTCCCACTGCGCTCCCCGCCTCCCCTCCTCGGCCGCTTATTCTCTCCGTGCTGCCCGCCATCCACATCGCCGGTCCGTCCCCTTTTTCTGCCATCTCTACTCTCGCGTTGCTCCCTCGGCTCGCGCGGCTCTCTGCCACTGCCGCCGCCACCCTCGCGCCTGTCGCGCCCTCCGCTCCCCCGCATCATCATTCCTCCACCGCCATGCTGCTCGCCGTTCATTTGCCCCTGGGCTCCACCGCCACCGCCACCATACTCGTCCATCATGTTGCTGTTACCACCACGCCGCGAAGACGATCCTCCACCGCCGCCCGGCTGGTTCTGCCCATGCGGCGGCGGCATCGGCATCGAAAAGTCATCACCACCGGCCATCGGATCACGGGGTCCATTACCGCCGCGCCGGCCGCCTTCGCGGTGATGCCCGCCGCTGTTGCTACCATGGCCATGGGGCTCACGCTCGCGGTCATCGCGATTGCTGCGCCGCCCCGACTCCCGCGGCTCGCGTCCCTCGCGATCACCCGGCCCGGAGCGCTTGTCGCGTGACTCCCGTGGTTCACGGGGCTCGCGGGCTTCACGCGGTTCGCGAGGCTCGCGCCCTTCGTCTGTCCTTGGTGGACGCTCACGGCCGCTACCGCCTTCTCTGTTGTCGCGGTCACGGCTGCTAGAGCGATGACGCCGCCTCTCTCCGTCGCCACGTCGCTCCCTGCGGCTGCCGCGCTGTTCGTCAGCCATCAGGTCTGGCCGGTCACCACCGCGCGAAGATGCGTCGAAGTGGCTCGGGATTGGAGTGCCGGGTGCGCTGGCGGCCGGGCTTGCCGTGCTGCTCGGGCCGCCTCTAGCTGCCCTGCCACGGATCGATGCGCCGCGCTCGCCACTGCGCTCGTAAGGTGACGGGCTGCCACCCTGCTGCAACATGTTTTGGATGCCAGCAAAGCGCTTGTCAGGTTCTTGTCTACGGTCTGAGGAGGCTGGCCCAGTCGGAGGGTTGCGACCGGGAGAAGGCGCTGTCGCGCCCCCGCCTGATTGGCGAGAGCCACGTGGGCCCGAAGGCGGAGGGAACGATGACGCAGCTGTAGATGGAGCAGGCATATCGCGCGAGCCAGAGATATGGCTTAAGCGGCTAGGGTGAACAGTGGAAGTGTCAGGACCCTGGTCATTTGCTGAGCTCTGGGGGCCGTAGTCAAAGGACTGAGGTTCGCGGTACTCTCTCCGCTCAGCGTTAGGTCCGGTTGGCGCACCACGATCGCTCAGAGGAGATTGAGGAACAGAGCCTCTCTGGCCAGAGTCGCCGGGACCAGACAGGAAGCCACGACCGCCTTGTCTTGATGCGCCTCTACCACGAGGGCCGGAGGGAACATCGCCCGGGCCGTTCAGGCGACCATATCCCGGGTCTTGCGGACGTGACGGAAGGAAGTCCTGGTTGAGTCGGCCATGGTTAGGGTCTGTTGGTGGGGCCCGAAGCGGGCCAGGCTCAAAGAGTTCGCGACCGCGGCCTCCACTCGGTCCGCTTGCATAGTCATTTCTACCAGGGCGGTCGCTGCGTGGCCCAGTCGGTGGAATAGAGTTGGGGTCATCGCGGCGATCACGTCCCGAGCCACTCGGAGGATAGTTGAGCGGTGGGCGTTCGGGAGGGCCACGCTCATCGCGGTAGTCGCCCCGAGGCGGAAAATCTGACGGACGCTCTTCACGCCTTGGCGAGTGAGGCCTTGAACCTCTGTCCCGGCGGTTATCCCTCTCGGTCCTAAAGTTTTCTGAGTTCGGACGGCGCATGTCGCCCTCGATCAAAGCCGCACGCTCTGGATTGACCGCCAAAGGAGGCCTGCTGCTCCGCTCGGCATGTTGGTATGGTCCGGTAGTGGGTGGTGGCATGGAGTTCTGATAGCGACCTTCTCCAGTTGGAATTTGGTTTGGCGAGTCAAAAGGCCGGCCACGTCCCCTATCAACCAATGGATCGAATGTAGGCTGGCCGCGGGGGCCCTCCCACTGCGGCGGCCGACCACCCTGTCTAGTATCGCGCGGCAGTGGTCTGCCTCTCTCATCAGGATGTTCCCAAGCTTCCCTTCCACCTTGCCATTGAGTTTCGCGACGGTCAATGTCCCGGGATGGTCTCTCCGCGCCAGCTGGGCTCCTACCGCGGTCACGGCGATTAGGAGGTTGATCGCGTCTGTCGTTGAAGTCGTCACGAGGAATATCACCAGGACGATCAAGTCTGCCATATTCCGGAGGTCCGCGATTGTCGTGCCGGGGAGGGCGGTCCATAGTGCGATCAGACATGCGGCCCCTGCCAAGAGGCTCGGGCCTGTTGGGCAAAGCATGCGGAGCACGGCTGCCCATCGACTGGTTGCGATTGGGTTCCGGACGGTGGAAGGTGTTCTGAGGGGCGGGTGTTGGAGGTTTTGAGTCTGGTCCGCCTCTGCTTGGTAGGGAGGTAGGAGCGCCTGGAATAGGCGTCGAAGCCTTTGTTTCGGATGCGCTGGAGGATTTTGTAGCATCTCCAGATCTCGTTTGGTCTTCTTCTCCCGCCGCTACAGAAACCGTCAATCTGTTCCTGTGGGTATCCGAGTCGTCAATCTCACCATCTTCTGCATCCATGCCTCCGGTTGTCGAGATATTGACCGTACTGCCGTGTCGATTAGATTCCGTGCGAAGTTGAGGATGGATATTCGAAGACTTACGCAGTCCCGGAAGGTTGGAATTCGGGTGCTGAGGCGTTGAGCTGTTTTGCTTGACTAGAGACTGGCGTCGGAGTACCGTTTGGTCCCTCGGTCGCCGCTCTACTGCCAGGTTTTGGTTGGGTCGCGTTCGGATCGGCCTGCTTGCGGTTAGGCTTCTTAATAAAACAGACGACGAAATTGTCGCTATCGATGTTGTAGGTGAGACCCACCAGCCGGAAGGCTTGCGGCAATAACCATTGGCTTTCCCTCTTCTTGAGATCACCAATGAGAGAAGTGCCGGCAAGCTTGAGATCCTCTCTCGTTTCAGTCTTTGACAGATTTTGCACACACTCAAGCTGTGCTTTGCCCATCCAGTTGACGACCGGGAAGTTTTGATGCACGAACTTGAGGATGTTAATGGCATTGCGAATGTGCATATATTCCCCACCTGTGAAGCAAGCCTTGAGAGCTCCATTGAGTTGTGCATGCCACTTGTAGAGGAGACGGCGGAAGTCCTCGTAAGTCAAAAACGTTTCAGGCGTGTAGTCACTGTCGGGTTTGAACTTTCTCGCGAAACCAGGGAGGTCCTTCTTCGTGCCGTAGGCCAGCTTCTCATAGACCGAGGATTCGGCGTGCCAACGGCGCAACTCCTTGAGGAGCTCATTGAGGAAGCGGCCGAGGTTCTCCGCTTCCCGAGCAGTGCACATGAAGATAAGAGAAGTAAGCTGCTTCTCCTTCATGATGCGGTCGATGAGATACATGGTACGGAAGCCAGGCGTGCCTTGTGAATGTAGCCAGAGCAGCATCTTGTAAGCGTAATGAGCATCAAGTGGTGACGTGAGAATGCGCGGCAAGAAGCATTCCTGGACAAGAGTGTCGTGGAGGGCTGCCGTGCCGGCTAGAGGGTGCTGGGCAAACCAGTGGTTCTTTTCATCCCTTAAGCGATTACGAACGACCGTGTTTGCTGCAATTTGATGCTGGTACTCCTTCGTGAGAGCCTCTGACAAGTCGTTTAGTTCCTTCTGCTTCGCATCTTTCTTGGCCTTACCTTGCGCGCTGACGTCAGACCGATCATGCATCATGGCCTTACCCTTGTCTGTTAACCTCTTGGATTCTTCGATGTAACATTGTGAAGGTACGTGTAGGTCTTGTAGCGCAAGTTGCCAGAAGGTGGTGTAGAAGGGTAGACTCATGTTAGCCTCAAAGTCAGAAGGCAAAGTTGGCCTGATCTTCTCCATAAGTTCCTTGATGACAGGATGCCAATCCCAGGGAGCAGTGGATGCTGGAGATGGCGTTGAATCTCCTCCAGGTGTAGCATCGGCCCCTGCGCCAGGCTCCTTAGTGGTATCATCTTCTTCCCTGCCAGGAGTATCCTTGTTTTCAGATGACTCGGCCTCAGTGGACTCGACCACAGGCCCATTGGCCTCAGAAGCGCCGTTTGCACTAGCATCGGCCATTTCGACGTCGTCACTTGCTGTCGGTTTATCTTCCTTCGGCTTGTCCTGTTCCGCGGTCTTGGCAGCTGCTTCTTTTGCAGCAGCCTCTTTCACGGCTGCGTCAACCTCAGCAACGGCGTGTGAGATGCTCGGTCGTACAACGGCGAACGCGATTTGAGGTTCAAGTCCGAATTCTGACATAAGAGACGCAACATCCGGGACAGCAGCATCGAAATCCTTGACGGAGAGGTTCGTCCTCAAAACGTCAAGGTACTGGAAGAACACTTCGTGGAGCTTATCAAGATTGGTACCGAGGACCTTGAGTGGTGCGTTCTGAGCGTCTTCAGAGTGGGGATACAGCCGCCTCTCTTGGGCAATTGCAATGAGCAGTTGTGCCGTGAGATTACCCTCGGACAAAGCTTTCATAAGGCGCTTCGACGAAGTTTTTGACTCATGACGCTTGTCTTGAATCTGCTCCAACATCCTTGTCCGAAGATGCTCACCACCAGCCATGGCCAGGGTCTGCCATTCGTTGAAATTCATGTCAGACCTGATGCCTGCCATGGACGTGACAATCTGCTCAAGGACTTCCAAGGCGGTTGAGTTGCCGGTGCGAAGCTGGTGTGCAACATATTGCAGAATTGGCGTGGCGTTCAAGAACGTGTACCGCTTAAAGACGCGACCAGCAAAGAGTGACAGAGCCCGTAACCAAGGGCTAGTGAGCATGCCGTCAGCTTGGGTCATGCCACGGCCACGGCCGCCAAGTGAACTCATCAAAGTCCAGGTCAAGACGTCGTAGCCGAGGTAGGTGAAGTAGCGGGCACACTCCACGACAACCTCCACTAGGTTTTCGTAGGACTCAATCTGATTGAGAGCGACGCTGAAGACGATACCCGGAGATGAGAAGGCGACTTTGGCGAGAGCTCGGGCCATCTGCTTGGTGTTCGTCTTACTGATACGCTTCAAGACATCCTTCGTCTCTGCTCGGGCTTGGTCGAAAGCGGATTTTATGTCGGGGAGGCGCGAAATTTGTCCAGTGTACCACTCGGCGTAGATGATATACCGAGTAGCAGTTGGGAATAGTTTGAGAAGATCGTAAACCTCGTTAACGACGCCGGGGTTGGCCTTGGTCAAACTGAGCGCCGGCACCAGGAGCCTCTTGCAAAGATCGATCCAACGAGCATGGTTCTCTTCCGATTCGTCATCCGTCCAACTCCACTTGCCTATCCGTGCCAATTTTATGAGCAAGGTTGGATCCTGTCCAATTTTGACGCCCGAGTGATTGAGAAGAGTGCTGCACATCAAGAAAACATCATCGACGGTCTGGCACACGGGTACATTGTCGTCCCAGTCTTCCCAGTAGAATTTGTAGTCTGTGTTGTTTTCACCTGCGTCGGACTTGTCCAGTTGAGCCCAGCGAAGAAGTCTCCTAGGAGGCGCTTCCACGAGGTTAACCTCCCTCTTGACTGCACCGGGTTGGTCGGAAACAATCTTTTTCGCGACCCTGATGGATTCACGGTCTGCCAGAGGTTGCAAGCGATCGTAGACCTTACTCAGGCACTGCTTGAGAATCCGATGGAGGTATGTGGGCAAATCCGGTTGTAGATCCATCAGCCAAGGAAATTTGCCCAAAATGTACAAGGATTCGGGAATTGCGCCGATGGTGAGAAGGCTCTTTAGGAGTGCAATCTTTTGGTCTGCGGGCTCCGGAAGCTTCTCCTTCTCTCCTTCTTCCGCCTTAGGGGTGGTGCCCTTCTCCTCGGGCTTCGCAGAAGATGATCGGCTAGCCTCAGCCTCTCGGAGCCGCGACGGCGCTGACATCGGAACGGTATCATCGGCCAGAGCGCCAGCGGCTGCCAGCGCATTGAGTGCACCTCCACCTGGTCGGTTCTTCTTTTCCCGTTCAATTCTTTCTTTTTCCAATTTTTCTTTCACCTCTCCCATGTTTTCGTCCAGCGGATAGAGGTGCGGATATAAATCACGCAAAGAGATAAATCCAATCTTGATAAGTAGGGCGGCAAGTGCGATGAGGTTTTCGGGAAGAGTGTCGTTAACGTCTCGTGCGGAGGAAGCATAGAAACGAAGTTTGAAGCCTAGAAGCTGCGCAGCCACGCGGTTGCCGGGAGGGGGCAACGTCTTGGTTGTAGCCATCCATTCCCGGTTAAATTCTTGTTCTGTCCTCTCAGCGGCCTTCTTGGCCTTGGCAGCATCGGTGATAGCCTCCTGGCTTTCGGCGTCTGGGAGTTTCACGTCGCCCTTGATGATGCGGCGGCCTCCCAGTTCGAAGAAAGCTTCATAGCCGACCTCCCGCACCCGGTCCCAGAATTTCCGGTCTCTGGCTTCGCGTGCGACTGTAAGCCTCTCCTTATCTTCTTCAGACGACATCCACGCGGGGGAATCCGGTAGAGCCCATGGTGGCAGCGAGTCGAGACCAAGGCTTTCCCATTCCAAACCTTCAAATCCCTTTTCCTCCGGCCACCATGAGCTGACACGCAAGAACTTGATGAAAAAACGGTAATGCTTGACGAGCAGATTGGCAAAGACATCCAGGGTAACATCCAGAACACGGCCGACATCAAGGTCAAAGGCACCAATGAGCGCCTTGACCCTCTGAAAAGTATCTTCCGCTAATTCTCCGGTGGGCGGTCCGCTGTTTGTCGTTGTGAAGTATTCGGTCATTAGTTTTGAGTAGCCTTCGGTCTCTTCGCGGAGCAGGTTGTAGTTGGACTGGCGGTAAAGCTGATTTGTCGCATGACGAGTGCCCATCTTGAAGAAGGTGCTGCGGACAAAGCCCAAGTTCGTCAACAGCGGAACTTCCAACTCTTCCCTTATTTGCGCGGCTGGAATCTCGGCGGCGATCATGACGGTGCGTAGAGCAGGATTTGCTCCATCAGCCTCGCTGAGGATAGAGACATTGTCGAGGAACAGAGACGCAGATTCTGAAGCCCCATCTCCGGCCGCAGCCAGGACTTCCTTCACAACCTGGCCGGCATCCGAGACCTCTATCCTACTATCCAGCCCAGCTCTTAGCAACTCTTGGAAAACAATGCTCAAAGCCATAATGTCTCCTGCCTCTTGTGCCTTGGTCGCAAATTCGACGACCGCTTTCCTGCCCGTCGTCCGCCATGCCGCCTTGTTTTCGTCAGTGACATATTGGTAGTGGAACGGTCTCGAGGGCTTCGGCGCGGGCGGTGCCGGCGCGTGTTGAGCGTGAGGGCGCTCCGACTGTGCGGGCGCGGGAGCAGGCGCATTCTGGGCTGAAGGAGGTCTTGTCGCAGCGGGCGACGGCGAGGGTGAGGGTGGGTCTGCGGGCTTGGGTATGTTCGGGCTAGCCCGGGATGCTGATGGCGAGTGCGCGCTGGCAGGACTTGCCATCTGTCCACTGCGACCGCCTCCTCTGCTGTCGCGACGGCCACCTCTACCTCTGCCCGCACCATTGTTGTACTGGGTTTGCTGCGCGAGGTTCAGGTTATGTGGCCGGTGGGGCGAGGGCCTGCTATTGTCATTGGGGTCTTGCTGGTAAGGACGGTCGTTCCTCTTGCGCTTGACTGGAGGCACCATTTTCGCGGTTGTCTGGAGTCAGTAGCCCTAGAGGCCGGTCGTCGTGGTCTTTGCGAATCGCATCCAAGAGCGCCGCGGGGGCGGGTGGGCTGCGACTGGGTTGAGGGCAGACAAAAGCTCCACAGGCGGCAACGGTGGGGCTTGCGCGGGAATGAAGGGCAGACAGAAGAGTCACGAAGAGCCTGGGTTAGCAGACGCAACGGAGGCCAAAAGAAGGGAAATGGACGTCTTCTGCAGCAGAGGGCGGGGATATGGGTGGTTCAGGTCGTTGTTCGTTCACGCATGCGCGCGGCGCTCAGAAAGCTCACGATTTCTTGGCGCGCCCCAAGTGCAAGTCCTGGTGCACGGACGCTCGACCGCGGGCGCGCGCGCGCCAAGTCTGAGGCTCTACCGTATCACTTCACGTCATCTCGAACAAAGGACTTTTTTTTTTTTTTTTCAATGGATGTGTCAATGGTGGGTAGGTATTCTTTCAGCCATGTGTTCCCTGAAATTCCAAACAAACGAGCGACTGGGTCATGACCTTGTCTCTCACTTTTTGTCTCTTAAGCAGCCGCAGCCACGACACCAGCCGTCGCCTTCCTCTCGTGCTCAAGCACCGCTTCCAGCACGCCGACCGCGCCCCCCGCATGCATCTCCTTCACCGCCTCGGTGATTCCGAGCTGCGAGTCGGTCCACAGAGGGGCAACATCCTCCTTGCCCGCCTCGCCGACGCCGACGAAGCCACCCTCGGCCGCCCAGTCGCTGGTGCGCTTGAGGCCCAGCTGAGTCCAGACCGAGTCGAGCGCCTTGATGAGGTGGTCGCGGTACTCGCGCGTGTGGCCGGGAGTGGGCGTGATACGGAGGCGCTCCTGGCCCACAGGCACCGTAGGGTAGTTGATGGGCTGCACGTAAATATCCCACTCTTCAAGCAAAAGGTCGCTGGCCTTCTTGGCCATCGCCGCGTTGCCAACGAGAACAGGAACGATGTGGCTAGGGTTGGGCATAACCGGGATGTTCTTAGCCAAGAGGGCATCCTTGGTCGCACGTGTGTGCAGCTGCTGCAGACGGCGATCGCCCTGGTAGTTCATCTGGTACTCGATCGCGGTCTGAGCGCCAGCCATGGTCGCAGGGGGGAGGGTGGTCGTGAAGATGAAGCCAGGTGCGAGAGAGCGGATCATGTCAACAAACTTGGCGGAGCCGGCAATATAGCCACCAACACAGCCGTAAGACTTGCCCAGAGTGCCCGTAATAATATCAACGCGGTCCATAACGGTGCCTTCAGGCCTGCCTTGAAGGTGCGCCTCATAATCCAGGTGCTCAGCGACACCAGCGCCGTGCGGCCCGTACATGCCGACAGCGTGAACTTCATCCAAAAAGGTAATAGCGCCGTACTTGTCAGCAAGGTCGCAGATCTCCTTGATAGGCCCAACGGAGCCGCACATGCTGTAGACGCTCTCGAATGCAATGATCTTGGGAACATGCGAGGGGATTGAAGCAAGCTTAGCCTCCAAGTCGTTCAAATCGTTGTGCTTGAAAACCATCTTCTTCGCGCCAGAGTGCTTGATACCCACAATCATCGAATTGTGGTTCAGGCTGTCAGACAGGTAAACGCAATCGGGAAGTTTGCTGCCCAAAGTCGCGAGAGTGGTATCGTTCGCAACGTAGCAAGACGTGAAGACCAATGCGGATTCCTTTGCGTGGAGTTTGGCGATCGTTTTCTCCAGACCAACAGCGTGCTGGTTGTGGCCGGAAATATTCCTTGTTCCACCAGCGCCAGCGCCGTACTTGTCCAGCGTCTCGTGCATCCTCTTCAAGACGTGAGGGTTGCGGCCCATTCCGAGGTAGTCATTTGAGCACCAAACCGTCACCTTTTCCTCTTCAGTGTCCTTGTGAGCCCGGGGGAAGTCCGCAGCCAGGCGGTTGATGTTGTTGAAGTAACGGTAGGACTTGTCCTGGTGCTTCTTGTCCAGCTCATTCTGGTAAAAGCCCTCGTAATTGAACTTGACGGTTTCGGGGGCAGCTGGCTTGCCAGAGAGGCGATGCGCAGGGGTAGCGGCTGCTGCAGGCTTAGCGCCCTGAGGGATCGGGACTGCAGAAGTGTCAGTACATAACGTCATATATCGGCGATCGCGCGATCTGTTGCGCGAGGCAAACAGGAAATCCTGACGTACCCCTCTCGCGGTGGACCGAGCCAAGGTCAACAGCCTGCGCCTCCTTGGAGGAAGAGGTGTGCAGCCTGGCTCTGGCGCCGACCTTCGCGTGGTAGGCCCTGGTGCCACCGTAGGCGCCGGCAAGCGCAGCGTTGCCAGCGCGGGAGGACTGGACGGCGAGGGCCTTGCCCATGACGGGGCAGCGGCGAGCAATGGTCTGGAGGTTAGACATGCTGCTGCCGCCGGGCGAGGCACTGTGGGCGGTCGAGGTAGACAGGGACCTCAGTGTGGCGGGCGAGGTCTTGTGCAAGAACGGGCACATGGACCGCGACTGGCGGAGAAGCGCCTCCATTGATTGGAGTTGTGGTGGTGGTGAGAAGTCTGGGTGGAATTGGCCTCGGCGGGAGCAGAGGAATATAGCGAGAGAGGGGGAGAGGAGGGTTGTGATTCAGCGCAAGAGAAGCCAGAGAGGGAGGCGGTTCCTTTTGTCGTACAATTGAGCGGAGCCGAAAAGTGTCAGCAACTGGTTCATCACGCCTGTGATTGGCCGCAACGAGGCCCCGGCGCCGGGCCAGACAGCCATGGTGCCACGGGATGTGCTGATGGAGGGCGGTTTTCGGAGACAGCTCGCTCGCGTAGGGACGTCTGCTTCAATCGGTCTGCGGCATCCCCGGCATCCCCGGCATCGCAAGGCCCCAGTAAGGCTTTCCCCCTTAAACTACATAATCGTTCGATGTAGTTATCGCCACCTCACTCTTTGCGCGAATCTGGGGCGTGGTGCGTGCCGCTTTTCGGCAAGTCAAAAGTGGAAAAATAATTAATGTGCTTCGGCATCCATGCCACAGGCTCACAGCAATTCTTCCCGCGGGAAAAGTCTGCCCCTCGGAAACCCGCCCTCACCATCCAATCACGCACGCCTTCATCAGGGTCTCTAGTCTTTTATTTTTCTTTTGGTTTTACTGAGAACGGTCTCGACTAGCGAATAACTAACTAGCATGCAGTCGTGGCAGTCTCCCGTAAGCACCTTCGGCTATCCGCAAGCAGACTCCCCCGAGTGATCCCTGTGCCGTGCAACGCTCCGACCAATTGTCCCTGAAATGCCTCCTCGAGCCACCATGCAGGCCATGTTAAAAACGCTCACACTACTCTCTAAGCCGCCCATGACCCATTACCAATACCAATCTCCTCACTGGCTGCCCGTGAACCACCCCGAGATGCGCTTTCCTATGCCAGGGCCTTTTCTTGAAGATTGAGGTCCATCGCCTCCGTCGGCGCTCTTCTTTCCCTCGTCCCCACTTTCAACTTCATTGTTGGACGTGTCGTCGTCCGTCAGCTCCACGGGGTTCGCTTGTGATGTACCTACGAGTTGTGGAATAGTCTCGCGAGATGCATTACCTGGCGATCGGGTTGGCTCAGGGCGACCCTGGGCCGGATTTGAGTGCGGAGAAGGAGGGGCTGGTGCCTGTGGGTTTATCGTGTTCGGCAACGTTCTTATCATGCTGGCTGGAGACGGTCCTGCATTGTTGACCCCGGCATCGGGCGATGGCGGCCTGTCCAAATGTACGAGACCTGAGCGGCCGCTGTCGCGCCTATCTGGCGTATTGGCTGGTCGAGGAACGAACGGAGGAACAGGAACAGGCGTTTGTGTCAAAGGCCGGGTGCTATTCGGCTGCACAACAGCCTGGAAAGCAGTGTGACCGGCTACTTGGGGCGGGCGTTGGGCAGGTGCAGTCGAGTGCGGAGCGAATTGCTTTGCCTGCATCGCCCTCAAGTATGCTTGTGGGTTCTCCTTCCGCAACCTTTCCTCTCGGTGTAGTTCCTGAACTTCCCGCTCCTCATTCCAGTCGAGTTCACCCTCTGCGTCTTCTGCCATCAGGATCTCTGTGGTAGTGATGCAACGTATATGAACGTCCTTGCCTTCCTTTTTGCTCTTTTTCAGCACCTTGTCCAGGACATGCACATCCTTGCCCTCGTGTACGCTCAAGTCCTGCTGTTCCACAGGCACAGGGGGGAAAAGATACTCCCTCATCTTCTCCGCCTGTCTTTCGGGATTTCTTGTATCCACAACCCTAGTTGCTAATTGGGTCTTGAAGAGGGCTTTGTTCCAGACTTTCTCTTCGAATGTGCCCCCAGTCATCAAGCGATATACAAAGACTTCCTTTTCCTGGCCCAGTCGATAAGCCCTTCCGATAGCCTGTTCTTCATGCTGTGGATTGAATCCAAAGTCGAAGATGACCACTCGGTTAGCGCCAGGAAGGTTAAATCCTGTACCGCCTGCTCTTGTCGACATCAAAATGATGTCGTACTGCTTGTTGTTGAACTTAGACAGGATACTTGGACGCTTAGTCATTTTCGTCTTGCCGTCCAATCTTACGAAACTTTTGCCCAGGTTTTCCAGAAGTCTCTCAAGGTAATCCAGGGTATCCAAGCGATGGCTGAAAACAAGAACCCCATCACCAACCTTGCTGGCATTATTCAGGATTCGGACAAAGAGCTCTGTCTTGTATGAAAATCCGGGACCTTCGAGGTCATCCACCTTCTCGAACAGGTTCTGCATGTCCTTAACAAGCGCCGACGAGATCCACGCAGCCTTGTCCTCGACTAGGAGTTTGTCTTGTACGATATCCGGATCTTCAATAGGAGCCTCAAATTTTTCGGCTCCTTTCTCTTGTTCGTTGTTTTCGTTTTCCCGTTGCTGCTTCTCTGTTCCTATCTTCCTGTTTGAAATAATCCCAGCAAAGGCAGCGGGGTGGTCGCAGATTAGCGTCAGAACTGACATCCACTCAAAAATCCGCATGTTGTTGACTGTGTCATCTGAACTCTTCCTCGCATGATTCACACAGATCTTGTATGCTTCTTCTTGAAGGCTTGTCAAAGGAACTGTGATGACGAACTCAACCTTTGACTTGAGGTCATTTTTCAGAGCCGTGATGTCCGCGCGATGGACTTTGGGTGTAATATCCATCTTAAGTACCTTCAGCATCTTCAGAGCTTTGCGGTGCTCAAACTTGGTACTTTCCTTGTAGAACCCCTCTTGGATCGGACGCACAAAACGCTCTCTAAACTCTTGAATCGATCCTAGGTAATCGGGGGAAATCCAATCGATTGCGGACCAATATTCCTCGAGGTTGTTTGCCAGAGGGGAGCCAGTCAACGCGATCCTGGTTTTGGTCTTGAATTTTATAACAGTCTGGCGAATCTTTGAGGCTGGGTTTCTGATGGTATGCGCTTCGTCTGCGATAATGATATTGGGACCCTCGAGCAGTTGCTTAGACACCAATCCATATTGTTCTCCAGTGTCCTCACCAAATATTTTGGGTTTTGTCGGCGTCGGCGTGGCGAGGATTCGTAGCATATCATAGCTCATCACTAAGATACCGCCATTGTGGTACCAGTCGGATACCTTTGAAAGCCGGGCTTCCGAACTCACTTCGGCTGCTACAGAGTAAATCGGCCCAACTGCCCCCTTGACTGCCTTTGGCATCCATAGACTGAGTTCATCCACCCAATTAGGGACTAGGGAAGCTGGGCATAAAATTAGAGTCTGGGACTTCCGTAGTGCGTCAGGAACCTGTTTGCGAATTGTTTCATTGGAGGAATGTGCTGCCTGAGCGATGGTGGCAAGGAGTGTAATCCTATAGTCGTGTTAGTTAGACATTCTATCAAGGGAAAACTCAAACTTACGATTGCATGGTCTTGCCTAAACCCATAGTATGAGCAAGAAGGCAACCTTGGGACTCAGTGTGGCCAGCCCGGACTACCTCCCGCCACATGAACCTGACTCCTTCTATCTGGTGCGATTTGATTTTGCCAGCCAAAGAAGAAGGTATGTATATTGCAGTTTCATGTTCCTCCTTGAGCGTGTTCACCATGATATTGACGGAATCGCCATTTTGGGAAGAGGGAACCACAGTACTGGCTCTCATGTCTCTCTCCCTCTCCGCCTGAGCTAGTTGGCGCTTCCGAGCATCTTGACGTTTGTTAATTCCCGAAGCGCTCCTCACGACCGGACGCTTGCGCTTTTTGTATGGTGTTTCGACCTCATCGCCCTCATAAAAATTATCATCTGATACCTCATCCATCGTGTTTACTGTTTGGAGAGATGTTGGAGTAGTAAAGGGCATTTCCTTTGATCGAGTGGGGAGCTTTGACGATGACGTAGAGGGCGACTCGGCCAGCGTTCGAATGGGACTCTCATGCTTTTCCAACACCAACCGTACCCAGTTATAGAACTCTTTGATGTCCTTCTTCTTTTGCTGTGTATTGATTTTCTTTAGCATCCCTGGAAGAAGTGGAAGCAGACCTTGCTCGTCCGACCCAAAGTGCCTGTGGTTGCTAAAGGTCCAACACGCGTACAGTTTGACGAGATTGACAATTGTCGGCCGTTCTCCTGTGGGTGGATCCGGCATTCGACCCTCTTTCTGCTGTAAATATTCCATGGCGTGAAAGATGTGGTCGGGAAATACAGCTTCGGTAAGCTCATTGATGTGGGCTTTTATATTTTTGTACGTTTTCCGCTTGAGTGTGCGAAGTAGCTTCAATATTATCCTCTTACGATCTGACCGTTCCTCAAGTGTCCTGTAATCCCAGTTACCGATGTCGGCATCGCTATCATTTTCCGGTTGGTTGCTAAACCGCAAATTGAGTCCCTGGCTGGATGCGCGGGGTGTTGTAGAATTCAGTTGTAGTCTGAGTCTAGTTGGAGTATTTTTGACAGGAGTGGGAGGGTCTGAGGAGAAAGTAAGGTCGATAACCGACGGAGCGGAAGGCACTTGAGGTGGTGAGCTTGAAGGGAGTGGTGGATCATCTTCAGGCACCGCTGCCGGTAGCTCGTCGATTTCCATTTCGTTGCGCACTTGGGTCAGGTCTCCCAATACACTGTCATGGTCTTGTGCCTCAGGGGAAGGACTCTGCATGGTATCCGCATGATTTGCTGGTTCGCTGGGCTTCCCTTGAGCATTCCGGGTGCCTGGCCCTTCGAATTCATCAACGTCAACAAAATCCGTCAGACCATCTGACTCAACTTCTGAATCGCTGTTGACCAGTTCGCCTGCATTGTCGTCCGCATTGTCATTTACTTTAGCAATCGGCCTCTTTCGAGATCGTACTTGGGTTGCAGACCGAGGTGGTTCGATTTTCTGTTCCCACACAGTAATGCGCCAAAGTTCTTCCTCGACTTGGTTTACGCTCTCCTCCAAGGCACCACAGACGTCTTTCACCTGCGCAGGGCTGTTGTAGACCTCACCAAGAATACCACCCTTAAGCTTAGTAAGGCGGCACTCAATCCTCTCGATCTTGTCTCTTGCGGCTGCAATGAGCAGCCTCCGCTCTCCAGGGCGTCTGCCTTTTCTCCAGATTGTCCGCGCCGTTCGTTCGCGTAATGGCAACTTCTTTTCTCGCCACAACTGGGAATGCTCGCTGATCTTCTGATCAATCGCCTCGATCACTTCCTCTTTGCTCAAGAAACGGGGCTTTGCCTTGTCTGATGCTTCTTCGTCCTCTTCTATCTCAGCAAGTAGAGATGGACTGTATTCATCATCTGAATCTCCAAATAGCGGAAGCTCGGTGCCACCTTGGTATTTCTCAGCAATGTAGTCCCACTCGCGATTGTCATTTTCGTGATCAGGATTTTCCTCATACGGTATACCGCTGGTAAATCTGGAGGCATCTTCCCTTGTAGCTAGGAGGTGGCCATCGTCCATACGTATAATTGTGGCCGAACGAGTGTGATCTTTATTAAGCAGACTCTTCCTATAAGGGTGAATGACTTGAGCGTCCTTGCCATCGCGGACAAGCACCTGACGTTCGGCATTCCACAAATAGTGGTGTACTTGACGATAGACGTATTGCGAAACGCCGGCAGGTGCGACTGTGCTATGGCTGATCTCGTACTCATCGTCGTCTTCAAGGGCCTGTCCAAAACGCAAATTTCCATAGAATATCTCGTCTACAGGAAACTTTATGAGTTCTGGGTTTCTGGTCTTTGTGTTACCTTGACGTGATGTTGAAAGCTGCTGTCCTGGGCCAGCAACCCTTGTTTGGTTTGCTGGTAATGTCTTCAAAGCAGGTTTGTGTTTTAAGGCCGAAGAAGTATCCATGCAGTCTTCTTTCGGAAGGCTTTTGAATACTGCCGAAGAAGTATCACCCACTCTCGCGGTTGGGAAAGGAAGTGTAACCCGACGGCGCTTTTTACCGTTACTATCCACAACCAATGTCTCTCCTGTACGTAGGTGCGGACCCGTCTTTTCGCTGTCATGAACCATCTCAGCATTGGCGGTTGCAACGATTGGGTCATCGTTGTCGGTGTTTTCGAAACGAGGGACGCTAGGCAAATCGCGCGTAGCACCCTGAAAAGGTGTGCTATGTAGCCAAGGAAGAACGCGAGAAGGGGCTGCTACACTCGGTGCCACTGAACTGGCAAGGTGAGTGTTTTGCTGGGTCATAGGCGCCTGCTCTGAATATCTGGTGGATTGAGAGCGAAGATGGTCAATGGCCCATACTACAGCCGCGCGTCTGCCGATAGCTTTGAGCCCAAAGTCTTCTTTGAGGATTTGATCGGTAATGCTCGTTAGCAAGGTCGATCCATTTACTTCTTGCTCGCGCAATGATTGTTCAAAAGATGACGGCTCAGGGAGAGCAGAGTTCGGCCTGCCATTCTCCCACCACTCCGTTGACACGCAGAGAGCTTCAATGACTTGTTCGATGTTCCATTCCCATGGATCTTGCGAGAAAGCCATAATGAGAGGAACGGCGTATCGTCGAAGAGCAAACGGTCATTTGCTTCAAAATGCTGTCGTTAGAGTCGATTGATGTGAATGTTTAGTAAGGCAATTTGAATAAAGTTGGGTAAACTGCTGAGTCTCGCTGGTAATGGATCTGTTTTCACAATGCGGACAAACAAGTCAACCCGTAGAAAGGTGAAGAAGAGCTTCACCGAGCCTAGAATGACCTAAAAGGTTCCGGGACTGGCTAAGCGAGGAGAAATGAAGTGAGAGCAAAGCTGGTTCTGGGCGCCGGTTTGGTCGTCAAGATGCGTTTGCCTGGCGTGCTAGCTCATGGGAACTCGCCAGGCGCGGTGTAGTGGAAGATAGGTGGAGAGTGCTCAGAAGATCTCCGTACGGAGGCAAACGCGACAATCATCGGTCGCGTCGTCGAAAGTTGAGTGCCGGCGCGTGTTCAAGTGATCTGGAGGAGCGCGACCTTGGCGTGTGCTGGGCGGTAGGAGAGCACGAGGGCGTTGTTGCACAGCAGCGCGATATCGATAACGCAATTGCCGCTACAAGGTCAAGCTAAGCTGTTAGCGGACTAGCGCTGGCGCTCCGAAATTGTACCTATGCTTAGCAATCCGCAGACCACCTCCAATGTCCATAAACCGCAACATCTTCTGCCTACTATTCCCTTCCATACGCATCAACTCCCCCCAATCGAAATGACAAAGTCCATATATCCAGCCTATCCGCCTGACCTGTCAGATGAGCAGGCGCAGTTCTTGCTAACGAACCTCAAGGACTGGTCCATAGCACACGGCTTGGCAGTGAGACCAGCGCCGTCATTTGTCTCCCAATCACAGGATCCAACTGGCGTGCTCGCCACGAGTGCACCTGTTACTCTCTTTCCTAGCCCGTTTCCTCGTCACTGCTACGAAGAAGGACTTGCTATACAGAAGGCATATAACGAGCTATATTCCGCCATTGCAAGAGATGAGGAATGGCTGAAGACAGTCGTAGAAGAGTGCGTTCCTTTGCATTCCGTAGTCTCGCATGCGGCCATTCATTATCGCTTTTTTTTTTTTTTATGTTCTCGTCATCTCAACCCCCTTCTCCGCTCTAACCATTGCATTTCTATGTCCCGTATAGACAACACATGCCGTTAGAGGTAGTAATATACTGACATGTTCTCTACAGGCTCGCTGGAGTTGATGACTTTGTCGCCAAGTTGTGGCAGATACATTTGGAAGTAAAGCGGGAGGGATATGTGCAAGTGAGTCAATGGTGAAGCTGGAAGACCGTATGCTCTAACCTTTTCCTAAGGACCTCACTCTTGGTCTCTTCCGTTCCGACTACATGGTTCATGTGGACCCAAAAGAGGCCGATGCGAAGCCTGAGATCAAGCAGGTCGAATTCAACACCATCGCTTCGTCTTTTGGTGGACTGTCTTCAAAGGTCTCTGAAATGCACAAATATCTCCTTTCCATCGACGCCTATCCTCCCCAGGCAACACCTATCATCAAGCAGGACTCTCTCCCACAGAGCAAGTCCGTACCGTCTCTAGCCGCTGGCTTGGCGGCAAGCCACAGGGCTTACGGAAGTTCACGTAGCTCGCACCCTCTCTGTGTTCTGTTCGTGGTCCAGGGTCCTGAGAGAAATGTCTTCGACCAGCGGCACCTTGAGTACTCGCTGCTTGCCGAGAATGGCGTACGGTCATTCCGCGTGCCGTTCCATAAGATTCTTTCTGACACGAAGCTTGACTCGGAACGCAACCTCATCTACAGTCCTCCCCATGCCGTTGGCCAATCCTATGAGGTTACAACCATCTACTACCGCGCTGGCTACACGCCGGATGACTACGCGGGCGAAGAAGAGTGGACAGCACGTCTGCATCTGGAACGCAGCCGCGCCATCAAGTGCCCGAGCATCCTGACTCACCTCGCAGGTTGTAAGAAGGTACAACAGGTACTGGCCACTCCCCACTCGCCGCATCTCGCTCGCTTCGTACCGGACGAAGCAACGGCCAAGCGTCTGCTGAAGACATTTGCGCCCATTTATCCTCTGGACAAGAGCGAAGCAGGCCTCGAGGCACGGAGACTAGCCACTGATGTCGGGTCGGCTAGTCGTTATGTGTTGAAGCCCCAGCGTGAAGGCGGTGGCAACAACATCTACCGTGCCTCGATCCCTCCGTTCTTGGAGAAGCTGGCAGAGACAAACTGGCCTGCTTATATCCTGATGGAGATGATTGAGCCACCGGCGCTGAACAACGTGATCATCCGCAACGGCGAGGTGCAGAAGGGAGGGGTCATTGGGGAGCTTGGCGTGTACGGGGTTTGTCTGTGGCGGAGTGGCGGGCAGATCTTGGAGAACTGGGAGGCTGGGTATTTGCTTAGGACCAAGGGCGACCAAAGCGAGGAGGGCGGGGTTGCGGCGGGGTTCGGCGCAGTGGACAGCTGCTGTTTGATCGATGCGTGATGATGGTCGACCAGCCTCATTAGCTAGCTCCCTCGCTGAAGGATAGAGAGAAGCATAGGTAGAAAAGTCTCCGATTACGTCTTGACGCACGACGCACCAATGAAGCACAAGGTCCCGTGGGATGGGTGCCACTGCGGCGCTCATTGGGCAAATGGACGACGGCACGGGACGAACCAGGCTCAACCACGGCTTGCTCTAGGAGTAATGCCGCAGGTCTGGGTCGATGAGCGAGCAATACTCTGGGCTCGGGTGGGCTGCAGTGATAGGTGCGTATGTATGTAGACTTGCGGTTGTGACGCCCTGACGACTATCGAGAAACCGCTGCAGCAGGCCGGAAGGTTGGACTGTTCACGATAATTGAATCGAGGGGCCGGGGGAGGCACGGGAGGATTGGGGGGCGCGCGGGGGCCCGGGCTGCCTGGCTGCTTATGGTGCGCCAGTTCAGCAGCTGCTTGGCTCCAGCCGCACGCAAGCCTGCCGATCATGGAGGCGGCGTTTCGGCTCGGCCAAGCGTTCGCGCCGCCGCTGAAACAACATCCTGCGAGGTGTCGCCAGCCGCTCACACCGACCTACTACGTAAAGCACGGCAGGGCAGCGAGGATGAGGATGGCTGCTGGATGGCTGGCCACGCTGGCTACCTCTGCTGGCTCTGCTGGCTCTGCTGCTACCGGGTCCCAAAACTCAGCTGGTACAACTCGAGTTGTAGAAAGCAATAGCTGCTCGGACGGTACCGTCGGTACCCCTCCAGGGTCAAGCTGGCGTGATAGGCGAGCAGAACCTGGTCGACCCGCAGTAACAAGTGTTTTTGCTTGCTGCTTTGCTTGCTGCTCTGGTGGTGTTCGCCGGCGCACGTACTCCCTGGCATGCAGCATGCCATGTCTGACTCTGACAGCAGCAACAATCATAGCAGACGCGTGTCTCGAGCGCGAGCCTCCCCCGCTCTCGCGCCCTGCTCGATCTCGTGCCTCCCGGTCAGCTCACGACTCGCAACAAGGCATCGAGCCAAAAGCTCCAATGGCTCGCCGCGGGCCCTAGTCCACCCGTGGCGGCGACCATCTCCAGAGTGCAATTTCCCCGGAGCGTGGATACGCGCCCATGCGCTTCCATATCCAGTATCGGCACGAGGCGAGAGAGCCTTGTTCCGGTCAGGCTCCGTTGCCTCTTTGCAAATCTCCTCGTCACCCTCATGATCTGCCGGCACGCCGCGCCTTGATGTGTTGACATGCAATGGGCCCTGCTTGCCATGCGAGCATAATGAGCTAACTGCGCGCCTCGGGAGCCATCCATTTCACTCTCCCTCTCCCTCGCTCTCTCTCTCTCTCTCGCCACTGCCCGCTTTCACTCGCTTGACTCTCACCCGCTAATCTGTAGCTGCTGTTGTCAACTGCTGATCGCTCCGCGCGTCCCATTGTTCAATCTCACTGTCGCCTCCCGAACATGGGACTGGCGGTACTTGTCGACCTGGACGCGTAATCCTTCTAATTCCCCAAGAGTCGCGACACAATGCGGCTCTCTAATGCTTTCTTTTGTCTATCACTGCTAGCGTTTTCCCTTGCGCTCCCTACCTTGGCGTCGCACAACGGCTTGCGGCGCCGGCAAGATGGTTCTGACGGCCCTTCAACTGCAGCAGAGGCCTCGGGCACTGCCGAAAGCGTAAAGACGAGCATTGCATCTACAGAAGAACCTGCATCGGCGGCGCCGTCGTCGACCGCAGCAGCTACTACTGATGCGGCCGCGGAATCATCCACTGCTTCTTCCACTGCAACGGAAGCGGCTGCGACGACGACAGCTGCTGTTGCAAGTACCACAGCGTCAGGTGGTGCCTTGCCGTCGGCGAGCCCAACCTCAACGAACATTAGTATGTTTGAAGCCGCCGTTTGTGCAACCCCCACTGACGCGTTGAAGTTGTCGTGTATCCCGGCCATGGATTACCCCTCCCGCCCAAACTTACCCCTGCCATGGCCGTAGCGGGCGCCCTGCTCATAGTGACGGGCGTAGTTTACGGCATATCCGGCGCCCGCACCAGATGGTAAGTGAATGCTCATGCACAAAGCGCCCAGCCGCGGCTGACGAACGGTAGGATATTCATACCGGTTTCATCGGGCTACCTCGTGGCCATATCGGTCACGGTGCTCATCGAGTATACGGCGAGCCCGCCAGTCACCGATGCCGTTCAAGGCGCATTTGTCGTCGCTGCTAGCGTCAGCGGGGCCATCTTCGGCGCCATCTCCCTCATTTTCCCAGACATAACAGAAGGCTTTGGCTGTCTTCTCGGTGGCTTCTGCCTTAGCATGTGGTTTATGGTCTTGAAAGAAGGAGGTCTAATCACTGCAACAGCCGGCAAGATCCCATTCATTGTTGTCTTGAGCGCGGTGTGCTACTCACTCTCGTTTTTCAATCGGACGAGATCATACACCCAGATCGGCTGCACTTCTTTTGCCGGTTCGACGGCCCTCGTTATCGGGATTGATTGCTTCACAAGAGCAGGTCTGAAGGAGTTCTGGCTCTATATCTGGGGTAAGTCCTTGACACCAAAGAATAGCCACAGCAGATTGTTAACCGCCAGCAGACCTCAACGACAAGATATTCCCCTTAAAAACCAACACATACCCCGTCACACGCGCCATTCGTGTTGAAATTGCGCTGGTATTCGTGCTTGCCCTGTTTGGAGTGGTGTCGCAAATGAAGCTGTGGAAACTGGTCAAAAGACGGCACGCGGCGCGCAATGCGCGTCGCCTCGAAAAAGAGCAAAATGACCAGCGGGAAGAAGAAGAAAATGGTCGGAGAGTCATGGAAGCCACCGCGCGTGAGCGCATTCAGTGGGAGGCCATGTACGGCGACAAACCGGCGGCGGTTGTCCAAAGCGAATCAACCATCGATTCGGCATCCGAGACCATCAAGAAGGGAGCGGTGAGCGTTCGGGAGGTCGATCGCTCGGATTCTGGCGACAGCCTCGAAATGAGCGATTTCGGCAGGTCCAAAGAAGGCAGCGAGAATGACCTCATGGGCGCGCGCACGAGCGGGTGCACGGCCAAAGCACAGGACGACGATATACAACGGATCGACACGCACGGAAATCAGATCGCAAGATCTGCTCGGCTGTCTTCGGTGCCCAGCTTGAAGCGTAATTCCGCTTCACTTGTTAGGCGGTCAATCGACCGAAAAGATTCCCTCCAGACGAATACGTCGGCGACGAAGCTAGGAATTGGCCGGTCAACCCCTCCCCCTCAACCTCCATCGTCTGGTCCTCCAGTCATCCCGCTTCCTTTCACTGTGTCATCTGAAGATGACTCGGGTTTTGGCTTCTTGGAGCAAAACTCGGAGGCCTCTCTGATGGAAGAGATGCAGGAGGAATCCGACGAGATGCCGGACTCCAAGAGAGTGTCCAATACCACCTCTCTTGCTGCGACACTTGATGTTTTGAACGAGGAGCTCAGTTCCCTGCCGGCTCTCTCAAGGGCGAACACGCCTATGAGCATGCTCAGTGGTCGCGATTTCAAAACCGTCTCTGAGCTCGCTTTGGGCGGCGAAGAAGAGGACGGTGGAGACAATGATGATGCCACCACCCACCGCCAGAAGGCATTTTTGGAATTGACTGCAAGTAACGACCCGAACCTGAACAAGCAGGAGAAGGGCGAGCGCGTATCTCTCCGATTGTCTGGCGCTTCGGGTACCGGTGAAGAGAACAGCTCCAGCCATGGCCGGTCTCGCTCAAAGAAGCTGGCTGCTCAGTCTGACAGTGGGCATTCCGGTGCGAAACCCTTGGCTGAGCACCTTCCTCCGAAGGTTTCCAGATGTCAACGCAAATTCCGCACCAACGAGTGGACTAAGCACATCACTCTAGCTGATAAGCCCGAGATTGAAGACATTCCGGAGCCTTCGTCTCCTGGAGTTGCAATTGAAATGGGTCGCAATCTAGATGAACCAAAGATTACAGCCAAGGAGCCAAAGACTTCCGCTGAAGAGCCAAAGGCTTCCGCTGAGGAGCCAAAGACTTCCGCTGAGGAGCCGAGGACTTCTGCTACGCGGCCACCAGGACCCCGCAAACGCTGGACCATTGACGGGACGCAAATGCCGGGGACAAAAACTTCCCGTCATAGTTTCGTCGAGCAGTCTTCGAGCACCTTGGTAGGAGTATATACACCGGAATCAGAGCCGCTGGGCAATGGCTGGAGAACCTCGAGCGACTCGGTGCCTAAATCACCCCCTGCTAAACCTCAATTCACACGCATGCGTTCGTCGAGTGCGTCGCCACCAACAGGAACGGAGTTACAATCTAACTCTTGGGGCTTCCGGGCCTCGTCGTCTCCGCTCATGACGCCGATCGTCCAGCAGACTGTGGCGGAGCTCCCGGTCGAGGAATCAGAAGCTGCAAGATCACCGCCGCCACCAAGGCCTACGCTTTTGGACCATCGAAAGACACTGATGAAAAACAAGGCATTCACAATGTCTTTTCAGGAGCCGCCGACGGTCGTACCCAGCGACTCCATCTCCAATCGCGGGACGGTGGACAAGGAAGACGAAGACGACATGACGCTGGCGAAGCGACGGACGTTGATCATGAGGAGGCAGTCGATGGAGGCGCAGCAGCGGCGACGACAGAGCGCGGTGGTGGCGCCAATGAAAGTCGACTCGCGGCAGCCGAAGCGCGAGACGGGGACTTATGAGGCGATGCGGCGCGAGACGATGATGGCGAACTGGAGGATGGGGGTGAAGCAGGAGCTTGAGACGATTCGGCGTCGACCGGCGGAAATTGACGAGCAGCGATTAGCGGCGCTGATGGAGAGGCAGACGCGGCAGGCGATGGAGAAGAAGCAGCAGGAAGCGTGGCAGATGGAGAAACAGGCGCGACCAGAATATCGGGCTTGGACGCCAGCATACACGGATTTGCACAGTCAATTGCTGGGGAAGATGCAGGCAAAGGCGAACAAACACGCATAGGAGTAAGGATATATACCCAGAGAGGAGCGGTGGATTTAATGGGAGGTAATAATAATTATGACGACGTAGATGTAAATGATGGTAGGCAGGGGGAGGAGGGAGGCCGGGCTGGCGTTTGCTTTTTTGCACCTTGCAATCTCGACCGGGGCGTGCATTGCATGGCTGCGACACACTCACGACACTCCCCTTTCAATCTCTCTTATTCTTCTTCTCATCGTCGTCGTAGCTACAACAGAAATCAAAGTCGAATCCAACAAATAACAAAAAAAGAAAAAAAAAAAAAAAAGTACACGTCGGTCGTGACTCGCGCGCTAGTTACATACTAGCCCTCCCTTTTCCGTCCGCGCGCCCTCGCTTTCCTCAGTACCACTTTAGTCACGGCAGTTGCTCCCGCCCGCCGTCCGTCGTCGCAACTGCACCACTCACAGCTCTCTCTCGCCCACCACCGTCGCCAGTCCGTCGTACCGCCGCGGTCCACCCCGCCCTCTTCACGACGGCCGCCCAAGCTGATCTCGCCTCGGCCCCGTACGCCCGTTCCCGCTGGAGTCTCACAAACCGCATCTTCAACTTCAACTTTGGCTACTACCACCGCCCCTCGCCGCCCACCGCCGCCGCCCGCACCCCGCAAAGCCGCCTGTGGAACCCCGTCAACAGCTCGCCGCGCGCCCCCGTCCTTGCTCCCAACGTCCCCGTCCACCACCCCCAGCTCGCCGAGGGCCCGCCCGCCCCGACCGAAGCCCGCGACGCCTACCCGCTCCTGACGCTCCCGGAGCAGCGCCAAAGCCGTCTCAGCAACCACAGCGGCGCCCCGGCCTCGTCGCTCGTCGTCGAACGCAGCACCGGCGGCGAGAGCGGCAGAACGAGCATCGGCCTGCCCAGCAACCGCCGCAGCCTGCTGCTGGAAGAGCGTGCTGCTGCTGCTGCCGCTGCTACCGGAGGAGGAGGTGGTGGAGGAGGAAGACGAAGCCTACATTCCCCGTCGCCGCTGCCCGCCGTCGCCATGCCCGACTCTGAGGACTACAACAACACCGGGCCCGACCACCCCGCCAATGTGGTCAATCCGCCCGCCGACCCCGAGGCCGGCGGCCACCGCCTGCAGCACACGACGTCGCGCGCGTCGGTGCCGCTGGAGCCGTACCGCTCGAGGCGGCAGTCGACCGTGGACTCGATGCCGGGGCAGTCGGACGCGGGCGACGCCGATGTCGACGACGACGACGACGAATACACCTGGGGGCCCTCGCACCCGTGCTTCCCGCACGTGAACCCGCACGTGCCGGTCACGTCGCCGCTGTACAGCACGACGCGGGTGATACGGGTGAAGCGCGACTGGATGGTGGCGGGGGACCTGGCGCCGGCATTCCAGAACCTGTACCCGGAGGTGCTGGACCCGCTGGTGACCGAGGACGCGTTCCGCGACATTGTCAAGAAGATCAACCGCGAGCTGGTGGCGGCGTTTAGCCCGTGGACGCTGCGGGCGTGGGCGGATGCCGTCGTGGGCGCGGCGACGCTCTGGATGTGGGAGGACGCGGGCTTTACGGGCGTGAAAGCGCGGTTGCGCGCGCTCGAGGACTGGATTGAGGACTGGAACCGCGAGGTTGGCACGAGGGATGGCGTGCGTATCATTCCGTTGAGGAGGACGGGATATCTCACTGTGAGTGCACATATAGACATGCACACACACACGCACTCCTATCCCTGTCACCCGATATCCAAACTAACACCCTTCCCCTTTCAGCTCGACATACAAATCCCAGACCCGCACATTGGCCTCGAGTCCACGGCATCGATCCGCTCGCGCCCGACATTCCGCACCGGCACCGCCGACGGCAATAGGCCCCGCACCGGGAACACGCATCCGAACAGCAGCAGCGCGCCGCAGCTACCTTTGCCGCAGGCCGAGACGCATGTCTAGAGTACTTACTTACTTACTTAGTATTAGGGAGGGGAGGGGAGGAATGAGAAGGCGATGTAATGAAGTTGGAAGTTGGGGGAGGCGTGGTTATACTTGCTTATGAGCTGTGAGAGGGCGGTAATGGGGTAATGGGGGGATGTGGATGGAGGTGCTGAACTTCTTGCTACTGCTCGCTTGCTGCCACGAGCGCTTGAAGGCAGGAAATGAGGCAGAGAATTGAGGAGTGAGGACTAAGGACTGAGGATTGAAGTTTTGCTTTTCAAAGCGGTTGGCCGGCAGGCACGGCGGTCATGCTCGCGAGATTATTCTATATCATCGCGTGCGTGCATGGCCGTCTCTGTCGTCGTCGTCGTCGTCGTCGTCGTCGTCGCCGCACACATATACGCACACTACACGCGCACACTACGCGCACACACGCACACGCACACCCCCTGGATACCCTTATGTATGTATATATGTCGCGTTCTGTCGTCGAGTTTTTTCTTGTTATTCTTGGCTTTGCTTCTAAACTTTTTTTGCTTTTGTATGGGTTTTTTGTTTGTGGCTTGTGGTTTTCCGATGGATAATGGAACGAACGGATGGCATGGGATTGTATGGATGGGGCTGTATGAGCGGGGTAGAGAGTGAGGATTGGAAGTGTATGTATGGAATAGGATGGATGCTGATGCTATGGTATAGCGTGGCATGGTGTGGTGTGGTGTGGTGTAGCTTATATAGTGTGGGTAAATATACTTATACTTATAACCTACCTATCCTACCCTCTCTCTCTCCTAGTTCCTAGTTTTAACTACTTTTACTTTTACTTTTGCTTTTGCTTTTGCTTTTGCTTTTACTGTCCTATATAACCAACCAGTCAATCAATAAACAATCAATATGCAAGCAATCAACAACCGAATTACCAAACAACTAAGCAGTCCATTGCCTTGCCTCACTATACATAGCCACCCACCCATCCACCCACCCGCTCAAAAAAAAAAAAAAAAAAAAAAAAAAAAAAAAAACCGCCAGCGCCAGGTCTACAATGCCATGTCATGCCTATGCAATAGAACAAGAAGAAGCAAAACAACAAGAAAAGAGAAAAATAAAGCGTGCGCTCGTCCACCCGTCCATTCGTGATGCGTCCCTCCATCCATCCATGCAGTCAGTCAATAATCGTACAAGAACCTCCTCTCCACCCCACTCCACACCCATACTCATATACTCATTCACCTATTCATACAAACACAAACAAACTCACCCCATCGGCGTCCCCACATCCGGCAGCCCGCCCGGCATCCCCCTCCATCCAACACTGCCTCGACCTCCACTACTGCCCTCCCTCCCGCTATCCCTGTGCAGCAGGCCCAGCGGCGGCCGGCCGCCCGTGCGCAGCCGCGTGCCGCCGTTGCCGTTGCCGTTCGCATCGTTCCCGCTGCCATTGCCGTTGTCATTGTCATTGTCATTGCCCCGTCCCGTCTGTCCCTGCCGCTGCTTCTCAGCGCGCTCCGCGCGCTCCGCCCGCTCCTGCGCCTCGCGCACCTTCTGCCCCTCAGCAGCCATGCGGGCCTCCAAGCCGCCCTGCGCGGGCGGTTCCGCAACAGCAACGCGGCGCACGCTGCCCGTCGGTTTCGGGTGGTCAGCGGGGGGTTTAGGTTTCTGCTGTTGGTCGGCGGCGGTGGCAGTGGCGGAGGCGGAGGACTCGGCAGCGCCAGCAGCATCGGCAGCAGCAACGTCGTCCCCGGCGTCGGTGCCGCCGCGCGTGTTCTTCTTCCGCGGCCACAGGCTGGGTAGCACGATTTGCTGGAAGCGCGGCTCGACGCAGCGCTCGTCGAACCAGGTGTGCAGGCGCGACTCGATCAGCTGCGCGATCTTGGGCACGTCTTGCAGGCGGGAACGCGAGCCGAGCAGCGAGCGCACCGACAGGTCGAGGCGGTAGTCGTCGAGGAAGGTGAAGGCGAGGGTGGTGGGCGTGTGGGCGGACGTGTTGGGCGGGTCGTCGATGGCGCTGTTGCTGTTGCTGCTGCTTGTGGGTTGCGCCGACGGGATGAAGGACATGGAGAGGGTGCCGCTGAAGCGCACGACGCTGACGGCCAGGGCGACGGGCAGCACGGCGACTTTCTGGCGCGGCCAGTTCAGGCGCAGCGTCGTTTCGATGCCGAGGGTGAGGACGTCGCTGAGGTCGACGTCCATGCGGGCCTGCAGCCTGCCGTCGGTGTTGTCGTTGTTGTTCGGGGGGCTGCCCAGGCCCAGGCCGCCCGCCTCGACGGGGATGACGCGGCAGTTGCTGAAGATGGGGAACTCGTCGCCCAGCTCGATCTCGGTGACTCTGATGTCGCCCAGCCAGTCCGGGCGCGTGGGCCCGTTGAGCAGGTTGGTCAAGCTGGTGAGGACGGCGTCGTCGTGGCGGGCGTCGGCGCGCAGCTGGGCGATGGTCTGGGCGACGAGGACATTGAACCAGTCCAGGCTCTCGGGCTGGTGGCCCTTGACGTTGTAGTACGTCTTTGCGAGGATCGTGTCGCTGGTGAGGGGCGGCGGCGGGCGCAGGACGGGCGTGGTGCGCGCTGGGGGCAGCAGCGCCGTCGTCGCGTGCTGGTGCGAGAGGGTGCGCTGGCGTCGCAGCCGTGCCCGCGTCGAGTGCCGCACGTCGGCTGGTGGCGGCTCGCCGAAGATGAAGAACTTGATGAAGAAGAAGATGAGCAGCGTGATGGACAGCTGGCCCAGCAGGAAGCCCTGCGTAAAGGACAGTCCCGAGGGCGGTGCCGTCATGGTTGTGGACATGGTGTTGTCTGCTGCTGCCCCGCAACACCAACCACCACCACCGCCGCCATGAACGACGCTGCCGACAGCCCCGCCCTCTCCCCCGCCGCCGCCTCGCGCGTCCCCAAGCTGCGCCTGCCCGCCACCTGCGAGCCGCCGTCGGACACGCACCCCGCCCAACAGGCCGTATGGCTCGTCTTCGGCGCCACGGGACACATGGGACGGTCGCTGGTACGGGCAGCCCTGGGCCACCGAGACCTCGTCGCCGCCGTCGGCTGGACCCACGAGAACAGCGCCGAGCAGATGCGGCACCTGAGCGGCCTGCACGGCGCCAGCTGCCTGGGGCTGCGCTGCGACGTGCGCGCGCGGGAGACGGTGGCCGCCGCCGTCGACGCGACCGTGGCGCGCTGGGGCCGCGTCGACGTCGTCGCCATCTGCACCGGCTACGGCGTCATTGGCGCCGCCGAGCTGCAGGACGAGGCCGAGCTGCGCGCCCAGGTCGAGACAAACTTCTTCGGCACCCTGCACGTGCTGCAGTTGACGCTGCCGCTGCTGCGCCGCCAGCTGCGCGGCCGCTACCTCATCTTCAGCAGCACCGGCGGCGCCCTGGGCGTGCCGGGCCTGGCGCCCTACTGCGCCACCAAGTACGCCGTCGAGGGCCTCATCGAGAGCATGCTGTACGAGATTGACGCCTTCAACATCAAGGCCACGCTGGTCGAGCCGGGCCACGTGCGCCTCGACGAGCCCGACGACCATCTCCAGCCCGACGACGCGGGCGAGGGCCTCCGCCTCAAGCGCTACGGCCACTTCTTCGTCAAGCCCGCCCGCGAGCCCTACGCCGGGCCCAGTGCCCCCGCCGGCCATGCCAGCCGCACCATCCGCTGGCTCAACGACCGCCAGCCCACCAGCGCCGTCAAGAGCGCCGAGCTCGTCTGGCAGCTGGGCCATTGCTCGTACCCGCCGCTGCGCCTGCTGCTCGGCACCTATGCCGTCGAGAGCATTCGTGACCGCTTGAGGAGCATCATCGAGGAGGTGAATGGCCCTTTGGGAGGGAAATATGGGAGACGAAGAAACACGGCGTGGCTAACCTGTTGTGTTGCAGATTGAAGACTGGAAGCACCTGAGCTTCCCGCTAGGGGCCGAGCAGCAAGACGAGCCGCCCGCGTTGCAGCAAGAGGGCGGCGAGTGAGGCAGCGAACCAACTAAAAAGCTATCAAGCCAAGAACCAGCCCACCCAAGCCTCAAGCAACCATGCCAAGCCCGTCCAACTCCAGGAGAGTATCCATACCCTCTGCGTGCCTTGCGTGCCATGCCAGGTCAAGACCAAGGTTAGACCAAGAGCCGTGTGCTTGTGCGCTGTGAGGCGAGCGAGGCGAGTTGGGTGGAGTGAATGAATGGATGAATGGGTGGTGAATGGGAACCGTGAATGCGTTTCTATACGTGCATGCCCGTATACAGTGGGAGAAGACGCATAAACAGAGGTACGCACAGCTGGGCACAGGCGTCCAGAAAGTGCGAGTTGAAAAAGGGCACAGCGGGAGAGGAGGAAGGATCACGAGCCTCAAATCACCAATTCAATCCAAAATACCGCAGTGCGAGCCATTGCTCCTACGAGCGTTCATTTCGTCTTCCAACTACGTAACATTCATACCTATTTTTTCATTCCCGCGCCTCACGACGCAGCTACTCTAGCGCAGAGACACATTGCTATTTAACCAACAGTCTTCTCAATGCACTCGATGCCATACTTCTCCTTGAGCTCCTTGATGAGCGGGTCGTTGATGGCAGGCGTCATGGGCGCAAGAATACCCTTGTCGGCAATCTTGCCGTCGAGCACCAGCTTGACGGCGACGGCGCACGGCACGCCGACCAGGCGGGCCATGGCCGAGTAGCCGCCCGAGCCCTCGGGCTTGCCGTACTCGACGAGCGTCGACGTGCGCGTCTCGGTGGTGCCGTCGGCGTTCTCAATGCCGAACTTGTGCTGCAGCATCACCATGTCGCGCTCGCCCTTCTCGTACTGCATCTTCTTCTCCAGCGTCGCGCACAGCGTGTCGAGCGGGTTGCCGCGCGGTTCCACGGGGTCGCTGCTGAGCATGCCGATCCAGCGCAGGCCGTCGATGATGCGGTTCTTCTCGTCGTTGTTGGCGAACGAGGCCTTGGACGAGACGGCCCAGACGAGGTCCGCGTCAGCGTCCGAGGTGGCGCCAAGGACGCGCTTGGTCACCTCGCGCCAGGCCAGAGGGGTGGAGCCGGGCTTGAGGTACTCGACCTCCTCGTCGGACAGGAAGCCCATGTCGACGAGCGTCTTGATGAACTCGGGGAAGCCCTGGTAGCGGAGGGTACCACGGATGATGGTGTCGGCTTCGGGGATGCTGTAGCGCTCACGGTAGGGAGTGCTGTCACGGTTGGGGTAGGCGACGAAAGCATAGCCGGGGTAGATGTAGTAGGGCTTGGCGGTGGCCATCAGCTCCTTGGACTCAATGTCGACAATCTTGCCGTCCTGGTAGAACTTGGCGGCGTTACGGAGGGCCAGCAGGACACCACGGGAGCTCCAAGAGAACTTGTAGCCCAGAGGGTTGTCAGAGTTCTCGGGGGCGGGCAGACCACCGCAGTAGGAGAGGAAAGACTTGATGCGGCCACCAGCCTTGTGGACCTCGTCAATGGTCTTGACGGCGTACAGGTGGTCGATACCGGGGTCAAGACCAATCTCGTTCATGACGGTGATGCCGGCCTCCTTAGCCTCGGCGTCAAGCTCCATCATAGCAGGAGAGACGTAAGAGGTAGTGACAACATGCTTCTTCTGTAGGGTTGTTAGATCACTGCTGCATGAGTCATACTCATACAGATACTTACGTTGCGGATGGCCGACTTGATGACGGTGGCGTGGTGGGTGTAAGGGATCAGAGAGATGGTCTACAATGGTCAGCACGGGATGGCCGAAATCCGGATACATGGGGGAAAACACACCAAGGCGTGCTTGCCAACCTGGGCGTCAAGAGCGGTGGCATCAGAGACGTCGAGGGAGATGGGGGTGGCGTTCTTGATGCCCTCAGAGAACTTCTTGGCGTTCTCGATGGTACGGCAAGCTGATGTTCACGTTGGCAAATGTTTAACCTAGGAACAGAGTGATGGAACTTACCAACGGTGACCTGATCAAGTTAGCAAATGAACGATGCAATTGTTGTTGATGTTATTGTTTACTCACGTTGAAGCCGGACTCGCTCAAGATCTCGGCGGTGGGACGGGCAACTGTGCCCTATGTCAGCACGGAGCTTTACATCAATGGGACCAGAACTCACCGAAGCCAGAGCCAAGCAGAAGAATTGACTGGCTCGCGCCAGCGGTGGGGAGCATAGCATCCATTTTGATGATGAGTTCCAAAAGTCAAAAAAGTCTGTGGAGAACTGCGGTCAACGAGAGTGCGGGACTTTTAAGCACGGCAGACGATTGACGGCTAGTCTAACGACTGTTGACAATGGGGCGTGGGGTTACTCACTTTGGCAGGTGGAATTGGACAAGAAGTGGTCGTCTGGTCGACTCAGAGATTTGTATGGTGGGGAGCCACAGCTCCGTCATCGCTGGTCCCCCCCCCGCCGCCCACCGCTTTACGGCGGCTGAATGTGGCGCCCACCAAGCTCGGCCCTTCGTTCCTCCGTCGCAGCTATTTTTCTGCAAGCTCGCGCGCGCCAAAGGCCACCTTCCTTCTTGTCCCCTCCAGGCAGCCATAGATCAGCCCGCCTTCAAAGGTGGTCGCGCGGCTCGACTCTGTCAACCTGTCAACCCACACACTACACACTACACACCCATTGATCTGAACTAACCACACCAACAACAACAATGGACGTCTTCTGGTCGTGGCCGCCCGTGACAAGGTACGTACATACATTCACTACACTCGACACTTGAGCCTTGGCTGACTTTCCGCCTTTCCTTAGAACTCTCGTCGCAGGCTCTCTCATCACTTCGGTGCTTGCGTACAGCGGCCTCGTCCCCTACTATCCTCTGCCCTTCATCCCATCCAAGGTGCTGGCCGTTCCGCCGCAGCTATGGAGGCTGGTCACGAGCTTCCTGCTCACCGGCCAGGGGCTTGGTATCATATTTGATCCGTACTTCCTGTACATGTATGGCAGCCAGCTAGAGCTCGGCTCGCCCCGCTTCACAGGCCACGGTGACTTCTTCACCTACATCATCTTCAATGGCCTCGTCATCATTGTAAGTCTGCACGTGCATGCATCACTTCCTGTTCATCATGTTTCTCTGCCTGCTATTGGCAACCCCGGATTATCTGCCCGCCCAGCCTTTTTTAGCTGAAGCGGTTCCTGGAACCGGGGAAGATCGCCCCTGCACTTCGCACGCACCATCATTCGCATAATTCAAAAGGTGCGTGTGCGGTGTAGGCATGGTGGGAAAGTCATTTGAGAAAACCTAGCGAATGTCCGTTTCGCATAGGTGGTTTTGGCTCCCTACATACTTTCCTCTTTCGTGACGACTCGCATTATCATCATCACCACTGCCAAAGTGACGCGTCTGTGGGGGCTGTATACGTTCAGTGACTGACTGACTTTACGCTCAGGCCGTAGCTGGTTACATACTCGGCGGAGCCCTGTTCCTGTCGCCCTTGATCATGGCAATCATGTACACGTTCGCGCAGGACAACCCCGAACGGTCCGTCACCTTCTTCGTCATCAACGTCCCGGCAAAGTACCTCCCATACCTCATGCTGTTGGTCACGTTCGTCATGGCCGGCCCGGCCCCCACCATGCACCAGGGCGCCGGCATCCTCTCCTCGCACCTGTACGACTTCCTCACGCGCATCTGGCCCACGTTCGGCGGCGGCAGGAACGTCATCTTCACACCCCGCTTTGTCAAGGAGTGGTTCGGAGGCGGCGGCGTGCGGCCCGAGGCTCAGAAGAGGGGATACGGCATGGCGCAAGCCCCGGCGGGAGAGGCTCGCTCTACGGGTACCAGCTGGTCGAACCAGCGTGGGCCTGGACGTCGGCTGGGAGGAGAGTAGGCAGAGTAAGGAGAGATGGTGACTTCCTAGGTATCATATACTACTAGCTCCTAATCAAGCATAAGCAAAAAAGTAAAGCCAACCCGCAACGATCCGTCCCGAATGTCAATGCCCTTCAATAGACCGGCCTGCCCTCATCCCAGTGCACCATTTCCTTCATTTCTTCCTTCACCGTGGGCGGAGATCCCATGCTCAACCTGGACCTCTCACCGCTGCCACTGCGCTTGAACGCGCTGGAATCCTCAATGGCTGCGATAGCCCCAATCCACTCCCACACCCTGCTAACATCGCCGCTCCTGTTCTCCCGCACACTCGGTCTAATGTTACTATTGCCCTCCACCTTTTTCTGCACACGCTCCCACAGGCGCTGCCGCCTCTTGGCGCTGAAATCACTGCGAAGAATGTCGTCTCTAAGCTGGCCCATGCTAATATACGGTTCGGGATACGCGCGCGAGTCGAATGCATGCAGAGCCGCCTGGTGCGCCAGTCGGTCTAGCGCGTACGATGCGAGCTGCTTGGCGCGATCTTCCATGGCGCGGCTGCTGGTGATGGAGTGCTTGCCGTAGAGGAAGGTGCCAAACATGGCGAGCAGCACTACAAGTTTCCAAAGATGTCTTGCCAGCGCGAGGCGGACGGATCGTCGGGCCGCGCAGGCGAAGGAGATGCGGGCGAGGGAGTTGCTAGCGAGCGTGTGGTTGCCTGTGCGTCTGTATGGGCGACGGAGAATCTGGTTAGTTGATTCAGTACTTCCATTTGGTTTGTTGAGAAATCAATGAGAATGAGGTCACTTACCCATCAACGCCGCTTGTTATCTCGTCCCTTCCGGTGATTTCGCCAATAGCGTGAACCCAGAGATCATCGAACTCACTCTGAGACATGCCGCGTCGACGCTTAGTAGACATCTCTTCCTTGAGATCCTGTTCGTTGATATCGGCCGTTGTCAAGTGCCTTCCGGTTTCCTCGTCCACCAAGTCACCGCACTCGTACTTGGCATTCCTCTCGCGCAATTCTTCGACTGCGCGATCTGCTACCGCCTTGACCTTGCGTGCCTTTTCACCATCGGGCTCACAAGTCGGCGCCAATGGCGTGATGCCGCCAAGGGAAAGCGGATGTGGCCGAAGGATGAAGTCATCTTCACAAACGGTCTTCAGTTCGGGATAGCAGTAAGCGTGCTGCGGACAGGGCTCGCACTGGGGGACAAACTGTTGGGCGAACTCGGGAATTTCGAGACCATGGACTTCCACAATGGAAGGCCTCCCAACACCGCAGTAGCCGACTTGCAGCTTCTCTTGTCGCCACCAAGTCGCGTAGCCACCGAGTAAGGCTACCAAGATAGCCCATGGCGCAGTCTTAAAAGCACTTGATGACTCCTTTGTCTTTGTCTTCTTCCGCGGCGGTAAGATGTCCACTTGTCCTGATCTGGCACGTTCCCGGACGAGCTCCAGTTGTTCCTCGGGCGTGAATTCTTCACCGATGTCCACTCCATCTTCTTGCTCGAGTTCGAATTCTGGTTCCGGCTCGTACTCGGGCTCCGGCTCGGGCGTAGGATCCTTCTTGCTCCGGCGGCGCGTTACGGGTGCCTCGAAAGTCTTCGACGAAGGCACTACCATGCCCTGCTGTTGCTGCTGTTCTTGGTCGGCGCTGATGTACTCAGCCCTACGCCTGGTCGAGACGCTCTTTCTCTTGTCCTTACTCTCAGCGAGGCCGAGTGTTCTCCTGCGCCGTTCCCGTTCCACAGTATGAGGCTCGACCATCGGTGAGCTTCCACTCTGAAATGGGTTATCTTGAGTGAAAGGGCTTTCCTCATCCAAAGGCTCTTGTTTGATCGAAGGGGTAGCGGAAGGGCGTATCGAAGAAGCTACTGAGGGTGTTGCGGATATCGATTGTCTTGACTTCCTAGGCGGAGGTTCATCCACTTCAGGCTCCGATGCGCGTGCGTGCTTGCTTGACGTGCGCTTGGCTGGCGTTCTTCCAACTCTGGCACTAGCCCTGGGTGTCGCATCCGGGTCCTCCGCGACTGACTGGGATCTGGTTGTTCTCCTAGTGCTGCGGCGCACAGTCTCCGGTGGCGCTACAGAAGTCGCATCGCTCTCAGTATCCCCGGAAGCCACGCTGCTCTCTCTACTTGACATGTCGACAATGCCATGCTCGGAGCGCTTTGTCTTTGAACGCGCATTAAGGACCTTCCTGGCCTGCGGGACGACATGTTCGTTGAAGAGCGCGATAAGCTCTGGCTTCTTCGCTGACGAAGGGTAGCTGACGCTGTGGGCGACAAGAATAGAACGCAACCGGGGTACGGTGATTGAGGCGGGATCGAAGTCTGGAGAGAGATACTCCAGCTCGGAGTCCGGGGTGGCCATCGTTGCTGGGATTGTTGTGGAAAGGTCGTAGTGGAAGTAGGTTAGGTTGTTGCGGGGAGCGGACTACGTCAGGGCAGCTGTGTGATGCCGTAAGCCTGCGTTTGCTTGGAGAAGCTTGGGTGGGTGGGGTCATGCAGTTTGCGCAAACTTTTGGTGGGAGAATTACGCGTGTTGGTTTGCCCTTTAAAAGCAGTGGATGGCAGAGCAACGGAGATGTAAACACGGTCAGAGCTTTCTTGGCCTTTGATGCGCGTCAATCACGTGATGACCTTCCACACAGGGAAATTGGCTCGACCGGGAGCAGATGGTCGTAGGAGTGCCAGCAAAAATCTGGAAGCTGCGAGGCGGCTGAGAAAAAGATAAGATGACTTCCTGTATATAGGCATCCACTGGTAGTCTCCGAATCTTAGACGCGTGAGAGAGTGTCTTTGCGTCTTTGCAGTGTGATGTTGTGTGGAGTGCGTTTGTGTGTGCAGCTTGGTGAGTAAGAGACACGCTCACATCCGCTTGCCATGCAGCAGCTGGCCAAACCATGCAGTCGGAAGGCGATTCAGGCGAGAGACGTATGGAACTATCTATGTATTCCTAGACACCTAAAGCCTCTTTGTGGTGGTTCAGTTCATGGCTGTGGCTGTGGCCAAGCAAGGCTAACCGACCGCTCTGCACCGCACGGGCCCGCAGACGAAAAAAAGATTCGAGCTCTCACCTTTTCGCACCGGGAAGCGACTTTCCATTGCCAACTGCACCTCTTTCGCAGCGGCAACAGCGACGTCCAGCATCTAATTTACAGGAAGGGACTGCCAGAAAACTCCTCCAGCCTTTCACAATGGCCGCCATAGTCCCTGCCCAGGATGCGGACTACACCATCAAGCCGCAGGCCAACGCGCCTCCGGTCGACAGCAGCGAGTGGCCCCTCCTGCTGAAGAACTACAACAACCTGCTGGTTCGCAGCGGTCACTTCGTCCCCATCCCCAACGGATGCGCTCCTCACAAGCGCGACCTGAAGAGCTACATCTCTTCCGGTGTCATCAACCTCGACAAGCCCTCGAACCCCTCCTCCCACGAGGTCGTCGCGTGGATTAAGAGGATCCTGCGTGTGGAGAAGACTGGTCACAGCGGTACCCTTGACCCCAAGGTCACTGGCTGTCTCATTGTCTGCATCGACCGCGCCACCCGTCTCGTCAAGTCGCAGCAGGGTGCCGGTAAGGAGTATGTCTGCGTTATCCGCCTCCACGACAAGATCCCCGGTGGCGAGGCTCAATTTGCGCGTGCTCTCGAGACCCTCACCGGTGCTCTGTTCCAGCGCCCTCCCCTCATCTCGGCCGTCAAGCGTCAGCTCCGTATCCGTACCATCCACGAGTCCAAGCTCTACGAGTTCGACAACGAGCGCCACCTTGGTGTCTTCTGGGTCAGCTGCGAGGCCGGTACTTATATCCGTACCCTTTGCGTTCACTTGGGTCTGTTGCTCGGTGTTGGCGCGCACATGCAGGAGCTGCGCCGTGTCAGGTCCGGTGCGATGAGCGAGCAGGACAACATGGTTACTCTCCATGATGTTCTTGACGCGCAGTACCTCCAGGACAACAACATGGATGAGTCCTACATCCGCAAGGTTGTCTCTCCTCTTGAGACTCTGCTCACTTCCTACAAGCGCATTGTCGTCAAGGACAGCGCTGTCAACGCGGTCTGCTACGGTGCCAAGCTCATGATTCCCGGTCTTCTCCGCTACGGTAAGTTTTTAACTGTCAAACTATGTGTTACGGTAAATTTCTGACAATGGTTTTGCAGAGTCTGGCATTGAGGTCCACGAGGAGGTTATCCTCATGACCACCAAGGGTGAAGCCATTGCTCTTGGTATCGCCATGATGTCCACTGTCGAGCTTTCGACCTGTGACCACGGTGTCGTTGCCAAGATCAAGCGTGTCATTATGGAGCGCGACCTGTACCCCAAGCGCTGGGGACTGGGCCCCGTCGCTACGGAGAAGAAGCAGCTCAAGGCGTCCGGCAAGCTGGACAAGTACGGCCGCACCAACGAGAACACCCCCGCCAAGTGGAAGCAGGAGTACACGGACCTCACGGCCACGGCCGACGCCGCTGCGCAGCCGCTTGCTGAGACGACCTCTAAGCAAGACGTTCTGTCCGCTCCCCCCGTCGCTCCGGACAATGAGGAGCTTCCCGATGCTCCGGCCTCTGTCAACGGCGATGCCGAGGCCGACAGCAAGAAGAGGAAGAGCAAGCACGAGGGCGAGACGGCCGAGGAGCGGGCTGAGCGCAAGCGCAGGAAGGCGGAGAAGAAGGAGAAGAAGGAGAAGCGCAAGTCGCTGAAGTCGGAAAAGGACGATGACAGCGACTAAGGGCATGGCAATGCATCGCATAGTTGGGGGAGGATATAGTCACGTGAAGGATGGCGGTGTAGAGCATTTTGCTTTGGCGGAATACGCATAGCAGCTTTTTCTTGGAAGGCTACGCTGAGCTGTATCATACCTGTGGGTGGAGTTTACCGGGTTACGATGGCGCATTATGGGATAGGCTGGGACCGGGCTTGTTCATCAGCCTTTGAATACGAAAAGCGAATTTCTCTCGACAACGGTTGCGGGTACTCGAGTACCTTGGGTGCGTGCAAGTTAGCAGTGACATGATAATAGATGCACAGGGCGGGTGACGTGAAGCTGATGCCTGAGGCGGCCAAGTAATGGTCGAAGATGCTGGAAACTTCGATTATCGATATTGGCGGCTATGTACGTCAGTCGAACCTGTGGGGAGACGCGCCCTTCAGAACAAGCCAGAAACAACACGAGACCAGCCCAGCCCAGCTTCTTCCTACCTACTCTCCCGCCCACTCTCTCTCGACCGCTGCAGTTTCACACTACTCTTTAACTCTTGCTCCCGTTTCGCGCTACTGCGCTCACCCACCCACTCCGCAACCCGGTACACCAGCCACAATGGTCAAAGAGACCAAGCTTTACGATTCCTTGGGTAAGACACCCCAGCATGTTTGTATGAACTGCTTCCGCTGACATTGTTTCCCCCAGGCATTAGCCCCTCTGCGTCACAAGATGAGATCAAGAAAGCATACCGCAAATCGGCCCTGAAGTGGCATCCCGACAAGAACAAGGACAACCCCAATGCCTCTGAGAAGTTCAAAGGCAAGTGAAAGCTCCGACACAGCTACGTCTAAACTTTGCCCGCCCCACCTGTCCTTCTTCCCATTTTCCCATTGTGTCTCTCTATCCATAAGACTTACACCATGTGTCACTGCACAGAATGCTCGCAAGCGTACGAAATCCTGTCCGACCCCGAGAAGCGCAAGACATACGACCAGTTCGGCCTGGAGTTCCTACTGCGGGGCGGCGCACCACCACCAGATGGAGCAGAAGGCTTCGCAGGCGGAGCCGAGGGCTTCCCGGGCGGCTTCCCAGGCGGCTTCCCAGGCGGGATGCCTGGTGGCGGCGGGGCGCGGACGTTCCGCTTCTCGACAGGCGGCGGGCCCGGCGGCGGATTCCAGTTCTCCAACGCAGAGAACATATTCGCGGACTTTATGCGTAACGCTGGCGGTGGTATGGGCGGCATGGGCGGCATGGACGACGACGACGGCTTCGGCGGCTTTGGCGGCTTCGGCGGCATGCCTGGCGGGTTCCCAAGCGGCGGTGCGGGCGGACGCCCCGGTGTGCGGAGGTCGACGACAAGTGGTGCTGGCAGAAGGGCGGCGACGCCGGAGGTGACGGTCGTGGAGAAGCCGCTGCCGGTTAGCTTGGAGGAGCTGTTCAATGGCACGACGAAGAAGATGAAGATTAAGCGCAAGACGTACGACCAGTCGACGGGCAAGCAGAGCCTGCAAGACCGTATTCTTGAGGTGCCCATCAAGAAGGGCCTCAAGGCTGGCAGCAAGATCAAGTTCTCAGATGTCGGCGACCAGGTCGAAGGCGGCACGCAAGACCTGCACTTCGTCGTCGAAGAGGTAAGGACCCAGGTTTCCCCAGGCGCCGTGCCATCGCCGCGGTAAATGGTGCTATATGAACGAACAGTGACGCTAACGCCTCATCCAATAGAAAAAACACCCTCTCTTCTCGCGCGAAGGCGACGACATCCGCGCCAGTGTCGAAATCGACCTCAAAGAAGCCCTGACAGGCTGGAAACGTACCGTGCAGACGATCGACGGCAAACAAGTTGGCGTCAGCTCGGCGGGCCCGACGGCCCCCACATGGGAAGAGCGCTACCCCGGCCTCGGCATGCCCAAGAGCAAGAAGCCCGGCGAGCGCGGCGACTTCGTCGTCGGCGTCAAGATCCGGTTCCCCACAAGCTTGAGCGCCGACCAAAAGCAGAAGCTGAAGGAGGTTCTGTAGATGGGGTGAGTTGAGGTTTGGTGGTGGTAATAGTGGTAGCGGTAGTGGATCGATGGTGTTGTCTTGGTTAAGAAGAGGAAAGTGAGGTTGAAGGTTTGAGGCTGGAGATTCTTTGCCTTGCCCTCTTCTGATTCCCCTATATCTCTCTTCCTCTCTCGGCTTCACGCCTAAAGTGAGGGCTTTTATCTTTTTGATTTGTTGGGTCTTATGCAGATATGAAGCGGGGCGTCGGCGTTTTTTTCTCTTTCCTCTTTCTGATTATTGTTTTATCAATCAACCTACCTGCCATAGTGGGAAGGTTGTTTCAGGGATGAGAGCAAAGGAAGGCGGACATTTAAAAGTCCATCCTAATTCCTTTATTTTTTATTTTATTTTATTTTTTTTCCCTCTTGTTCCAAAGTATATTTCAGTCAAGCAAGTCCGCGATAGAAAACTCTTCCCGGTGTTAAGTTGAGCCAAACAGATGGTACTACGTACTACTTCAGGCAGTGGGATTCGGTGGGTGGGGGGTGGGCTTTGGTAGGACTGAGTAGGTTAGGTTAGGTTAGGTTAGGTTAGGCTGGGATAAGTTAAAGAGAAGTGTTAGGTGCCTGTCTGTCTTGAGCCTCCACGCGCGTGATTTGAGAGTTCAGTGATAGTAAGCGTTGCACATACAACCGGTATGAAGATCGATCAGCCAGGCATGATGAGCGACGCCGTCAGCACGCACGCACACACGCACATCTCTCTCCTATTCGAAGATCTGACTGATCTTAGCTTCGACGCACAGCCATCCCATTCATCATGATCATCGATGAGCAGTTTCTCGAAACCCCACAATCTCGCACGCACGCACGCGCATCAAACCCGGCAGACAGGCACGGGTGTGTCAATCGCCAATCCCCATCACCCAAGTGCGCGCAGCCAGCCACGCATCAAGCCATGCCAACCCAAACCCGCGCGTTTTTAACCACGAGCACACGTCTACGCGCCACGCCAGCCCGGCAAACAGAATCCCCACACGTACACGCAGCCGCATCCAATACCCTCGCTTTTACCGCTGCTGCTGCTGCTGCTTGGACGCCTCAGCTGTCATTGTCGCCGCCGCCGCCTCGGTGGACGCGCCGCCCGGCGTGGCTGCAGGCGGGCCCTCCAGCGCTGCCAGCTCCGCCTCGTACCGCCGCCACACCTCGGCGTCGCGCGCGAGCCGCTTCTGCGCGCGCATGTACTGCTCGTGCGCCACGAGGCGGCGGTCTGCCTCCACCATGCTGGAGGGTGGGTTAGCGGGGGAGGGATGGTTGGTTGGTTGGCTGCGAGGTTGGGACGGGGTAAAAGGGCGAGAGGGGTTGTTGGTTGACTTGAAGTGGTTGGGAGGAGACGTACCTGCCGACGATCATGCCGCTCATTTGGATGAAGCTGGGTGGGGAGTGAGTGGTTAGTCGGGGTGGCCGAAGGCGGTGGTGGCGGCGGAGGCGGGGGCGGTGGCGAGCAGCGGGGTTGAGAGGGGTTATTTCTGCAGAGGGGGGACGGGTGCCATGCGACGTGGTGCCAGCTGGCATAGTGGTGTGGTGTTGCTCAGGGGGTGGGCGCGTGGCCGACGTACGCTTTGAATTGGATGGTCAGGCCGCGGTAGATGGGACTGAAGGCCCAGCCGGCGCCAGCGAGCACCGCGGAGTAGATTCCCCACTGCGGTGGGAGGTGGCGTGTTAGCCATTGGCTCTCTGCGAGGGTGACGGGACGGGCTACACGTATCTATGTGCGGGGTGGATGGATGGTGTGGAGGTACGAAACTGGGTGGGACGGATCCGATGTGAGGGGAAACCGGAATTTTGGAGAAGGAAGACGGGAGATACTTGACTTGACATGGACGACTAGCCTATTGAGAAACAGGGAGACGACAAGGAAAAGGTCAAGGACATAGGACATAGGACATAGGAAAATACCCAGCCATGAAAATGTATAGAAAACACGGCACATACCCTAGCAGCGCCGACGGCGGCACCTCTGGCAGCAACCCAGGCGGCGCTGTTGATCTCCTCATCCTTCTCCAAAGAGGCATGAGTCCGCATGTTGAAATGTCACGTTGAATGCAGCCTGTCGGATAGCAAGACTTGTGGCAGATGGAGGAGCGGGTTGACATGGCCGTGTGTCGGCGTCGCGGCATCGGGCGGCATCTTCGGTAGTTTGACGTCACGACGAATGAGTCCTCGAGCAACAACCTCAACTCTATTTGTACATACTCTACGTATCAGCAGGTGCGCAAGCGCCCATTCTCGCCCTTTTCGCACCACCGCCGCTTCTCGCATCTGACCTCCGTCCCAACCACAGCCCGCTCTCGCTTCCCTGCACCCTGCCCAAAGCAGCAACTCTCCTCCAACATTGAACATGGCATGCAATTTCGCCCTTCGAGGCTGCACGTTTATGCACGTCGCCGCGCCTCTGCCGCCAATCGCTTGCCCGTCTGTGTCCTTCAGCTCAGGCAGACGTGCGTCTTCGTGGCACGGTGCCGTGGGCCGCCTGATGAGCTGCGTCACCCCCGTGGACGACGGTGCAGGAGGCCTTGAGCCCGTCTACGAAGCCATCATGCCACCATGCCTTCCTTCTTTTTGGGCACCCGGCTAGAGAACCGGTTTCCTGCGTCTTCGAGCTGTCGAGCGAGAATGCTAGAGAGAACATCCCTGTATCCTTTCTCCCGAAAATGCAAGCCAAAGTCTAGTTGGTATCAGTATGTATTGCGTGTTGTTGTGTTGGTCGTTCTACCCTTAACGTCGTGCAAATCGTTTCCATCCGTGCTCCTGACCAGGCAGGAGCTCAATAGTCAGAACAAAGGAGATGAGAAGCGAATGAAAGACCAGCGACTTTGTCCGAAAGACAACTAGATACACAGGAGTGTAGTAAAAAGAGATCCCAGAAATAAATAACCCCTCATTAGATCCGTCAATTCGTTGCTTGTGTGACGAAAACACCAAGTCAAGAAACAAAGGGGAAAGCAAATGCCGTACACCGTAGACTAAGCCCAAGTCCTATGTTCCAGAGGACTTTCCCGGCTCAAAGAACCAAAACAATCAAAAAAAGAAACAAGCATGGTTGGTATACAACGCCCGAGGGTATGCTGTGTGAAGAGCTGTCGCTTCTATCCACAAACGTCCTGGTTCGAACAAGGGGGAGCCTGCTTTCCCTTCGAAAGCCAGGAGGTTGCAGTGTTGTATGAATGTTCATCACCGGTGAGGGATAGCCTCGCGCGGCTTGATCTCGCGCGGGGTCCGTGGCGATTTGGGGGATGTTGGCGAATGCGGCGAAATTTGCCTCATGAGTCTCGGGGCCGCATTCAAGTCGAGCAATGTCTGGGCATCTCCGAGCGAGACGTCGAGTTCCTTCGCCAACGACACCACCATTGGATCCATATCCACGAAAGGATCTGATTCGCTGATTTGCTGAGCAACAAAATGTTGGCTATGCTGGTCCAGTTGGCTACGGTCATCGACATGGTCGTCTTCAAAGTCGAGGGCGCCAAGTATGGCCTGCTTCTCGATGGTTGGCGTGCTGTCAATTTGCACCTGTTCAATAAGCTTGCCCATGCTAAATGGTCGGTCCGGCCGCTCGGGCAGCTCTTCTTCAATGTCAATAGGTGTTGGGATTCCAGCAGCGATGTTGACGTTGCGCTGAAGGTAAATGTTCAAGCGATGTGCTTGCCGCTCCCAACTCTCCTCAACCAAGCTCACAGCGGCACGAGCATCCTGATCCGATATCGGTATGACCGCCGGCTTTTCCACTGACGCTTTACCACCAATTTTGTTTGCGAGCTTGCTTCGAACGGAGGTATGTTTTGCGGGAGTATTGCTGAGAGTCTCGCCTCGCATGTTTCTGATTGCCATTTCAGTTTGCCGGAGGTTTTCGTATCGACTATCATCCATGGATGGCAACCATTGAATGGTTGTGTTGTTATGAAGTGCATTGACGAGGTCCGTAAAGCCTTGCAGTGGTATGTTGTTGTTTTCGCAATGCAGTGATATGAGAGAGGTGTTGTCCTTTAGGACGTCGGCCAAAGTACTTGCCCCTTGAAGGCCGAGCCCTTGGTTTTTAATGTGGAGTTCCCTCAACGTATTGTTGTACTTGAGGCCACACAATGCTTTGTTTATACCGACGCCGAATTTAGCTGTTTCCAGCTTTGAGTCCTCACCTGACATGTCCAGCGCAATCAGCGTTTTGTTATCTTTGAACATCTTTTCGAGAGCATCACAAGTCCCCTCCGAAGCATCGCTCGGTAATGAGACCTTGGTGACATCCAAGCGTCTGATGGTATTGTTCTTTGCAATCGCCAGGGCAAGTTCTGCGAAGTGTGACTCGTCATCGTAGTCGATGAGCTCGATAGTGAGATGCATAGGTGCGTATCCGTCACTGATTGCTGCGGCAAACTCAAAGTGGAACTTTTCGATGTAGTTCTCGCTGATATCCATGTGGAGTTCCCGAGCCATGCCGGGGTATCTGGTCATTGACCGCATGAGATGTGCAATCTGCCTGCCGGTGATGCAGGTGCGGTCAACGCGCAACTTGTGTAGCGAATCAGATTTCGGGCTTTTGAGATAAGTCGCAATTGCCTCTATCGTCGCGTGATTGAGCTGTGTTCCGCTCAGATTGAGTTCCTGCAGTCTCCATGAGAGCAAAGTTTCCGCGGTTAGTAACGGCTCCGGTCCAGCGGTGTGGCCGACGCCACAGAGGTTCAGGATTCGTATGTAGCCAAAAACACTAAGTTGGGGATCGAAAATAGATGGGACCAGACGTGCAGTGTTCTTGGAGATGTCGATGGCTTCCAAAGTATTTTCCTGTGTTCGTAGCGCGTCCAAAAGGAGGGACATTTTCCGCTCATTGAGACCGCACTTGCTCAGTTCGAGGGCGCGTAAGTGACAGTGCCTCTCGGCGGCTGCTGCGATGAGGTATTCGAGGTCCGTCTCGCCCAGTGTTATCTCATTGAGAATTATCCAATCAACATTTGTTGTTTGGTACTTGCAGAGAGGGAAGAGCGCTTCCACGATCCCGCAACCGACGTCTTTCCCCTTGTTCTCATCGACAAAGTCTGCTGGTTCCCTGGTGATACATTTGCTGAAGTTCATTCGGCGAAGCCTCCTGCTCGTGACTGCCAGAGCCCTGATTTCTTGAACCAAAAGGCAGGACTTCGAAAGCTCTTCCATGCTTAAATTAATCGGGGTACCTCTCTTCGTCTTCGTGCACAAATGGTCAGAACCGTAACGATCATGGAGCTCATTCAATACATCTAGGCTGATGCCCGCAAATGATATTGTGCCGAAGGATTCGTTGTAGCGAAGAGTGCGCATCACGGCTAGCAACTCCAGAGCTCCATAGCCGCTCCTTCTCCGACCTTCTGGGGGCAGAAGCTGGAAACATGGGAAGTCATCCTCGGGATATGTGATTGTATACCGTATTCTCTCCGGGGGAATATTGTATGCGATACAATAAGCGCACAGAGTACGAACTAAGGAATTTTCGTCAATCTTGTCCGTAATAGTGGTGGACACTATTTCCTCTTTAACCGCATTCGGGACCAAGAATACGTATGGCCGCGGTTCCCATTCTGGACGCAAGAAATGCTCAACATGGTGCAGCCGCACGGCAATGTCTCCAGCTGCCAAGGAAGCCATAAGCAGTACCTTCGGCTTCTGCAACGGCGTCCGGAACACCAGTTCAAACGTGTCATCGATCTCACTAAGTCGCACCGAGGTGAGCGTGAGAATGCCGAAGGACGCCTCTGACGGATACATCATGAGATTTGGGCTCGATGAGCGTTGGCGTGATTTGAATATGGGTATCAGATGTATTTTGTGGATCCCCACGGCAAGAAAGCAGACGGAATTCGATATTTTGGTAAGGTCATCGGAGGATGAAGACGCCAAGCCTGGCTTGTGGGATGGTCGCTGCACGACCTTGTACAGCGCAAAGTTGCGCGGGTCATAATCACCCTCACGTTCGACGATCCTAGCGGCAAGGCGTGTATTGTTCTCCGATATGGTGTTCTCGTCCAAACTGCGAACACGGTTTGCTGCGGCTTTTATTGCAGTAAGCCACTTGGTCATGTCCTCAGGCGAACCAAATTGCAGAGTCATGGCGTACGGATGGTTGGACTCCTCATCCATGTAGGTGATTTCGAAAGCAAAGTATGGTCGGTCGTCGACGAGCTGGTAGATGGCGATGACCTGCCGAAGCGGAGTGCCAACATTTCGCTCCCCCGAGTTTTCCGAGGCGCATGATTGGAAGTCCTGTATCGATCCGACCGAGGGACGCGACTGATGCTTCGAAGAAGCACTTCGATTCAGCGGAGACCATATCTCGCTGAAAGTTTCCGAGGCCTTCTGCTGGGTTTTGAAGCGCACAACGTGCGTTTCCGTCAGGACCAGGTATTCCTTTTTTCGCCTGAAAAGCGTGCTGCTCGTCTGGACTTCGCCGTGCAAGAGGACGTTTCTGGAGCGTAGACCCAGGTCGCCAAACTCGCCCCAGTTCACAGACGGGGCTTTGCTTGAGACGGCGCTGAGGGGTTCGTCGTCTGGGTCGTCGGAGCCCGACTTGCCAGACTTCCAGGAGCCGAACCGTGTGGGATTGCGCAGGCGGTTTCCCTTTGTGTCCATGCCGGGGCGGACGGGCGACAAGGAGGGCGAGTCTAGCTGGGGGGCATCGAGAGCCACGGCGCTGTGGTTGGTGACGATGTCGAGGAGAGAGCCTCTCCGACGCTTTTGCAGGGTGTGCGGCGGATGCTTTTCCATTGCGTCGTCGTGGATGGGAGTGAGCGCGGTGAGCGGGCTCCTGGCGAGGGCACCGCCGAAGAAGCTGCGTCGACGCGAGGCGGTGGACTTTTGCATGGCGGATGGGGTGGAGTCGACGGGTGCGGCGTCTCAGTCAGTTCGAGCGGCTGGGCGCCGAGAGCAAGCAATTGGAGGCAGAGCAGGATCTGCGGGCATAACAAAGTGGAGAGAGGAGTTCGCCGCTGCCTTGGTCAGGCTGACCATCGCCATCGAAGGAGAGAAAAAGGCAGCGGGCATAGCATGGGGAGACGGGGCAGTAGCGAAATAGGGTGAGGTGAGGTGTGGACGACGTTATGCAGCACTGAGCGCGTCTGTTCCCGGCTTGAGCGAGCGGGTTTGCGTCACTGAAGGGGGCTTTAGTCGGCGATCACGATCTGTGCCCCGGCACGCCTGTCCGCCAGGTCCGTCCCCGAGCATTGCGCGCTTATCCTTGCTAGCGCCTGAATTTTCCTGAGCTCCTCGCCCGGCCATCATCATCTACTGCCGAGACAAGCACGAATCTCTCGCGCCTCGCTCGCTCTCTCGCTCTCGCTGCGCCCAATGCTTTGTCGCGCCAGTGCACAGCTGCTGCGACAGGCGCAACCCTACGTCTGCCTGCCATGCTTGCGCCACCAGCTGCTCCGCCCGGCCCTGCCCAAGCCCGCCACCCGTCGCCTTCACGCGCCCGCCGAGCCTGCCTCTGCCTCTCCACCCGAAGACGACGCTCAACCCTCGACCAAGGTCCGCTATCTCGGAACCAAGAAGGCCAATGAGCCCACCGCAAAGGGGAAAAAACTGGCAAAGAAGGCTGCGAAAAAGAATGCCAAGCCTGCGAAGACGCCAGGCGCCGAGCCGGCCAAATTGTCCAAATGGCAGAGGCGGAAGATAAGGCGCGATGCACTGAAAGCAGCGCAGAAGCAAGATGCCCTCAATGAAACGCGCCAAGAGAATAGCAACACGGATGTGCTGGTTGAAGCGGCTAACAACCCGCTCCCGCCCAAGGGAAGGAAACGGACTGATACAACGAGGACTTTGAGCGAGGTCTTTGCCGACATAGCTGGCAAAGTCACCATCAAAGAGGCGCTCAAAGCCCCAACTGTTGCATCGACCGAGCTTCTCGGGCCCGAGGCTGAAATCGTGCACTCCGACGAACTTGCACTACACCCACTCGATGTTCCTCAGCCGCCCGTTCCACATCTAGCCTACGGGTTAGACAGGGCATTATTCAACCCTGGCGTGTATGCTCTGCAAGACACAAGAACTCATGTCTACAACTTTGACCCCTACCTTCAAAAGATCATGCCCGTCGCCGACTTTGATTTCAATTCCCTGTCGCGATACATCACTTCTTCCCAAGACGAGGTTCTCTCCCGAATTGCGCGGCAGGAGGGCAAAAAATATGTTGGATCTACCTCAAGTATGACGGCGGCCTTGGCCCATTTCCACTTCCTTCTGTCCCAATGGAGACCGATCAGCATCTCAATGCTTTCAAAGGGCTTCCCGGAGACGCTCCAGACGTTTACCAAAATCAATCGACTTCCTGCTCCTATTTTTCTCCGATGGAAAAATGGCACTTACGCCATCGATGCTGACAAAGAATTCGATTCGGCAAACATCCTAAGCATGCTGGGCAAATCGATGGAGAAGCTTTTGACGCTGCCCACTGATGAATACGAACGGTACAGGCGGAAAAGCCAGAACCGGATCACTGAGGAGGAGCGCAATGAACCGGAAGCTTACCATTACACAACCATGGGTGACATGCTCATGCGCTCGCAGCTTGATGCTTACGATAGCCGTCTCCCTGGAACTGGTATGTTTGACTTGAAAACGCGAGCTGTTGTATCCATTCGCATGGATGTTTCGCAATATGAGGAAGGCATGGGCTACCAAATCCGGTCCGAGCTTGGCAAATGGGAATCATTTGAGCGCGAGTACTATGACATGATGAGATCCACCATGCTCAAGTATTCTCTTCAAGCTCGGATGGGCAGGATGGATGGCATCTTCGTCGCATTCCACAATGTTGAACGAGTCTTTGGTTTCCAATACATCAGCATTGATGAGATGGACAAAGCTCTGCATGGTGTCATTGAAAATGATGCTCGCCGTCTGGGAGATGCTGAGTTCAAATTGAGCATAGACCTAATGAACAAGGCTCTGAACAAGGCTACAGAAAGATTCCCCGAGACCGTGAGTTTCTTTTTATCAAAAAAAAGGAAAGTAATTTTTCATGAGGCTAACGGCATTTTCAGACTATCCGCTTACATTTTGAAACACGCGAGACAAAATCCAACTTCATGTACGTTTTTGCAGAGCCGGTAACGGATGAGGAAGCCGATGCCATCCAAAACGGCAACAAAGCACGGATTGAAGAATGGGAGAGACGTGTGCTTGGCCTTGACGATGCTGAGACCGAAGAGGTTGCCTCCGCGGAGCATGATGAGAACGCATTTGAAAATGATCATGATACCAACGGTCAGGCTGAGGAATCGTCGGTGGACGACGTGGCGAAGGAATTTTCAAACGGTGATGTGGCAATGCCAGACATCTCCGCCGCCGAAGATAATTACCAGCACGAATCGACCCTCACCGAGCCGCACAATTTGCCAGAGGCAGACATCAACACTTTCACTCTGGACACGCCCATTGAGGCTGACGAAGGTGCCGAAGCGCTAGCTGAAGCAGACACCACATCAGATGCTTCGAAACCGGAGGCAGCCTCCGAATCAGAGACAGCCACCGAAATTGACGTGTCACGTCCTTTGGCTGGTTGGAAGCTTAAAATTTGTAACAAGCATGACGGAAAAAGAGTCTCTCGGCTGAACCATCTTGGTGCAGGCGAAGTATGGGGCGTTGAATATCAGTTCGACGAAATGTCGCCGGCAACGACTCGTAAATTTTACCAGGCTTGCAAGTCCAGACGCAAGAAGCTTCTTGAAACCTTGATGGACGAGGGGGAGCAGGACGAGGAAAGAGTGCTCGACTACTACAGGCGTATCTTGAGGGATCTCAGCCATCAAGGCCGCGCCTGGAGAGATTGGATGGATAGTATACAGAAAGGGAAGGAGCCAGTCATCTTCGAGCCTGCCGCCGGGTCGAACTCTAAGTCGAAGCGACGCGAGGAAGAAGGTCCACAAGTCGATGATGCATCGGAGGAAAACCAGTAAATGTTCAACATTTATTCGACTACATGAAGTATCGAGGATGTTGCATTCCACGGCTTGAACTGCCGCGTTGGGGTCTACTGTATACTTAATGCAAAAGCATGATTTACGACTGGGTCGTAATAAAAAAAAAACGACCCCGGTTAGTCTTTCTACTCTATTTTTTCCAGCCCACGTGGTGCCAAACCTGTATAAGTATATAGCGTGATACAGTTCTACAAAGGAAATGAAAGCATCCACTTGACAACGCCTCGGCATTTCTATACCTTTATATCATCAATTATCTTACAGAAGAGCTAAGTCTGTTTTAACTTAATTTAATGCGGTTAAGGCACTGATAAAGTAGCTAGGGTAGGATATGCGTACAGCCTAAGGCATCCACTGACGTTGCTTTTTTGAGTTTAGCGTGGCACGAGCGTCATCATAGGGCTGAGTGAGCTTGCGACAGCTTCCAGGTTCTGTGGGGGTGTTTGCATCCAACACCGTCGCTCACTCCTGCTCCAAGCAATGCTTTCGTAAATACAGCTGTCGCAAGGTCGCCTGGATCTCCCTCATGTGGCCTGCTATCCTCGCTTAGCCTATTCACCAATTCCATTTTGCAACATGGCCGAGCCGTCGCAGGAAGACATCGACCAGTTCCTTGAACTCGCCGGGATCTTCACAAATACTCGTCCAGAGCGGCCGATCGCCAGTCGCTTCATCAAGGTTCGTATTAAAACGTCCGAGAGAAGAAAAGGACTGCAGACTCAGCTAGCCCATAGGATGCGAGCTACAACCTGGAAAATGCGATCAACAACTACGAGCAGAACCCCAATCGTTACGCCGCAGAAAATTACGATGAGGCACTATTCTCACAAGATCGCGATGGAGGAAATAGTCAGTACGCCGGAGTACCCTGTGAGTCCCACCTTTCCAATCAGGGCTTGAGCTCACGCTGACTCCTGGCATCAGCCTTCCAAATCGATCGCGCAGACGACTCTCAGGGCCAATACCCCAACAGCACCGCAGCCACTCGGCCAAACACGCCTAGCAACAGCATACATGATTCGGCCATGGGGGATTCTCAGACTTTAGGTGCGCTCATGGGCTGGGCTGAAACGGGCCGTGAACAGAAGCGCTAACTGTTGGAAAGGCGCGAATCGGAGTTACCAAAACCAACGATGGGACCAGGAAACAGGCGTGGTTGGAGGTAGCGGTGTCCAGTTTGGCCCTGCTAACAGGGACCATTATGACACCAACCAGTGGGCACTAACAACCGTGGTAAATACGATCCCTGACCCACTACCAATCCAGCGCAGACGGAACCCAGGAGAACCAGCTTTTATGAAGCCATTACCTTCTCAGGACTACCTCCCGTCCTTGATTTCCATTCTGAGCAACATTCCACTGGCACACAATGCTTTTCTCCTTAAAGAGCACGTTCTTCCGAGGTACGGGCAAGAACCGCAGTGGTGGCAAGGAACACCCATTGCCTTTCCCCAGACCATCAATCTCGATGACGAACAACAGTCCAACCAACAATCGGACATAATTCACGAGACACAGCGACTTATTGCTTTTCTTGATTACACTGAACGCTCATACGGCAGTGTTGAAGCTCTTTCTAAGGCGGACTATTTCCAAAACATGCCGATGAACAGCAATGCTGGATACGATGGAGACGTTGTGAAGTTCCTGGAAGCTTGGAAGACTGCCGCAACCCGTCTCCGTCCCGAAGCTGGATTTGATAAACTCTTCGAGTCAACTGCAGAACAAGTCCTATCGGGTGAAACTTCTAGTCAACCCTTCAGTTGCTTGACGCCTTGCTTAGAGAACGGGGCCAATGGTCAGGCCGTATCGCTCTATGATCTCCTTGATGAAAATCTTTGGGGCAATGATCCGGATGGCACCAAAGACATCCATGCGTCAATTCAGTCAATGGCTGAGATTTTTGTGATCATTGTCAAGCAGCCTGATATCACTGCTACCGGACTGAACATTAGCGTCCCGTCTTCATTTTATGCGGACAGGTATTTGAGGGAACATGAGCCAAGAGCGAAATCAATGAGGTCTCAGCGCGCCGAGATCAAACAGCAAATTACGCGCATGCAAGAAAAGTATCAGAAAATTTCTCGATTCAACTACAAGGCAAAGACGGGAGATGCTCTGTTGCTTCTTCGAGTTGCCATGGATGCTTTCAGACCACGAGATGCACAAGACAGCACTGAAAGCGACAACGGCAATCAGACAAAGTCTAATCAAGACATTAGAGATGAGTGGGCGCTCAAGGAACTAGAGCGTATCCACGGAGTGATCGAACAAAAACTCAAAGGTACATTCTCAGCTTTTAGGACAGTTGTTGTCTCAATGATACCCTTCATATCTCGACCCTCTTTATTGTCCCTTATATTTGTTTAGTGGCTGATTGATAACGCAGAGCTCAAGGACCGAGAAGAACAGGCACAAAAAGCCTACGAACAGCTATCCTACTTGCTAAAGGAGCCAAATAACTCTGTGGGAACGTCACCCAAATTCAAATACCGGCTTTGTGGCGTTTCCACCGATCCAGCGGTGGTGTATATGAAAGCTCGAAATGCTTCAAATGAGCGCGAGGGTGACACCGTTGATCCCGCTAGGCCACTTCAAGATGCGCAGGAATGGTGGAGGATCCACTACGAGAGCACGCCGAACATATCCAAATCGCCTGTCTCGGAAGCGCAGGTGCTTACTGCAGCCGCCATGGAGAACAGAGAGGCCTTGTTGGTGTATGCCAGTGAGAGAGCTTTGCAGCAGCCCTTTGAGGATATTCCTCAGTCTCTTGTGGTAAGCTCTGCTTTTGACGGGGACAGATGGACTGCAAGATGAATGATGCTGACCGGAATATTTTCTTCAAGGAATTTGTGAACACGGACAATATGTTGTTCAGGGAAGAACTGTCGGAGGATGAACAACCCCCACCTTATCACACGCCACCTGCTAAGGACAGCAACGAGCTCGCATTTGAGGATGCGTCGGCGCGTGACTGGTTCGCGCCAGGGCCGAAGGATCAGCCCGAGATGGAGGAGAAAGGCGCGGGCCTGGTAGCGGAGATGACATCTGGTGGAGGAGGAACTAGGATGGGGAGCTCGGAGATACAGAAGGATGGCGATGGTGCTCAGCACATTGAGTTTGCCGACAAGTAGATGTGTGCTTCATAAGTGTGCCCCTGGTGCGCCTACCTACTTGGTTGGTCAATTATTAGTGATCGGCTGCAGGGGAAGACGGAGAAAAGCATTTAACGCCGATGGTGACGCATTGACGGGCGATCGTCCGGTCGGGAAAACATGCTCCGATTACTTCGTAAGGCAGTCCCGTCCTTGGCCGCTTACTTACCTTTGCTTCGCATCTTTTCCCCCCCTACGCCAGTCGCTGTCACCCTCTCCTCCAGATACGACAAGAGGAGAACCCAGAGCTGCCAGTGCCAATAGCAGCCCCATCTTCAATGCACGGCACCGACGGCTCGCAGACGCCGCTGACCCCATTCACTCCCTCCGCTCTCGCCGCCGCGGGCTACCTGGGGGCGACTGCCAGCAGAGAGCAGCCGCTATGTGGTAATTCCGAGGGATGGGGGCCGCTGAGCCCATATCGATATGACTTTACACCCTGTTTTCTGGACGTTTGGATCTCCGCCGTTGCCGCCTTGGGAATCTTTGGCGGCGCCAGCGCCGTCTACTATCTATTAAGGAAATGCACACCCCAACCTGTGAGGAAGAATTGGCATTTCTATGCAAAGCTGGTATGCCACACGTCAAGAAACACTCCGCCCAGGCGTGCTCGCTAACCTCCGTTGCTACGCAGATTGTCATCGCGGGCCTTGTTGTTACGCATGCCCTCCAAGCCGCGCTTCAAATCGAATACTATCCGCATGTTTGGGCTGGCGATTTCAGATTCTGGTCCACCGTCGTCACAATACTCTCTCTGGGTGTCGTCTTCTATGTGCAATACATCGAGCATTGGAGGTCCCGGAACGCTAATGGCGTGGTACTCTTCTACTGGCTGTTGTTACTTGTCGCCTTCGGCGTGAAGCTGCGGTCCTTGATCTCTCAAGGGTTCCAAAAACATCATCTGGCTTATTTTGTGACGTTCTGTGTCAGTTTCGGTCTGGCAGCGACAGAGTTGATTTTGGAATGGCTGGTCCCGAAACAGCTCAGCGATTACGATGCGCTCGGGGATGAGGACGAGTGCCCGTTCGAGTATGCGGATGTATTTTCGGTCCTTACCTTCAGCTGGATGACGCCGATGATGAAATATGGCTACAAGAATTTCTTGACCCAGGACGACCTATGGAACCTGCGAAAACGGGACACTACGCGGGCTACGTCCGATGCTTTTGGCAATGCATGGGAGCACCAAGCCAAGCACAAACACCCTTCTCTGTGGGTTGCCCTTGCTCGCGCATTTGGATCGCCATACATACGCGGAGCAATCATTAAAACCGGAAGCGATATCCTGAACTTCGCCCAGCCGCAGCTGCTTAGGCTGCTGATCTCGTTCATTGATTCATACAGAACAGATACTCCAGAGCCTGTGGTCCGCGGTGCAGCCATTGCTCTAGCCATGTTCGCTGTCTCGGTTTCTCAGACCGCTTGTCTCCACCAATACTTCCAAAGATCGTTCGAAACCGGCATGCGCGTCAAATCATCGCTCACATCTGCCATTTACACTAAATCCATGCGCCTTTCGAACGAAGGACGGGCGGCAAGGTCGACTGGCGACATTGTGAATTACATGGCAGTCGACGTACAACGCCTACAAGATTTGGCACAGTATGGTCAGCAGCTCTGGTCTGCGCCTTTCCAGATTGTGCTGTGCATGCTTTCGCTCTACCAGTTACTGGGTCTCAGCATGCTTGCAGGCGTTGGTGCTATGATTATTATGATTCCTGTCAACGGAGTCATTGCCCGCATCATGAAAACCCTCCAAAAGAAGCAGATGAAAAACAAGGATGCAAGGACCAGACTCATGACGGAAATTCTCAACAACATGAAGTCCATCAAACTTTACGCCTGGACCACAGCCTTTATGAACAAGCTCAATTTCATCCGTAACGACCAGGAACTCAAGACTCTCCGCAAGATCGGCGCCGGGCAAGCCTTTGCCAACTTTACTTGGTCTACCACGCCTTTCCTAGTCTCCTGCTCTACGTTCGCGGTTTTTGTCCTTACCAATGACAAGCCTCTTACGACAGATATTGTCTTCCCCGCCTTGACTCTCTTCAACCTCTTGACGTTCCCTCTTTCAATCCTGCCTATGGTCATCACTGCCATCATCGAGGCTAGCGTTGCAGTTTCCCGTCTGACAGGCTATCTCTGCGCTGAAGAACTTCAGGATGATGCGGTAACCCGGGAACCTCCAGTGGAAGAAATTGGCGAGGAATCGGTCCGCATTCATGATGCTACTTTTACCTGGAACAAGGAAGAAGGAAAGGAGGCACTTCAAGACATCAACTTTTCTGCCAACAAGGGCGAGCTTTCATGTATTGTCGGCCGTGTCGGTGCCGGCAAGTCCTCATTGCTACAATCCCTGCTTGGAGACCTGTGGAAAATTAGGGGTGAAGTTGTGGTTCGTGGCAAGACGGCATATGTTGCACAGTCTGCATGGGTCATGAATGCCACTGTCAAGGAGAATATCGTTTTTGGCTACCGATGGGATCCTCACTTCTACGATCGCACGGTCAAGGCATGTGCCTTGTTGGATGACTTTGCCTCCCTGCCTGACGGTGATCAGACTGAAGTCGGCGAGCGGGGCATTTCGTTGTCAGGAGGCCAAAAAGCACGCCTGACATTAGCAAGGGCCGTTTATGCTCGTGCTGACATATACCTTCTGGACGATGTTCTCTCCGCTGTTGATCAACACGTTGGCAGACACATTATTGACAATGTGCTTGGTCCCAACGGTCTCCTCAGCAGCAGAACTAGGGTCCTTGCTACCAATTCAATTCCAGTGTTGATGGAGGCAAACTTTATCGCTCTAGTGCGCGAGGGCCGTATCATCGAAAGAGGCACTTACGAGCAACTAATTGCAATGAAGGGCGAAATCGCCAACCTCATTCGCACCGCGCACCACGAACAAGACTCTGAGGAGGAGAACGTTGGGAGCGACGAATCCGAGCAGACTGTCTACGACGAAACCCCGAATTCTGAAGACGAGCTTGAGACTGAAGAGGCACAAGAAGGCGTCACTCAGCTGGCCCCAATCAGACAAGGAGGGGGCCCGGCCCGCAAGAGTAACACGCTGGAGCTGCGTCGTGCAAGCACTGCAAGTTTCCGTGGTCCCCGTGGCAAGCTGAATGACGAGGAGGGCGGCAACTTGAAGAGCAAGCAAACGAAGGAAATTGCTGAGCAAGGGAAGGTTAAGTGGAGCGTCTATGCGGAATACGCAAAGACGAGTAATCTCATTGCTGTCGTGATCTACCTTCTAATGCTCATGGGTGCTCAAACGGCCCAGATCGGTAAGTTGCATAGATTCTCATTACTTCTTTCGATCACATGAAATTCGCTCGGGGCTCGTGCTTACATGCTTGTTAGGTGGCAGCGTTTGGCTGAAGCAATGGTCCGAAGTTAACGGCAGAAAGGGTAGCAACCAAGAGGTTGGTAAATACATTGGCGTCTACTTTGCCTTTGGATTTGGCTCTGCCGCACTGGTGGTTATCCAGACACTGATTCTTTGGATCTTCTGCTCTATCGAGGTGAGTGTCGCTTGTGGTGGAAGCGTTTCTGGCAAATGGATCTGCAGCTAACATTTACCCACCTTCTAGGCTTCTCGCAAGCTGCACGAAAGAATGGCATTCGCCATCTTTAGATCGCCAATGAGCTTCTTTGAGACAACGCCGGCTGGTCGCATCTTGAACCGCTTTTCCAGGTAAGTTCAAAAGCCCAATCTGCACGTGGCCTGAAACGCATATGTCCGATGCACGATGGCTTTAGGAGCGGGGTCATGCACGCAGGCTGTACTGTGTAATGTGCAGCTTAGACCCGGACCCGTAGTGCTGCCAGAGTTGCTAGTCGCCCAAGCTAACAATGTCGGCAGTGACATCTATCGTGTGGATGAGGTACTAGCGTAAGTATATCCTCGTCGTTGGAAACGACTCGTCCCCGTTTGCTGGTGTGACTCTACTGACAATGGTCCAGACGTACCTTCAACATGCTGTTCGTCAACTCAGCTAGAGGTGAGTGTCGGATCTGTTCGTTGGTATAAACACTTTTGGACTAACAAGCGTCAACAGCTGCGTTTACCCTTGTCGTAATCTCTGCATCGACCCCTATCTTTGTTGCGCTTATCATACCCCTCGGTGCGTTGTATCTCTACATTCAGAGATACTACCTGCGTACGTCGAGGGAGCTCAAGCGCCTGGATAGTGTCAGCAAAAGTCCCATCTACGCGCATTTCCAAGAATCGCTTAGTGGAATCAGCACTATTCGTGCTTATAGACAACAGGGTCGTTTCTCGCTGGAGAACGAATGGCGAGTTGACGCTAACTTGCGGGCCTATTTCCCGTCCATCAATGCCAACCGTTGGCTTGCTGTGCGTCTGGAGTTCATCGGATCTGTCATCATCCTAGCCGCAGCAGGCTTCTCAATCATCTCGGTTGCTGCTGGCAGCGGCTTGTCGGCCGGTCTTGTGGGTTTGGCCATGTCCTATGCGCTGCAGATCACCCAGTCTCTCAACTGGATCGTTCGCCAAACAGTTGAAGTTGAAACAAACATTGTCTCTGTGGAAAGAGTACTTGAATATGCTAGGCTGCCTAGCGAGGCACCTGAGATCATATCCAAGAATAGACCTCCCATCAGCTGGCCAGCCCACGGTGAGGTCACTTTCAACAACTTCAGCACTAGGTATCGGCCGGGTCTGGATTTGGTGCTTAAGGATATCAATCTGGACATCAAGCCATGTGAGAAGATCGGTGTTGTAGGTCGCACCGGTGCAGGAAAGAGCTCGCTCACACTTTCCCTTTTCCGCATCATCGAGGCTGCTGAAGGACATGTTGCCATTGACAACTTAAATACAAGCACCATTGGGTTGCTTGATTTACGACGCAGGCTTGCCATCATCCCTCAAGATGCTGCGTTGTTTGAAGGGACGGTCCGTGACAACCTAGATCCAGGGCATGTCCATGATGACACGGAGCTTTGGAGTGCTTTGGACCATGCTCGGTTGAAGGACCACATTGCGGGCATGACAGGCAAACTGGACGCGCAAATTCTCGAGGGAGGCTCCAACCTCAGCCAAGGCCAGCGGCAGTTGGTCTCCCTTGCGCGTGCCTTGCTTGCACCCAGCAATATCCTTGTCCTCGATGAAGCGACGGTACGTATGATGCTGGCTTCATTGTTTGTCAAGGGTGCTAATCGAATCCCAGGCCGCTGTGGACGTTGAAACGGACGCCATGCTCCAGGCAACCTTGCGGAGCCCCGTATTCAGCAACCGGACGATTATCACGATCGCCCATCGTATCAACACTATTCTTGACTCAGACCGCATCGTGGTGCTGGACCGCGGCACGGTAGCCGAATTTGATACGCCGGCTGAGTTGGTGCGGCAAAAGGGACTTTTCTATGAGCTCGTCAGGGAGTCGAATTTGTTGGGCGCGGTGGAGAATGTGGTACAGCAGTAGGCGGGTTGACGCCAGTAGCCCGGTTAGCGGTCGAGGGCCACGCCGGCTCTCGAGTGGCCGTGGCGTGCGGGCCGCATGGCCAAGCGAGCACGGCAGTCCGGCTGCACAATGCCTCTGCGGCATGTCGAAATGAATGGACGTAGGTAGAGAGGGAAATATGCAAGTAGCTGGGAAGAAACAATCAAAGCATTGCAAACAGAACGAATGATGGCAACCCCCCTGGGCTCGCTTGCACGCCGCTGACTGCCGCGCTGCAGACTGTTGCTTTTCTCGCAGGAAAAAGCCGTGAGTTGCTTTTCCGGGGACGCGCGGGACGGCGGCCTAAGGCTGAACGGGCGTTATTGGGGCGGGCTGACCCGCCGGCAGCGCGTAGGCGAGGGCGCACGGCGGCCGTTGATTGATTGCGAACGGAAGTCCTTCCGGACGAGATCTCGAGCTTCGCGCCGTCTCAGATCTGCCGTCCTGGTCGGCGGGCCATGATGGGCTCTCGTGGCACAGACCGTAGACGCCATCGGGTTCGCCGTCGATTGGCGCGCGGACGGCGGGCGTGCGTGAGCCGATGATCCGCGGAGGGGTCCCTCCCACCCCCTCGATGTCTCCATGATCGCCACTGTACCCCCTCCCCCCCGTCCCTTCGATCGCACCCACGCACCGGGCCGGGGGTGGGAAAGGGGAAAAGCATGGTAAACGATTAAAAAAAGAAAAAAGGAAAAGAAGAGAAAAAGAAAAGAAAAAGAAAAGACAGTCTCGCGAGGGAATAATGTTTCATCACGAATCTCAACGGCTTGCCACACAGACACACGGCCGCTGCAGTAGCTGCACCCGCCCCACGGCCCGTCGCCAGTGCGCTGCAGTTTTGTGTTGTTTTTTGTATCACGATGCTTGGGGGGGTCTCGCCATGGGCGGGATATATGTAGGCCGGGTGTGCCTCGTTATCGTCGGCTGTCCGTCCCCCTCGCACCTGCCAGTTCTTCCTCGATTGTTTCGTTTCACCGCGCGGCATCCAAGTCCGCGCCAATCAGCACCCACGTGCCGGGCGCGATCAGCTGCCACAGTCATTCGCATCCGCGTCGGCATCCTTTTTTCTCCGCAGCTGGCAGCCCTTTTCGATCGCAGCCCTTGGCCCCGTCGCTCGCGAGCGTTTTCGAGGATCGGCAGCCGCTAGCATCGCCGTTGGCCCAGGCACGGTAGCGAGTAGTTCGAGTAGGTAGGTCAGATAGCCCGTCGCCCGTCGCTCTCCTGCTAACAAGACGCCAGAGTGTGCGACGAGCGGACATTGGCGACGCTTCGGGCCTAGATCGCGCGCTCGTGCTGAGCTGGCTTGCATCGCGACCCGCTAATCTCAGCGACCTCCACGTCTCGCTTCTCTCGCAGCCATGGGCTTTAATCCGCTCGATTTGGCGGGCAGCGGCGCAGTTCTCCCTCCTCCTCTGCCGACCCGCTGGCAGCATCATGCCACACCCTCCTCCAAGTCGACCATGAGCGCTAGCAGCCCGAACCCCAGCGCGCCCGTGCGTCTCTCTCGACCCCGCATTTCTGAACCCAACGGCCACTAACCCGTCGCGTCTTAGGCCGTAGCTGCTGCGCTAGCCACCGACTGCTTCGTCGTTCTCGCCCTCGACGCTCGCGGCAGCCCCTTCGTCTTGCCCTCCGACTCCTTCAACCGTGCCAGGCACCTGCTCGCCCACAGCTCCGCCTGGCACGACCTCAAGGCTCTGCTTGAGCCCGCCCCGCCCGCTCCCGGTGCGTTGCTCATGCCGAAAACTGGGGCGCCTGATTGCTGACACGCTGCGTTGCAGTGATTCACCAACCCGAGCCCGCCCAAGCCCCAACTGAGTGGGTCGACGAGCTTTCCACTGACGGCTCCGATGAGAGCAGGCGTGCCAGCCTGGTCCCCGCCTTCGCCAATCAGCCCGCGCGCAAACCAAAGCCCAAGCCAAAGCAAAAGAGCCCCAGACAGGATGCCCCACGCCCCCGCAAACGTCAACGCTCCTCCTCGCGCAACCTCAGTGTCCGCGAGGAGGAAGACGACGAGCAGGAGGATTGGTCCGTCAATGCCGACGCCGAGCCCACCGAGACGCCTACCGACAGGTTCCCCATCAGTGACCGCAACAAGGTAATCGCCAACTTGGGTCTGCGCCTGGACCAGATGCAGCAGCTGGCCTGCAAGGTCATCCTGAAGGCTTGGATCAAGGCCATTGAGCCCAAGAAGCAGTCAAACTTCCCTTACGTCGGCAGTGATGATTCCAAGTCGCGGGACAAGACCAAGGCCGCCAAAAATGCTCAGGCGAAGCGTGCTAAACCGAGAGAGGGCCCGGACAAGCCAGACTGGTGGCCGAGAGAGCCTCAGCCTTGGTGGGGGTTGCTCCCCAACCAGAAATGCAAGGAACTCGAAAGGGTTCGCCACAAGGAACCAGACCATCTCAAGAAAGAGGGTATGGGTTGCGCTTGCTTCCTGTCGGAGGGAACCTGCTAATGAACCACAGATCGTCTCGTCTTGGGTGTCCATATACTCTTGTACCAAGCGGAAAAAGAAGGGGGTATTGAACTCCTGGTTCATTCGACCAAGGATTGTGTCCTTCGATTTGATCAGGACAATGAAAACGGCGATGAACGCAGGGACAAGCGCGACATGTTCTTGCAGGACATCTATGACCTGGCTCAGAACTGGTCTGACTACGTGACGGGTGGATTGGGTGAGTTGAATGCTTTCCTTGTCCATGCTCTTTGGCTGACACTGCATGATCAGACGCCGATGCCATGCATGTCATGAGGCAATATCCGAAGCAGGCGCTTTCCACAAAGAAACGTCGTCAAAACTTCAACCCAAAGCGCGCTCGGCAGGAGTCTTCCGTCGAATCGCAAGAGGTTCAGCAAGCGGCTTTGACCGTGCATGGCAATGAGCTGGACGACCTTAGCATGTCGACTAGGCAACTTGAACTTCAGAACAGTTCATCATGGGGTCTTTCAAATGGAATACCGGAGCCACCTCCGGTAAACGAATATTTCCAAGGAGACAGCGCCGCCTTCCAGTTTAGCCAAATACGGAATCTGTCGGGCACAGGCGATCTGCAACATGCGTATCAGCAGAATCCAATGATGCCGCCACAGGTCTACGAAGACGTATCGAGATACGCTTACGACACGAAGAACCCGGCCAATTTCCCCGACAATCCTGCATACGCAATGAGCCGGGAGCCAAGTTACGTTAGCCAACCGTCGAGCTACAACACTGATTGGCGAGCGGTCCAGTCTAATCCTTCATTTTCGCCAGCGTCCACTACCTCGTTGGCGCAAAGTTCAAACACGTCCTACACATCGCCTTCAACGACCTTCCCTGGTCGGGTCGATTATTCATTTGGCTCTGTAAACCAACTGTCCCCCTCTCATGCTTACCAGAGCCCAGGGGGTCAGGTGGGCGGGCTTTCTGCCACCTCGCCTTGCATGCCTCAGATCGCATCAACGGCCAATGTCCAGCCGATGATGCAAGGCATGCGGGGCCAGGCTTCATATGATGAACAGTACTCGAACCAGGCTTTCCGAACCGGATCTTTGGGCCATCCGCACATAGCCTACAACATGAACAACCAGCAGTACGGTTAAAGGCGGCCCATTTGCCTCGCAGATGCCCTAGTGCTGGGCACGCTCTTTTCTCATCCAGCCTGGTATCTTAATATGACCCACGCCACGAAATCTCCGATTGACGAAGTTGATGAAGCGTTTTCATGTGTATCAGTATGACGACGATACGACACACGTTCGATTCTTCGATTCGCTTCTTTACCACCAACTGGGCGGGCGAGTTTTATTCTGCATTGAGCGTTCCGTGCTGCAAAATTGGGTTGTTTTATTTTGTCAAAAAGCGCAGGTTGTCAGCGCCATATTTATCCTCGGAGTTGGCCCCTAACGGAATTCTGATCGATTTCGGCATGGGCGGAAAGCGTGCTGTGTTTGCATGTCTTTGCTGCATCGACAAGTGGCTGTGGTTGCGGTCTCGTCTTTTCTCATTGTTGTCCCATTGTTGATGTCTTTGAGCACCTTGAGATTCATCTTGGAGGGTTTTGCTATATTTTTTCATGTTTGTTCGTCTCGAGCGTGTTAGCGAGCGAGTTTGCAAGGTTTATCTGCCTGTCCGAGATGGCTTCCATAGTATACTTGCAAGAAGTAGATGCCTCTCGCGGGGAAGGGAGGCCTAATACACTTTTCGGTCTTATGATGGCACAACATGTGTGGATTCTGTGGGATTATTGTGCAGTATTTAACTTGAAGCCCGACCTCGGCGGAGGTGGAGGGGTGAAGTGAAGTGGGCGCATCTCCTATTGTTCCAAATGCGGCGTGATTGTCGTCGATCGCCTGCCAAGCCATGACATGGATCGTTAAGCTCACAAGCTCCGTCGCGCTTTTAACAACCAACACTCAACAAAGAAGCGCGACACTGCACTCTCGACGTCCTCCATTTCCGGCCGACTTTGTTCCGCGACCCTCGCAATCTACCAATCCACCCAAGGCCCCTGGATAAATGACGACGACTGCTCGGTAAACGCGACGAAGACACCGCTGCGACCGCAATGTCGTCAGCGCGCGGAAACGGGCGCGGCCGTGGCAGAGGCCGCGGAGGTTTCAAGGCAGTAAACGGCGCAACACACAGCGATGACGAAGGCAAAATGCTGCGCGGGAACTGGAGAGGACGGGGCAACGCGAGGGGAGCGCCCGCGGCGGCCAGAGGTGTCCCTACAGGTCCCCGGAGCAAGCAACTGAGGCCACCACAACCCAGGTCCAACTCAGCGCCGCCGAAGCCCAACACTGCGCCAGCCAACCCGCGTGGTGCCAATGCAGGAGATGCTGCCGGCGGCTCGTACGCGCAGAGATATCAAACGGTCCCTTCACCTCCTCTACATGCTTTGCGACCTGCTTCTGACTTTACTCCAGCTCAAAACCAACCGGGAGAAGGAACGCAAACACGCGATCGCGAACGGCTTTCTGGCCGACCCAGACAAGCCCCGGACCCTAGCTGAGGCCATAACGCCGGTTGGAACGTGCCAGGATATGTGCGCTGAATGGGAGCGCGTGGAGCGCATTGTGCAAAAGGACGTTTGGGAACCTGAATACGTGGGTTTATAATGCGACTCAAAGACGGCAAGGATGCTCTGACTGGTTATAGGACCCGGAAAGCGTAGGCAACGGATACGGCAACAAGGTGCCCGCGGAGCACCGCATGGTCAAGAAATTCCGACGTGCGGCGGCAGGCGTTGACGAACAGCTTCCCTCGGATCTTCGCCCACCTCACATTCTCAAGGTAGATCGCCCGATGCGAACGTATGGGCAAACGCTAAGATGATGGGAATAGAAAACGGTTGACTATCTACTCAATGAGCTTATTGACGAAGCTCCATCACTCGCCAGCGTTCACCATTTCATTTGGGATCGGACGCGCGCCATTCGCAATGACTTCTCGATCCAGCAAGTCAGCAAAGCCTCCGATGTCCGGATTGCCATTGAGTGCTACGAGCGCATTGCGCGGTTTCACATTCTTTCCATGCATCAGCTCGCGCTGCACGAGAAACCTTACGATGCCTATGAATGGTTCCAGGAGCGCGAACAACTGGATAGAACGTTACTCTCTCTCGTCCAATATTACGATGACAGTCGGGGCAAATACCAGGCACCCAACGAAGCCGAGTTCCGTGCGTATTGCATCATATTTCAAATTCGGGCACACATTCCGGATATGGAGGATAGGGTTCAGGAGTGGCCGCCCGTGGTTCAACGGGATCAGAGGGTGCAAAAAGCATTAAAGCTTTACGCTGCGGCTGCCAATGTTGAGAGCCCACAGGGCCCGCTCAATCCCCGGACGAACCATGCAGTGGCGCAGGAGAACCCCCAGAGATTTTGGGCCTATGTCGGATCCGACCAGATTTCTTACCTGATGGGTTGCGTTTCCGAGGTTTACTTCAACACTGTTCGCCAAACTGTTCTAAACAACATCTGGCAGTCATATCGCGCCGGCGGCAATACTAGGACCGAGGATTGGACCCTCAAGGAAATGACTTATGTGCTAGGTTACGATGAAGAGGAAGACACCCGGATGTTCTTGGAACATTATGGCTTTAGGATTGCTGAAAAGGAAGACCGCACCGAGTTTTTGGATTTGACCTCCGTCCAGGGCAAACAACTTCCGGATCCTTCTGCTATTCCTAATCAACTTCTTTCTCACGGCCTTGTGGAAACGAAAAGGTATGGACGGACATTCTCAGCAGTCATCAACGGAATGTCTGTAAGAGCCGCGAGAGCCGCCGGCATGATCGAAGAGAGTGATGAAATGGCAGAAGATCCGCCAACACCTATCCCGGTTTCCAAGGAAAAGTCACTATTTGTCACCGGCGATTCAGAATCTGATACGGATACTGAAGCAAAGACCACGGCAGCACCTACCATAAACTCCTTTGCCTCTGCAACTAACAATCCGTTCGCTTCGGCGGTTGGCTCTTTTGGCAAACCTGCTGGTCCAGGTCTTGAAGCACCAGGATTTAATGCGGCTGCGCAAAACAACGTCTTCGGAAAGCCGGTTTTCCCCGCTGCTGCATCGCAGCCAACCTCAACTACCGGTATTTCTGGGTCTATATTCGGCTCACCCGCCAGTGGTTTCTCTGGCTTCAAGCCAGCAACTCCCAGCAACCCATTTGCACCCACTACAACTCAAGGCAACACATTTGGTGTGCCAGCTGCTGCTGCATCGACATCATCAGCGGAGTCGCTGTTTTCGTTTCCCAAAGCTACATCGGCCGGGCCCACTACAACAACTTCACCTTTCAGTACCAGTGCGTCTACGTCTGGTCCAGGATCAGCATTCAATTTTGCCACCCCTGTAGCACCTCCTTCATCCAATACAAATGTAGCAAACTCCCTACAGGGTGTTTCCCAGTCTGCCAAGACATCGTCACCGTTCCAGCTCAATGGCCAAGGAACGACTACTCCAACGACAACTCCTCCTGGGTCCTTCTCTTTTGACAAGCCTCTTGAGCCCAAGCTTACCGGACAAGACGATACCACTCCATCCACAACCCCTCCCGGGTCTTTCTCTTTTGAGGACAAATCCACGCAATCCTCAGAGCCCTCGAGTTCTTTTTCTTTTCCACAAAAGCCTGCTGTGGCCTCTGCTCCTTCATCGTCCATCTTCGGCTTCCCACCCATATCATCCTCGGACAAAACAACGACAGCAACACCTGGTACATCGGTATTTTCTGCTACTGGATTAGCTGCGCCCAAACCTGCGGAGCAGCCTTCTGCTGCTACGAAACAGACTGAAAAGCCTGCTACAAACCCTTTTGGGTTTACACCTTCCCAACTAGATGGTGGTTCTCCGTCAACATTGTTTCAAAAGCCCGCATCGGCGACTACATCCACTCAAACGGCTGGTTCTGTATTCAGTCCCTCCACTAATGGCAAGTCGACCAGCGCTGGAGCTCTATTCTCCCAACCAGCGTCTTCGGTACCTGCCAATGTGCCCACGTCAACCACATCGGCTATTGGATTATCTTCATCTTCCAGCGTTGGAAGTTCAGCAAGCGCTGGCTCTTCACTTTTCCAATCAGCGCCCTCGGCACCCTTGGCGTCTGCTGAAAATAACAATCGTCAGCCAGCAAATTTCGGCTTCAAGCCAACGACGCAAACAAAAGAAACGCCCATCCCAGCGCAGCCGAGCGCTTCGCTTGCTCCTCCGAAGAAAAGCTACAAAGAAAGTGTAACTGACAAGGTCCTCGATGTGGTTACTAAAGACCTCCTGCTGGAACCCAAGCGAGGTCTTCTCACTCAATTTATTGAACACATCGCAGAGCCAGTTATTATAGATGCCTTCGAGGAATTTGAACATGAACAGAACTTGAAAGCAGCGGATGCATTCCGTGAGTACGTTCTAGGTGTGCGGTATCTCCGCATGTGGAGAGAAATTTGGTGGTCCAATCACTTAAGGCGCCGTGGTAGGGAGAGGCGAAAAGCGCGACGGTCGGCAGTCGCTGCAGCTACGGCGGCGAAGAACGTTGAAGAAAGGATCCAAACCGATGTCCAAGGGTTCCGAAAGAGCATGGATGTTAGCAAGAGGAAGAGAATGTCATCCATAGACGGAGCACGTGGTAACAACGGATTTGGCGATTCATTCAGATCCAGCATAAGCATGGAGGAACTGGCTCAGCAAAACGCTCACGACAGAAGTCAGACTACGCGCCCGCTTAGTTTGCAAAAGCAATCACTTGCTTTGTCTCGCTCAGCTTCGTCGGGCTCAATCTCCGGCAGCCATCGTCGCACACAAACGGATCCTCTTGCAGCAAGCCAGACGAGTCGTAGCATTTCCAGGTCATCACCACGTGGCGAGAGCTCAGCAGTTATGCCACCGCCTGCTCAACCCACTCGGTACCGTGCGTCTTTCCTCACTGGACAGCCTCTGATACCGAAACAAAGCGCATTCACTGGCCGTATCAGCACGACACGTTCTGAATACTTCCGACTGAAAGCAATGGGTGTCAATTATCACGATGTATACGGATCAAACAAGAAGCGTCAGCGTGATATTGACGATGAAGGAGAAGATCCGAATACTTCTGCTGGGGCCAGTCGGTCGTTGAGCCCCCCTGAAAAGAAGAAGAGAACAGTCTTGGGTCGTTCAACCTCTCAACGCCCGAGTCAGAGCCGCACGCCTTCTGTGGAACACCACCTGGCAGCCACACCAAGCAGTGCGCCAAGCCGCTATAGCCAGGAAAGCCGTTACAGCCGGGAAAAGTCTCGCGAGCAGGTCAATGCAGAGGATGACGCATTGATTGCTCGTTTCAAGGCTATCCGAAAAACTCTCGCCGAGGGCACTGAATTCATGCGGAGCACTAGGGAAGAAGAAGAGCGTCGTGACTTCCGAGCTAGCCAGTCATCGACGGCTGATCCTCTGGCCCAATCGTATAGCTCCTTCCGCCAGTCTCACTTTCCCCAAGCGGAACCACCAGTCGCCTCGGCCAATCTCCCCAAATATTGGAGCCGTGAGAGCAAGTTTTTGCCACGCTCCGAATATGGTGGTGGGCGTTGGTTGGCTGCCAAGCAGAAGATCAAGGAGGAACCGGGCAAGCAGGAGAAGGCAAAGGCCGGTCTCGCTGCGTCGAATTCTCAGCCGCTTAAATCACACCCTGACGCGTCTCCGAGGAAACCTGCTCTGAAGCAGCCATCACATAGTGCTTCGCTCTTTCAGCGAGCTGTATCGTCTCAGGGTTTCGCAAACTCAACCCAGGATTCCGCACCCGCTCAGCCGAAAGCTTCCTTCAATCCCAGTAGAAACACCTTTATGATAGACAACGCGACGGGTACCGGTACACAGGACGACGAGATCATGGTACTTTCGTCAGATGACGAAGACAACGGGACACAGACTGCTGGCGAAGCAACTCCTGTCAAACCCGAACTCACGCCTCAGGAAATCCAAGCTGTAGTAGGAGACGAAGACGATGAGGTTCTTCTGGTGAACGGTGATGACCAGCAGTCTGTCGAAGACGACGCAGCCTCTCGATATGCTGACAGCGAGTACGGCGTTGAGCATGAGCGGCAGTATGGCCAGGGAATTGAAAGATTTGGCAACCAATCCTTCGGCGGCGAGGAATGGGATGAGCAGGAAGGCACTGAGGACGATGACGAAGGGGACGATGATGATGAAGGCGACGAGGAGGATGAGGACGACGAGGATTTGGAAAGTAACGAAAGTGTCGAGGAAGATGAGCTTGGCGTAAGTGGAGAGGAAGACGAACAGAGTGAAGAGGGTGAGAACATGGGATCGAAATACAAGGGTGCCGGTAACAGCTTCGAGGATGCGATCGAGCTTTGAGCCGGGCCTAGGGAGATATGCATGGGGCAATGTTGGAGGCAGACTGAATGATGCATAGCGAAGGCGTTATTAGGTACGGGGTCTTTTTATTTGGGGAAGTTTCTTATTTCCCGAGGTTCGTTTCGACAAGTACAAAGAAATGATATGGTGTGGTAGTACAGTGCGCACACTAGTTTTTTGCGCTGAATTATGGCGAGAATGATATCTTCTTTCGCGTTGTTGCCTTTTGTATAGAACTTGTTGGTGTGGGATACAAGAAGCGTGAACGGGTCTTGGCTCATTTGCGCAAAAGCTATCCAATGTCCTGATAAAGTAAACTGTAGACTGCCAAGCTGGTGTAGCGATTATATTGTGCATGTCTATATGAATGAAGTCTTTGTTAAATATTCGACAAAGGTCTACTATCGCCATCCCCCCTAAAACAGGTATTATTCTGTAGAAGCAAAAGTAAATAAATCATGTCGCCACGAATTTAAATATTGTAGATGGGATAGCCATCTGTAGAAGACAGTCCTAGTTACACAGTCCTAGAGCTTTCACTCGACTAGATGAGCAAGCGCTGTTGCCTGTGCCTGGCTAAAGAAATCTGTTGCCTAGGCTGCGTCCAATGAGGAGGGTGCGTTTTCCGCTGAGGCAGGATGTTGCAGCCTCGCAGTGACGCAAGGGGAAGGCAGGACCCACCATGACCCACCAGACCTGGATGAGTAAGCGCACTAAGCGAGGCGCGAGAGCAGGTATAAAACCCTCCCTCCTCCCTCCACAACCTCCTCTTCTTTTCTCTTTAGCTCTCTTTGCCTTTTGGCTTAGATCAAGTGTAGTATCTGTTCTTTTCAGTTTAATCTCTGAAACGCTCCTACGGGAGCATTCGTGATTAATCTAGTTTTTGGAACCAGGGGGTCGGCCGCTGTGCTTGCACATGTCGATTCCCACAGTGTCGCTCGTATTGCACTGCCTCGGGCTGACGCGAACTACTACTCTTTTCATTGAGTTTTCCGCTTTACGCGGGATCTTGAAGAAGAGGTGTGAATGATTGAATGACTCTGATTGACGTGGTCGTGTTTGTTGGCAGATACCTTATGACAGACCTTAGAACTGGAAAGAAAGAACAACAAATACTGCGCTGGATCCAACTAAGCCATGGGAAAACAGAGTGAGGCTACCTGAGAACGGGCAAACATCACTGTCGGCGGATAGCCGCCCCGGGGAGCCAAGAGAGGCGTCGAAACGAATCAGGCGCGGCGTGCGGGCTCTCCGGGGATAGCCATTGCACGGTTGGCTCTGGGGCGAGCAAGGTCTAACATCACTCGCACCATCATCCACCACGGCATCATGACTTCAGCGCGGTGTTCTGGCCGCCAAAAAGGCACACAATGGCCCTGCAGGACGAAGCCGGCCACTCAGCGGTCGGAAGGAGGGAAGAGCCGGCGCAAAAAGCTGGTTCGGGGTTTGACCGACCTCAAAGAATCGCCTCAAGATGAAAGCGTTTAAGAGGGCGGCACCCGGAGGTCCGTCGCCTGCCCTTCTCCAGCACAACCCCAACCTCGCCCCTCGCTGCCCCTCGCGAGGTCCAGCCGGCATCGGACCGCTCTTGCCGTCAGCCCTATCCAGCGCCTCGACCATCGCCGCCTGACGATTGCGGATATACCTTGTTGGTCCGTCACACCAGCCCGTCACGCTCTCATCCCCCTCGCCCTATACCTTCATCCCTCTCCCACGACACCGCCTCCCTCTCCCAGGACCACTCCACCATGGCCAGCGCAGAACGAATTCTCATGAGCGAGTACAAGGCTCTGTCAAAGGAGCCTTGGACCAACATCGAGGTGAGCGCGCCCTTGCTGCCAACGCCAACGCCAACGCCGTCCTGACACTGACACCTGTCCAGCTCATCAACGACAATGTCTTCGAATGGAGCGTCGCACTCCTCGTTCTCAACTCCGACTCTGCGTACAACGGCGGCTACTTCAAGGCAAAAATGACCTTCCCCAAAAACTTCCCCTTCAGCCCGCCAGGTGAGTCGATGCACCCCAACCGCCCCCGCGCGCTACCTTCTCCTGGGATCTGACCGATACTCCTAGATTTCAAGTTTCTGCGTCCCCTCTGGCATCCCAACGTGTATCCCGACGGTCGCCTCTGCATCTCCATCCTTCACCCGCCCGGCGACGACGAAATGTCGGGTGAGCTGGCGTCGGAACGCTGGTCACCTGCTCAGCGCGTCGAATCAGTCTTGATATCGATTCTGTCCCTCCTTGACGACGCCGAAACATCTTCCCCCGCCAACGTTGATGCGAGCGTCATGCTGCGCTTCGACCAGGCCAAGTACAAGGAGATGGTCAAGAAAGATGTAGAGGTCAGCAAGCAAGATATCCCGGAAGGCTTTGTTATGCCTACAGACCAGGATGTCTTCAAAGCGAAGAAGGAAGATGACATCTTTATGGAGTGGGAAGACAGCGACGGGGACGAATCCTTCGGTGGCTCGGATTCCGACATGGACGACTTCGAGGTTGACGACGATGACGACATGGACGAGTCTGGGAGTGGTGACGAAGAGGAAGAGGACGAAAAGCGCAAGCAATGACCGGCAGCCCAGGACTGCTCTTCCTCTCTGCTTCTAACTCGCGGAGTTCGGTCACTATTGTGGGCCGAACAACACGGAAATCAGCTTCAATGCCGCGCGTGGGCATTGCTTTCTTTTCGATTCATAATCCTTTTCTCTACTAGACTTGTTTCTTTTCTCGGGGTTCTACATGGCAGCGCGGCGTTTGGGATCCAGGCCTTTGGTGGCCTGACATGGAGTGGCGCAGCGGCATCTACTGGCATTTGCTCGGAGTCTTTTTTGTCAATGCTAGTCCAGCCTTGCTTACGTATGTTGCGGTTTGCAAAAGTACACTACTGCAGGCTCACTGCGTAGCCAGAAGCATACACTACGATGGACTTTTCGAATTCCTTCATCAAGGATATAATCTCTAGCACTTCGTTCTCCTTTAGCGGTCGTGACCTACTCTGCTAGATCTGCGATGGCAGTGTGCAAACATCCAGCCATGGCCGACTTGAGCTTCTGTAAACGCAACGCTGGACCATGAATATATCAGCAAGGCTCAAATCTCTTTATCCGTAGACCGTTTGCATCCCGTCCATGACAAAAGGCTCTTTAGGCCACCAGCGTAGTAGCCTTAGAGAAAGAACCGGCCGGCCGTTTTTCGGCAGCTGAATAGGAGGATTGGGCTTGCAAGTGATTCCCGGAGCTGATGCTCCAGAGTCGAAGCAACCGGATGTTGGGCAGAGACTGGCTCAGCCTTGGCGTCGTCGCAAGCTCTCTCTCTCTCTCTCTCTCTCTTTCAGTCTTTGGGGGTCATGCCAAACTCATCCTGGACCTCCTTGATCCTCACGCCTCGCGACTCCGCAATGATCCCCATGAGGCCCTGACCTACGTCACGGATTTCGTTGTAGTCATGCAGAAGACGGATGTGCTCCTTGATGATGTCTTTTGCGGCCTGGATGCCAGCCTCGGCGGCAGGAGTAGACGTAGAAGCGTCGGATTGGGGGAGCGTGGCAGCGACGGAGGGGATGGTCGTGAGTTTCTGGAGGAGGTCGTCGCGGTGGGCCGTCAGGTCGGCCAGCTGGGCCTCGAGGGCAGCGGTGCGCTGCTTGGCGGTGCGCTGGGAGAGTGGGGGAGCGAGAGTCAACAGGCAGAAGGTGGACAAAGTACAATATCTGTACACTTACCAGGCGCGCGTCGTCGTCACGGTCGTTGTGCTGCATGGTGGGAACGAGAGGGCACGGGCAGAGGCGCGACCTGGCGTGCCAATCAGCCCGCGGGCGATAAGACGCACGGAGGTCGGTTGCGCGTCACTGCCTTGGACGGGACTGCCGGAGTTGGGAGCTGAGAAATGGATCATCCTTCTGGGAAAACACCCCTCCACCTCGTGTTTCGTCTCCTGCCGACTGCCGCCCACCTACTCTCTGTCGCTGTTTCACTGCCGTCACAGCGGGCCACGCCGCCACCATGTATAACCCGTCGTTGCGCCTGGCCCTCGTCGCCTGCATGGCTGCCTCTACTGCCGCTCACGAACACCACATGGACAAGATCCCGGAAGGCGCCGGCACTTCTCCAGATCCCATAGTGCGCCCTCTCGCTCCTCTATCCCATTGGACGCGCTTGCTAACCGCCGCGCAGGACGCGACGCTATGGGTCCATATCCTGCTTCAGTCGCTTGCCTGGGGCGTCCTCTTCCCCACGGGCATGGTCCTCGGTGTTCGTCGTCCTCGACACTCCTTCTCCAGACTTTGCGCTCATAATCCTCCCAGATCACCCGGTCACGATGGCACGTTCCTATCCAGTCGACTGCCACCGTCATGGCCATAGTCGGCTACTTCCTGGGACACAAACACAAGGGCCGCCAGTTCTCGACAAACGTCCATGCCAGCTTCGCGCCCTGGCTCATGTTCTTCCTCTTCTGCCAAGCTTTCTTTGGAATCTACTTGAAGCTGCACCTTGAGAAAGGAATCCACGGAACGATTCGGAGGTACATAGTCCCCGTTCACGGCGCGATTGGCAAACTCCTTCCATTGGGCGCCTGGATCCAGATGCTATTCGGCGGCATCACAGCCTTGGGTTTCTGCCGGGACGATCATATGGGCCAGTGCCTTGCACACTTCATCATGGGCAGCGCGTTCATCGCGTACGGAATCATCATGACTATCCTCTTGCTTGTGGGCCAGCTGTGGTTGAAGCGCACCGGAAGGAGCCAGGAGTTCTTCGATTCCCTCATGATTGCTGCTTGGGGATGCGTGAACACTTTCACCGAGCACCGCTGGGGCGGCCCCTGGGTTCACAATGACCTCCAGCACACCTCCATGGGGATTGTCTGGTGGTGCGCGGGGCTGGTCGGTATCTGGCTCAGCAGGACCAGGGACGGCAGGCCAAAGAGGAACTTGATCCCTGCTGTTGTCATTCTTCTTACCGGATTCGCCATGTCTGCCCACCCGCAGACGTTGCCTCTATCGACCATGGTGCACTCCGTTTTTGGATACACCTTGATGGGAGCCGGTATCACCAGGATTATTGAAATTTCTTTCGTACTGCGGGACCAACCTTGCATCAGTGATGACGGCACGGACATCCACAGCTGGCAGCATTTGCCTCCATTCGTACGTTTCTTGCAATGTCTCCGAGTATGTGGACAGCTTTGAACTGACATCGTATAGCTCCTCTACGCTTCTGGTTTCCTGTTCATGGGCGCAACCGAAGAGCAAATGGCTCTACTTTCCGACGCTCACGTTACGCATGTTTCTTACGTTCTCATACTCTACAGCATTGCTTTCCTCCTCTACCTTTGTGAGTAACCCGTCAGTCCTCCCAGCTTTATCAATACTGACACACGAACAGTCGTCAACATGCTGCTTCATGTTTACGCTACTTACGCCTGGCCCGAGTCCACCAAGCCGGACCCCGAGAGTGGCCGCCCTAACGGCATCCCCAACGGGCACGCTCGCGGACATGCCCACACCCGCTCAATGGAACAGCGATTGCGCGACGCGGAGGAGTTTGAGCTTGAGGGGCTGATTTCGGACGAGGAAGCCGAAACGCCCACTACCAAGGAGACGACTAATGGGCACGCGACGACCTAAGTGACGAGTAATTTGGGTCGTTTGGATTTTTCTTGGTTCTGGTTCAACGGGCTCTTTGACTAGGAATCGAGCTTGACTGCGGGGGACCGGACGTCGAAAATATGGATACTGGCGTTGGGGTTGGGTTTGTTTTACCTTATTTCTAATCTACATATTTCACGTCACCCAATGCCGGATACGGCTAATGCTTTGATGGAGATATGGGTTTTAAAAATGTTTTTATACATCGCAGCGCAGAGTTCCTTGAACGGAATCTTTGACGTATTCCAGATGGCGTTGTTCAATATTTGGCATCTATCAATATCTCGTGCCATCAACCATCAGCACATTCCATAGCTTCTTTTCCTCCCATTGCCCATCTCTATTCTACGCAGTCCCTAGCTTTCTAGTGTGGTGTACATACTCTAGCTCTACAAATGCCCGTTTCCTTGTAGTAGCTGTTCAGTCAGCAGTTCAGTGAAGAAACAAGGCCAATCCCTCAGTCGTCCGGGGGACCCAACAGCACTCCTGCCATAAGAGCGCAGATCCCCCACTGTATCCAGCGCAGCGTCTCGCTGAATCCCAACTCGGCAATTTCGAAGGGCCGAGGCGGCAAAGAAACCAGACGGTTGGTAAGGTACCTAGTAAGCGGGCTCCACCGCTCATCGCTTCCCTTCTTGAATCTCGCGCAGCAGCTCGATAATCTCGCCCGCCATGCCCTCGATGACGTACTGCTCCTTGTCGGTCATCTTGCGGAGAACGTACTTGGCGACGTCGTCGGGCTCCCTGCTGGCGGGGCGGCCGATGCCGAGGCCGATGCGCGCGTAGGGCATGTTGCTCAGCTGGACGTTGATGCTCTTGAGGCCGTTATGGCCGCTGCTCGTGGGGAGAAAAAGACAATGGTCAGCACTTGGGCCCCGTCCCTCCATCTCTCTCTCCCTCTCTCTTTCTCTCTTTCTTTTTCATAAACGGCGCCACCGCCGCGGACACGGCTAGCGGACGGACGCAGGAGAATGAAGAAGTGAAAGCAGAAGCAGCAGTAGAAGAAGAATAGAAAAGAGAAAATGAAGAAAAACTTACCGCGCGCTCCCGCCCCTCCTAAACGTCGCCTTCCCCAACGCCTTCTCCAACTCATCATGCAGCACAACCAACTGGCCCTCCTTATTCGCCCTCTTCCACTTGCCGTACGCCTGCCCAAGCCCCTTCCCACTAACATTCATCAAGCTGGTGCTCTGCCACAGCGTCCAGTCCTCCTCGCCCTCCTTCACCGGCTCCCGCCCCAACCGATCCGTCTTGCTCGACCCCGGCGCCAGAATCCCCGGCAGCCAGCTGAAGCCCGGCGCCACCGGGTCGCTCTGCCGCGATATCAGCCCGCCCCGCCCCGCCGCCCCCGCCGCGCTGTCTTTCCGGAACGGCGCAAAGCCCCGCACTACGCGGATCTGCTCGAGCGCCGTGTGCCCCGCGCTGTGCAGTGTGTTTGCGTAGGCCGGCGCCGGGTTGCCGATCGACGCGATGAATAAGGGCACGATCTTTCCGGGTCTGCCTGCCATGGCTGTGGTGGACTGTTCGCCTGCCGCCGGTGCTGTGGCTGGTGCCTTTTCCTTTCCTTCTCCTTCCTTGTTTACCGGAGCGGCAGCAGAGGAAGGCGGCGGCGGCGGTGCCGTGGCGGGAATGGTGGTGGTAGTGGTAGTGGGAGTATCCGCGGATCCCAGGACGGCACGCGGCGCGGGTTGCACGAGCGGATTCTTCCCCAGATTGAAAGGCTTGCGCGGTTTGCGCGTCGGGCTGGGCCAACGGGTTGAGCGGGGGAGTTTGCCTATCGTTGACGGCAGAATGGTGAAGTTTGTTGGTGGTGGAGACTTTTGGACCTGGGCCGCGTTGATCTCCACCGCATCCTTGTCCGTTCCCCGATTCTTGTCCGCCATACTCCTAGTCAGTCAACTCTACGTGCCGTGTATTATATTCAAAATTCTTGCAGGAGAATACTTGATGGATTGGAAGCACCAGACTTGAGACCAATGTCTTTGTACTGTACCAAGCCTTCCGCAAACGACCTCGCCAGTCAAAAATTAAATGTGCCAGCCATCACTTCAATGAACCACTCTGTCGAGCAACGAGTAAATAAGGCTGAGGCCTGTAGTCGCCCAGAAAAGATCCAATATCCCCCAGCGCGCGCGCGCGCTTTTCCCGGGTATCCTAATCCCATCCTTTTCAAGCATGACAGGAATGTCCTCAAAGCTGCGCCGCGATCCGAAAACAAAGAGAAACACCCATAACACCTGCCCTAGTACAGACGGTATCACAGAATCCAGCCCACGACTAAAAAGCAGTAACATGGAACAAAGCAACTACGCGAACAGATTCGCAAAGATGGAAGAAACAAAAAATCCTCACTGCGACTGGGTACGTTCAAACTCCCTCCAACGCACCAAGTCCATGTACAAAAATTAGGTATTTAAACAAATATTCTCTCATCGTACACAATGAGGATGTAGTCGTAGAGTCGGAAACGGTCGTATTCGCATGATTGAGGCCTTTGGCAACATTGTGACACATGCGGAAATGGGTGTCAACATGGCTTGTTTGAGCACTCTCTTAGCTGACATTCATCCCTCCGTGCATAAAGTTGGCGGCGTCGTTAGCACCCATGTAAGTCTTCGATAGGCCAAGGTTGTCGTCCATGAGGGACATGCCGATACCGCTGTCGTCATGATCCTGGTTTTCGAGGTCCATGGCGAAATTTTGGAATTTGTTCTGATTGAAGGGCTCTTGGGCGTTGCGGACATTTACTATGACATTTGATGTCAGTCAAAGTCTGATAGCCTATCTGATAGGCCAAGTCTCGGCTACAACGTACTGTCATCCCCGGAACTGTCTTTGCCCTGATTACTTATGAAGCTAGTATCCATGGAGAAGTCTGCGCCCAAGCTGCTGTAGCGTCTGGTGCCTTGGCTGTTGCCGCGAACTGCTCCGCCATTGCTGAGTCTGCTGTCCAAATCCGCAGCAGATGCTGAAGGTGACGTGCTTTTGCGCACCGGAGGACGATGTTCCAGGAATCCCCCAAGCGAAGCCAGCCATAGGCTCATTTCATCAACGAACACCTTGGTGATCCACCAGGGCGAGAAGCTCACACCATTCTCAACAGTGATTTCCCGGCAAGCCGCCGTTCCCACTGCGCTGATGCAGTGAAGCAACGTTCGAGTACTAGCCTGCGGAAAGCGGGTTGGCAAATTAGAGAGAAAAAAGGCCAGTCGATCAATGACCGTCTCGTTTGTTATTGGCGAATCACCGTGCTGTTTTGCTGTCGAAAGAGCCGCTTCCTGGTAATGGGTGCCATTTTCCAACCATACCGGTGTCGACAAAGGTTGTAGAAGACTCCTGACATCTTGAGTTAAGATCGTGTAGACCTCTTCGTAACCGCAATCCGGCAATTCACTTTCCAGAATCCTCTTTGGGTTGACAAAGGTAACCCAGTCCTGCCACATTTGGCTTCGGTTCTGATCAATCATCAAAAGAGCTGCCGCCGCATGAGCTGCTTGGTTGGCGCGAAGCATTCTATGCAGGAGTTGTGCAAACAGAGTCGCCGGTTCAAGCCTTGCCTCGAGGACGTGGAGCGGATGGCCCTGGAAGGTTTTGCTGACGTGCTTATGCAGTTCTCGGGATACGTTATCGAGGAAATGCAGCACCACCGGCGGGGTTACCTGCAGAGTAAGTCTCGAGACGAAGCGGATCATCTTCTGGTACATTAACCAATCGCACTCCCGAATCCAAGGGGCCATGTTTGGATGGGCAAGGAGTTTTTGCACTGGTACAGTCAACGTGCCGTGAAAGGAGGTAAACAAGCGGAAAAATTGCTTCTCCTTGCAAAAGCGGATACAATCGACAAGAGATGTGCAATGCGTCCGGTATAAAGCTGTCAATGCGTTGGCGGCGTCTATGTCGGTTTTAGGTGGAACGTAGTCGTGGATGTTGGGAAGCTCAATTGAGTCGTTCTCCTGGAATGACTCTTGGTTCGGAGGAGGAAACTTCAGCTCCTGCTCATACATGCTTGAAGTGTGCCTCGATTGGGTGTAACCAGGGGCATGCGGTTCTGCAAAGACGCGACCCCGAGAAGCTGAGCCGGTGTTGTAAGTTTTCGGTTGTGGGTCTATTCCCTGATCTGAGGTAGGGAATGCGGCAGTGTCTGCTGGCAGGCGTGGCATAGTACTTTGAGTGGCAAGATTGTTCAGCGATTGTCATAATCCACGCAATCAAGAGGGAAAACTTACTTGAAATCAATGTGAGGGTTACCGGATCCTTGCCGCAACCCCATGAAATCGCCGCTTTGTGCACTGCCTGCTCGCTCCAGTTCGTTGCCCTCAATTGGGTCATCTACCAATGCCAAATCCACATAGTGATATTTTGACTCTCCACGAACACCCAATCTCCGAGTAGCAATGCCTGGGAATATCACCCTTACGAGCTTTCCAAATGATGCCGGATTCAGAGGCTGGACTCGCTCCGTGGCGCATCGATCTGCGTACTGAGAGTAGACACGATTCCTGGGGACAGAGGTTTTTGCATGCTTACACGTCTGCCTCAACCTGTGACGGATTAGCACCAGCTCAATTGTTACATAATCTCTCTTACCATAGCATGGCAAACAACTGCTTTGATTTTTCCGCGCGGGACGTTCTTTCAGTCCGCAAGACCTCTTCTGCCACATTTTTTAAAGTGCGTCCCTCAGCCCGTGTCAACATTTCCCGCAGCTCCTTGTCGTTGGTTGCGCTTGCCGACGAGCTCTTCTTTTTCTTGTCGTCCGTCTCAGCGCCGCTCGCTGCGGCGGCAGGAGCATTGGTAGCGGAAACACCGTACTCAGACGCCTGCTGCTGCAAATGCATATAGGCATTCGGGGGTTGGGAGTAGTGGCTCTGTTGCGAGTGTTGCGGCATCATTTGTTGCGACGCAGATTGCGGATACTGCTGCATAACCGAGTCCGGCATGATGCCGTGATACTGGGCATGCGGGAGCGAGTGGGCGGTAGCGTGCAATATTTGGCCTTGGTCCATGGTTGCGTACTGCATCTGGCCATGCGATCCATCTCCCATGGGCTGCGTCGAGTTTAGGCTACGTTGGTACTGCGTCGCAAAGTCGTTGCTATGGTCCTGGGTTGTGGCCGAGTGCAGGCTGGTTGTCGATGCTCGCGACAGCGGGCGCTGGCTTGCCTTGGTAGATGCAGAGGTGGTTGATCGCGATCGCCTGCCCTGGTTGGCCATGTTTGGCATGACTTTGTGCGGGAGGATCTGTTGTTGTGGCTGGCCGTCAGCTATGTGTTTGTGAGCGATGTCTTGGCTGTTTACCAGCCGGACCGGGCTATCGCTCCACAAAATGGCGGAGTCGCAGACTTACCAGAGTATGGCTGCGCCGATCACCGTCGGGGCGGTCGTCTTTTTGACTGGCTATGCCGATCCAAGAAATCGTCGCGCGCACGACCAAGGCTGAGGCTGCAAGTGGACAGCGGCAGGCAGTAGCAGCAGCGGCGGCAGCAGCGGGGACAGCAGCGGTGGCAGCAGCAACGGGGGGAATGGAACAGACAGGGCGGCGGATGGCAGACACTCGGGCAAGCCAAAGGCAGGAAGGGGGAAGAGGGAGGGGAGGGCGAGGGTTGGGGTGGTTTGTGTTGATGTTGGTGTACGGGTAAACAAGCAGGCGGATGTTTTTGGTTGCCAGAGGACTGTGTCGGGGAATCACGTGCGCGATAGATGAGAAAGGGTGGCAGCAGCAGGAGCAGGAGCAGCAGCTTGAGCAGCTCGAGCAGCAACTGGGCATACACAAAGAGACAAAGGGCAAATGGGAAGCGAATTCCTCGTCGTCGTTGGAACCAGTCGTGCTTGCCCAAGTTTACTCTAGCAACATTACGCGCGCACTGTCCGCGCCCGTCGTCATCGGACCCTCTTTCCCGCTCGCAGCTTCCCACAAACCCATTCCATCAGTCTGTCCTCTCTGCCCCAAAGCCCTCAACTCCCTCCAACTTTACCTGCAACCCATCTCTTCTCTCCACAACACAGCACAGCATCCCTCCCACCACCACCACCATCATGTCGTTCCAGGACCGCGCTCAGCACCAGATCTCCCAGCTCGACAAGGAGGTACGTCGCCCGCCGCGCGCCCGCCTACACTCATCTAACAACTAACTCTGCACAGCTGTCCAAGTACCCTGCCCTCAACAACTTCGAGAAGCAGACCAATGTCCCCAAGGTCTACGCCGTCCTCGGCCTCGCTGCCCTGTACTTCTTCCTCGTCTTCTTCAACATTGCCGGCGAGTTCCTTGTCAACGTGGCTGGCTTCGCCCTGCCCGGCTACTACTCGCTGGAAGCTCTGTTCAGCGCTTCCAAGGTCGATGACACTCAGGTATGCTATGGCCACGTATCGCAATGACACTCGGACCATGCTAACAGTCTCTTAGTGGTTGACGGTATGTCGCATTTACCCCATGTGCAAAACGTTCCCTGCCTGTCAAAACCAAATATGTACTAACACTACTCACATTAGTACTGGGTCGTCTATGCCTTCTTGACGTAAGTGGTCCGTGCATATTGCTAGAGTAGTGCGAAACTGACAGCCGCAGCGTGTTCGAGAGCGCGGTTAACGCCGTCTACTGGTTCCCCTTCTACTACACCTTCAAGTTCGTCTTGATCCTCTGGATGGCTCTTCCCCAGACTTCGTAAGTGCCCGCTTTTGGAGGCCTAACTCGTCGCGGCTGCTGACGCTCGAATGCAGTGGTGCCCAGATTGTCTTCCGCTCCTTCATCCAGCCCGTCTTCTCCCGCTTCTTCTCCCAGAGCGGTTCTACCGCTGCCAACCTCCGCTCCCAGGCGGATGAGGCCTCCAAGGACATCTAAGGCGCCCAGTCGCTTTGCATGCAACACCTTTGGACCGAAGCGGCTAAGATAACCTGCTGGTCATACCCCCAATTGACAAGCTTTACGGGACAATGACGCTCTTACGATACGATGCTCGCGGCGACGAGGAATGCTTAAAAATGGGGTTTTTGGCCCCCATGTTAGGGAAGCAACAGCTATTTTTGGTGAGCGAATGGCGGTTGTTGAAGGAATGGAGTGGTATCAATAGATCGTCGAAATTATGATGAGGACGTTGAGCCCACTTTTTTGGTCTTTGTTCTTCTTTGCGAACGTTTGATCACGGTGCTTGGTAGAGGTTTCTTGCCAGGTCCATGTACCTACCTTACTGTCATGCCCAAAATAATTTGGTGGCAATTTTACTCCATTCCATATCAGTTTCAACATTGCAGAGCATGCAGATTATGTTGGCCGCACGAGCAAGGGCAGTGGTAGAGCTCTAGTGAGGCTCAGGATGGGGAAGAAACGATTTTAGGGCGTGCTATGCTATTTCCAATGCAATGGAGGTATGTACGCTCACCAAGGGCGATTCAATCTTGTGCGGTGAAAGAATATGCTCTTTGAAGCTTTGCGAGCCATGCTGAACGCTACTTGGAACGACAACTTGAAAACCAAGGGGTGTCGGAGCAAGCTCCTCTCAATTTAATGAGATTGTTCGACACAATCCTTCGGCTGGCGAACTAAGATCTTTAGTGGTGGCCATTGTGATCATGGCTATGCCCTTCGCCGTGGTCATAGTCTTGGCTTTCAGACTCGATCCATTCGGCCCAGTACGAATCATCCCAAAGCTCCTGAAGCTGTTCTATCTTCTTTTCCAGGCTCCAGGTTTTGCGCTTCATGATTTTTTCCCACTTTTTCATCTCAGCGTCGCATATCAAACAAGAGTCGAGCAACTCGCTGATGCGCTTCTTGTCCACACTCTCACCGATGAAGACAATCTCCTGTCTCCGATCGCCCCAGTCGCCCTCAAAGTCTTTCCGAACGAGTGCCTTGATCTCTTCGCCTGCTCCCCATTCCTCCTCGTCCTGTTCGCAGTACCAGACCTGCTTCGCCTCAACACGAAGCATGGCACCTGAGGTATTCCATGAACCAGCCTCGCGGGGCCGCGTCGCGAACCATAGCCAACCTTTTGACCTGAGGAGTGGCCCAAGGACAGGATCTTTGGCCTTGTTTGCAATGATGGCTTTTGGGTCAGATGAGACATTCTTGAGGTATTCTTCCATCTCATCGGCCATCTCCTGGCCCTTGGAATCTTTACGCTCTGGCATTAGGTCATCGACCTCTGTAATGGTTTCGACTTCTTCTCCACATTCCTCCTCCTCCTCCTCTTCTTCTTCTTCCTCCTCCTCACCCTCCTCATTCTCCATTTCTTCAAGTTCGCCGTTTTCATCCTCGTCTTCTTCCTCTTCGGGCTGGATAAGGACAAATTTCCCAGCAAGAGCTTTGTAGAGCTTCATGGGATCAAACGGCTTGCGAGCACAATAGACAAAGCTATTGATCCCATACCTGGAAGGATAAGATGTTAGCGATTGCCTAGAAGCGACAAGAACTAGCGGTTTTACTCACTCCAATGCCTCCGGCTTTGGTTCTTTGACCTTCTTACCGTTGAAATCAATCACGCTCATTTCATGGAGACTTGCCAGCCATCCAGACATGATCTGGGCCTCCTCGAAGTTGAACATGTTTGTACCCACAATCTCCTTTACGTCAACCTTCGTGTGCGTTGCCTCCAATACCTTGGCCTTTGGGTTAAGTGTTGCAATGGTAGTACGCACACGCCTCAAAGTCTCAGCATCAACCATGTCGATCTTGTTGATAATGATGACGTTGGCGAACTCAATCTGATCGGCCATTAGATCAGAAATGGTTCTCTCATCTTCTGGTGGCACTTTTTCGCGATCATAGCGGTCCGTAAGAAACTCTCCAGTGTTGAACTCAGCGAAGTACCGGAAAGCGTCGACAACGGTGACCATGGTATCAATCTTAGCGATCTTTTCAAGTCTGCCTTCTCTAGCACTGCGGGGATCAGCAAATCTCTATGAAAGCACCAACGAGAAGAATCAGCTGGACGTACATTTTCTTTATAATTCTTTTATCCTCCAACGGGATTTCTTCAGGGATATCCAGCATCTGAGCAGTGAGCGCGGCAGTAAAAGTCTCAGCTACTTGCTGAGGTTCGCTGATCCCGCTGCTCTCAATCAGGACGTAATCGAATTTGTTTCCCAAAGCCATGTTGGCAAGCTCGACAAGGAAGACCCCTCGCAAAGTACAGCAGATACATCCTGTGTCATACGACGATTAATAGAGTCAAAACTTTCGAAGCCAAATGTCAGCTCAACTAACCGTTCTGCATTTGCACGAGGTTGCCTTTGTCTTGTTTTTCAGAGACACGCGCCACATGGGCGCCGTCCACATTGACCTCCGCCATATCATTGACAATAACTGCGATCTTGAGGCCATGATTATTCGATTGGCGTATGTGCTTCAAGAGCGTTGTCTTTCCGCTCTCCTGTCTACTCGTTAACACATATACAAATCTGAGCAACAAAAACATGTTATAAATTCACGAGATGTACAAGGAATCCAGACAGAATGGTAACTGGCTAGAGATTCTTCACCATTTTCCGCTTAGGCTTGCTCTGAGTCAGAAGCAAGAGGGGAGAGGGGACGGTCAGTTTGGGTTGCTGCAACGACTAAAGGACTTATTTTTATACTTGACACTGTCAGATGCTACCTGTATCCAAGGTGACTGACAGTCAAATTTATCCAGGCGATATTGCACCCTGTTGAACAAGGCTATACTCCATTAGTTAAAAGAGAAATTTGATAGGCCAAAAAGGACACGGAAGCTGCAAGCACCATGTCGGATGAAGATCCATAATGATAAATGAACATGGCACGGTTGTCTCTCTTCCAGGCCAATGAATTTGCTTCAGAAATCAGCTGAGAGGTTTCATTGTCTTCAAGGATCCTTAGTGGTCAAGACCCTGTTCCGTGAAGCCGCTTCGTACCAAAGCCATGCCTAGTGGTCCGTAAGTATAGAGAAAAACTCTATAAAATAAAACTCAATCTCAGCTTACGCACCGTGATAAACTTGCTACTGCCATGTTTATTCCCATTAGAAGCGCTGCCAGACCCCCTCGTTTCTCCCAGCAAGATTCTTGTTTTGTCCGGACTTAGAAAGACAACAGCATACGAGGCCCCTGAACAGGATGTGAGGGTATAAAATACCACTGCTCGCGTTAAACTCTTGAAACTTTGGTATCAATGGAAGGAATGCCGCAACGCCAAAAGAAAGAGCACCGGTAATCTTCAAACGATCTATGTCTCGCCGAATACGAGATAGAAAATGGAGAGTTGCGTCCAAATTCAATGCTTCGAAATCCTCATTTCCATCGTCCCTAATCGGGTTGCCAGGTTTGGCTCAACCGATGGCAGCACTCATCCCCGCGCATGACAGCCTGCGATTTGTTCGCTGAAATGCGCAAGAAAGTTTGGTCGTTCTCCGTTCCCTCGTGACATCATATGCCGATTTAATCGATGTTCACCAGTAATCAGGTAGTTTACCTGAGGTCGTGGCGCTCCATGCAATCGAAGAGCCGTATCTCCTGGTCTTATAGTCGTTCATCCAGGCCATTGAGAGACTATTTAGAATCAAACAGCGTCGCTCATGAGGGGAACACCGAGTTCTTTCGCAGGGGTTAGCTTTGCTCGTCCACAGGATTGGAGGAATGCACTTACGATGAAGCTATCCAACCCCATCTCGAAGAGCTCGTTCGCTACGCCTATTCCACCTGGATGCTCCACGGGGGATAGGGGGTTCTTGACGACAAACTCGACATACAAATTGGCCCATATCTGGTGGAGGACGATGCGGAGGTTGTTTGTCCGGGTATCGGTGATCATGACGAACTTTAGGCGGGTTGGGGTTTCGTAGTAGTGGAGCTTGTATTCGCCGGTGCGGTACGAGAGAAAGCTGTAGCATCAAATAGATCAGCTCCGGAGCCAAGAGCCTTGCAAGGCAGGACGTACTGGTCGTCTTCACCTCCGAGCTGCCTGACCATGTTCCGGAGGGAGAAGACGGTGCCAAACATGAGCTTTGCGTCATCCTCCTTGGACAGGGCCTTGCGCGTGCTGGCAAGAGTCTCGGGCTCGACGGGCAGACCGGCGGCCGACTGCGGCCTGGTGGTCTTGGAGTGCGAGGAGATGGGGCGCGGGGTCCATTTCCTGCTGTAGATGCACTCGGCTGGGCGCGGCGTTAGCTAGGGTAGGGGCGGGGGAGCGATGCGACGTACTGTGGCGGTCGAAGATGTAAAAGGAGTAAACGACCATGGCTTGTTGTGGTGAGGCTTGACGGACGGGGAAGGCGGAGAAGTAGCGACGGAGCGCGACTGGAGAAGGACCCTGGTAGGTGCAGGAAGGTGGGGTGTGAGCGTGCAATGCGAAATGGCATGAGCAGCTGGAAACTGTAGCTGATCTGTGATCACTGCGCTCCACCCTCTATCTCCCCTCCCCGTCTCTCGTGAATCCCTTCGCTCGCGACCATGTCCCGCGCGCATCGACAGCACCTCTCCGCCGACGACATCCCCAGCCTTCTCCCCTCGCAGAACATCGCCGTGGCCGTGCCCGAGGCTGCCGAAAACACTCGCCCTCCAGCTGTCAAATATGTGTAGGCTAGCAATTTGCCCTCTGCTCCGCCCCCCTCGCTCTGATATGTCCATAGCTCCGCGCCCGCCTACCAGAGTCCGCTCCGCCACCACCGCCGAGCTGCCTCCACTACGAGAGAAGTCAAAGTCAGTCGCTTTCACATGCTCCGCGCGCCGAATCCTCAAGATCGTTGGCCTCACGCTGCGTCACTGTAGGAAACGTTGAATGCTAGGTCCGAATATAGCAACAGCGAGGACGACGGGACCGCCCAGCACAGAATCAACCAGTACATTATCAAGCAGGAAATTGGCAGAGGTTCTTTTGGCGCAGTTCATCTGGCTGTCGACCAATATGGAGAAGAATACGTAGGCATCCCGCTGAACAACCACTCCGCCGGCAAGGATCTGGCTGACTGCGATCTCATAGGCTGTCAAAGAATTCTCAAAGTCACGACTGCGTAAGCGCGCTCAATCCAACCTGCTTCGAGGCCCTACTGCACGCAGACGGCAAAACCAACTTTCTGCCGGACGCGGTTTTAATTCGCCTTTACATCGCCATTCCAATAGTGAGCCCAACAATTCCTTGGAGCTCATTAGGGAAGAAGTTGCGGCTATGAAAAAACTAAACCACCCCAACCTTGTCTCCCTGATTGAAGTCTTGGACGATCCAGAGGAGGACTCGTTGTACATGGTGCTCGAACTCTGCAAGAAGGGTGTCGTAATGAAGGTCGGGCTGGAGGAAAGAGCTGATCCGTACAATGAAGAGCAGTGCAGGTGCTGGTTTCGTGACATGATCCTTGGGATAGAGTATCGTGAGTGCTCCCCATACGATAACCATTGGCATTGGCGGACTGACGAGATTTGTTTCTAGTGCATGCCCAAGGAATCATCCATCGTGATATCAAACCAGACAATTGTTTGGTCACTGACGATGATGTCCTGAAGATTGTCGATTTCGGTGTTTCAGAGATGTTTGAGAAAGACACTGAAATGAAAACCAAAAAGTCAGCTGGATCTCCTGCTTTTATGCCTCCGGAACTCTGTATTCCCAAGCATGGCGATGTATCTGGAAAAGCGGCGGACATATGGTCTATGGGGGTCACACTTCATTGTCTCCGCTTAGGAAGAATACCGTTCGAGAAAACCGGCATGCTGGAACTGTACGAGTCAATCAGGAATGACGAACTTGACCTTGGCGACAGTGACGGGGATTTCAAGGACCTGATGTACAAACTCCTGGAAAAAGATCCAGAGAAACGGATTGGCATGGACGATCTCCGCGTGAGTAATAAATTACAACTGGCCCATCGTACAATAAGCTGACGAGTTAGGAACATGCATGGGTAACACGGAGGGGAACAGATCGTTTGCTTCCAAAGGAGGAGAACATCGCCGCAATAATAGAACCGCCGACAGACGAGGAAGTCAACGCAGCGATAACTGGCAATATGGGCCGTCTCCTGGTTGTTGTGAGTACCTAAAGACGTTGCTTAAACTAAGATGAACCACTAACGCTTTGCGAAGATGAAAGCAGTCAAACGCTTCAAGCAGCTGCTGTTCAGAAGGAGGCCAGACTTGATGCAAGGCATTTTCGGTCAAGCATCGCGAATGGTGCAACCACCACTTTCCATGCGACCGTATACCACTCATCCCAGAACTCACAGCTTAGCTACTGAGGAGAGAAAGCCGATGGAGCGTGTGCTGACTATAGAAGGCGTTCATCGGGACATAGACGCCGCGAGAAAGCTCGCGAACATGGGAGAGCAACTTGATAATTTGTCAATGCCCCCACGGGAGAGCAAGGCCGGCGACTCAGCCTCACAATCGCCGAAGATTGAGCCAACCATCTCTGAGCAACAGGTGGTAGCAGATCAACCATCGTTTCGCCAAGAAACTGGCAAAGGGCATGCGCACAATCCACTCGAAGATACCTTGTTTCTGGACATCGAATGCGCGGGTCCTGATGAGGAGATGTTGTCGCCCGACCATCAGCACATCATCTGCGAATCTCCCAGCGCAGTGGACATCAATGTCTACGAAACGGCCTATCAAGAGGAGATTGAGAAGATATTGAAGGAAGAGGGCAAGAAGCAGCCAACGCTCTATCTCACACGGCGCGTGGAAGGCAATCGGTCCATCAGAGAGCATCCGAGTATTTTCAATGCACTGCAATCCGGCACGGACGCCCCGAAGCAAGCTATGGCGGGATTTGCCAGGCTGGTGCAAAGGGCAAAGGACCATGCGCAAAGTGCGGGAGAAGGAAAAGAGGCAATGTAAAAGGCTGCGCCGGATGCTGTCACAGGACACGTAGGAATTGGCGGGCACGAGGTCGAGCTAGAATGTGATAGACGACCAGCGCAAGCGCGGGACGCAAATGTCTGCTGGATTGGCCGAAAGGGGCGACAGGCCATGGCAGGGGCTGCTCGGGGTGTGACGGAGACTTGGCGTGTGCGGAGAGTCTGGGGAATCTGGCGATGCAGGCGATGGTGGTTGGTGGTTAGAACAGAAGCCGCGATCTGCTTCCGGGGGGTCTGGTCAGCACCCAGAACGGCGGGACGGGTGCATGCTCGCGCTCCGGCGGCGTGGTGTTGAGATGAGGCATTTAATCACAGGTCACGCCGGCGCAGCAAGATGAGTGAGGGGGACGGACAGAGAAAGTGGTGGCAGTGCGAGGCAAGCGAGATTATTGCCTTGATGACGGCCCTCGGGGCTCCATATGTTGAGTCTCGCGATGATGAAAACACATGACGTATCCGTGGCGGGGGCATGGATTAGGTATAGGTTGCTCGGATGGTGGGTGGTCGCGGTGCCCGCGCGGCCCGGCTTGGAGGGAAGTGGAAGCGGGTACCGGTATGTAATAAAAAAAAAATCAAGAGAGAGGGAAAAAAAAAAAAAAATAAAAATAAAAAAATCAAGAGAGCAAGACAAAAAGAAAGATCACTTCCGCCTCGACTCTGGTCTGGCAGTTCCGCGTTGATAAAATACCGCACCGCCAGCACGAGCCCGCCCGGACTCGTGGCCCGCTTGAAGGCCCTCCAAGTTTCCCCTCACGCTTCAGCGTTGTGTGCGCAGATCGCCTTTGACGTCGCCCGGCGCCCCGTGTGCGACCTTGGCCGTCTTTTGTCAGCGCCAGCGTCCGTCGTCGAAAAGTGAGCTGCTCACCCACGACTACTGCGCCTCAGCCTCGGCTGCCAAGGTTTCGCCTTCCACGCCGCCATTCAAAGACTCCCTTTGCCCCCCACGATCCCCGCGCTCCTCTCTGGGACATCCCACCACCCGATAGCGGGGCATCCTACGCGCACCACACGCCGTTTTGCGAGCCCGGTAGCCCTACCTTCTGGGCTCTGCCCCAGCCGCGAGACGCGCAGTCTCTTCGAGCTTGCTCGATCCCGCAGACCCTAGACCACCTACTCCAGCAATCCACTACACGCTCACCATGGCGCACACAAAGACCTCGCCGGCCATGACCTCGAAACCCTCCCCTTCGCCTGCTCCCTCGACGTCGACCTCTTCGCTACATTCGCAGGATGGCAGCTTTGCGCTGCCGCCGCCAAAGGATGCCAGCGGCGTTGCGCAACAGGCCAACGGCGCCAGACCCAACCTGCCAAAGAAACCCACCATGACTTCCCGCCTGAGTGGCATGTTTGGCCGCAAGGACGACTCGTCGAGAGATGCCTCCAAGACCAACCTACTTGCCGAGAAGATCCCCGAAAACGCCGTGGCGAACGGCGATAATTCCGCCCCCGTCTCTCCCAGGCCCCAGCCACAGCGGCAACCGTCGACTGGCGAAAAGAAGCCTGCCAGCTCTACGGACCGAGCCAAGAGCAGTTCTGAGAAGAAAAAGGAAGCGCAGCAGCAAGCCAACATCTCGAGACGCTTTCGCCTAAACGACGACGGCTCTCACGAACACCAGCTCAAAGTCCAGAAGCGCGAGGAAAAACTGAAGGATATGTTCCAAAATCTCATGCTTGGAAAAAAGAAGGAGGCTCATCATGAGGAACAGCCGTTGAGTCTTATGTCCGGTTGGGTTGACCAGATTCGCAATGACAAGGAGAAATTCAATCTGGATCATAAGACCGGTGCCAGTTCCTCAATGACTTTGGTCCAAAAGTACGGGAAATGCCAGGAGATCATCGGTCGTGGTGCATTCGGCATCGTCAGGATTGCCCATAAGACGGATAGCAAGGACCCGAAGCGAGAGCAGTTGTTTGCAGTCAAGGAATTCAAGCAAAGACCCGGGGAATCCGAAAAGAAGTACAACAAGCGCCTGACGTCCGAGTTCTGCATATCTTCCTCGATGCACCATCCCAACATCATCAATACTTTGGACCTTATCCAGGACGAAAAAGGTGAATTTTGTGAAGTTATGGAGTACTGTGCCGGTGGCGACCTCTACACGCTCATCCTGGCAGCTGGCCAGCTGGAGGTTGTTGAGGCTGATTGTTTCTTCAAGCAACTCATGCGCGGCGTTGACTATCTGCACGGCATGGGCGTTGCTCATCGAGACCTGAAACCGGAGAACTTGCTCCTCACGCACCACGGCGCAATCAAAATTACCGATTTTGGAAATGGCGAGTGTTTCCGCATGGCTTGGGAAGAAGAAGCGCATATGACGGCGGGTATTTGCGGCTCGGCCCCCTACATTGCTCCCGAGGAATACGTCGACGAAGAATTTGATCCAAGGGCTGTGGACGTGTGGGCTTGCGGAGTTATTTACATGGCCATGCGGACTGGTCGGCACCTCTGGCGTGTTGCCAAGAAGAGCGAAGACGAGTTCTATACCAAATATCTCGAAGATCGCAAGGAAGAGTCCGGTTACAGACCCATTGAGGTTCTGCGTCGGGTAAGTCACGGCACCGCCTGCGTCAACGGCTTTTACTGACATTGGTATCAGCGGCAATGCCGAAATGTCATCTACTCCATTCTGGACCCTAATCCGAATCGCCGGCTCACTGCCGAGGAGGTCAACCGGTCGGAGTGGGTAGATCAGATCCGCATTTGTCGGGCTGGTGACGAAGGCTTCTAAGACACGTAGTCGAACACATGTGGCTTCAGTGTTGGGGGCTTCTTACGACGTAATGTTTTTCGTCTCGAGTCTGGCGTCGGAGCCGCCTGAAACCTTTGGGCGGTGCACACTTTCGGGCTTCACTCCAATATTCCTCGATGCATTCGGTGCGCGTTTGCACTGTTGCACTTCTTTGACGTATGCATTGCTTCCTTTGAGCGCGGCATACCCCTTTTTATGGCATGACACATACTTATGTTGTCCCTGCTTGCATGGCGTTCTGACGGGGGGGCTTGGGTCTTCATGTGCGGTGTCTTCTATTCGTGGAAGAATAGATGATCGGGTAGAGCGAGATTCTTAGCTGGTGGCTTTTTTGAAAGACGGCCGTCGTTGATGCGGCCGACGCGTGTATATGGCCATGATCCAATCTGGCCACGGCGGCATGGTTATTTTTTCCTGAAACATTTGCGTTTGTTAGGTAGGGTGCGCCGACGAGGGCCATAGCGAGGAATGACTATAGTTGACCAAGCACTGCACAAGGGCGGCGTGCAATGTAGGTTGATTGGCGGACAGGCTGAGGCTGAGCGGCGATCGCCGGCGTCTCGGTGTCCGGGCGCAAAGGATCCCAATGTTGGACCAAACACCTATGGCCTATGACATCTTTCCTCTGCACCCTTCCTGCATGCCCAGAGCAGGCCTGACATGTTCAAGCAATGGTCAAGCTTGGTCGACATGTCCTCACTGCAGCCCTTCTACTGCGCAGCGTCGCCTCCGCCGACGTCGCCATCGAGACATCTCAGCCCGCTTCCCCTTCTGCCACCGCCGCGACGATAAGCACCGTGTCCTCCGCGTCAACCTGCCGATCGCGCACTATCAACTACATCACTCATAGACTACCACAGCAATGCCTCAAGACTTCTTGGTCGGCAAGCGCGTCTGCCACTCCCTTGTCCGACTCGGATTCCAGGCCATCGGAGTCCGATCCAAAACCAGTGACGACCGAGGACGAACAAGGGATTGTACATAAGAGTAACGGCACCGCGAGAGCACCACAGGCTATCCTGGATGCGCCGGACGTCTCTGCCAACTCACCATCATCCTCCGAGGTCGTCGTCGACACGGCAACATCCGCGTCGGAGGCTGCACCGAGCACCTCCACTGACGCGGAGGCTGAAGCTGAGGCCGAGGCCGATTCGCCTTTAGACAATGCAAACTTCCTGTCCTTCGAAGAATGGAAAAAGCAGAACCTGGCAAAGGCAGGGCAATCTCCGGAGAACGTTGGGCAAGGCCGCGCTTCTGCCGGCAATCAAGAACGGAAACCCAGGCCAGTCAATATCAACAATGAGTTGGATTCTTTTGGAGAGGATACCGAGATCGAACTAGATTTTGGGTTTGGCAATTCCAACAGGGCCGAGCACACAGTGGCTGTCTCTTCTGAAGGCGCCAAGGCAGTTGACCAGAACAGTGCAACGAAAGAGGCCCCCCCAAGTTACCGGCCCCGGAGCAAGGATGCCGGAAAGACATGCAAGGAACGCTTCAACTACGCCTCGTTCGACTGCGCAGCCACTGTGTTAAAGACTAACCCTCAATGCAAAAGTTCATCGTCACTCCTTGTTGAGAACAAGGATAGTTACATGCTCAATGAGTGCGCCGCACAGAACAAATTTGTCATTGTCGAACTGTGTGATGACATCCTTGTTGATACTGTAGTTCTCGCCAACTTCGAGTTTTTCAGCTCGATGTTCCGCACTTTCAGAATCAGCGTCTCGGATCGTTATCCGGTGAAGTTGGAAAGATGGAAAGAGCTCGGGATTTTTGAGGCCAGAAACAGTCGAGATATACAGGCATTCTTGGTGGAGAATCCCCTGATATGGGCTCGTTACTTGAGGATCGAGTTCCTTTCGCACTATGGCAACGAATTCTATTGCCCGGTATCCCTGCTCAGAGTACACGGCACCACTATGATGGAAGAGTTCCGTCACCAAGAAGAAGCGGCTAGAGGTGAAGACGACAATGACGAAGTAGTCGAAACGGAGGGACAGGTGATCCAGGCTGTCCATGCCTCGCCGCAGGACAAGGCAACTGTCACTGAGAATGTTCCTGATGTCGAGACGAGCAAAGCCTCTGACACCGGAGTTGGAACTTCGGAAAATCAATCGGGTCATGCTGCTGGGCCAACAAGCTCTCACTCAGCTGAACACGTGGTTACACAAGCAGATAATTTTCAGTCCATGGCTGAGCGTACTACTGCATCCATCGACGCGGCTGTTGCAGAAAGTAGCACGAACTTTGCCGATAAACAGCCTTCCTCGGCGTCCAACGTAACACCAGAAACTGTTCCTGAGTCCACCGTCACTCCACCGAGTAGTACCGAAACCCTCGCGCAGGAAATCACTGCCGTGGGGGGCCCAAAAAACGGAACCGCCACAGCGGTTCCTATCATGACCACAGATTCCGTGTCTCGTTCCATAGATGCGACAATCAGTCCCGGCAGCAATATCACATCTACAACGGTGACCTCTCCAGAGTCAACGGATTTCAGGTCCCCTTTGCCGGCAGAGGGAAACAGTGCTACATCTTCCAGAGCCTCGCAGCCATCTGCAGACCCAAGCAGATCATCTGCGGCTACGCAGCCGCCAGCGGCGCAACCGACGACACAGGAGAGCTTTTTCAAATCCATCCACAAACGTCTGCAAATGCTCGAATCGAATTCGACCTTGTCGCTCCAGTACATCGAAGAGCAATCTCGTATCCTTAGGGATGCGTTTTCGAAGGTGGAGAAGCGCCAATTGGGGAAGACGGAAAAGTTTCTGGATCATCTTAACAACACAGTCATGGCCGAGTTGGTTAGCTTCGTAAGTGGACTACTGGCACCGTGAAAATTTGAGCGTCGAGCTGATACCTAGCAGCGCCAACAGTACGACCAGCTCTGGCAATCGACGGTGATTGAGCTTGAAAACCGCCGCGAGCAGCATGAACGGGAAATGCTGGCCATCAGCGCTCGGCTGACACTTCTCGCCGATGAATTAGTTTTCCAGAAGCGCATGGCCGTTGTCCAGTCAACACTCATTTTGCTCTGTCTTGGGCTTGTGCTGTTTGTGCGGTCAGGGAGCAGTTACCTGGAACTACCGCTTGTGCAACAGATGATGCATAAGTCACAGAGCGCACTGCGCCTGCAATTCGACAGCCCTTCCAACAGCCCGCCTCGAAACCGACATCGGCGCAATTCGTCGTCTGGAGATGGCCGCAAGCGGTTCCGCATCTTCGGATTGGGTAACGGGAGCCTGTCGGACGCCTCTCCCGAGGGGCCTCGCAGTCCAACGCTGGAGTTCTCACCGCCAACGCCGACGTCTGACGAGAGCAAGTCGTCCGGGTCACGCAGCGGGTCGGTCGACGGCGGGCTGGAGCCGTTGCGGCAGACGCAGAGCGGGCCGTCGACGCCAAGTGGTTTGCGGGACGCTCAGGCGAGCTGGATGGACTCAAGCGAAGGCGATCTCAGGCCGTTGGCTGGCGGAGGGCAGGCTTCGAGCAGGCGGAGAAGTCCGCTCAGGAGCGGGGAGAGCGTTGACGACTTTTATGAGGATGGCCAGAGCGGCAACGACAGCCGCAAGGCTAGCGCAGATCCCAATCAGCTTGGAGATTCGGGTGGGTCTGTGTCAGACTCGGGATCCGACTGCGTTCATGATGTCTCGGATTAAGCTAACGAGCACGACGGAAACGATCGCGTGGAACTTAATGGGCCCTTAGATAATGTGTAACACGATTGCCGCCGTACAATATAAGATGGGAGGGCCCCGCCGCCGCGGCCGCCGCCACCCCTCGCGAGAAGTGAGGCTGGCGCGACGATGCAGTAATGATGCATAAAGGAGAGGAGCAGAGCTAGGAAAATGGGAAGTGGAGGATAGAAGGCAAGGTAGTAGTAGGTAGCCGGCATAACCGCCCCTAAGGCCTCCTCGATCAATGCGCGCCGTGTCAGCAGACGGGCGGCTGCATGCTGCACCACGTGCAATGCGTGAACTCTCACACGACGGCCAGCAGCTCGTCGAACTGCACATGGCCCAAAGTGGGCCGGGGTTGCAAGTTTAACGGAGACACGTGTAGTAGGGCCTTGGGAGCAATCACAAGACAAGAGGCACCCAGACGCAAATCCGCTCTTGGGCTGCTGCCCCTGGGCGAGCGATCCTCCGCTCGCAACAGAGTGACGAGTGCCGCCCCTCGACCCCTCCAGCCGCTGACGCTGTCATTGGCAACTGCGCCCGCCGCCCGCGCCCGCTTCTCTTTCTCTGCGCGTCACGTGGGCCCAACCAAGCTGCCCGGCCAAGGTCGACCAGCGTAAAGAGTGGAACGAACCAACACCACCTCTCTCTCGCTCTCTCTCCCTCTCCCTTTCTCTCTGCATCCATTTCCCCAGCACCTGCTTCCGCCACTGCCCCTGCCCGCCCATCGCAAGTGCACACGGGCTCCTCTGCACGTACTTTTCCGGATTGACCTCGCTCACGCGGACCTAAAAGCTTAGCGCGGCCCTCGCACCTCTCTCTCCAGACCCGCAGCATCATCAGTAACTCCGCTTGTCATTTCACTGCCGAAATCACCGTCAGAAACCCCCCTCTTGCTTGGCGCCATCCCACGTCAAGTCCCGAGCTGCTCGACTCCTGCCTCACCTCCGCTCGCCCCCGCCCGCGCCGCCATCGTGACCGGTCAACGCCTCGCTTCCTGCCTCATCGCCCAGTACGGATACCATCAACAAGGCGCCGCGCCCGTCTCGCCGACTCCTCCTCCACTGCCCTCCGTACTCGCGATAACAACCCGCGATCCTCGACCTACTCTCGGCTCCCGAGCACGGCACCATGTCGCAAAACCGGCCATCGGCTTTCTCCAGCCTACGCATGGGTGGTAAGGATGGACGAGGCCCACGCATCGTGTGTGTCTGTGTGTGTGTGCTTTCGCGGCTAACATGCGTCCAGAGGTCGTCCGCGAGAAGGTGCAGGATGGCTTGACCGGCGAGTACAAGGACCTGGCCTACACGCAGTGCAAGATCGTCGGCAATGGCTCCTTCGGCGTCGTCTTCCAGACCAAGCTTTCCCCCAGCGGCGAAGATGCGGCGATCAAGCGGGTCCTGCAGGACAAGCGCTTCAAGGTGCGCACACGGCAATCCTCACGCCCTTCAATGCTTTTGATGGTTGCTGACGCTTTTGCCCCCAGAACCGCGAGCTCCAGATCATGCGCATTGTTCGGCACCCCAACATTGTGGAGCTCAAGGCCTTCTTCTACAACAACGGCGAACGGGTATGCCTTGAAAACGCGTTTTTCCTCTCTTTTTCGGGCCCAATTCGCAAGCTGACCAATCGCCGCAGAAGGATGAGGTCTATCTGAACCTCGTGCTCGAATACGTCCCGGAAACCGTCTACCGCGCCTCGAGATATTTCAACAAGCTGAAGACCGTTATGCCCATTCTAGAAGTCAAGCTCTACATCTACCAACTCTTCCGCTCTCTCGCCTACATCCACTCGCAGGGCATCTGTCACCGCGACATCAAGCCTCAGAACCTCTTGCTCGACCCGAACAGCGGAATCTTGAAGCTTTGCGATTTCGGTAGCGCCAAGATACTCATTGAGAACGAGCCGAATGTGTCGTACATTTGTTCGAGGTACTACAGAGCGCCAGAGCTGATTTTCGGCGCAACCAACTACACCACGAAGATCGGTACGTCATCGCAATCTCGGCCGCTCTTCATGCCCTCATGGTTCGCTCATCTAACTTGGATTGTCCAGATGTGTGGTCGACCGGCTGCGTTATGGCCGAATTGATGCTGGGCCAGCCTTTGTTCCCTGGAGAGTCTGGCATTGATCAACTTGTGGAGATCATCAAGGTTTTGGGCACGCCCACCAGGGATCAGATCCGGACCATGAACCCCAACTACATGGAACACAAGTTCCCTCAAATCAAGCCGCACCCGTTCAACAAGGTACAGACGATTGGCTCTCTAGAACACGACCGCAAATGCTTACCGATTTCCAAGGTTTTCCGCAAGGCTGATCCTAACGCCATCGACCTCATCTCTAAGCTGCTTGAGTACACGCCCACGCAGAGACTGTCGGCGATTGACGCCATGGTCCATCCGTTCTTTGACGAATTGCGGGACCCTAACACGAGACTCCCCGATTCCCGCCACCCGAACGGCGCGCTGAAGGAGCTGCCAAATCTGTTCGACTTCACCCACCACGGTATGTGTCTTTTTTTTTTTTTTTTTTTTTTTTTTTTTTTTTTTTGAGTCAATGCGAGGCCACGGGATACTCATGCTAACGCTTTCAAGAACTCTCAATCGCTCCCCACCTCAACACCAAGCTCGTGCCGCCGCATGTGCGTCCATCTCTCGTGGCGCAAGGATTGGACATTGAGTCTCCCGACTTTAAGCCCCTGACGAAAGACCAGATGATGGCCCGGTTGGACTAAGGGATCGACGGGCGTATGCGTCATGAAGTCATGTTATGTCTTTTATTGATTTGGCAAGGCATCTGTTTCTATGCCCTGGAGTAACCTGTCCACGGGCAGACATTGGGTCGATTGTCATCGTCTACCGGCGTCAAGCTCCAGGGCGCTTCGGCACGTGCATCGGCCCATTTCCGGCTGGACTGTCTCGAAAATCACGGATGTCATCATGTTTCCTTCGTCGGGCAGCCTTCTTTAATCTGATCGGTCCTCGTTGCCACGGCTGCTGCGTAGATGTCACTTCTCTGCCAGGCACCGCTTTCCAAATGGATCTGATGCAGGCAAAATTGAAGGGTACTGGTGGGTCATTGGGAGTTGACAAAAGGCTCGAGCTCCGAGCTTTCACACGGGTGTGTTTCTCTTTCAAGGCGGGTTTGCAGGTTTCGTTGCTAGTCTCTCTATTTTCCGCTCTTTCTCAGCGGCTCGTTGGGTAGGTGCGGGGGATATCGTCTTGAATCGTCGCCTTGCGGGACAGACCTGAGTTTTTCAGTTTCACAGCCCGTTGCATCGACGAGAGGAAATACCGAGGGTCGTAGATTTCAACAGTTTCTGTTCTCTTTCTTTCCTTTCCTCTTCGCTTCCCGTGTCACTTTCACAAAGTTCTGCTTGAAATCCAGTCGCGAGTGGCTGTTGTGCTGATTCTTGACAACGGGTGAGAAGGTCTGTTCATTGCTGTCCGCGCAGCGCATCAAAAGACTCGGCAATGGTTTCTGTTAAAAGGTTCCTCTCCTTGGAGCACAGTGCTGGGTGATCTGGACGAACAAAACAAAAACTATTCTGCTTGCTATATGGAAGGTATACTTAACAGGTGCTGCGCAATCAGAGAGACCTACTACCATGGTGAACGGGTGCCTACCTAACCTAGGTAGCATTAACGTTTCTCAAGAGACTTGGATGCTTCCCCTGCCCTCGTAGATTCCTCTTACCCTGGACAACCTAGCCGGCCTCTCACCACCTCTACGCTCATTCCTCTTTCACGTTGATGTCCTCGTACAGGCTGGCACCTTCTACAAAAGGTTAATCAAGCAAACGAAGCCTTCGTCCTGCCTACCTTACTACACCCGTCACAGCTGCCACCAACCCTCAACACTATTTCCCCTCGAGAGCACACCCCTCCACAGTCAACAGCCGCCCCGTTAGTGCTCTAGTACTCACCAACCACTCTTGATTCGGGAACACAAGTTGTCACACTTCACCATTTGCCTTGGATAAGATGGACGCGGACGTTATTCAGAGTGAGGACCTGATGGAGGACGTCGTCCAGCAGACAGATATCCTCGAGGAAGCTGCGCGCTGCCGGGAGCATAACAAGCTTGCGTTTGACCTAGAGCACAAGCTGCAGCTGCAGCCAGAGGTGAAGTCACGTGATGCCAAGGCGGTGGACAGGCAGATGCTCCTCCCGATTGGCCCGTCGCAAAAACGTCGCGGAGCTGGCGCAAGGGCACCTGCCCGCTACCAGCAACACTTGCACGACTGGGACCGACCGGGCAATTTCTACCGCCCAGCAAGCAGGAGGGACGCGCTCGCAATGGAGGACTATCGCCCCAGCGGGCGCTTCTACAACAGAGGTGGAAACAAGCGCAAGCGTACCGAGCGTGGTAGGTTGCTGCGACCCTAGAGCTGTTGTCATGGTAAATACTGACCCACGACCTCTGCAGATGACGACGTCGACGACCGTCGCGACGACCGCCGTCCGACGCGCCGCCGCTATGAGGAGCCTACTGCTTCTAAGCTACGGAGGCAGCTCCTGGCCATTGCGGAATCGGTGGGTGATCACAGCTACCTCAATGCATCATAGTTGTACTGACACTATGATCCTCAGCCTGCTAGGAACGCCGAGGATGACGCCCAAGATATCGCACGCCTTGTTTCGGACAATTGGGAAGAAGAAGACGTAAAAGTCGGTTTCCTCCATCTGGCCGTGCAGCTGTAAGCTCTCCAGTGTTAGACATGTCGCCATAAAGCGCTAATCAATCGTTGTTTAGAGTCCTTGAACAACCTCTGAAGGTTCCGTTTGTTGCCGCTGTTATCCTTTACGCCAATGAGACGAAGCCTGATTTAGTTGAGGAAACGCTCGCCTCAGCACAGAAAAAGGCTCAGGAAGACCTTGAGGCTGGCAACTGGAGGAACTTCAAACTGCTGCTCCGCTTCTTCGCCTGCCTCCAAGGCCTCTTGGAGGGTGACGGAGTGTTTACTGTCTTGGATGAGCTTTTCAACAGGGCCGTGGACCTTCAAGCTGCTTCGTCTGAAGACGTGAGGACTCCCGGCTGCCAGAAATATTGCGGAACATATGCTAACAAGGAGCAACAGACTGTCGGACTTGAGCTTGTCAAGATCATCCTTTTTACCATCCCCTATGTCCTTGCCTCCACGACTGGTTTCGAACAGAATGCAGCGGCTATGCTTGAAAAGACTGATATCGTAGCCTCAGCACCGCATGCCTTGGAAGGCCTGGTTGAACCATACTCGGGCGATAGCGAGGAGAAACCCTTTGGCTTCCAGAGTATCATTGCACTCCTACAAAAGCAACTGCAGAACGAGTCATCTACTGGCTGGAAGCTTTCCTGCATCCCCAGAGTCTATAACCCGGTTAAAAGAGACGAGGGTGCAGAAACGGCAACAAAGCATGCCTTCCCTGCCATTAATGTTCCTGCCAACATCAACCCGGGCCCTAGACCACTCTTTCCGGAGACCTATTTTTCGCTTTACGCTGATCAGGATGTCGAGACTGTCCCGAAAACTAACAACATTGCGGCATGTCTTTTGCGAGATGCTCTCGCAGACACCATCAACATCCTCGACTTCAACCGTATCGCTTGCGCCAAGTACCTGCTTGAGATGGATTGCTACTGGGCACCCAACACATTCGTTAAGCGCGGTACCCAGTTTGATAAGCTCAAAGATCTGGGCGAAGACCAGTCGACCTGGAAGCCTGAGGATCTTGCAGTTGATGCCGTTTTTGCCCAAATCGTCTCTCTTCCATCGCCGGGGCACAAACTGGTATACTATCACTCTCTGATCACGGAATCTTGCAAGCTTGCCCCCGGCGCAATTGCGCCGAGTCTAGGTCGCGCAATTCGCTTCCTTTTCCGTCATCTGGACATGATGGACATGGAACTCGCTTTCAGGTTCATGGATTGGTTCTCTCATCACCTTAGCAACTTCGACTTTCGCTGGAAATGGGCTGAGTGGTGAGTTGTTCTGACAGGACAATTTCGTTGAGCAATTAACCACTGACTAAACCAGGACCGATGATGTACACCGTAGTGACATCCATCCGCGCAAGGCATTCATCAACGGGGCTATCGACAAGGAAATTCGCCTTAGTTTCGCCAAACGCATCCGTGAGACTCTTCCTCAGGACTGGCCAGATCTCATTTCAGAAGACAAGGAGAAGGATACTCCCCCATTCAAGTATGATTCTGACCAGACTCCGTACGCACTTGAGGGTAGAGAGCTTCTTCAACTCCTTCGCAAGAAAGCTCCTGAGGAAGAAATCCAAAGGGTTCTCGATAGCATCCACACACAGGCGTCTGAACACGGCATCGCGGACGTTCTTGTCCCCTCGACGGACGCTTACGTCACCTGCATTTGCTACATCGGTTCAAAGTCTCTGTCTCACGTCCTCTCCTGTATTGAACGCTGCAAGGAGCGCCTCCTCGCGGTTGGCCCTGCTTCGGAAGATGCCCGGAAGCAGATTGCTGCTAGTGTCGTCCAGTACTGGCAGCACCAGCCAGGCGTCGCCGTCAACATTGTCGACAAACTCCTGAACTACACCATCCTAACCCCGATGTGTGTAGTTCAATGGGCTTTGGGTGACCGTCTGGGCGCTGGGGCCGCCCTTTCCGAGAGCTGGGTCTTTGAAATGGTCGCTGGCACTGTTGGTAAAGTCACCAACCGCGTTCGTCAAATCGTCGCTGCCAAATTACAGAAAGGCTTGCCTGCCGAACAAGTCCAGATGCTTGATGAAACTCTTGTCAAAGAGCGCGAATCCATGAGACAGCTATTCGCAGTAATTGATGATGCTGTGACCGGTTTTGCCACCGGAGCTTCTGATGCCTTCATCGAGGCCGATGGCAGCAAAGACATGGACGAGAAAAAGGGTCAGTTAATCAAAGCGTGGGGCGAACGCTGGGCTAGGGTGTTTAGAAGGAAAGCTGCTGTGGAGGAAGCCATTGTCGGCGAGGCTGCCATCGAGGCCAAGGTTGCCGCTTTGGCTGCTGCTGACGAGAAGGCCGATGCTGGTGATGATGCAGAGGCAAACGGTGAGGATGACCAGCAGGCGGTTGGTGAGGACACCGCAACTTAGGTTCAGCGTCTTATTGCTGGGCCTTATTTAGACGGGTCTCAACGGCACCGGTCTTCTGGTGTCATTACCTTGCATTTTGCATCTTTCCTTTCGTTTAACTCAACACATTTGCTTTTCCTACTCTGGTTAGGCTCTTTTTACCATGCCCAGGTTGATCAAAAGCAAATTGCGGACTTCCCTCCATCTTGAAGAAAATAACATTCATACCAAGTTACTGTGATGTCTCTCCTTTTTGGACAAGTCGTACTAGGAATACTTTATGTACGTGTCCCCTTGAACATTCACAGGATGGATGCCATAAACAAAGCATATAATCAAATCAATCGTCTGTGGTTCAATCGTCATATTTACAGTGTTCTAAGATCCATCATCAGGCATTCCGCATGTCTTTCAGTCCGGTTTCCCTTCATTTCTTGTTTTGGCTGGGACCATCAACTGCTTTCTCAACCGTACCGGCGATTCCACCCTTGCCGGCATCGAATTGGGACCCAATGGCACCCTCTTTCGAGAAAGGACCGCCAATCTTCTCCCCTATCTAAGTGTTAGTTGTGTCTGCGAGAACGAAACTTCAGGATGCATACCGATTTGACCGATGTTGCCATCGGGGTTGAATTGTTTTCCAATGGCACCGGCCGAGGAGATAACACTAGGGTTCGAGGGATTCGTCCCTTTTTTCTGACCAGCCTGCTCAGCAGTCTCGTGGATGGGGTTCTTGTCGGCCATTCTTGCGGTGGAGCTGCGGCTGAAATATCTGAGGGAAACGGTCCTAAAGGCCTGGGTTTGCGTGCGATTGATAGTGCGGAGCATGGTATGTTTTGTGAGATGGCAGGTTCGTAAAACAAGAGACATATGCGACTTGTAGGGCTTTATCAAGAGAAGTCAGGTACCATGAGGTCAGTGGTGACCGTCATGCTGATGCCTTTCCATCCGTTGTTGCTGGATCAATGACATCATGACACTGTGTGTGACGCCTACAAGGAAGCCTCGATCCTTCATGTCAATATCGTTCTTGCGCCGCGTGAATCGAGATTACCGTTTTCGGCTGTCAATGATGAGATATTAGTGGACAGAATTGTGATTAGAAAATTTTAACAATCCGATTGGGGAAACGCCCAGGCCGGCAGGAGTCCTTGTACTCGTACGAGTAGGAAAGCTGAGTACATGCTATGAGAACAAGTTGAGTATTTCATCAGTAGTAGATTATGTTATCTTCAGGATGAGTTTTTGTCTGTCAAGCCTCGTTGTAGTAAGCATAGACACTTCTTAAACCATGACCAGGGGTTTGGTATCATATTCCTAAAAAAAAATAACTCCAGCGCTCAAACCAGTAACCATCAGGCCAGAAGCAACCCCCCTAATACAATGCTTATCTCCTCTTTGCAGGAAGAGCACGTTGTTTGGGGAAGTCGAGTGGTATCCTTAACTTTGCGATTTTGTGGTTGACAGCTTCGGCTTTAGTGATTCTCATATTCTCGCGTTGCTTTTCAGTGGGGGGTCCCACTCTGCAGCCAATCTCGTGGAAATATTGTCCGATCCTTTAATGTTCGTCAGCAACACATCGAACGCGCATTTTGTTTGAAGTTTTCGGACGTACTGCTTGTTGTCCAAGCGAAGATCTTCACGTAGATCAAACGTATCGACTTCGTAACCTTCAACATACAGAGCCAACGCTGCAATGTGGGTGATCAAATTGTCCACATGCCACTTGGTCATCTCGCTATAGGAGTGTCAGTATGAAACTCAAATAATTTTCAATCAGACAGGGCACACTAACTTTCCGTCTGCGAACCTCCTGCGGACACTGTCAAGAAGAGCACCACTTGTGTGCGTCTTCTTCTCAAGATCGTCTCTCTGTGGCAGCTTCTTCGACCCATTACGACCTGGCTTTAAAGCACTCATGAAGTCGATAAGAAGTAAGATATACTTCAAGACTTTAACCTTCTTCACATCCTTCTGAGAAGCGATGTTCATTAAACGATGCGCAACGAACCGGCTCTGCGTCTGCACATCTTCCCTATTTTCTGCCGCATCTAACCAGCTCTTGATTTCGATCAAGCGCATGTTTTCCAAACCAATGAGGGATTCGGGAGTATAGACATCGGCTGGAGTGGTGGCTTCGAGATTTGCTCTAGGGCGCGGTTTGCCTTCATCCACAGCAGCCTGCAAGGCCTCCCGTGTCGGCATGTCGGATGTAGCATTTGCCATTGACTGCAAAACTGCGGAAGCAACAGGATCTTCCCCCTCCTTGCTTGGATTAATGGCGTTCTCGGTGATCGAGGCGAGGGCTTTTTTGGCCTTCTTTGTACCGAATTCCATACCAAGCTCTTGACGCAGGTTGAAGTTGCTCTGCCTCTGCCTCTCTGCAGCTTGTTCCCGTTCGATCTGCACCTCCTGAGTCTCACTCCTAAGGGTGCTGCGCAAAACCACTTTGTGTGCTTCCATGACCTGGAGTTGGCCGGTAACTGGGTCAAACACACCGACATAGTGCTTGAGCAAACTGTCGGCACTACCATCCAGTTCTTCTCGTGCGGTGAAATCCAGCTTGGGGTGATTCGAGGATTGGAGAAGGACTTCGTAAGGAAGAATCTTCGTGGACTTGCTCTTGTCGCTCAACGGCTTCTTGTACGCCCTGAAGGCAGCGGTCGACGGGGCAGAGAGACCAGGTGTCACAGCTAAGAGGATGGGTTAGCCAGCATATCCCTCAAAATTTGGACAGGCGCCTACTAATGACAGGGCCAAGCTCGTCGTCGTCGTCAAGATAGGAAACCTTGACAACGCCGGCTGGCGCATCTATGGCGACCTTTTTGCTTGGGCGGTCGGTCCTCTCCGCATTGCGCTTCCGCTTCTTCTCCATCTTGTCGGCAGCCATGATGTGCGCGGGTGCAGCAGGCGGGACGTTGGCCCGCGACGGAACTTTTTTCGAAGGGTCCGCCAAGACACGGCACATGCGAGTCATGTGTGGCTAGTGACGCCATCGTCGTCGCAGCGCGTTACGCCAACGGTCATCACAGCCCAAGCATGCCTGCTCGCAATCTTGCTTTCTAGTCCTTTTATAAGGCCGAGGGGCGACAATATTCCCTTCCAGCCGCTTCTCACGAGTATTCTTCTTCTTTTTTTTATTTCCTTTCTCTTCTGAACCCCATTGTCCACCAATCATGTCGGGCATTCTCACTACCATTCAAAATCTGGCGGGCGACTTCAAGGACAAGGGCCAAAATGTCATTGACAGCCTTTTCCCTCCCGAGAAGCGCGCGGAGATGCTTGCAAGGCTTCAGTCCTTTGCTATAAATAACCCAAAGCTTGCTGTGAGTCGCCCGCCTTTCATAGTCAAATGCAAAGCTTGCTCATGTCCAACCAGGCCTTCCTCCTCACCAACTTCGCCCTGACCGGCTTCCCACTTGTCATGTTTGGCGTATTTACCGTAACCGTCTTCGTTTTTTCCCTTGTCGCCGCTCTCCTGGTTGGCCTCCTAGCCGCCCTTCTCTTCACTGCCTTTATGGTCGGTGTTGCCCTCCTTGTGATTCTACCTACCGTCTTCATTACAACCATGGGAGCCAGCTTCCTCTTCCTCTGGGGCCTCGGTGGATACTACATTGTGAAGTGGTTCAACCAGGGCGGTGATTCACCTGCAGCAGAAGGCACAGCGATTGGTGACAAGCTGAACAGCCTCACGGGTGGAAGGATGAGCTTCCTTATGGACGGCGTAAGAAAACGGGAGGGGCAGGACCAGGGAGAGAAACATGCGAATGGCCAAACTGGGAAGAGGCCCCCAAAACTGGCAGAGAAGAAGGTTGAAAAGAAGGGCTCAACCGATAGCGTGCAGCAAGGCGTCTCGGACGTCACTAAGAATGCCGACATTGGGAACGTGAAAGACCAAGTTGGCAAGACTACCGATGTCAACGGTGTCAAGAAGAGAACAAGCAACGTCACGAATACGGCCCAAGGTGCCGTTGGTGGAGCAAAAGGCGCCGTAGGTGGAGCGACCGGGCTCGTTTGAAGTTCTTGCATTGATGGCAAGAAAGGACACTTATAAGATTGTCATGTTCTAACCCCTATCCAAATTACTTATGGCGGACATTTTGATTGATAATGATGGTCTCCGAGCATGCTTTTTACTTTCGTATATCATAGCGTGGTGTTAGCATAGCTGGAAATATAACAAACCTGCTAGTAAATATATTAAATTTTTCTAAGAAAAAAAAAAGATAGACATTCAATACTACGTAGACATCTACTAAAAGCTTTATCTAATAACTTTAAACTACCTTTACTTTAACTAGGGGGCAATATAGATAGATATAATAGAGCTTTTACTAAACTATATATTACTACTATAAATATCGAGTACTAAGATATATAAATATATATATCTTAGAATTTTACGCTACATATATATAGTATTTTATTACTAAAATTATAAATCTTAGAAATATATTTTAAGAAATTTATATATAGTAGAAGTTTAATTCGAAAACATATATATCTTAGAAATAAATATTAAAAAAAAATTATATATCTTAGAAATATTTTTATGTCTTAGAATTTTTTTTAGAAAATATATTCTTTAAAAAAAATTATTCTTAGTAAATCGAATATATTCTTTAAAAAAAAATATTCTTAATAAATTAAATATATTCTTAAATTTTAGATTTTATAAGGAGTATATTTTGATTTTTTTTTTAAAAAAATATTTAAGAATTTTTTTCTAAGAATATATTTCTTTAAAAAAAAATCAAGTTTTTTTTTAAGAGTATATTTATCGTTTTTAGTAATATATATATATATTTAAAAAACATTTCTAAGATATATACTTTTTATAGATATAATCCTAAGATATATTTATTTTTTAATTTTTTTCTCTAAGAAATATAGCTTTTTTATAATATACTATAATTTATTTATTTATAAGCGAAATACATAAAAATATACATATCTTAGAGAGGCTTTTTTGATATATATATCTTAGAAATTATACGAAAAAAATTATGTATCTTAGTAAATAGCTATAGAAATATTTTCTTAGAAAATATATTCTTAATAAATCGAATGTTTTCTTTAAAATATATATATATATATTCTTAAAAAATCGAATATATTCTTAAAAAAAAATCTTAATAAATCGAATATAATTCTAAAAAAAAGTAAATATATTATTTTTTAAAAATATATATATATATATATTAGGATTATAATATTATTATTTAATTTAATTAATTTTTAATTCTTAAAATATATTAGAACTATACGTAAATATTTTGCTTAATGAGAATCTATATTCTAAAGTTTAAAATTATATAAATAGTTATATAGTAAAATTAGAGTTTAAATTCTAAAACTTAGAACTAGATATATAATATTTAGTTTACTTAGATAGGCGCCTAATATTAGGCTATAAATACTAGGAACTTCTCTTCTTTTTTTAATTTAAAAAATCGACTATAGAGCTATTTTTAGTTAAAACTAAGTTTTTAACTATAGAAGGGGTAAGAATAAAGGCCTTATCCTATATTACCTAGTAAAGAGAATTATAGAAATTAAAATATAAGTAGTAATTTAAAAATATTATACTATATTTACTATAATCTAGTAGTAAATAGCTATCTATTTAAGATATATATCTTAAAAAAGAAAGGTATATTTTAAATTTTATTTTTTTAAGAAAAATACTCTTATTTTTACTTTTTTTTTTTAAGAAGATATACTTCTATTTCTTTTTTTAAAAAAGAGTTATACTTCTATTTTTACTTATTTTAAAAAAAGAAAATATACTCTAGTTTTTTTATTCTAAAGAAGTATACTAATATTTACTAAATTTTTTTATTATTAAACGGCTTATAAATTATATACACCCGTAATCTACTTATAAAAGTTAGAGATATTTAAATTAAACTAAGTTCCTTACTTCTTATAGCTAGAAATTTATTATAGATAACCTAGTAATTCGCCTAGTATAAATTTAATTAAATAAGTAAATTTTATATAGAAAAAAGGTTCTATATTAGATAGCTTAGAAATATAAAGATTCTATTTCCTTTAAATATTTAGAGTAATAAAAAAGAAAAAATTTAAAAAAAATTTAGATACTATTTTTTTCATTAAAAGTTTACTTTTATTTAAATATACTAACTATTTTTTTTAGCCTTTTTTTAAAATAAAAAAAAAGACTTAAAGAACTATAAGGAAAAGAAGGAGGATCTTACTAAATTTAAAAAAAAATTAGAAATAAAAGAATTCTAGTAAGTTTTTTTAATAACTATTTAGAATTATATTTCTTTTTCTTTAAAAAAAAAGAAGTAAAAATAGGGTATATTTCTTAAAAAGAAATAAATAGAAGTATATTTTCTTTAAAAAAAAAGTAAAAATACTAATATATCTAATAAATAGGTAAAATGTTCTTTCTCTAGATATATTTTTAGAGGTAGCTATACTAAATTTACGCGAGTATATTTTAATTAATACTATCTATATAAGAAATTAACTAGAAAATATATTTTCCTATTTATTAGTAGTAATAATATTAGATTCCAATAATAGTATTCTAATCTATTTTTACTAGTAGTATATTACTAAAAAAAATATTACCACTAGCTTTAGTAGTAAAATTACTAGCCTTTTTAGTAATATACCTTTTTTTAAGAAAATATATTCTAAAAATTCGAGTTTTTCTTTTTAAAAAGATATACTAATTTAAAAAAATCTTTACTATAAAACTATTTAATAAGAATTTAGTAGAATTCTTTTATAAATTATATAAATAGCTATTTACCGAGATATATATATATATATTTAATAAAATTTTTAAGATATATATAGTACTTCTATAATATTTATATTAAAAAAAGTCTCTCTAAGATATATACTTTCTTATTTATTTCGCTTATAAATAAATATATTATAGTAAATTATAAAAAATATATATATCTTAGAAATTTTATAAAAAAAAAAAGCGTATACCTTAGAAATATATTTAAGAAATATATAAATCTTGGAAATTAGTTCGAATAAATTATATATCTTAGTAATATTTTTTTTAAAAAAATATATTACTATAAATAATAAATATACTTTTAAAAATTAAATATATTCTCTTTTTTTTAAAAAAAAAGGAAATATATCTCTTAAAAAAATAAAAGTATACTCTAAAAAAAATTAAAATATACTCTTGAAAAAAACTAAATATATTTTAAAAGAAAATCGAAATATATTTCTAATAAATAAATAAATAAATAGAATATCTAAACGCCTAAAATTAGAACTATATAAAGTTAATCTCTTCTTCTTCTTCCTATATTAGGAATTTTTCGAAACTCTACGATATAAAAATTAGATATCTAATAATTAAGGCTAGCTATAAGTTATTTTATATTCTAAATAATCTAAATCTATAATATAACTATTATATTTTCGTAAGAGTAGAGTAGTAAATTAAATTAAATATAAGTTTATTTAATTTTATTTAATTTTTCTTAGTTTTCCCTAATATAAATTAGACGGATTAGGGCGGGCTTTAAGAGTTATAAAATAAAAAAAGTAAAAATTTAAGCTAAATCTAAGTAGTAAATTACTCTAATTTATATTAGTAGTTATTAAATTTTTATATTTTAAAAAATTCGTAATATATATAACCTAAATATAAGCTAGAAAAGCGTTATAACTTAGGAGTTAGGCTAGTTCTCTTTAGCTATTTTAGAAGAACTTAAATTTTATCTCCTTATACTCCTAAAATTCGATCTTCTAAGATTAATTCTATACTAATTAAAAGTTTTCTAGTATTACCTTTTAGCTAGGCGATTATAGCGACTAGCTACTATTTCTTTTTATAGGCGCTTAGTAGGAGGTCGCCCTAGCTTTCTCTTTCTAGTACTATTTTTTATTTAGCCACGTATCGTTAGATACTAGCTAATTAAATAGTACTAGAGAAAGAAATCTTTTAGGGTAATAAATTACCCTAAAAGAATTTATTTTCTAGCTAAAATTAATTAAATATTTAGGATCTAGTTGTTAAGTAGTAGCTAGAGCGTAAGTATATTAATAGAAGAGCTTATATTCTATAAAATCTTTATAGGAATATTCTTTTTTAAGAATATTTATAAGAAATTACGAACTTTCTTAAGAAATAAGCCTAATTTACTATTCTCTATTAGAAATAGAGATAATCTAGTACCGAGACTAATAAATAAATTAGTATATTTTCTTAAAAAAAAAAGCGAAATAGGAGTATAACTTCTTTTTTTTTAAAAAAAAGACATAGGAGTATATCTTCTTAAAAAGCGAAATACTAGAGTATATCTTCTTAAAAAGCGAAATACTAGAGTATATCTTCTTTAAAAAAAAAGACTTACTATATATAATTTAATACTAAATTTTTACTAGGTATAATTAGTAAATCTTAAATTTATGAAAATACTATATAGATTTAATCTTACTATTTCTCTATATAATATAACTAAATTCGATTTATTACATAGAGAATAGAGAATTAGCTAAATCTAGGATATTCCTTTAGTACCTAAACTCTTAACTAAGTATCTATAGGAATTTCGCGAATATAGTCTATAGCTAAGATATCGATTTATATAATTTATAAAAGAATTCTATTAAATTCCTATTAGATAGTTTTATAGTAAAGCTTTCTCTTTTAATTAGTATATCTCTTAAAAAACTTAAATATTTAGAATATATTTTCTTAAAAAAAAACTTATATTATAAAAAAGAGTGGTAATATTACTACTAAAACTAGTAGTAATACTTTTAAGTAATATACTATTAGTAAAAATAATACTAAGTATTTAGGTAGATTTTAGCTACTATAGGAACTAGTTCTTTTCCTTAATCTAAAATAATAGTAATTCTACTAGAATTTAGTATAACTAGTTAATTTCTATTTGAGAAAATTCGCTTTTTTGTAGAACTAAGAGACTTTTCTAGAAATTAAAGAAATTAAACCTAATTTTCTTTATTTTTAGCTAGTACTTATAGCGATTCTAAAATAAATTAGAATAATATTATTATTAGAATATAATATTATTACTATTAATAAATAGTAAAACGCGTTTTCTAGTAAATTTCTTATATAGGTAGTATTAATTAAAATATACTCGCGTAAATTTAAGATAGCTACCTCTAAAAATACGTCTAGAGAAATAAATATATACCTATTTATTAGATATATTAGTATTTTTTTTTATTTTTTTAAGAAAATATACTCCTATTTTACTTTTTTTTTTAAAAAAAAAAAAGAGAATATACTCTTATTTCTTTTTTTTTTAAAAGAAGATATACCCCTATTTCTTTTTTAAGAGAATATACTCCTATTTTTACTTTTCTTTTTAAGAGAATATACTCTCTCTCATTTTCGCTTTTTTTTAAGGAGATATTTTTCTAAATAATTATTAAGAAAAACTTACTAGAATTTTTTTAATTCTAAATTTCTTTTATTTAGATTTAGTAAGGCCTCCTTCTTTTCCTTATAGTTTTTCGAGTTTTATTTAATAAAAAAAAGGCTAAAAAATAGTTAGTATATTTAAATAAAAATAAACTTTTAATAAAAAGTAGTACCTAAACTTTTTAAATTATTTCCTTTTAGTTATCCTAAATATCTAAAGAAATTAAATCTTTAGCTCTCTAGGCTACCTAATATAATAGAATCTTTTTTCTATATAAAATTCGCTTATTTAATTAAATTTATACTAGGCAAATTACTAGGTTATCTATAATAAATTTCTAGCTATAGGAAGTGAGAAACTTAGTTATATTTAAATATCTCTAATTTTTATAGGTAGATTAAGAGTATATATAATTTATAAGCCGTTTAATAATAAAAAGATTTTATAAATATTAGTATATTTTCTTTTTTAAAAAAAGAAATAGAAGTATATCTTTTTTTTTAGAAAAAAAAAGTAAAAATATACCTTTTTTTAAGATATGTATCTTAAATAGATAGCTCTTTACTACTATATTATAGTAAATAGAGTACAATATTTTTAAATTATTATATTGTATTTTCTATAATTCTCCTCGCTAGTTAATATAGATTAAGGCCTGTTTTCTTACCTCTTTTATAGTTAAAAACTTAGTTCTAATTAAAAATAGCTCTATAGTCGATTTTTTAAATAATAAAAAAAAAAGAAAGGTCCTAGTATTTATATACTAATATTAGGTATCTAGTTCTAAGCTTTAGAATGTTAATTATAATTAAACTATAAAATTAATCGCGTATTTTCAAGTTCTAGAATATTAATCCTAATGAAACTAAATATTTTTCATAAATTCTAAGTTATAAGAATCTAAACTTAATTAAATTAGATAATAATAGCGTAATTATAATATATATATATATATATTTATTTAGATTATATATATATATATTTTTTAAGAATATATTCGATTTTTTTTAAAAGTATATTTAATTTTTTAAAGAGTATATTTACTTTCTTAAGAATATATTAAATTTTTTTAAGAGTATATTTATTACTTATAGTAATATATTTCTTAAGAAATATTACTAAGATATATAGTTTATTTAAACTAATTTCTAAGATATATATTTTTAGTAATAAAATACTATATATATAGCGTAAAACTCTAATATAAATATATTTATATATCTTAGAAATACTATACATATCTTGGTAAATAGCTATAGAAATTATATTAAAAAAAATTATATATCTTAGTAAATAGTTGAATATATTTTTTTTATAGTAAATATTTATATATATTACGAAAAAGTCTAAGATATATATAATATAATCTAAGAGTTTAATAATTTAATAATGTAAAGATATAAAAGTCTAAGAATATAAGAATTTATAAATATAAGAATTTAAGAAATAGTTATTTACTAAGATATTTAAAAAAAAATATCTCAGAGAGACTTTTTCGATATATATATCTTAGAAATATATTTTTTAAGAATATATTTTGCTTTTTTATAGAGTATATTTCGATTTTGTTTTAGGAATATTTTTTATAATAATATTTTTTTTAAAAGAGTATGTTTTGCTTTTTTAAGAATATATCTTTTTAAAAAATTTATTTCGCTTTATTTTAGGAATATACTTTTTAAGATTATATTTTTTAAGAATAATATTTTTTTTTTTTTAAAAAAAAAGCAAAAAGCGAAAAATAATCTTAAAAATTTAACATTTAAAAAAGCGAAATATACTCTTAAAAAATATTCCTAAAAATATATATTTTTTTAAAAAAAAAGCGAAATATACTCTTAAAAAATATTCCTAAAAATATATATTTTTTTAAAAAAAAAGCGAAATAATTTTTTTTTAAAAAAATATATTCTCAAAAATTATATTCTTAAAAATCGAATTATATTCTTAAGAAAAAATAATGTATATATATAATTTTTTTTTTTAAAAAAAAAACTCTAAGATACACATATTTTCGAATTTAATTTCTAAGATACATATGTTTTTTTTTTAAAAAAAAAATCTGAGATATATATATATTATAATTAATTACTGTGTATATTGCGAAAAAAAACTCTAAGATATATATATATATTTATTTATCTTAAAAATAATATATGTATCTTAGAAAATACTCGAAAAAATATGTGTATCTTAGGAAATAGCCGTTTAAGAATTTAATAATTTAAGAATCTAAAGATTTAATATATCTAAGCTATTTAATTATCTTTAATATAATTAAAGCGATTAAATATATATATAGTATTATTAAATAGCTAGAATATATACTATTATAAATTTAAGTAATCTAATTTACTACTATATCCTACTTCTTATTTATAGATTAGAGTAATCTAGTCTAGATTATTAAATATAATTTCTTAAAAAGAAATTCGTGATAAAAATATATATCTTAGTAAATTACTAATGTTTAATTATTATTTAATAAATTAACGTCCTTTATGCACAAACGAACCTTATTATTCAGCGAACTATACTATTAGAGCGTAGAAAAACCTATATAGTATGCTCTGATCGGTATGGTTCGCTGAACGATGAGGTTCGTTTCTAGGTAACGGACGTTAGTGATTGTGGAAGATGTTAGCGGTAAGGGTAAAGTAGACAACTAAATAACGAACATAGAACTTCATGTGTGTAGCGGTGGATGAACTAGTCATTAGAGATCATCTAGTACGGATTTACCACAATCCAGCTATGCATAAAACCCATTAACGCCTTGTTACGCCTCCACAACAACCACTCATCGACCGATTTCTCTCCTGAGTCTACCAGCCACTGTTGTGGGCGCGGGCTCAGGCCACGATTCCACGGCATCCTCAACCTCCTCGAAGAAAGATGTGCTGTTGTGAACTGTAGTGCCACCAAGGACAACCCTAACACCTGGCGAGCTGGCATTGACCTGAGCAACCATCTTCGCTTCTTCATATGTTGTACCGCCCACCATGAAAATGATAATGTCTTGAGGCTTGTCCCTCGTGGCGCCTCCACCCTCAACAAAAGGGTATAACTGTTCCCTTAACCGTCCCTTAATGAGATCTTGCAGAGTGCCTTCGAGACGCGGTGAATGTTGGGTGTAAACATTCTCAACACCTTTCAAACCTTTGAAACGATTTTGGGCACTGCTGAAAAGAGAGCCAGATTGAAAGAGATCAGGGATACCACTTCCAGCTGCCATGGATTGCAGTGACTGATGATACATTAGAAGTTTGTTGACCATGTCAATCCGGTGACGGGACAGGTTCCCTGCAACGGCAAGGAGATCAAGAAGAACGGGAATAGCATTAGAAGGATGCTTGTGATATCTCAACGCGTAAATGGCAGTAAGGCGGAGTTTGTTGTCTGCAGGTATGGCGGTGTTTTGAATGATATTTTGAAGGGTCTGAAGAAGTTAACGGCAATGCTCGAACATGGCAAGACCAATCTCCCTTACCTTGAGATCATTGGAATGATTGTCATTGCAAGCCAGACTTTGCTCCAGCTCGCTGACATCGAGCAAATGATCTTGACCGACCCGTCGACTCAGTTCGCCAACAAGGGTGACATGTTTTGTGACATTGCCAGATAACTTGCGAAACTCTGGATAATCTTCCACGAAGCGTTTCATGTCGGCAATGGATTCTAGAGTCAGATTGCCTTGATGCTTTGACGCAAATTGCTCCACGTAGTCTTTGGCATTCTGGCCAAGGTCACCGAAGTTGAGGTACATGTTTTTCTTAAAAAAAGGGTCTTGGTCTTGGGATAGGACGATTTCCTATAACAATTAGTCTAATCACCACGCAATACTTTGCGTACCTACCTTTAGCTCGGGCCGGATATCAGGCACATCGCTCAAATCAACCCGTCCGTTCTTGATTCCCAACAGTTCGTGGACCATTGCCTGATATGTCCACTGAGTGAGCAGAGGTGTCACGGGATCCTCTCTCCTGTCCACTATGAGTAAGATAGGAGGGGTGTCTGTCTTTCGAAAGTCGAAAAGCTGCTCTTCTTGCGTCATTTGGTACCGGACTTCCGTCGCCAGCTTTTTTGCCAACAGGCTGTTCTTCTCATACCGTATCAATGGCTTCTTCTTTAAAGATAAAAGCAGAGCTATGATACCTTCCGTTGATCTTTGTAAGGAGTCCGGGTACCACAGATCAGGATTGTTCCCCCAAATCTTGTTCTTGGGATATTCAAGATTAAGAGACATGAGGTCCGGATTGATGACAAGGTAATCGGCGAAGTACTCCTGAACAGCTCTTACGACTTCGTGATCGTCGGCTTCGGCGAGTCTCTCCAAAGACGATTTCCGTATTATGTTGCTGAAGTCTGGAAATGTCAGCTTGGTGCTTATATAGGGCTACTGTCTCGTCCAACCGGCATACAGATGTTGTATTCTCCATATTTAGGTTCCCTCAGCTCCTCAATCAGGAACTGAATGGATTCCGGGGACGGACGGACAAAGCAAAGGCATCGAAGATGCCGCATCTTTTCTCTGGTCTCACTATCTAGCCGGCTACAAAACGAGGTCAGGACGATGCGTACAAGAGGCCGAGGGAGGTTAATTACTCTGTAATGTAGACCTCATGGTTCAGCAATGCGGATTGCGTGGTTGCGGTCGAAACGATAGGGACCTTGTAAGAATATCAGGACAAGCGCGTTGATATCGAACAATGGAGGCGACAGACCTACCGTCTCGCTGTCAAGCAGCAATATCTTCATCTTGGCTGCTGAAGTGCCTGAAGCTGCACTGTCTCCGACGGACACCATCTTGGTGATGTAGCCGGAGACGGCTTGTACGATATCCATCCTGCTAATCTCGCTGGCTTGGGCTGTTTGCGCGAAGAGAATTTGGCGAGAGGAAAGAGGTGCTATGGGAGCATTGCGGGGATCGGTGTCGCGGTCATGGGCAGCTGTCTCCCGCGACACGAAGCAGGAACGCCGGGACGCTGAGCACAGACATAAGCGAGCTTGGGTGAGAGCACACCGTCATCCCTTTGCACCATGCTAGTTCACACTCGAAGATTGTTCTTACAATGCGATCAGATATTAGATACCCTTATCTACTAGCATCCTGCTGTCGTCGTCTCTCCGAAACACCATATTTGTTGACTCGGGACTGCTCGGTGCAGAATGTTGAGTTCATCTAAGGCAGTAGAGTTATTTCTTATAGTTTATTACCTAGCTAGACTCGTAATCATTCCTGGTGGCGTTATTCTACATTAATTAACTACTCCTACAGCATACTAAGGAATATCTAAGATAGTCTACTAACTACGTGCTATAGATTTATATTGATATATAGATTAGTAAAGATATTTCTCTAAGGTACTCTATAGGCATCCTCTAAATATGTTTTGCGTAATCCTTCTTAAAGTATCGGAGATTTGAAAGACGAAAGTACTAGGCGGTGATCTATAATAACAACGAGCTGCTTCTTAGATGTTCGAGGGAAAATCCCTTAGGATCTTGCCTTTACTATTGAGGATATATTCGTGTTTTTTAAGAGTTAATAGATTCGCTAGATATGTGTTTCTAGAGCATTTTACTTCTTATAGATTAGCCCTAGCTGAGTTTATGCGACCAGAAGGTTACCAATACGACTTGGCTATTTTGATGTAGCGAGGCCTGTAGCATATGGACCTCATATGGAGCCAACATTACATATATTATATCGGACAATGCTAACTCTCTTATGCCTTCCTCGACGCGCTCCTTTAATGCATTCCTTCGAAATGGTCAATAATGAGTCTTTCTTTCGAACCAGGTACTTGTATTTGTACCCAACTGCTCGAATGTATATGTTAGATCTTTGAGAAAAATATAACTCACACTATTACGAATTGATAAATAAGGTCTAGTTTTGATTCTTCATTTCCATAATAATCCCATCCAGCAAATTACCCACACCTAATTCCGGCACCACATTGCTGTTCGCCGGACCCTTGAATCTTGAGCTGTTTAACTACTTAACTCGGATACGACAACCAAACTGACCAATCCTTGGTTCATAATTTGATCTGGGATTAGGCCGAGGAGAAAAGAAGAAAAGAAAGGAAAAAAAGAAAAAGAAAAAAAGAAAAAAGACAAGAAACCCGCATATGCATGTTTGAACGAAGCGAAAAAAGCTGTCAAAGCTCCGACCATCCCATCAAAGCCATGCTCTCAAAGGGAGCTGACGGATGATGACAAGCAAGCAAAAACAAAAAGACAACGATAAAAAACCTCGCTTGCTTGGATATCACCCGAGTTTGCGTTGAGTCTAGCAAAATTCCAAAAAGGAGGAAGGGACGGACTCGAAGGATCGCTGAGGTATACAGCAGCAAGTGCTTGACCCCGAGAGGGGAGAAGCCTACAAGTCGCCGAAGTATCCCCTTGAATGCGGACAGAATTTGAGGGTGCAAGTGTGGGATAGGTGAATGCTCCCAGGAGCAGAGGAAGCCAATTGCGCCGAGTGCGGTACAGAGGTCCCTGGAAGAAGGCAAGAGGAAAAAGTCCCCACTGAAATTCGTCGCCGCTTGATTCATCCTCGCTCAGTAACCAAAATGAAAAACTCCGATAGTCATTGCTGATTTGAGATAGGAGGTCATGAGCGTAGAGGTGTCATGCATCGTGTGGGACGTTAGAACCAGGCTTGCCTACGCGCATGACCCGTATAATTTATATTTCAACCGTCTTCATCTCCTCAGAAGAGATGACGCTCTTGCCTTTGCCCTTCTCGTCCGAGTTCTCTTTGTCACTGTCCATGCTGGACTTCCCGGCACCATCATTGGCATCCTTCAGCTCCTGACTAGGGCGGGGTGTATCCAGCGAGAGGAGCTTCTCTTCATCAACATTGAGCTTAGGTCCCTGCGGGGTCTCTTCTGCTACTCGCGCCAAGGGGCTGGAAATTGGGTTTCGCGGGCTGGGAGCTATGATCGACTTGCCGCCGCTAAGACGGTGTGGGGAGCGGCCCCTTTCCTCACCGGAAGGGCTTCCATAAGGGCTGATACCATTGCTTGCACCGGCATTGGGGTTGATCTGCAGTCCGCTTGTTGGCCGCTTCTTGGGAGCCCTGCGGCCGTACTTTTGGTCGGTACGCCAACGAAGAACCTCAAGATATGGAGGATCAACATTCTGGTTGGGGAATGCCCTCAGTTTAAGTTCTTTCATCTCTTCGTCCACTTCGACCTTGTCGGAGCAAAGATCGTCGGCGAAAGAGGCCAAGAAAGCGGCCCAAGAGCGGGAGACGACGTATTTGCAGTCATAGTCACGACCGAAGATAATGATCTGTCCCCATCTACCAGCTGGACCAGGCGCGAGGTCGACTGCGATACAGTTACCACCCCAATCACGAGCGAGGGGAATCCAGGCCGGGTGGATGTAAGCCTTCTGGATTGCGTTGGGAGGCTGAGAATCTTGGCGCGTCATCAGGTCTTGGCGCCAGTTGGGGTTCGCCGCCTTGGAGTCAGGCGGTGGCGGCGTGGACGAGGAGGAAGGGCCGGCAAAGGCCTTGATGGGCGCTTGTGGAGACTGGACGGACGGCGCCTGCGAGATAAAATCGTCGTTGACCCTGCGCCAATTGGTATATTCCATAAGAATCTCTTCGCAGTCCAGGAGCATGCAACCAAAGAGCAGACCAGTGGGTAAACCGCCGCGTTCTTGACCATCGTGGATCTGTAGCGACTCGCGGAGTTCGACCGGCAATGTGCAGTCCAACATGTGCTCCAGCTCATTGACATCGTTGTGCGTCGCCCCCTCGCAGAGGTTCTCAAACAGCTCCTCGTAGTTGTCCTCGACCCAGCGATCGATGCGCTTCCAGGAGTGACCGACAGGAGGAGGGGGAGGAAGACCTTCGCTGAAGTTCTGCATTTGGATCTCACCGGTTCTGCCCTCTGGGTTGTCATGCACTGAGGACCTCATTCCGGGAGAATAAGGAGAGTTGGAGGCAGGCGAGCCCATGAAGCCATTCGCACTCGGGTCGTCCTGGGCGTATGGCGAGTTGACGTCAAGCCTGGAATCCATGGCGCTGGTCGCGACCGAAGTGAGGGGAGCATGGCGGCTCTGAGCAAGCGGGACGTGCTGGCCGGTGCGGAAAGGAGAGTCGTGGGAAGCATGGCGGTCATTGGAGGTCATGGTATGCCAAAAGTCGCGCCATGCTGAAGTGAGCATGTTTCTGCAGAAGAGTTAGCAGGAGCCATTGGAGCGACAAGGGGGAGGGGACTCACGGAGGCGCCATGGCTGGCAGAGGAGCGAAGGCACCGCGGGACAGCAGCAGAGAGAGGGATCAAGGCAAGCTCATGGAGGGATGTTCAAGTGAGCGAGGGACGGGGCGGCCGGGAAGTTGGCAGGTTGTCGGCTCCCCTGCACGTCAGAAATGCGGATAGGGGAAAGATGGTTGGCGCGCCAAGGCCGGGATTTGCGCCTTGAACGGTACGGTGAAGGGAGGGTCTCAGATGCTTGGCCGGCAAATTCAAAGGCTTGTGTGCGGTGCGCGGCGCCGGAAGGGGTCTGTTGGCAGAGGTCTAGTGGCCCCTTTACTGCATAGCAACCACACGCCCTGAGCCCTCACGGCGTCGCTGCCAGTGGCGCTTCCCACGGCGTTTCATGTGGTTCTACGCCCGACGCTAGAGCCTTCGATCCCTGAACCCGTCAACCACAACCTATGCCAACACCAGCCCGTCGCCGCTGTCCCCCAGATGCGCTCGTATCTCGGGAAAATCTCCCGCGGCCATCGTGCCTTTCCCGACGTGCCCGAGTCCGACTGCTCTGCACAAACGTGACAACTTACGCATGTAGTAGGTGGTCGCTGCGGCATCCATGTCTCTCACCGCGTCCGGCCACCCCTGTTAATCACCACCGCCGCGTCCGGCATGGGCCCGCCCGACCTTCTTTCTCCGAGTCCCGTCACGCGCGGAATGTTTCAAAAAAGCTCGTCCGACGTGACCGTCGTGGGCCACGCGCTCAAATTACAAAGGCATGTACATATAACGACTCAGCCCTGCCCCTTCCCATAAGAAGGAAAAAGAAAAAAAAAAAAAAATATCAAAGTCATCTGTACAACCCTCGGCGGTGTGTACTCGTAAACCCCCATATGAACTCCTTTGAAAGTCTTGTTCACTAAGACTGCTGTACCCCTGTCATTCTCGTAGCCGAGCCTGCTAACGCCAATCAACCAGGGTAAAGTCTGACCTCCTTGCTCATCGAAGCGACTGCGCTGTTGAAAAAAAAAAAAACACCACAAAAACAGCAAATAGATTATATAAGTAGGGGGAGGGGGAGAAAATGTAAGCAAGAAGCGGTTGGAATTCGAGTGCCTGCGAGTTCCTGGGCCTCCCCTCGCAGGCCATTGGCCTAAGCGGACGTGGATATGACGTCAACATCTGGCGCGACCAATGGACGCGCTCAGACCTTGTGGTCCCGGGCCACGAGCTCGTAGTCGATATCGTCGTGGTGGATTGTGCGAGAAAATGGGAGGAAACGTGCGATACCGCCCCTCCTGCTCTGGTGGGACATGCAGCGGTAGAACCACCAGATGCCTCCAATCAGAGAGAAACCGAGGACAAAGCCCAGAACGGTAAGAAGGAACCAGTGGCGAGCCATCTAGAAAGCCATTAGCATTCGAGCGCACGCGTCTACAACGGGAAGACCACTAACCCAGAAGATGAGCTGGACATCCGTACCATGCCAGCTGTTTCCAAGGTGATGCGTGAAGAAGCTCCAAGGATGGTTATTGTATTCGTCTCCAAAGAGAACGCGAATTCTGTCGTCTTCGATAGGACCCTCACCGTTGTAATGCCTCCAAATGATGCTAAGGAAGAGTGGACCGGTCGAGCCCATGACGGTGATATATGGAAGCAGCCAGTTACGGTTGTATTTAGGAAGAGAGTCGATCACGCGCAGGAAAAACGGGTGACGAGGAACGGCACCCATAGCGTCGTTTGAAATACCAGTTGGGACAGTGCGGCGAACCCAGGCAGGGTAGGAGAGCAGCGGGTCAAGGCGACGCTGGCATCCATCATCGAGATCAATGTAGATACCGCCGTAGTGCGCCAGGATGAAGTAGCGGATCGAATCGGCGCGCTGAATCGGGAACTCGTAGCCATCAAACGTCTCCAGGAACCATGGGTACTCGGCGGCAATAAACTCGCGCGCCTTCTTGTCCGTCCAGAGCTTGTATTCGTAATCTTCATGCAGGTCGATGCAGCTTTGCTGCGCCTCTTGCCAGCGCAGCGGAATGCTCTCGTTGATGTAGGTCTGGTGGATGATCTTGGGAATCAATTGCGGTCTTTCACTGATGGCGTCAGAATTAGGGGCTGGCAGTTCGGCGCGCGAGATTCGATCCTCGGAGCCATCGACGACGAGGAGAGAGAGAAGCGTCCAGACGCTGCGGACGAGGAGACCGATTACAAGAACATTTATGATGAAGAAGACGAGGACGCCTCTCCGCATGGTTGTGGTGGCGTGGTAGAAATGGGGTATTAAAGAGTACGGCCGTCGAAACACTCAAGTGGGGGCAAAGCCGTGGAAGGAGCGTCGAAAGTATTAGGCGGCCGTTCAGTGGGAGGCCATGGAACGGGGTGATGGAGTTGAGAGAGAACGAAGGAGCTCTGGGTGTTTGGGACAGAAATAAGAGTGGATGTAGAAGAAGGCTGGCCAAGGAGGGCGGCTGTGCAAGGTTCACACGCAATGCAAGCGCGTGTGGGCAGAAGGGAAATTGCGTTAGCCGGACCCTGGCGGGGGTCCAGGCTGTGCATCCTGGCATCCAACGCCCAACCTCGCTGGCAAACATGCGACATGCAGGTACGAGTACACTGTGGCTGACCGTCGGCGCTGTCTGATCTTCCCCACGGTCTGACGCTCAGTTGGTACCGTATGCGTGGCTCCGTGACGCCGCCACTGCCCGCGCTGCGACACTACTTTCGAGTCCACCACGTAAATTCGGCGTAATCGTATTCGTCCCAACACGCTAGCCCCCAGCGGTGATGAATTCTGGAGAGCACCCTCCCCCACTCAAGTACATAGAGTGTCACAGGATAAATGTATGGGGCTTGGGGCCGAAACAATGTCTCACGAGGATGAGCCGCTTCATGTGCTGATCTATGAAAAGCGATTACGAATGCACGCACTCGACCGCCGCAATTGCGCCAAGGCATTGAGGGCTGCGAAGACCACCGGCACGCCGTAGGGGGTGGTCGAAAGACCTGGTCATTAAAATTCCGAACCCTTTTTGATAGACGGCGCAAGACTTCTCTGAGCACACTGTATGTAGGTCTACTGCAGATAACTACTATCCTCGGTGCGATACTCTTAACCGAATATGATTATAAAATGGTGGTAATCGGCCACGATGAATATTATTACTGTGATCGTAGCATGCCGGCACTTGTCCAGAAAAGCCATTAAGATTCCGAAGTATCTTCTTCTAGAATGGTCTGGCTCAGTAAGTTCCGTTGCCTCAAGACCCCGCTCTGTCTCATCGGCTTGAAGTTTCCAATCGAGACGGCCGGGTCATTGTAGTCTTGCATCGATTTCCTCTTCTGTCGTGCAGCTCTGTACTCAGCCGGCGTTCGCCCAACAGGGCGGTCAGGAGACTCCAGGTTCAGTGCTGACTGAATGAAGCTTGAGAAGAAATACAGGATACAGCCCGCGATGATTCCAACAATACCAGCAACGCCAAGATAGACGTACAGAGTCTGTTGATTGTTCCATGTTAGCAGTGCAGACTCGGTCGCGCTCGCACCCTGCCTTACCTCGAGTTTGGCCAAAGTGCGGAACGGCAGCATGGCTGCTTGCGACATGAAGTGGCCGAGATGGAAAAAGGGCAAGAGGACGAATCGCGTGCCGTGCCAGACGGGCGAGACAGCCACAAGGAGCAATTGGAGGAGGGCGTAGACAGGGAGGACTAGGAGATAGTAGAGAACGGCCCAGAGAAAGGCAACGGCTGGGTTCATGGCTACGGCTACGGCATCAGCATCAGCGAGGCGCCGATGCACGACGGGCAGAGGCAGTGAAATGCGTGGTCATGTGTCGCGCGCGAAAAGGAAAGCACCATACCGGGAGGGTCCAGGTGACTCAATTGATGTCTCGTCGCAGCCCCAGCGCCTTTCAGTTGCATCCTCCAAGAGCGAAAGATGTTGGATGCGACGCGGGTGGGAGTCGGGGACGGTGACGACTTGCGGCGGGTGCGTCGCCCGATCCATGTCGGCCTGGGGGAGACCCACTGCTGCTCCCCACTGCACCGCCCGCCGCACTTCTCTATGTTCGCTTCAACGCCCTGCCCGCCGAGACACAGTAGCAGACGCAACACGGGCCCCGGCTTGACCGTCGGCCATGGGAAACACGCCGTCGTCATCTTCCCGCCAGCACGGCGGCAGCACGCCGCAGTCGCCAGCTTATCATGAAAGGGCAGGCTCAACCTTCGGCAGCGCGCCTGGCTCCAATGCGAGAAGGGAGCCGCGCCGGCGAGAGTCGATCCAGGCCCTCTCCAACGTCAAGGCCACTGCCGCCCCGCCCTCCGCCAGCCTCGAAAGCGCGACCGCGCATTCCACGACTGCCGCTCGAGGCCCCCTCCGACCTAGCTCTCGCGGCCGAGCCCAGACGGTAGCTACCCCACAGCTGAAGGCCGAAGACGCTGCCGCTCTGGAAAGGATGGGCAACGAACAGTCCCACCGGAAAGCCGGCTCGGCCGCCTCTTCGCCGCCCATCGAGCCCTCCCCCCTCTCTCGCCCCGTCGATGTGCCTGTCTTACGGCCTGACCTGTCCTCTGTTGACGCCGACTCCTCGCAACCAGATTCATACCACATGGGGGCCGCAACGTACAACCGGCCGCCGCGCCTGCCGCTGCCTATCCAAGAGGAGGTGCATACCCCGGGCTCTCCCATCATCTCCCCAGCAGACCTCACCTCCCCACTCAGCCCCGAAGACGTCGACGTTGTTCTGCCACGAAGAACGTCGGTTTTGAGCAACACGACCGCCGACGAGGACGACGTGGGCGATGAAAGTCTTGATGCAGATGCAGGACTGCGTCCAGCCGTACCCACCGTCATTGAATGGCTCGGCCCAGGCGAAAAGGTGTACGTGACGGGCACTTTTGCTGGATGGAATCGGAAGTACAGGCTACACAAAGAGTAAGTCGACAGATATTGCTTGTACATGGGCCACGGCCTTGGAAACATGCACTCCCCTGCACTTCCTAAAGACATTGTTTAGAAGACCGAATCGCACACATACTCATCGACAATTATAGTGGACCGAGCATGCATAAAGACGCCTTCTCCGCCACCATAAATCTCCAGCCTGGCACGCACCATCTCAAGTTTCTCGTCGACGGAGAAATGCAGCTTTCCCCTATGCTTCCTACCGCCGTGGACTTCACAAACATCTTAGTCAATTATCTCGAGGTGTCGCCGGACGATCTTCCCGCGACCCAACCAAGCGAGCCCGTAAACGTACCCGGAAAAGAACCCCAGTCTGACACACAACCTGAATTGTGTGCTCCACCGGGTGTCTATCCTCCTCAGGTTCTTCCCCCTACCCCCGAATTGAGGCCTGTGGGAGAAAGCACGACAGCGCCGCCTGTGCCGGCGCCTGAAACTAGCAAACCCATACCCGTAGCCCCCGCGCCCCCTAAACAGTACCATAGTGCTATTCCTCGCTACCTGGCAGACCTGGATGCCGAAGAAGATTCGTCACGAGCTGCACGAGCGAGCGCAGTCATGAACACGACTCCAATGCCGCCTTCTCTCCCCGTGATGCTTAGCAAGAGCATTCTTAATGGCAGTACGCCAATGAAAGACGACAGCAGCGTACTCAACATGCCGAATCACACTGTACTCAACCATCTTGCCACGAGCAGCATCAAGCATAACGTGCTGGCAACTAGCGCGACAACGCGGTACAAGCGAAAGGTAGGGTTTTGGGGTTTCCCTGCTTGGGTAGCTTTGGAACGAGGAGACAAGGAACAAAGTTGGACTGACTGCCCAATTAGTTCCTCACGACCATCATGTACAAGCCCACAAGCGACACAGGAGAATGAGCCCATGGCGGTCTCTCCTGGGACCAGGGGAGTGAGCATCCATCCAGGGGCGGGTTAATGCACTAGCAGCATCACTAGGCACGCTGAACGTCACAAACTAGGACGGAGGTCATGACAGATCAGCGTTGCGGCGTCTTTATTCGTATAGAGACAGGCCTGGAAGAAGCAGAGGCGTGGAGAGGCCAAAAGGTTCGCTTCTTGTCCAGATGAAATGCATAGTTTGAATGGCATGGGTCCTTGGTTTCTGCTGACGCTTCAGGCGGCGGCGGCGGCGGCGGTAGCGGTGGCTGCAGGCCCTCCCGGACGGACGGGCAGGACGAGGCGGAAGATGCAGCGAGACGCTCCGTGCTGAAGCGGGCGGAATGTGGTGCCTACCTTTGCAAACGTATTGTAGAAACGTCGCGTTGGGGCTATCTTGGCGCGCCGTAGCCGAAAGGCGCGGTGACCTTGCGCTCGGGCGGTCTGGCGCTCCAACACAGTTTCCTGCCCCCAGCACAACAGCGACCGGCCACCGCGACGCCGCTTCATCCATCGAAAACTCCACCACAACCCATCATGAAACTGGCCAGAGCCCGGCAGAACGCATCTTGAGCGACTTCGCTTTCATTTGACACGCTTCTCGCCCATTGTCGACCGCGTTGCCGTGCTCGAGTCGACACGTGCCGTCCCGCGGGGGATTCGCAAGGGGGTCGGGCAGCCTGTCGCTTCACCTCTGCCTTTTCGCGACCGGGCCGCCGCAGCGTTTTTGCCAAGACCATCACGCCCGCCCATTCGCTCATTCACCACACCACACGGCAGCGCTGCACTTTTTGTCACATGGAACCCTGATTCCACCAAAACCTTTGAGCCGCATCAATTATGACGCAACGCATTGCCGGCCAGCGCTTTCGCCAGCGCAAGCTGTCCACCAAGCAAAACTTGCACATCTTGCGCGAAAGTGATGTTGAGAACCTCGCCGACGACGAGGCCCAGCGTCACATCCCCAAGGTCGAGACCGGCGTCGAGAAGGGTGAGGAAATCGTAAGTTGCTTCCAGTCCTCACCTGCGTCACGTGCTGCTCACTCACCTCACCTTGCGACTCTCTCCCCGCAAAGTCCAACATTTTGACTCCATACTCTTAGGAACACCATCTTCAAGCCGTCATCAATGCCGCCGCTGTTGGCGGCAAGATCGGGCAGCTCTACATCCCTACTCCAGATGCTGTTTCCAGCAAGCTGAAGTATGACGAGCTGTATCCTCGGCGTTGGGTGCAGCCAGCCACCTACATTCGCTTTTCGTCCACCGTAGAAGACTGCAACGGTACCCAGTATTGCATGACCAGTGAGGACGATGCATTCTTGAAGTCGTTGAACGCGAAGAAACCCGCAACGGCCCAATGTTCCGAAGACCATTTCGAGGAGGCAATGGACTTCTTCGAGCGCATCTCGCACGAGAAGCAACCATTCGCCGCTGTAGACAACACCCCCGTTTTGCCGTACGAGGAAATGGAGAGCAGTTTCGACGAGACCGTTAGTGATCCGGCTCGGAAATATGCAAAGGACGTCTACGACCACTGGAAGCAGCAACGCCTGAAGCGCGGAAACCGCGATCTGATGCCCTCATTGAAGTTTGAGACCAACCTTGACACAGATGATGCGGACCCGTACGTATGTTTTAGGCGGCGCGAGGTCCGCCAAGCTCGGAAGACCCGTGGCAGAGACGCCCAGGTGACTGAAAAGCTCAAGAAACTGAGACATGAACTAGAGGAAGCAAGAAATTTGATGAACCTAGTGAAACAGCGAGAAGCATTGCGGAGGGAAGAGCTGGCAAATGACAGGCTTATCTTCGAGAAGAGAATGGAGGTTAAGGAGGTCAAAAGAAACCTCGGTATCAAAGGCGAAGATGAAGACCTCATCAACCAAAAGGTGCGTGCTTGTCAATCCGAGCTTCATAAGAGAACTGAACTTACTGATGGTTGCTCCAGCCAGCACCAAAGCCCAAGCCCAAGCTCGATGCAAGTGCCATCCAGCGTGGCGTGCCTGGTATGGTATCGAAACCTCAACTCTCGCGTGTGGATGGCCGCCCTCTGGACAATGATCTCATCACTCTCGAGGAGCAAATTGCTAAGAGGGAAGATGAGATTACGCGGTCGATCGAGATAAACAAAGAAAAGCACCGCGAATGGAACAAACATTACGTGGATGTCACCTGGAGAGCAATAACGCCACCTTTGGAGGAGAATATCCAGCCTGCTTTTCGCACTGCCATCACACAATATTTGCCGACTCCTCCTGCATCGATCTCGTCGGAGGTTTCGGGAGACAATGCAAACTCTGGCAATATGGAGCCGAAGCATGGTGACAACGCTTTGGTTCGCTATGCCACTCCACCCCAGGAGACTTTTCAGGGACGACCTTCGTTTAGGCGAAGAACGGGCCGGGGTGGACGACTTATGATCGATAGGCGAGGGCTCAAGCGACCCGCAACTGATGACATCAATGATCGTGCAGCGGAACGGTACAAGTATGATCAGGACAGCGATGAAGAGGATTGTACAATTCCGATCGACTTCTACGCTGACGCAGCCATCAAGTACCGCATCATAATGGACAGAGCTGTGTCCAGGGAAGCTGCAGCACATGCAGCACAAGCGGCGCATGCGCAACAAGCAGCTGCAGCGCGCCGGAGCATCGGCGCGGCTGGAATGCAATCGGGGCAATCAGCACAGATGGCTCATCCGATACAACAGCAACAACGGATAGCCAACGGCCCAAGCTGAAAAGTCAGGCTCAACTGTTGCTGTCCCAGATTTTTGTTTGCCTCTTCATGCATGCAGCGTGGTGAATAAGAGACGTGCCGGATTCAGGCGCCACAAATCTGTTTACCACGCATCAACCCCCTCGGCATTCAATTGCCTATTGCTCTCCCGGCCAGCCTTCAATGACGATAACGATAGGATATACCATTGTCGAATCAGCGTTTTAGATTCTCGAACCGGTAAGCTGAAGCTTGTTATGTACAGTAATGGAAACCGGTTCGGAGGCAACTTTTTTTCTGAGGGGAGACGATTCCTGGATCGAGTCGAACAGGGCTTTTGGAAGTTCACCAGCCATTGCAGCGAGGCCCGAGACATGTAAAGTATCGACGATGGTGGAGCGGATGTGACGGAGGGCGAAATAATATCCCCAAAAAGCAGCATAGACTCGATTAGAGTCTGCCGGACCTGAGATTTTTTTTTTTTTTTTTTTTTCCTGCAGTGCTCGGGTGCACAACTTGCATCATGATGGTGACTGCGTTCGCTGATCTCGGAGGTTTACGCCGTTTTTCTCTTCTTCTGAAAACCGGAATCGCCACCCGGGGCACTTCTCTTCGCAGACTCGGAGCCCTGGCTAATGCTCTGCAGCAGAGCGTGTGCCTGCTCCAGAATCTCTTTCTCCCCAATTCTTACTGCCAAAGCCATGCTCTTTCGAATATCAGACACATCAGTAGCAGCGAGAGTTTTATCCTGCTCCAGGGACGTGGGATATTCTGCAGCGCGTTTGGCAATAATTTGTTCCAATAACCGAGCCATCTGCGGCGTCATGTCCGGTTTCGGAAGCTTGCCTTTGCTTTTCATTCTTTGGAAGTCCTTGTTGGGGAGAACCAATGAGGCAAGCAACAGGCACATTTCAGGACTAAACGCCGACTCGGGCTCTTCAGAAGGAATGCCAGTAATATCGTAGCCGGATTCAACGAGATCTTGATCCGCGAGATAATCAAGCTGGCAGCAGTCAGCACTCAGAATGTAATTATAGTTTTTTTTTCTTTTCTTTTCTTTTCTTTCTTTTGGCTTACCTTTTCCTGGAGCTCTTCGTCTGCCAGATTTGCTTCGGCTTGGACAATCTCAGCTATAAGCTGAGTCGAGACTTCTACCACGTCGTATTGCGCGTAATTCGGCGTGACGTAGCCATATCTACGAAGCAAATCACTTCTCGGCAGGGCTCCATAGTCGTTAAAGATTTCATCCCCCGCCTTAATATCGGAAACGGCTTCCATAGTCAGGGCCCCAGGACCATGGTGTAGACGGGCATTATTTCTATCAGCATCCGCATTGAGCATGTCCGCCAAAGGCACCATGCCCTTGGGCAGTGCTTCGTCTTCGTCTTCTGATGCGTAGCCCTCCTCGTCGACATTCTTGTTGGCTGATTCAGGTTCGATGTCGAAGGCGTAAGCCATTATCGTGGACCCCATTCGGTGTGCCAACTCCAAAAGCTCATGGTCGTTTACGCTGGTACCATTGTCGCTAGGGAAAAACACCTTGGCATGCCGACGGATGAGAGGAATCAAGTTCTCCCTGAAGGTTACATTTGCGTCGTCCTTCCCAATTTTCTCGGTCACGGCGCTCGCCTGCAACTCGGACAGCTCCTGATCACTCCAGAACATCAAGGTGTCAAAGTGGGCAGGCAGGATGTCAAAGTAGGGTTTCCAGGGAGTCTCAGAGCCACGCAAGTACTCGTAAATCATGGCCAGGATAAGGGCTTGCCACGGGTCGACATCGTCCACGACTTGCGGGAGAGCCGAAGAAAGGGCGGAGTTGGCGGCGCTGAGGACGGCTTTGCGGGGTATGCTGAAGAGAACCTCGCCTTCGTGGATATCTTGGGCGGCGACTGAGGCGAGGTATGAGCTTTGTAGGGCAGGCAGCGGGCAAAAGAGGGGAACTCACTGACACCTCGTCCGGCACCCCGATGCCGAAGGTCATGGAGGCTGATTTTGTCGGAGACGGTTGCGCCAGCCGAGGAGCGCAGCCAATCGACAAAGGCGGTCGACTTTTGCTCAAAGTCGTCCATGTTCGGGGGTTGGCGAGGGGAGGAGGTCCTGAGGTAATATTGCCGGGTGAAAGGCGTGCGATATGGCTCGGATGCACCGTTGTTCCCTGCGCGCGCTAGCGTGCTTATCGATTCGCTCCCGCCGCCGTTCCCCATCCGCCATCTCATCAGACTGCCAACGGCTCTACCAGTGAAGCGGGCGTGGTTCCATTTTTTAGCCATTCGCTCTGTGGTGTGATTGCATTATATATCACTAGCGACAGTAACGATATCCAAAGGGACAATGTCATCAAATAGACTGAGCATCATTTATGAATGCACAATGGTATTGCCCACGCCCCCCCAAAAAATAAAAACAAGCACCGACCGCATAAACCACAGCAGGTCGCCGGCCATGTACACTCCCAGACGCCTCCCAACCTGAACTAGCACTGTATCTCACTTTTGACCAATACGCCCTCCCTTCCATCTTACGGCAAAAATACTGGGTTCGTCTTCGCATTCTCTTTATCCTTTTCCCGCTCCCTTCTTTTTGCCTGAACACGCTCCATGGCAAGCCTCTTCCGATCTGCCTCAGTGCTGAGGCTATTCGGTACTGTGCTGATTGCGGCTGAATCCCGTACATTGGCCTGAGGCTGGAGCGACCTATCTGTCTTCGCTCTACTGGCGGGCACTCTTGCGTTGGTTTCTGCGGATACATTGCCAGTCTTGGCACCTCTTGATGATGACGCAGAAGCAGTTGCATTAACAGTAGCAGGTGGGTCATCTATCATCCACGTATCATCGATGGCTGGTTCATTCGCCGCCTTAGATTGGGAGCCGGCTGCGTTGCCTTTGTCCGTCCGCACATCGGCTGCAGAACGACCCAACTTCCTTGGGGATGCCCCATCTTTTGCCCTGGAAGTGCGGCGGCGGTTGGCTACGGGGGTACCTTCGTGTTGGATGCATTGCAGGCTAGCCACGCCACGCTCGAAGTCATCATAAGCATTCGCAGCCCGCGTTTCCGGGAGAGCCTTCGATGCTGATGACGATCCTGCCGATTTGGCAGATCCTGTCTTCGATCCCTCGTGCCCTGCCAGGCGTTGTTTCGATGTACCAGTTTCGGCTCTTAACTTAGCGATTTCTGCCATAGCCTCCCTCAATTGTTCTTTGTAATCTTTGTTGTTTTCTTCCAGCTCCCTTTCTCTTTGCCTGTGCTGCTTTCTCTCAGTTTCAAGTTTCTCTGCGAGCTCAGTAGCCTCGGCGTCCTTCTTCTTAGCATAATTTTTGGCCAACTGCTGTTTGGTGATCAGCTTCTTGACCTCCTTCTCACTTCTTTCTGTATATGATTGGAACTGCTCTTTCCAGTATCTCCCGGACTCGGATCGGGGCTCCATAACGTCAATAGTGATATCGCCGTCGTCCTTTGCTCTTGGCTTTGGTCTTGAAAGCTCCTTTTTCGATTCTTCAGCCTTTGTCGACTCCCGTACTTGATACAGCTTCTCGGTCAACTTGGAGCTCGAGCCCGGTCTCGTCTCCGGCAATGCATCGGTGGGGTTTTTCGGAGTCCACGGGCTAGGAAACTTTCCGGGGTAGTTGGTTGGCAAGCCGCTTTTCGCAAAAGTAGATTTCCTTCCTTCGTTGTCCACCACATGCGCACCAAAAGAAACAGTCTTGCGCCCCTTGGCCGTTCCGGGCGTCGACATGATTCCCCGCAAGGCGTCTTGGTCATGTGCGTCTTGTTTGTCTAGGCTTCTGCGTGCAGTCGAGGGCTTGTCGCTTTGGCGCACCGGCTTGACGGTGACTGGCTCGGTCTGATGAGGCGTGCCGAATATGGCATGCTTGAAGGCACGGACGGCGAAGACGGGAGCCGGAGTCTCTGGAGGTTCGATGTATGTCGCATCCATGGATTCTGCTTCGCCTTAGCAGGGAGAGCGAGCAAGAAACGGACAGGGGAAAGGAAGACGCGAACCTCGCTGCTCGTCCTGAGCGGAGCTCCCTCCGCCGGTGATCCAGTTGAACATGTTGTGTGGGTTGGGAGCTGGCCTAGGTAGGCAGGCGCATGTCGGGGCTTTGTTTACTCGGAGGTTGCGACTGCTTGTTTAGAGACAACATGCGCCGCCGGGTCGCTCACCGCCCGCTTATCGATAAGGCTTTGCGGCTGCCGAGGGACGCCAGGACGCGCCACTACGCCTGCCAACCTGCTTAGGTTCCATCTTCCCCACCATCCACAGCGCCTGACAATCCCCACATTCCTTTCATCATGTCCACAGTATGAAGGGCTGCAGCTTCGGCTGCATTCCTCTAGGTCTCACGAGTTTCCACCGGCCTAGCCCCTCAACCCTCGACACAGCCCATCATGGCACCTCCGAAAGCACCGTGGAATAAGATAGTGACCCCAGCAACGCCTTCCAAACATGTCAAGCCCCCAGTTCAAAGTCCTGCTGCTGCGCCTGGGTCGCCGGCAGCCGTTGCCCTGGCCAACTACGCACAGGCTCAGGACGAAGAGATCGAAGCCTTGAAGGCCATTTACATGGAAGACTATGAAGAAGTTGAAACAAAAGGCGCGTGGAGCAAGGCATCCGACAGAGCCTTCAACCTCGCCTTGAGAGCTCCCTCGGATGCCGAGACAACAGTCTTACTCTCTGTGAGATTTACCGCCACGTACCCGAAGACTGCACCCTTGCTCAAAGTCGAAAAATTCAATCGACTACGTGAAAAGAGCAAGAAGGAGATTGAGAAACTCGTCAAAGACAAGCCAAAAGACCTCCTCGGCGAAGTCATGATCTACGAGATTGCAACCGCAATTCAAGACGTCCTTGAAGACACTTTTATGGCCAGACAGCAGGATGCGGCCATGCCCAGTTTGGAGGAAGAGCGCGCGGTGCATGAAGCGGCTGCCGAAAGGCTTGCCAAAGAGCAAGAACAGCAAGAAATCAAGAAGAAGGAAGAAGAGAGGGCCGAAGAGGACCGCGTTCTGAAGCAAATGGTTGACGAGGAAATGAACAGACGCAAAGAGCAAAAAAAGAAGAGTAAACCAATAACCACATCGTCAACACACCTGTTGGCCGAACTGGGCTCAATCCCTATGTCAAAATTCCGTGAGGGCTCGGTGACGGACGTTTACTCTCTGCAAGCCACGTTGTCTCCCGGAACTGTGGCTCCACTCATACTGAAGCGGTCAGTGGTTAAGAATCACAACAACGAAGCACGTCTCAAGCGATTGATTGAAGATTTTGATGACTTGATGGGAGACTTAAAAAGAGTTTCTCACGAGCATGTTATTGGCATCCTGGACTTCAAAATCGACCGAGGTGTCGACGGAAAAGACTGGAATATCAGCGTTCTGACCGAGTTTGCCAACAAGGGTTCTCTATCAGAGATGTTCCATATTACAGAATCTTTTCCAGCGGACAAAGTTCGTGGATGGACAATAGAACTGCTTGAAGCTCTTGATTACCTTCATCGTAATGGTGTGGTACACAAGAGGGTACATGCAGCCAACGTACTACTTTGCCAACCCACATCCGGTAGTCCACCTTTTGTAAAACTAGCAGATGGCGGCTTTCAACAGACTCTGCACGATATCAAAACCCTTTCGCGAAACGTCTCCAAACTCGCTTCCGCAAGATCCGCATACTGGCTCCCTTCCGAACTCAGCCAGGACAAGAACGGCAAGCCATCTCGAAAAACAGATGTCTGGGATCTGGGTATCGTGTTTGTACAAATGCTCTTTGGCCTCGATGCACCGCAGAATTACAGTTCCCCAGACAATTTGATAGAAAAACTACAAGTTTCTGAGCCTCTTGAAGATATTATACGAAACTTTTTCAAAATGGATCCAAAGAAACGTCCTTCCGCGTTTGATCTGATACCTTCAGAGTTCCTGCGCAACAATGCGCCGATTTTCTTGGAGTCCTCGGCTCCCCAACGGTTACGACTCCCTTCCAGTAGCTCACTTCCAGTCAATGATCGTCGCTTGCGACGTGAGTCTTCGAGCTATGGGGGTGGTAGTTATAAGAGTGGCCCAATTTCTAGGTATGCCAATGAGTGGGTGGAAGCTGGCCGCCTTGGAAAGGGAGGTTACGGAGAGGTCGTCAAATCTCGCAACAAGCTCGATGGACGCATCTACGCAATCAAAAAGATCAAGCAGAATTCTGCTTCGGCTCTTACGGAAGTGCTTTCTGAAGTCATGCTACTTTCACGACTGAACCATCCGTATGTTGTCCGTTACTACACTGCATGGCCAGAGGATGACTACTCAAATGCTATTGACACCGGTAAGCCTAAACACTGAGCTGAGTTACTGGAAAAATCCAGACGACTGAATCTATCCTTAGAAACTGAAGAAGAATCAGTAGCTTTTACTGAAAACGCAGTCTCTGTTAGCGGACCAGATATTGAATTCGGCCGCAGTAATACAGGCGGTCTTGACTTCATCAGTTCCAGTGGTTATCCCAAAATCGAGTTTGGCAATGATAGCGAGGAAGAGAGTGTCTCTGAAGAAGACGATGATGACGAAATCAGCGACGATGAGTTAGATGAAAGCTTTTCTGATGAAGATGATGAGAGTAACAGCAAAAGCGATACCATCGACAGTAAGTCTCCGTTAAAACTCAAACGGACAATATCGAGCTCAAAGTCTCGCTCTGTCAAGTCAACATTGTACATCCAAATGGAGTATTGCGAACGGCACACGTTAAGGGATCTGATCAGAAAGGGATTGTACGATGACCCAGATGAAGCATGGCGCCTCTTCCGGCAGGTTCTCGAAGGTCTTGCTCATATCCACGGCCATGGGATAATCCATCGAGACTTGAAGCCTGATAACGTCTTCATCGATGTCGCTAATAACCCCCGCATTGGCGACTTTGGTCTGGCTACGAGTGGGCAGTACCAGGTTGCTGACAAGGCTGCCATGACCGGTAGCATGATAAGCAATCCAGATGGCGATATGACGCGCAGTGTTGGCACCGCCCTTTATGTCGCTCCTGAACTGAGGTCTGGAGTTGGTGGGAGTTACAACGACAAAGTTGACATGTATTCCCTCGGCATAATATTCTTTGAAATGTGCCATCCTTTGAAAACAGCTATGGAAAGGGACCATATCATCCGCCAACTTCGGGAAAAGGAGCATAATCTACCACCGACATTCAACGCATCTGAAAAGGCTTTGCAAGGGAGTATCATCAGCTCTTTGATCAGTCACAAGCCGAGCGAGCGCCCAAGCAGTGCCGAGCTACTTCGCAGCGGCAAGCTACCACTTCAAATTGAAGATGAGACGGTTCGTCTGGCTCTTCAAAGTCTATCAGACCCAAATTCGCCTTATTACCACAAAATGTTGTCTGCGCTCTTTGCCCAAGGTCAGGACAAACAAGTTAAGGATTTTGCGTGGGATTTGGGGCAGTCTAATGGTTTCCATGAGCAAAAGGCCACAGACTTGATGCTGCAATCTATGGTCGAGGATAAGCTTACAGTAGTCTTCAGGAGGCATGGCGCTGTGAAGTCTCGAAGGCAATTACTTTTCCCGAGATCAGCTCATTACGTGGATCAAAATGTCGTACAACTCTTCGACGCCTCTGGGACCCTAGTCCAACTACCCTACGACTTTACGCTTCCTTACGCCAGGACAATCGCTAGACACAAGCCCGCGGCGGAGAAAACGTATACCATTGGTCAAGTCTACCGCGACACTTATTCCGGAGGCGCGCCTCTCAGCAACGGAGAGGCTGATTTCGACATCATCTCTTACAACAGTCTCGACCTTGCACTCAAGGAAGCCGAGACCATCAAAGTTATGGACGAAGTCATTGACGAGTTTCCTTCGCTGGGCGCGGCACAACTTTGTTTCCATATCAATCACTCGGACCTCTTGGAACTGATCATGGATTTTTGCCGAATCAGCGTCCCACTCCGTCGTGCAGTCAAGGATATTCTCAGCAGACTTAACATCCGGCAGTGGACGTGGCAGAATATTCGTCATGATTTGCGCACCCCCACTGTTGGTGTTTCCTCTACTTCCCTTGATGAACTCGCCAAATTTGATTTCCGGGATACACCAGAGAAGGCATTTGCCAAGATCCAATCGGTGTTCGAAGGGACCGAGTATCTTGACAAGACCCATGCCATATTTGCGCACATGCGCACTGTCATCAACTACATGAAGAAGTTCAATGTCCGCCGCAAGGTCTACATCAGTCCTTTGAATGGTTGGAACGAGAAATTCTACGCCGGTGGCTTCATGTTCCAATGCATGTTCGATACCAAGCGGCGGGATGTGCTGGCTGCTGGAGGACGTTATGACCGTCTGATTGAAGAGCACCGACCGAAGGTTCAAGGACAATTTACTGGCTGCCACGCTGTAGGCTTGAGCTTGGGTTGGGACAGACTTGTCACTTCAATGACTCGGTTCCAGAAAGGGCCTAGTAAGAACAGCTTCCTAAAGAGGACTCAAGAAGATGATGGACACGAGAAATGGGCGACCCGTAGATGTGACGTTCTCGTTGCAAGCTTCGATCCGGTTACTCTCCGATCTACTGGAGCCAAGATGATCGGTGATCTTTGGGCGCATGACATCAGCGCCGAACTGGCCATCGACACCAGATCGCCGGAAGAGCTTCTCTCGCATTACTCTGAGGATAAGCATTGCTGGATAGTAATTATCAAGCACGACGCCATCAACACCGGCAAGCCCGATGTCAAAGTCAAGTCCTTGCTGCGCAAAGACGATACCGATCTCCGTAGTTCGGAGCTGCTCTCCTACCTCCGACAGGAGATTCGCGATCGCGAACACCGCGAAGGCTCCACGAGCAACCGTGCGCGTCTCACTCGGCTCAGCAACCAAACGGAGCAGATAACGCACAAGTCGGAAGAACGCAAGTCGAATGTGCAAGTGCTCCTCGCGCAGCATCGGTCGAAAAAGTCCAACAAATGGAGCATCGTCGAGGCCGCCCAAACACGAACACGCGAGCTCTTGAGTTCGTACGAAAACGGGCCCATCGCCGCGATTGAGACAAAGGACGAAATCCTGGAGTTGATTCGAGAGACGAGGCTCAGTGATGCAGACAGCTGGCGCCGGGTCATCCAAAGCGTGCCGTTGGCTGAACGCCAGTACTTGCAGGACTTGCTTGACATGCTGAGGAAGTATGCGCAGGTGTGGAGAGACGAGGGAGCACCGAACGAAGGGAGGATGGCTTTTGTGTACAATTTTAGGACGGGCAGTGAGGTGATGTATGATCTTGGGTTGTAAGTACCTTAGTGTGGGGGTGAGCGGGGGTCGGCATGTCGGTGAATTATGTCGGCGGTCGGCGGTCGGAGCGGGGCCGGGCCAGGCCCGATACCCTTGCCCCGCCCCAGAGGATCTGCCTGTGCATGTTTTCTAGAACAAAAAAGAGACGGCCACCACGGCGACGACGCCGACACCGACCAGCGGTGACCTCTTCCTTCCATTGCATTAACCTTGTTATTACCTACACGATTATCTACACGGCACAGACACACACAGCCCCTAAGATACACGTCAGCTCGTTGGCCCAACACTAATCGCAAGACTCATCAGGAAGCAAGCGAAGCTGTCGCTGGAGCCTAGTGGGTCTCGTGAAAAAGACCAAATCGGGACGTGTTGCGAGAGGCGCGGCCGGCCGTCTGTGGGCTGAGGGGGGCGGAACCAATTAGAGGCTAGAGATGGTACGAGCGGAGCTTCGGTTTCGCGTTGGTGCGTTCCCGGATCGCAGGGTTGCCGTGCACTAGCGTGCATAACCCTATCTCTAGACTGCCACATAATAAACAACCGGCGGCCTACCTGACGCCAGCTTACCTCCCTAATCACATTTGCCTGGCATACTTATTTTCCCTGCTCTCCAGTCTACCTACCTTAGGCCTGACAACATCCTCGCTTTTCCCTACCTACCCTACCGAATTCTTCAATACGCCTGCAGTTTCCTAACACAAGCACCGGCCAATACGGCCGCCCCGCCGCCACCATGGCCAACGACATCCATCATCACGACGGCTCCGAGAAGCATTCCAGCCACGCACCCTCCGAGCTGGACGACATTACCGTCGACAATGAAAAGACCCTGTCCAGCCAGGTCCCTGTGCCCGGCGAAAACCAGGTCGTCCATACGGCCAATCCCAAGAAGCTGGTCAAGGTCCAAGAAGAACAGTTGGACCCCATGGACCAATTGCCCGAGCATGAACAGGTCATCCTAAAGAGGCAGTTGGAGACCCCGCCCACCAAGGTGACCTACTTCACACTATATCGGTATGCCACGAGGAAGGACTACATCATCATGATTGTGTCCTCCATCTGCGCCATCGCCGCTGGAGCTGTCCTGCCTCTTATGACCGTTGTCTTTGGTTCCTTAGCAGGCACCTTCCAAGGCATGCTCTCGGGAAGCACGTCCACGAGCGATTTCAATGATGACCTGGTCCACTATGTCCTGTACTTTGTGTACCTTGGCATTGGTGAATTTGTGACCTGTTACATCTACACCGTCGGCTGGATCTATGTGGGAGAGCAGCTTTCATCGAGAATGAGGCAGGCCTATCTGGCCGCTATCCTTCGCCAGAACATCGGATACTTTGACAAGCTCGGTTCCGGAGAGATCACCACTCGCATCACAGCCGATTCCAACCTTGTGCAAGATGGTATTTCCGAGAAGGTCGGACTCGTCCTGCAGTCGTTGGCGACCTTTGTCACTGCCTTCATCATTGCTTTCGTTAAATACTGGAAACTCACCCTCATCATGACCTCCACCATCTTCGCCATTGTAGTGTCCATGGGCATTGGCTCCCAGTTCATCTTAAAGTACAACAAACAGTCCCTGGCATCGTATGCTTCTGGTGGTACCGTTGTGGAGGAGGTTTTCAGCTCCATCAGAAACGCCATCGCATTTGGAACCCAAGACAAGCTCGCACGCCAATACGACGAGCATCTCAGGGTGGCTGAGGGCTGGGGAAGAAAGACCAAGACCGCGCTCGCCTGGATGCTGGGAATGATGATGACGATCATGTACCTCAACTACGGTCTGGCCTTCTGGATGGGCTCAAGGTACCTCGTCAAGGGCGATATGACATTGTCCGACGTACTGACGATTCTGATGGCCATTATCATTGGATCTTTCTCTTTGGGACACGTTGGACCGTGGGTGCAATCCTTCACTACAGCCACGGCAGCGGCAGCGAAGATCTTCAGCACTATCGACCGAGTGTCACCTCTGGATCCGACCTCCAAGGAAGGCATTACACTTGAAAAGCTTGAAGGTAGAGTGGAACTCAAAGGTGTCAAGCACATCTACCCGTCCCGTCCGGAGATTACTGTCATGGAAGGGGTAGACCTCGTCGTCGAAGCTGGCAAGACTACGGCCCTTGTCGGTGCGTCTGGATCTGGAAAAAGTACCATTGTGGGGCTTGTCGAGCGCTTCTATGATCCTGTTGGGGGTATCGTTGAACTCGACGGACACAACGTACAGGATCTTAACCTACACTGGCTGCGTCAGCAAATCTCTCTTGTTCAGCAGGAGCCTGTCCTCTTCGCCACAACCATCTACAAGAACATTCGGCATGGTCTCATCGGCACTCCTCATGAATCCCTCCCGGAGGAACAGATTCGCGAGATGGTCTACAACGCGGCGCGCATGTCCAATGCGCATGATTTCGTGTCAGCACTGCCTGAAGGCTACGAGACCAATGTTGGTCAACGTGGTTTCTTGCTTTCTGGTGGTCAAAAGCAGCGCATTGCTATTGCTAGAGCGATTGTTAGTGATCCCAGGATTCTTCTCCTTGACGAAGCCACTTCGGCTCTGGACACCAAGAGTGAGGGTATTGTGCAAGCGGCACTCGACAGAGCTGCTCAAGGTCGGACCACCATCGTTATTGCGCATCGCCTGTCGACTATTAGGGATGCGGATAAGATCGTGGTCATGACTCAGGGTCGTATCGTTGAGCAAGGCACGCACAACCAACTTTTGGAACGCAGAGGAGCGTACTACAACCTTGTAGAGGCACAGAGGATCGCTGCTGCAAACGAAGGCAACACTGAAGAGGATATCACCCTGATTGAAGGAAACGATGAACAAGTAAAGGAAACAGATGGCGTAGTGGTTGACCCCGACGACGCAGTCACAGCGGAAAAACTGAACCGGACCCAAACAGGCAAATCCGAGTCCAGCCTGGCTCTTCAGAAGAGACAACGCAACGAAAAGGGGCCGCGTTACTCACTTTGGACGCTCATCAAGCTGATTGCCAGCTTCAACAAGAAGGAATGGTTGCTCATGGTCATGGGCCTTGTATGGTCCGTGATTGCTGGTGGTGGACAGCCCACTCAGGCTGTTTTCTTCGCCAAATCCATTTCGGCGCTGTCCAAGCCTCCGTCAGAGTACGGTCAACTTCGGTCCGATGCCAACTTCTGGAGTGCGATGTATTTGATGCTGGCCATCACACAGCTCATATCCTACACCGGCCAAGGTCTCTGCTTCGCCGTTTGCTCCGAGGCTCTAATTCATCGGGTTCGCGACTTGGCTTTCCGAACGATGTTGCGCCAGGACATTGCCTTCTTCGACCGCGACGAGAACAACGCCGGTGCCCTCACCTCATTCCTTGCTACCGAAACCACCAGCATGGCGGGTCTGAGTGGAGCCACTCTTGGCACGATCCTGACCGTGATCACAACTTTGATCGGCTCGATGTCTCTCGGTATTGCCATCGGCTGGAAGCTTGGTCTTGTGTGTACTGCGACAATCCCTGTTCTTTTGGCCTGTGGTTTCCTCCGTTTCTGGATCTTGGCCCGCTTTGAAGGTCGCGCGAAGAAGGCGTACGAATCGTCTGCCTCCTACGCTTGCGAAGCCACGTCCGCAATCCGTACGGTTGCCTCGCTCACCCGTGAGGATGACGTATGGGAAAACTACCATGATCAGCTTAACGCTCAAGCGGCTAAGAATCTGCGTTCGATCCTCAAATCGTCGGCATTGTATGCAGCATCGCAGTCTGGTATGCTTCTCTGCACGGCTTTGGGATTCTGGTACGGTGGAACCTTGATTGGGAGGAAGGAATACAACCTCTTCCAGTTCTTCTTGTGTTTCTCTTCTATCACTTTCGGCGCCCAGTCTGCCGGTACCATCTTCAGCTTTGCTCCCGACATGGGCAAAGCCAAGCACGCTGCCGAGGAACTCAAGACACTTTTCGACCGCAAACCAGAGATCGATACCTGGTCTCAAGACGGCGACAAGCTCCAGAGCGTGGAAGGCGAGGTCGAGTTCAGGGGAGTCCACTTCAGGTACCCCACTCGACCTGAGCAACCTGTACTGCGTGGACTGGACCTCACGGTTAAGCCTGGCCAGTATGTCGCTCTTGTTGGAGCTAGTGGATGCGGTAAGAGTACGACCATTGCCCTGCTTGAACGCTTCTACGACCCATTGGTCGGCGGTATCTACATTGATGGCAAGGAAATCTCGACTATCAACGTCAACGACTACCGCAGTTACATTGCGCTCGTTAGCCAAGAACCGACTCTGTACCAGGGCACCATCCGGGAGAACATCCTCCTCGGAGCGGACCAGGGGGACGTACCGGAAGAAGCTATTTTCAAGGCCTGCAAGGACGCCAACATCTACGACTTCATCATGTCACTTCCGTAAGTTTACTCTGGCACTTTTCTCTCATGATCATAGCTAACAGTGTCTTCCAGTGAGGGTTTCAACACTGTTTGTGGCAGCAAAGGTGCACTCCTTTCCGGTGGACAGAAGCAGCGCATTGCCATTGCTCGCGCCCTTCTGCGCGACCCGAAGATCCTGCTGCTCGACGAGGCAACCTCGGCTCTCGATTCCGAATCGGAGAAGGTCGTGCAAGCAGCCTTGGACGCAGCGGCCAAGGGCCGTACCACCATTGCTGTTGCTCACCGTCTGAGCACGATCCAAAAGGCCGACGTCATTTACGTTTTCGACGGCGGCAAGGTCGTCGAGGCCGGTACGCATAACGAGCTGATCACCAAGAAGGGCAGGTACTTCGAGTTGGTGAGCCTGCAGAGCTTGGAGAAGCAGCACTAGAGCACGGCGGTAGGTTACGCTTGGGCAATTTTTTGGTGGCTTGGTGGTAATAGGGGGTTTGCCCAGCGGATATTTTGTGCATGCGTCTGCTTCGGCTCAGCATGATGTGGCGTTGGTGATTTCAAATACCCTACTCTGATATTGCTAGTGTACAAGTTGTACGGCACGCAAACGACATGTCTCCACTTGTGGATGGATGGTTGAAAAAAAAAAAAAAAAAAGAACTAGATTTATGTAGTAATAGACTTTAATGAGAGATACTTATCATCCGATATACTTTGCCCTTGATCGTGTTGCTCTTGCATGGCGGTTTTCGAGGGCCTCGACGGCCATATTGATTCGGCTACTTACTTTCCGATGCAAGGCCGCAAGGATCCTCGTCTGTGCTCACAGCGATGAGCCAGAGCGTAGCATGATCCATAGCGTGTGTGAGAAGACGAGACGTGGGTCGTTCATGGAAGGCTTTGTGCCGAGGGAACGAGGGCATGCATAGCTAGTGTGAGTGTGGGTCTTTGTCCGGGAAAGGGGAGAGGATTAGTACGAGGGAGTGGATAGACGAGAGTTCAGGTTCGGTATTCTCTCATGGGTACGCGATGTGCTGGGTCTTTCAAGTCGCCAAAACCATCAAGGTGTCCAGAGTGTTATCGTCATAATTGCTCCTTGGATCGGCCTTCTTTGGGCCGTTTTCTTTCCTTTTCTCTTCTACATCAGGGTACCTACTGGTTGTTCATAGCTTCGTGTCCGCCGCGGCGGTGTACTACGCAAGGCCTTTTTTCAACATCCTCTTCACAACTATGTCCACCGCCTCTTGCTCGTCAAATTGCCTCATTTGAGGGCGCGGCCGGCAATATCCTTCCGGTATTGCATGCCGTCGAAGTGGATGCCCTCGACGCCCTTGTACGCCTTCTGCACCGCTTCTTCCAGCGTCGGGGCCCAAGCCGTTGACGCAATGACACGGCCGCCGGCAGTGACAAGAGTGCTGTCCTTCATGGCGGTCCCGGCGTGGAAGTGGACGGTGTCTGCGACTTTGTTAGTTTTTTTTTTTTTTTTTTTTTTTTTTTTTTTTTTTTTTTTTATGTTCGAGGTAGTTATGCTCGGGGAGGGAGTGGTCCACGCACCGTTTGGCAGCTCGTCCAGCTTCATTTCCGTCCCCTTCTTGTAGCTGCCTGGGTAGCCGCCTGCGGCTACGACGACGGTCGCGGCGGCCTTGCTGCCGACCTTGATCTCGTAGCCGCTCAGCTTGTTGTCAACGCACGCAAGCAAGACCTCAGCAAGGTCGCTATCCATTAGGGGCAGCAGCGACTGCGTCTCCGGGTCACCGAAGCGCGTGTTATACTCGAGAACCTTGGGGCCGTTCTTGGTCATCATGAGACCGGTGAAGAGGCAGCCAACCATCGGGTAACCTGCAACAAGCAGATGTTAGTTTGGGTCCGCATTTTGCGCAGGCTTGCTGAGAAACTTGCGCTTGTGATATCAACTCACCCTCCTTGCGCATGCCGTCTATCGTCGGCTGCAGAATAGTCTTGTGGATCTCGTCGACAACCTCCTTGGGTGCAATACGAGTAGGCGAGTAGGTGCCCATACCACCGGTGTTGGGGCCCTGGTCGCCATCGAAGATCCTCTTGTGGTCTTGCGCCGGGGGCAAGCTCTGGATGTTGGTGCCGTCGCTGAAGCTGAGGATGCTCAGCTCGTCGCCCTCGAGGAACTCCTCAATGACAACCTCATCACCAGCTTCGCCAAATTCCCGGTCCAGCATGATTTCCTTGAGCGCCTGGTGCGCCTCAGCCTTGGACTGGGGGATGATGACGCCCTTGCCGGCCGCGAGGCCAGAGGCCTTGATCACGACGGTGTGGTTGATGCTGTCCAGGTAGGCCGATGCCGCGCCGTGGTCGGTGAAGTTCTTGTACTCGGCCGTGGGGATGTTGTGCCTGTGCATAAAGTCCTTGGAGAAGGTCTTGCTGCCCTCCATGCGCGCGGCCGCGCCATTGGGACCAAAGCACTTGACTTCAGGCGCGAACTTGTTGAAGTGGTCGACGATGCCCGCAACCAGAGGCGCCTCGGGGCCTGGGATGAGCAGGTTCACATTGTTGGCCTTGGCGAAGAGGACGAGTCCGGCAAAGTCGTCGGCCTTGACAGAGTCGACGTTCTGGGTCCTCTTGAGCAGGCTGGTGCCGCCGTTGCCCGGGCAGACGTAGATCTGAGCGATGCGGGGAGATTGGGAGAGCTTCCAAGAGATGGCGTGCTCACGGCCGCCGTTGCCGACGATCAGGACGCGGGTATCAGCCATTGTGGTATTTTTTTATGTGTGCGTGTGTTGTGAGGTTTGACGCACAGGCTACCCCTCCATCTGCGGCAGAAAAAAAGTTGGCGCAGGTCCGATTGCGGGTCGCCCTGGTCGTGAGCGGCAGCGCACGCAGCAGTCAACGTGAACATGGAGCTGAATAGATGCTGGGCTTCATGGCGATGCAGCTAGACGCACAGATCGGTCTATAGACAGAGCCGTCGGTCCCCGCAGGCGTCATACGGACCAGAATTGTCGAGCGGCCAACTCCGATTGCGGGGCATTTTTCTCGTAGGGCTGATTGACGTTTTGACTCGACGCGATCGCGTCTCGAACCACCACACCACTCCCTCCAGCTTTTGCGTTGCGACCTTTGCTTCTTCACGGTCGCAGCGATTAACCCAGTGAGCCTTTCTGCAGCACTCCCCGAGCCCCCCAAACGTCGTCGCTAACGCCGACACAGCAACCATGTCTACCCTCATCAAAGTACCCTGCTCTTCCGCCAACATCGGCCCTGGCTTCGATGTCATTGGCCTTGCTCTCTCCATCTACCTCGAGCTCACCGTCACCCCCGACGAGTCTGCCGTCTCCGCGAATCCTCTCAAATGCCGCATCACCTACGAGGGCGAGGGCGCCGAGGAGGTCCCTCTGGACCCCGAGCGCAACCTCATTACCCGCACCGCCCTCTACGTCCTCAAGTGCCATGGTCAACGGACCTTCCCCGGCACCCATGTCCACATCAAAAACCCCATTCCTCTCGGCAGAGGTCTGGGAAGCAGCGGAGCCGCAGTGGTATGACAAGCCCAATCCGTCATGACAGCTACCCTTGGCCTGAGCAAGCGTGGATGTCAGTGGGGATATAGCGCGTGGAAACGCGTCCATTGCTCATCTTCGTATGCACATGGAAGTTCTTGCAGAGGCGCGAGCCAAGCACTGGTTGCGGCAGGCGGCGATATAGTTGCTGACTTGTACAGGTCGCTGGTGTCAACCTCGGAAACGAAGTAGGAAAGCTTGGGCTGCCCAAGGCGAGATTGCTCGACTACTGCCTGATGATCGAGCGGCATCCGGACAACGTCGCGGCTGCCCTGTACGGCGGCTTTGTCGGCACCTACCTTAACGAGCTCGACCCCGCCGACATGTCTCGCAAGGAAATCCCCTTGGCCGAGGTGCTCCCTGAACCCGCGGGTGGTGTCGACACTGGTCTCCAGCCTCCCGAGCCACCTCTTAACATTGGTCACTACAAGAAGTTCAAGTGGGCAAAGGAGATCAAGTGCATTGCTATAATACCGCAGTTTGAGGTCTCGACGGCCAAGGCTCGCGGTGTCCTTCCAGAGAAGTACTCTCGCGCCGATATGGTCTTCAACCTTCAGCGCATTGCTCTCCTGACTACCGCGCTGGGCGAGTCCCCGCCAGACCCTGGCATGATCTACGAGGGCATGCAGGACAAGGTGCACCAGCCGTACCGCAAGACGCTTATCCCTGGTCTTACTGAAATCCTCCAATCCGTGACGCCCAAGTCGCACCCCGGTCTCCTCGGTATCTGTCTGTCTGGCGCTGGTCCCACCATTCTCGCCCTGGCTACGCACAACTTTGATAACATTGCAAACCATATCATTGACGACTTCAAGAAGAACAACATTGAATGCATTTGGAAGCTTTTGGAGCCGGCTGAGGAGGGTACCACCGTGACCCACAATGCCACTTCTGAGCAGCAAGAGGCCATGACCTATGCCTCGGCAGGCGTCAGCATCGACGCGGGCAACGAGCTGGTCCAGCGCATCAAGGCTTCTGTCAAGTCTACGCGCCGCGCCGGCGCCGACGCCGAAATCGGCGGCTTTGGTGGTATGTTTGACTTGGCAGCCGCTGGCTACAAGGAGTCTCCTATCCTTGTTGGTGCCATCGACGGCATTGGCACCAAGGTCAAGATTGCGTTTGAGATGAGCAAGCACGACACCGTGGGTATCGATTTGGTTGCCATGAACGTCAACGACCTCGTCGTCCAGGGCGCCGAGCCCTTGATGTTCCTGGATTACTATGCCTGCTCCAAGCTCGACGTCGACTCTGCCGCGGCGTTTGTTCAGGGTGTTGCGGAAGGCTGCAAGCAGGCCAACTGCACGCTTGTCGGGGGCGAAACTGCCGAGATGCCTGGCATTTACCAGGCTGGCGAGTACGATGCTGGTGGTGCGGCAATTGGCGCGCTCGCCCGCGGCGCCACAGTCCTGCCGGACACGAAGTCCATGGCTGAGGGCGATGTTCTGCTTGGTCTGGCATCCGACGGCCCACACTCTAACGGCTTCTCACTGATCCGCAAGATCATTGAGCGGGCCGGCCTCAATTTCCACGACAAGTCTCCTTGGTCCGCCAATGGCGAGACTGTCGGTGCCAGCCTGCTTACCCCGACCCGCATCTACGTCCGGCCGCTCCTCGCAGCATACAGGCATAACCTTCTCAAGGGTATGGCGCACATCACCGGCGGCGGTCTTGTCGAGAACATTCCCCGCATGCTGCCCGATCACCTGGCGGCGGACGTTGATGCCGGCACGTGGCCGGTGCAGGATGTGTTTAGGTGGCTGAAGAAGGCGGGCGGCGTTGAAGACGCGGAGTTTGCGCGGGCGTGGAACACCGGCCTTGGTATGGTGCTGGTGGTTGACAAGAGCAATGTCGAGGAGGCGACGAAGGTCCTCTCCGAGGCCGGTGAGAAGGTTTACCAGATCGGCTCGCTGGTTAAGAGGTCAGGCGAGGGCTGCGAGGTCAAAAACATGGGTGTCTGGAACTAGACAGTTACATGTAAAAAGGCGGAATTGTGATCATGTCCGGCAAAAGAAATGAAAAGAGGAAGAGGCATCATGTGGCGTCACTGGACTGGGAAAGAAAGATCTGCTATGTTCAACTACTGAGATGGTATTGAATGAATACCGAGCTCTTCTATGTGCTACACTGTTGTGTGTTCTTAGTGGATGCTGAGGATTTTTCCCAACGATAGCCTCCCTTCTCAATGCACACGCGCTCCACGGGCCTCCACGGGCCTAGGTTTAAAATGTAACAACACCTTCCGTGTGTTAATTTCCCTCTTTTCACGTAAATCGTTGTCATTGGTTCATTCATTGCGCTTATCCCAGGTGGTGTTGCTCAGTCTCGTCAACGCTCAACCACCCCACAACCTCTCTTTATAAGCACATTCAACACCCTATTTAAGCACATACGACCATAGGTCACAGAATACAAGGCATCCCGTCCGCTCTGCCAAATTTAAGCTGTGAACCGGTTGATTAGTAGTTAGGTGGGTGACCACTAGCGAATCCCAACTGTTGTATGTTTTTTGTTTTTTGGTCGTTTGAGTTCTTTGCTGCTTGTTTTGTCCTTTTGATCCAGTGGTAGAGTTTTGGGAGGCTTATTGGTTTGCTTTTTGTCCGTAAATATGCGCTATTCATGCGGGAAAAGACTAAATCGAAGACCTTTTAAATTATATGATCGGCTTTGGATTGGCTGTATATGAAAATGGATCGTAGCGAGAAAAATATTACTCTATAGGGATTATGGATATGTTTTATGAATGGTTGTAGATAAGTCAATTATAGTGTAGTTCTATTTACCAATTCTGAGTGGCTTTGATAGCTTTCCATCCTCGGAGGTATTCCCTTCCCTATAGAACTCAAAACCGAACTGTCTAAAAATCGGTTGGAACTTGATGCCTATGAGCGTCGTCAGTGTGTGGAGCTTTGTTGCAAGCGCTACGTGCCCTAATCAACTTCACAAAAAGCATTTCTAGTGATCTTCAATTCTTTCTCTTGTTAAAGTAACTCGGCTATGGATCATCCAAAAAAAGCGGACTGTGCCGCACCCACAATCGTTACAAGGACCTGACATCCTTGAACGCGCGCTACTTTCTGGATTGCTATTGGCTATGCGAACAGTTGACCTATTTCAATGCACCTGTGCCGCGAGCCGTGCCGCCGCGTTCCGAGACCCACGACACTACTCACGACGATCCCGATATGGCTTCTCTTGAGGTGTGGGGACGCGGCACAGTTGCCAGGCTCACTGAAAAGCGCCGCTGTTCGCTGGCTGTTTAGGTTGTTAGGTTGTTTGAATTAATGGTTGACTAGATGTCTTTACACTATTTTCCAATAACGAGTATGCTGGCTAGAGCTGTTGGATTTGCACTGCTGCTGCTCTACTTGTCGATTAATCTTGGTCAATTATCCTTTTCTTCGGCCAGAGGGCCTTTCAACTCACCTCGATCTGATATCATTCAAAATGTTTTTAATCAAACCCTTGGGGTTAGTATAAGATCATTTCCTCGCCAAACCAATAATCAGGACTGACAATTGTACAGTTCCAGAAGATCTTTGTCATAAAATTATCATCGCGGACTGATCATAGAGATTCAATGTCATTGTCCGCTGCTTTCACGGATTTGAATATTGAATATGTCAATAGCATCGCTGAGGATGAAGAGAAGATATTGTCTCCTGACGGTTCAAAAACGAATCTTAATGAAGCCGACCTGGAAGTTTGGCGAGCGCATAAAAATGTTGCTAGAATGTAAGTATATTCGTTGTTCTTCGTTCCAGCATACTATGTCAGCCTCAATAATCTTCAATCAACTACTCCTTTGACAATGAAGCTCTTGTATATGTCCTTAGCTATTCAAGAGATAAACCAAACTTGCAATCTGCGGCGGTTCAACTCCACGTTAAACTGAGCCCTGATTGTCAGTCAAGCTTTCAGTCACTGATGCTCAACAGGATTGTCGAGCAGAATATAACGTCTGCACTTGTCCTTGAAGAAGGTGTCGACTGGGACCTGCACATCAAGGCGCAGATGCAGGACTTTGCAAACGCGTCACGCCTACTAGTTCAACCGTTACTCAACAAGCCGGACCAGCATCTCGACCCCACCTACCCTCAGCCCAGCACAAGCCAATACGCCCAGGATTTCATGGTTGGAGAGTATTTTACAACCAACCCCTCAACATCGCCATACGGTGATGTTGATCGATGGGACCTGTTTTGGTTGGGACACTGCGGCTGCCGATTTCCACGCCCGAGCGACCGTAACGCTCCATTAGGACGAGCCATCATTGCCCATGATGAGACAGTGCCCGAGCCAGAGCACGTCGACATTCAATTCGGCAGTGAAGAGCTCGTCCGTAAGTACCCAGCCCACACACGCGTCGTGTCGAGAGCGCGCATGAACTCGTGCGCTCTTGGCTACGGGATCTCCCTGCCTGGGGCCCGACGTCTACTCTACGAGTTTGACGTGCACGAAGTGAACACGGCGGACATGGTGCTCCGTTCCATGTGTGATGGAGGAGATGGTCGGCCGAGTCGCGCGTGTTTGACGGTCCAGCCGGAGCTTTTCCAGCTTCATCGACCTGTAGGATCCAGGTCGAGGTGGGGCGATGTTTTGGGCCATGGAAGCGGTTACAGTGAGCAGACCGTCACGAGGAATATACGATGGAGTACAAGGGCGAATCTTCGAAAGCTGGTGGATGGCGAGACGGATTACATTGAGCAGTTCAAGGACAAGGAGCAGACATCCAAGCTTGGATATGAGTAGGGTGAAATACAATGGTTCAAGAGTGTCACGGGTAAGATGAAAGTTGGTCGCGACACAGCGACCAGTTGCGCGTCTCCGGCCGCCCAGAGCGGCATGTGCGCAACGCGGCGGATCATCAACACCACCGAAGGATTGCGTCGTCGCCGGCCTCTAGATTCCACGCTCCGCCGCACCCCAACTCCATCTGCCACCCTCTCACCGCAATCGCCTACGCCCCGACTCGCCCGCTATATACTTTAGTCAGCCAACCGCCCGTCTGTCGTAGCTGCCACCGAATCCCCAAACTCCCACTCAGTCCGCCGCCAACGCATCACTCCATCCACGAACCTCCACCGCCGCCATCATGAAGCCCGTCGTCTCCGCCTTGAACGCATGGAGTTGGTACGCGCTTCCGCTCTCATCCTCGCACCTTCGCCTCAAACAAGCCTGCCTTGTAGCATGACAAGACTCGAGGGTCGTTGACGCGCGGGTAGCTCCGAGAGTTGCCTGACGCCCAACGAAAGCTAGAATCATCGCTAACGTATTGCTCGCAATGCAGCATTGTCATCTCTATCTTCGCTATCGTCCTTCTCTCCATCATTGGTTCCCTCTTCAAGGTTCGTCACTGCGCCCTCTCCTGTTGGCCGCCTACCTGCCGCCTACCGCCCGGCTCCACCTGCGTCTTCTTCACGCAACGAAGGACAGTCGATAAAAAAGCAAGAGAGTGGAAATGGTCTAGCTTAGGAAGACTCTGCAGCGGTTTTGGCTCCATTCTACTCGGAGATGCGGGGCCGGGAGGCAGCAGGGCAAGCCTAAGCGTTATGGGAAACAATATGCTAACGAACTTTCACCTACAGTCCAACAGCCACACCATGATGGGATCAACCGAGGATCCCGAGGATGGTAAGGCCGTTGCTGGCGCAGTTTTTGGTGCCGTGGCTGTCTATGCGGTTAGTATTCCCTATCTTCACTTCCTTATCTTTCGCTGCAATCATTGGCGATTAAACACCCTTTACCGTCTTTTGTTGTATTATCTTTGTCCCATTACCGCCCCCTTTCCCAGTGCATACGAATTGGATATGTGACTAACGGGCGTTCAGGCCTTCCTCATATTTTGCGGCAGCCAGGCGCTGCTGCACATGCGCGAGCGCAGGCGTGGTGCCATCCAGCTTTCGTAAGCGAATCGCCAGGTCCAAAGACTTTTATTCTGCCAGAGCACACTATAGCCACAACGATTTATATTGATGTGGTAAGTGCGTGAAAGAGAGTCGAGGGCAAGGACCGGACCGCTCGCGGCCCAAGGCAAGATGGCTTCCACCATGGATGGTTACCGAGATGATATCCTGAAGGGTAATTGATTGTTTCCTAGCGTTTCCTTGACTTGCACACTCTTCGTGGGTAAAATTTTACTACGGCGCGCCTGGTTTGTTTTTAAAGATTTCCTTTGGTACAAACGACAAGGGGTCTGGGGATAGCGCGTACATGAATGTGAGTTGTAGATTCGTTTCATGTCTCGTGACGATTATAAGGAGATAAGGAAGAGCTAGGGGATTTCGGGTTCGATTCAGTCTCTACCATATGGTTTTAAAGGGAGGACATAATAATGACCTGGAAAAATGTTCATGAATATAACAGGCTTGTAGGATATCCGCACATTCATCGTGCTGCGCTGATCTCACCCCGATAGTATGATTCAGCTAAAAACAGCATCCAAACCCCGCAGCCCCAAAACACTATTTGCAGCATCCTCGCCCTAACGTCGTCATCATCAACCAAATCCGCGGGCTGTTTGCGTCCCTCGGTCTCACACCACACGCATTATTACAAGGTATATCTAAAATGCGGATTCTTCAAATCCGTAACATCGGCCTCGCCCATCCTACTTCCGATCTGCTCCTGCTCGTCGCGACTCAGCCCCGCCGCAGCGGCAGCGCGGTCGCGACGACGGTTCTGCCAGACATAGTAGGCGCGCCAGGCGACGACGAGGGCGCACTCAGTGGCGAAGCAGACGGCGCAGCCGATGGTGCCGGGGACGTAGCGCGGGGCGTCGGCGGCGACGAAGATCTGCGAGCCGCACATGTTGCCGGCGCAGTAGCCGAGGAAGGTGGCGGATGAGATGAGCGTCTTTTTGGTGCGGCCGGCGACGTTGGAGGAGACTGTTGTGGTGGAGGGGAGGGAAGGAGTTAGTGTGTGTGTGTTTTTTTGTGTAGGGAAGAAAGAGGGAGGAGAGAGCGGAAGTGGCGTACTCAGTGTCCAGGCGAGGAAGAGGGAGAGCACAAAGGGGACTGTGAGCAGGTACATGCCCCATTTGGTCCATTTGTAGGCGTCGGTGTTGGGGAGGAGGGACATGGCGAGGAAGCCGATGAAGGGTGGGAGCGTGGAGAGCGCCATGATGTACATGCGCCGGTTCTTGACGCGGCGGGTGTAGATGCCGATGGCGAGGAAGATGAAGAGCGAGGCGACTGCGTGGTGTCAGGTATGTTGGCAAGAGCATGGATGTCGGGTGGTCGGATGGAACTTGATGATGGGAAGGAAGGGGCTGGAGAGAAGTTGGGGAAGAGTACCACTACGCGGTATGTCAACCAGGAGAACTTGCAGTTCAGTGAAGCCGAAAGACTTGTACAGTATGCTGCCAAACGTAGTAAGGCCACTGGAAGCATCTAGAGTTAACAGAGACTGCAACAGCAACGAGGCGGATCCGAAGGAGAACCCACCCGTTGGGGACAGACGACAAGAAAGCGTTGACGGTACAGAACCAAAGCTGGGGGTCTTTGAAAGCTTCGAGAGTTTGTGGCCACGACCATTTGATCCCCGTGACATCGCGGCCAGCCTTGTTCTTTAGAATACGGGCCGCCCTGCGCATCACAGCGATCAGTCAATCAGCCACGCTTCCCCAGACCATAGAGGACGGGTACTTACGCCATACGCTTCTCATCCTTGCTCAGCCACCGCACCTCGGTGGGACTGCCCAGCAGCGCAAAGCACAAGAGCGAGAGAAAGATGGTCGACGCGCCCAAGAACAGCGAGATGCACCGCCAGGGCGCCAGTCCGCCGTACTTCTCGGCGTGGGAGCCGATGCCATACATGACGAGGTGGGCGATGATGGAGAAGCCGGCATTGGCAGAGCTCCAGAACAGGGCGCGCGCCGAGTGCTCCGACGTCCGGTACCATGTGCTGCCGATGAGCACGAAGCCCGGCGAGATGGTGCATTCGAAGAAGCCCTGCAGCGCGCGGATGGCCATGAGCTGCGACCAGTTCTGCGCTGCGGCGACGCAGATGACGCAGATTCCTGGTTGGAGGAGGTGGTGGTGAGTACTGAGTAGGTAGGTACGTGCTTAGAGAGTGCTGGCTGCTTTACTTACCCCAGAAGAACATGTAGATGCTCAAGGTCCGACCCAGCGCCCAGCGCTGCAGCAGGAAGTTGGACGGGAACTCGCCGCAGAGGTAGGCGATGTAGAAGATGGTCGTCAGCCATGAGTATTGCTGGCCTACGAGGCCCGTGTCCTCGCGCAGGCCGAAGATGGCTTGCGTGCTGAGCGATATCTTGTCTGTTTGCTGCACGCCATAGCAGAACCACATCAGCGGCAAGAGATACCGGTCTATCTTCCTCAGCAGCTTCTTGTACTGCTCCGGCGTGTAATCCGACTCGCGGAGGACATCGCCGTCGAATGGGACGGCGACGACCTCGGTATCGGAAACTTCTTCATTCTTCTCCTTGATGTTTTTGTCGTCGACGTCATCAGGAGCGACGGATCGTGGTGGATCCGAGTGCGGAGTACTGGTTGCCATGATGTGAGGGCGGATCTCAGTAAACCAAGATACAGTCAACAGATGAAGCTAATGCGAAGTAGTGAAGACAATCACAACCTCCTCTTATACACTACATCTATCTACGAAAGATATCCGACCGAGTTACCGAGCTCCGTTTTGGCAGTACGACAGTAGGCATGTTTTACTCTTATCTGATAGAGACCTTGGCATGCAGTGCGACCGCGTTGCCAAGGAGAAAGATTGTCGGTACGGTACCTTGCTGTATGACCGGAGATGTAACCTCCATCTAGTGTTATCAGCCAAGATCGGCATGACGAAGCTAGAGTGCTCGTTGTTGATGGTGGTACGATGACGGGTCAAGAGTGGGAGGGAGTTGCGTAACTTGCCCGGCGATAGACAGGGTAGAAACGTGACGCAGAGGACCATGGAACACCTACCAAGTCTAATTCACCGGGGTCTCTCTCCCTGCTGAAGGCATGGCAATCGCCATAACCTCTCTTGTTGTCACAGATGAACTTGAAATCAAGGAGGGATATGCATGCTTTGAAGGGACGAGGCTGCCAATTATTCATATCGACCTTCTTGATGTAGTCTATATAAAGTAACTTGGAAAACTGACTGAAATGGAAAATAATAAATACAAGTAGACGGGAATGTGGAACAGTTGCGGCTCTAACTCCCCCATCTGACAGATGTCTCTAACGAATTCGGCCGTCTCTATAGTTGAGCGCACAAGACAAATTACCCTCCCATCCTCAAGTTGCTAGCCCGCTATGCCACCAATGCTCTCCAGTATGCCATCGAAACCAATCTGCTCCTTCCCTCATACCCCAACACCACCACTTGGAGTCTGCATCCCCGAACCCAAGCGCACGAAGCGGGCTGACGGGTACAGGCTCAAACAACCAAAGTCCACCTCTTGCAAAGTCATCACATAGCAGCGGCCCTGTGTAGTAAAACCAGACATGAACATAGAAAAAGTTGACAATCTGCCTTATGAGCTTGGGTGTCTTCTGAAAGATTCCAGTCTTGGTGAGGATGCCAGTCAGAAATGTCTGGAGCATTATGCCGAAGGCTTGTGAAAAGAAAAACGAAAAGGGGCCAGTGAGAGGATTCGTATGGCCGACCATGGTGTAACTGCCGCTAGCGTGAAGACAGCCGGAGAGAGTGAAAGCGATGATCAGCTGAAGGGTGCGGGCCGGCATCGACTTTGGATTCATGCCCAGTGTCGCAATAATTCTCTTTGAGGGAGCTGCGAATGCAAAACGGAAGGTCTGATGCCACCAACCGCCCCACCACCCAGCTAGCCCTTTGTCGAGGACCATCCTGAAGCTGCCGTACGTGTCTGGATACATCCAAGGCTCGCCCCGCGCACCGATCCAGTCAGTGCCAAGGAGTCCAACGAAAAACAATGGTCCCATGCTGAAGATGGTAACCAAAGCAGTTTTGACGGCGGCCAAGCTGATGCTAAGTCGCCAGATTGTAGTCAGGACAGGAGACGATCTGACAATAGCTGGCAGCCAAGTGGGCGCCGGTGAATCAATGTGACCCCAAAAATAAGGATCCAAAGTTACAATTACCTTGAGAAGATCCAGTGTCAGATAACCGACTACAAAGCTCTTTAAGGCTGCTCGCAAACACTCTCGCCGAGTGTGATAGCGGTGGGTCCCATCCGCGCCCAAATGCGTGTCCTTGTCAGAGATTTGAGCTCCCGATTCCTCGGCCAACTCTTTTTGAACCCATTCTGGCGGAGGAGCAAGGCCAGAAATTCGCCAGTTCCATCCCATTCCGCGGAAGTTGCAGAATACGTCTGCCACCCAGTCCAAACGCTCGGCGAATGGATGAAGAGGGTAGTGTTGCCAGGCAAACTTGCCCTTCCGGTGAGTTGGCCCGGCTTTCGTCCCTAGTCTCTTTTGTTCGGCGGCATAGTCGATGTCCTTGATAGTGGTGACGGGACGCAGCCCTCGCATCTGCTTGGGACCGCCATTTTGCATTTTCTTCAAACTGGAACTCACGGCGCCTTCGGTCCTTTCGATCCTCTGAAAATCGTTTTGCGCATCGTGGACGATCATAATTGTTGCAGTCCAGAGTATTGACCACGAAGAAATGAGGCCGACGCCGAATGCTGGTGCTGAATTACGCGCTCGACAGTGCATGATGGTGTAGAGAGAAATATATGCATTTAACGCCCAAACAGGGTATCTCAGAAGGCGGAGAAAGGGAGAGTTGTGATGGGGAACGAGAAGGTACAGAAGAACGAGGAGAGCACCAAAAGCACCCCATGGATACACGAAGGGGACGCGCTCGCCGGAGGCTATCACGCCATCGTATTTGGCGTAGAGCTGGTCGAGCACCTGGTTATGGGTGGACATGGCTCTCAAGGCAAAAGAATGCAGGCAAAGAGCGCGAAAAGAAGGAGGTGAAAGAAAGAGACATGACAGGTGTGGCGGCGAAGGTGTTTGAGGGAGTGTTTAGGGAAAGGCGCGCTCTGGCAGGGACCACATGACGATGAGCAGGGACCACGGCAGATGTGCGGCACTGCCGTGTGGCGTGGAGGTGTGGCGCCGCCTTTTTCGTCCCTTACGGCTGACTGCCTGCCCGCGCGACACCCATCGACGCGAACAACAACCCTAATAGCTCAGGTCTGAGGGAACCAACCCCTCACACGCGCCATCATGGTCAACATTACCGAGAAGATCAAGGAGTACGCCGCCTTCTTGCCCGCGGGGAAAAAAATGACCTCCGCTGACACCCCGCAGAATCGAGGCGGAGATGGCGAGGACGCAGAGTAAATCACCACGCCCATACCTCTCTGGATCCTTACTGACTGCTGCAAGAGAACAAGGCGACTGGTACGCCCACCTCCACACCTCCACCCAAGATCTCGCCTGCAGATTCTAATTCTTTGCAGAATACCACCTTGGTCTGCTGAAAGGGTTTGTTGAGAGCTTTCTTATCTGCAACGTGCATACTGACTAGCATGCAGAAAACTCGCCAGGCTCCGAGCACAGCTTCTCGAGCCGGCGGGCGGCGCGGGCTCGGGAGGCGGCTCTGGCTTCGATGTCAGCAAGAGCGGAGATGCGCGTATAGCCCTCGTCGGCTTTCCCTCGGTGGGTAAATCTACCTTCTTGTCCAAGATCACCAGGACGAAGAGTGAGGTCGCAGCCTACGCTTTCACCACTCTGACTGCCATTCCGGGTGTCCTGGATTACGGTGGTGCCGAAATCCAGATCCTCGATCTTCCCGGTATCATCGAGGGTGCCGCGGAAGGCAAGGGACGCGGACGGCAGGTCATTTCTGCAGCAAAGACTAGCGACATGATCCTGATGGTCTTGGACGCCACCAAACGGGCCGAGCAAAGAGCATTGCTGGAGGCCGAGTTGGAGGCGGTGGGCATCAGGCTCAATCGGGAACCGCCCAACATCTACCTCAAACAGAAGAAGGCTGGAGGCATGAAGATCACTTTCCAAACTCCGCCCAAGAATGTTGATGACAGGATGCTGTGCAACATTCTGCGCGACTACAAGATGCTCAACTGTGAAGTGCTCGTCCGTGACGAGAACAGTAAGTCATTGGCATGTCAATGTTGCAGTACTATGGGCTGATTTATTGTCAGTCACGGTTGATGATTTCATCGATGTCATCATGAAGGACCACAGGAAGTACATCAGATGGTAAGCTTAGGAAGGATTCCATAAGCCCGCGCAAGTCTAGTGCTGACTCTTCTGTTCAGTCTCTACGTCTACAACAAGATTGATAGCGTCAGCCTTGACTTCCTTGACAAGCTCGCAAGAGAGCCGCACACGGTCGTCATGAGCTGCGAGTTGGACCTGGGCATCCAGGATGTCGTTGACCGGTGCTGGAAGGAGCTGCGCTTGATCCGCATCTACACGAAGAGGAAGGGCGTGGAGCCCGACTTTAGCGAGGCGCTGATTGTCCGCAACGGGGCGACGATTGAGGATGTTTGCGACCAGATTCACCGGACGATCAAGGAGTCATTCAAGTACGCAATGGTGTGGGGAGCAAGCGCGCGGCACGTCCCGCAGCGGGTGGGATTGGGCCACGTCGTGGAGGACGAGGATGTGGTCAGCATTGTGTCGGCTTTCAAGGCGTAGGTTAGCAGGTAGTTGAAAAATCAAGGATAGAAACAAAGCAAGCGTTTGCCTCCTGACCACGGGTGACGCACGCTGGGTGGCACGAAAAGGACATGCCCTTGTTGCGTGTGATGGCGGAGGTCATTCGCCGGGCGAGACATGTGCCTGGACGGAACCCAATCACGGCGGAGCACGCCCCGCCGCCGTACGACGACCTTCATCCACCCACAACCCACAAAGCATGCCACAGCCCCAAGCATAAGCCTGCCGCATAGCCTGTCGCATAGGTAGCCCGCCCCAAAAAAACAATGGCCGAACTCACCAGCACAAAGCTCAACGCAGAGCAACACCTCTTGCTCGTAAGTCTCCCGCCATTAACCTCCTCCTCCCCCCACCCCACCTGTCACCACGACAGCCACTGACAGTAACCAGGACCAACCCCTCCTGCGCATGCCCTACGAAATCTCGCGGAAAAACTTCAAAGCCGCCCAGCGCTACGTCGAACGCGAGCAAACCCACGTCCTCAAGGAGCTCAAGACGACCACCACCGCAGCAGCATCCTCGGCCACCGACGCCACCGCCACCCTCGCCAACATCGACACCATGCTCAACCGCATGAATGGGCTCAAGCGCAAGCTCGAGGCCCTGCACTCCGAGGAGACGACCATCCACAAGGCCACGCGGGCCCGCATCCAGCACCTCGACAACCTGTACGCCATCGGCAGCCTGGCTGACGTCAAGTACGAGGAGTGGAGCAAGGTGCGCCTGGACAGGCTGCTGGTGGACTACTTGCTGCGGAGCGGCTACGGGGACAGCGCCAAGGTGTTGGCGAGAGAGAAGGGCATCGAGGAGCTGGTCGACGTCGAGGCCTTCGTGCAGTGCGATCGCGTCGCCGAGAGCCTGAGGAACGGACGCTGCCAGGAGGCACTGGGGTGGTGCGGCGACAACAAGCAGGGCCTGAAGAAGCTCGAGGTGAGTGCCGTGCATTCCCTCTTGCAAATCCGTGCGTGTATTTGCTAACCGCCTCGCAGAGTAACCTCGAGTACGAGCTCCGGCTGCAACAATATGTCGAAATGGTGCGTAGTGGCGACACGAAGAAGCTTATGGATGCCACGTTGCATGCACGAAAACATCTTGCGGCGCACCAGGACAAATCGTTTGCCATACGGGCAGCCGGTTTACTGGCCTTTCCTCCCGAGACACCCCATGAGCCATACAGGGTACGTGTACCTCGCACAATGACAAACCACACGCTCGGCAATTGCTAATGTTCTGTCATAGTCGCTCTACTCCCCCGAGCGCTGGCAGCACCTCTCCGAGCTCTTCATCAAGACGCACAACACGCTGTACTCGCTGCCGCCGCGGCCGCTCCTGCACATCGCCCTGTCGGCCGGCCTCTCGGCCCTCAAGACGCCCTCCTGCCACTCGGCATACGCGTCGTCGTCATCCAACGCCACCAACACGACCACGTCCGTCTGCCCCATCTGCAGCACCGAGCTCAACGAGCTGGCCCGCAACGTGCCCTACGCGCACCACACCAAGAGCCATGTCGAGAACGACCCCGTCGTCCTGCCCACGGGCCGCATCTACGGCCGCGAGCGCCTCTTGGAGATGAACGAGAAGATGGGCACCCAGCAGGGCTACGTCAAGGACCCCATGGTGCCCAACCAGATCTACGAGGAGGCGCAGATCAAGAAGGTGTTTATTTCGTAATGATAGAGATGACGGCGTTTCTGGACGGTGGGATGGATAATATGGGGGCTTTTGGGTCATGGACAGCGTTCAGAATTGGCAATGGCTTTCGCGGAATATTATATACGTTAGAATGATCACGAGGAGGGGTGATTCTCCCCGGGACCTGGCGTCACCGATGGCGATAGAAAGGTTCAACTCCGTAATCATTTGAATTCATTGGACCGGCAATCCTCTTTTTTTCACATAACAACCATCGATGGACGGTAGAAATCACCAAAGACGCCGTGGCGCCGCCTTTCGATTATGACGGCCAATCAATCAATCAATCAATCCTCATCATCCGATGAGTCCTCACCGCCCTTCTTCCGCTTCTTGCCCTGCTGCTTTGCATCTTTCGCACCCTTGCCGGCGGCAGCAGCAGCAGCACCACTACCACCACTAGCGACACCACCTTTCTTCTTCTTCGCGCCTCCTCCCTCGGCCGCCAGCTTCGCCTCGGGCAAGCAAAAGACGTACGAGCGGGCGGGCCGATTCTCGCCCTTCCAGGCGGAGCCGTGGCCCTCGACGTTGCCGAGGGTGCGCGCGTGGGCGTAGCCCGGGTATGCGGCGGCGTCGAAGCGGAAGCTGCGCTCGACGGCCAGGCCGGCGTGGCGCGCCAGGTCGCGCACGTTCCACAGCGTGTAGGGCTCGCCGTCGAAGATGGTGACGACGATGGTGCCGGTGGGCGCGAGGAGCGGGATGGCGGACGTGAAGAAGGATACGAGGAGTTCTGCGTGTAGAAGGTTAGCGTCGGGTTGCGGGGGTAAGAAGAAGATGGACGCACCCTGGTTATACCGCACCTGGCGATTGACATCGGTGCTCTTGCCGCCCACATGCGGGAAGTTGAAGACGATGCGGTCCCACGCGCCCGCGCCCTCGGCCATCTCGTCGGCGCTGGCCCAGCCGTAGCCGTCGGCCGGCAGCCCGCGGCGCACCGTCTTGTGCGCGTCCAGCTTGGTCGCGTCGACGCCGCACAGCACGCGCTGCGCCTCGGCCTCGATGCCCGCCATTGTCTGCGCCGCCTGCGGGTATTTTTCCAGCACCGTCTCGCGCGTGTCAAAGGCCGTCGCCAGCAGCGCCGCGGCGCCGTGGTGCTCGACGAGCGAGTGGGCGAAGCTGAAGTCGCCTTCGCCGACGAGGAGAATGCGGTCGTTGGCCTCGAAGGGGATTGTTGGTTGGGCTCGCTGCTGCTGCTGCTGCTGCTGCTGCTGCTGCTGGGAGTTTTCGGCGGTCGGGTTGGCGTCGTTGGACTTCTTCTGCTTCTTGGACGGCGGCGTGGCTTCGGCTTCGCGTGCGACACGATTGGCGCGACCCATCTCGAGCCACTTCTTGCGCTTTGTGCGGGCCATGGCGGCGGGGTTGGTTGGGTGTTTTGCGTTCACCGTTCGCCGATGATCTCGTCTCTCTGGAGTTTAAGGTGCGGCTCTGCGGGACGCTCGGGCTAGCGCGGGGTTAGGGTTGGCGTCGAGGCAAGAGGGTCCACTGTCAGTGCGCGCTCAAGCTTCAACGTGGCCTCGCGAGTCGTCGGAGCATCGTAAAGACCTTGATTTCATTCGTTCCACGTCTATGGTCATGCTGTCCCTGAGAAGCATAAACCAGCTAATACCTAACCCGCTCGTCATTCCCATCAATCCCTCATCCCCTGCAAGAGCCAACAGCAACACATGCCGCGAGAAATCGCCAAAGGGGGGCAAACACTGCGCCGAAAAGGTTCCACCATGACGCACAGATCAAAAAGGGTACGTGAGGAGACGAGAAAAATGCCCTTCGTCTCCCCTCGCATGTCTCAAGCCGAAAAGCGCCAAGGGCTTCCGCGCAATGAAATGCTGGGGAAGCAGAAGCTTCAAGAAAAGCGACTCGGTATCTCGGAAACACGACATCGTCAAGGCCTAAACCGTTCCGGCATGACCAACAAATCGAAAGGGTGGAATCGAGGAGAATATAGCACACAGACGCTCACATGTTGAGCTTCATGACGTCACCTTGCGAAAAGGCCTTCCCGTCGACCGGACACTTGCGCGACCGGTTCTTGACTTGTAGCTCGATGCAATGCATGCACATGACGTGCGCGCATGTCTTGATACACGCGTCCTTGAGGTTCTGGTGGCAGACAGGGCAGAGGGCGTAGTTCTGATGCCTTCTTGTTAGTACTCGTCACAGCCAAAACAAAAACAATGCTCCACTTACCCGCCACATCTCGTTCATGTCGTCCCTCTTGTCCTTGTCCTTCCAGTTGTTGCGCTGCCGTTCGGACTCGTTCAGGCGGATCTTCAGCTTCTCTACCTCAACCTCAAGTTCGCGTTGCGAATGCTTCGAGGCCAGCACCGTGCTGTCCTTGGAACTGAGCGTGTTCTTCAGCTCCGTGATCTGGGACTGTAGGCTTTCCGAGGTATTCGACTTCTCCCCAGCCTTTTGTTGCAAAGCGCGGTACTGCTCCGAGAGCTTGGCAATGGATTCTCCGCTCTCTGCCAACTGCTTCTCCAGGTTAACTTTCATGGCATGATTAGCGCTTTCCAAGGCCTTCAGTTGTGTGATGATTTCCGAGCTTCGAGCGTTTTGTGCTCGCAGAGCGCGCGTCTCGGCCTCTCTGGCGTCCTTGGATTTCATAGCGGCAAAGTACTTTTGGTCTGCTTTGGCCTTCTCTGCGCTGATACGTGCTACCTGCTCTTCCCAGTTTTGCAACTCGGAAATCTTCTTCGCTGCTAATGCTTGTGCTTTCTTCCAAGCCGCTTCCATGGATGGTAGTTCGTTGCTGAGCAGAGCATATTCCTTTTCGAGCGACGTGATCTTGCTCCGAAGTTCTTCGGGTGACAGGCTCTCCAAGTCTGGACTCGACTGGCCTGCCTTTGTTTCGCCAAGTTGCAAGCGCAAACGTTCGACTTCGGTTTCTAGAGCCGTGATTCGGCTCTCCCTTGCACTTGCCAATTCCTTGATTTGTTCCGAAGAGGCCATGGTCTCGCCCTGGGCTGCTTTCTTCATCGCCAGCTCCGAAGACAGCTCGTCCCTGGCGTGACGGATACGCACCAAATCGCCCTCGTACTTAGTGATCTGGCTTTCACTTTCGCTTACTCGCTCCACAACTTCGGCATCAATCTTAGCACGATACGCGGTGCGTTCTGCATGCAGCCTTTGTGCTTCTTCCCGGAGCTGCACATTAGTTGCCTCGAGGTGGTTAATGCGCTTGATGACGTCCTCGTGTTGAGCTTTGAGAGTCTTAAACAGATCTGACTTGGCGTAATCTTCATCCGTCAAGCCCGTGAGCTTAGTGTTCAAGGTTGTTAGTTCCTCCGTCAACTTCTTGTTCTCGGCCGCCAAATGCTCGCATTGTGCTTTGCGCTTTTCAGCAATCGCCTTAGCCTCCTTGCGTGCAGTTTCAATCTCTGAATGATCCACAGAGCCATTGGTAGCCGGAGGACTGTCAGCTTTGTCCTTTGAAGATTCCTCTCTGACCGTGGTCGACATCGGAACAGCTCCCAGCCCTACCATTTGTACTGCTTTGCTCCGCTCGCGGTCGTACTTTCGCTCGGCGAGCACATAACGTTCCGTCGCATTTTGCAAGCGATTCTCGTACTGTTCCCTCTCCGCAATCGTCTTCTGCAGTTCGGCGGCATGCTCTTTTTCTAAAGCAAGGACCTTGGATAGTTGGCTCTGGAGCTCCTGGACGTCTGGTGAAGCAGTGGGTATTCTGGCGAAGAGGTCCGATAACGCTGACTTGATCTTGCTGGTGCGAGAGGAAAGGTGTTCATGAAAAGTTTCCGAGTCCGAAAAGAGAAGGGAGTTGGGAAAGGGTGCACTTCCTGTGCTCTGTGTTACTAATGGGTTAAGCTGACCCAAGAGCCGAGGGTGGTTCGAGTACGTACCATCACCCTGCGTCGGAAGCCTGTCGTTCGCGAGCACGGCAACCTCGTCGACGAGCTGGAAACCAATTAGAAACATGCTGGGCTGCAATGTACGGTCGGGCTCATACCTGAGTGAACCAGAGATCAATTATGCGCAAGTGGTCGTCGTGGTACTTGGATCGGTCCTCCAGATCGGCCACGCGTTCCTCGAGGTCAGCCTTCCTCCGCTTGTACTCGTTCTTCTGTCTGATGAGGGCGTCTTTAGTGTATTCCTAGGCGGAATCACTGTCAGTTTGGCGTCTTTAGTGGCGATGGCAACAAGCATTGATGGGCCGACGAACCTCCATGACTCGATCGCGATCTTGAAGCGGGTCCAGGTCGGCCAGGCGGGTGCCGTTGGAGACTGTGGCCTGTCTCTTGGGCGGTGGAGCGGTGTCGCTGCTGTCAGCCATTGCCGGGCGCTTGCGGTCCTCCATTTTGGATTTGCCAAAGTGAGGGCCAGTGGAGAGGGTCTGAGATTCGAGCCTCATGGAAGCGGGCGTGGCGATGGAGGGTAAAAGAAGCGTAGCGCAGGCTGGCAGGAGCGTAAGGTCACAGCTGTGGAAGGGTTCGGAGGGAGCGCCAGCCTGACGCGTGGATGGAAGGGCGGCTGTGTGCGGGAGGGTGTCGTGGAGCGTCGTCCGCAGTCACAGAGAGAAGGGAGGCTCGTCTGTCAGCCGTCACGTGCCGACTGACTAGTGCGGACGCCATCGCAGATCAGGCCCCACTGGGGCTCGCGCGATTCATCACTCAACTGAAACTCCAACTTAACTACTTATGTTGAACGCGGACTTGACATTAACGAAAGTCTACCTACGGAGTATTCCTACTCGATCCATCCATCAAAGACGCGCGACAACAACAACTACTACTACTCGCATGCACAAACACATGCACAATCATATCCTCAATCTCCCTTTCCTTCACCACTCCCCTGCATCATCCTGAAATGCTCTTGTTCTTTGTTTGATTTGATTTTCGCCCCTTCCATCAGAGGCGCCACTCTGTGCGTATTCCTACCACTGGGCCCTGTCCGGCGCGCTTTGCAGACGCGTTGGCTTGCAGGCTTTGTTCTGCGGCTTCGGACGTGGGCCCGATCCTGGGCTCGGGCTCGGGCTCGGGCTCGGGCACAGGCCTGTTGTGTTTGGAGCGGTGATAGCGGTCCGGTTGGCTATTTTCGCAGTAGCGACGTTGCTGGCGATCATCTTGGCTCTGCTGCCACAGCCGCTGCTGTTTTACATTCTCATGATGCACCCTCGCCTGCTCAAGTGGTGGTAAGAGGTTACACCCTGAAGTCAGATGTATCAAATCCACGTCCGCGAGATACTGTTCCATAACCCAATTAGACCCGGCGCGACTGTCAAATAGCTGTGAGTTGCTCCTGGTAGAGGTCTGGCTTCGATGACACTGGTGCAAGGGAGTGGTAGACTCAGAGTGCTGGCTGTGCCGATGGCTACGTCGAGCGTGGCTGTAGCTGTGGCTGTGGCCGCGATTGTATGTACGACTCTGACCAAAAGGAGAAGGAGTGTGGGGTGATGGAGAGCTAGGTTGCGTACTACTGGAGAGATCAGATTGATAGAAGTGGTCGGGCGTCTTGCGCATCTGCATATTTTGAAACTTTCTGTTGCTCAGCCATTCCGCAGAACCAATAGTTAAGCGGGACCTTCCGCTGTTGCGGGAACGAGGACGTGCGGAGTTAATCTGTTCACGTTGGTTCTGAGGTTGTAGATCTTGAATTTGTGGCCGTGGCGATATGTGCTCTCTGTTATGGGTGAACCGCTTTGGGAGTTGCTGCTTATTTTCCAAGCCTTTGACCTCTGGCACCTTAGAAGTGGCCCGTACAGGGTTTTTGGGCAGCTTGTGCGTGTTGAGTCGTTGATTTTGCAGCTGGCAAGGTGATGCTGGCTGCTTTTTCAATCCTTCGGCCTCTGGCATCTTAAATGCTACTCTTGCAGGTACCGGGTTTTCAAGCAGTTTGTTGGTATCAGCCGTACCTGCCACTTTTTGGTGGACGGAGTGCTGTTTATGCACTTTTGACGTAGTTTGAACGTTCTTTTTGTGGTTTGACCCCCCTTCCAAATGCGTGGGCCAAGGGGGTTCGGACAGGTCGAGCCACGGCGCTGGTAGTGAATTTCCGTGGTGGCCGTTTTGCGGTCCTTTGTGATAGCTTAATGGCGTTGAATTGTCCGCAAGTAGGTGTGGCATTGTGTCTAATGCCCGGTCGTTAAGTTTGAGCGAGCCCAGAGGCACATATGTATTTTGAGGGTCGTCAAGGCCAATGTCTGTGGTGCAATCTGAGAACCCTTTAAGGTCGGCGTTGGCAGTGGTGATGATTTCGCCTCGCCATTCCTCTTTGTCGTCGTTTAAATGGTGAGCAAGACCATATATAGAGATCGGGACCTCGCGAGGTCGCTGCACAACGTTATACGCGTGCAAGACGTCCTGTCTGTGGAAAACACCATGCGAGGTGTCAGCAAAAACCCATGCAGCATCGGTCAACAACCGAAGATACTCGAACATAGACTTGATGGTTTGATGTTGCATGGAGACAAACTCGCTGCCGGGAGAGGGGCGGAGCTTGTAGGCCAATTCCATCGCGCGTCTGAGAAATTCTACCAACGCTTCTGATCGTCCACGCGGTTCCAGTTCGTTCTCGTCGGTGCCTTTCTTGCTCATGACTGCGAGCTCCGGTAATTCCATTGCCTTGCTGTCGGAGAGGCGGACAACTCGCCAGTAAACGTCGCGGTCCCAGTCAAGCCCCATCTCTGTACATGTCATACGCAGACCGCTATTGGCAGGGTAATGGATGCGGTGGACATATCTGCCGATTTCTACCCACAAGTCGAACCTGAGGGAGAATTTGCTGAACCAATCCGTCGAAAGTGTTGGGGATTCGACATAATCGTAATAAAGGCTCCAGAGTAAAACATCGCTTAAAGTCTCCGCCGTCAACGCCTTCTCGAACTTTGCTGCAGCACAACTCAGAGATCCAGCAGAAACATTCGAAGCTGAAGCGATTCCACATCTCCTTAAGATGCGGGTGCCGAGACTCAGCTTCTGTCGGATCTTTTTCCAGAAAGTTCGTGATCGTTGTGGCAGGTCCCTTTTTCTGTGGCAGAGTCGCTGAGATAGTTTCTTGAAGAACATGGCCGTCGAGTGACAGGCAGTCAATTTCCGATTAGGGACTAGCAAAGGATAATGACAGGTTCGGCGGGTGATACATGTTGTCGATGAGGCAGGAGAAGTTGAGGGATGAAATGAAGTGTCGGTCGGATTCTGGGAAGCAGTACGATTGTTCAGAGATCGTGGGGTGATTGAGCGGACGCCTGGGCAGGCTAACTACTCTGTTCTTGGCTTTGGAGTTGAGCTCCCATGGTTCGTATGCTGCGAGAAGATACCGGACATTATGGGGTGTAGTTAAAGGCACCATAGGGTAGCAGCAGATAATGGCTTCGGTCTGGGCCTGATGATTTGATTTACATTCTCGTCGCCATGCGGGACCAGCCATTGGCAGCTGCGACACAGCCCGCCATGCTCCTGCTGCAAAGTGTCGGCTGCCTTGGATATCTTTACACCCTAGAGGTGGTTCGTAAACATTGGTTGCGAATAGCGTCCCATTAAGTCGCATGGTAGCCACGGTAACGGCACACCAGAGTCGGATTTAAGCGTTCCACGAGAGTCCTAGATGACGCCTTCAATCCACCCCGTGCATCATCTCGGCATCGAACAGTCGTGGAAGATAGAATTTGGTGTTCTCGTAAACCAAAAATGTAACACAAGTTGAGGGAAGCACGCGCACAACGTTTGGGCCCAGACTATGCATCGGTTAGCACGTGTTCGATGAATGTCGACAAGAAGCAGACGCACCCTTTGTAGAAACCTGATATGCCCTCTTTCCTCCAGATCCTGCGTACCACGTCTGTGGCCGAACTGTATGTCCTATCCGCGTTGTACGTCTGCAAGCGCGAGCGCACAACCTGGTACGGATAGGTTATACTGCCAGCAATCATCTTGGAGAGAGCACTGAGGTAGAGGTAGTCCCAATTACTAAGGTCTGATTTCCCTCCTACCTGTGAGCCCCTATAGTGTTTCAACTGCTCGTACGCCATGAACTGGATTGCGCCGTGCGAAACACCAAACAGAGAAGGGACAAGGCCGCGGTAGAATCCAGCGAACCCCTCAGTCCTGAGGATCTCAGAGACACCGTGGGAAATGCCACGATACGCACCGGGTGTGTTGCGGCCGGTGGAGAGCATACGCGTCTTGATGACCCATATGGGGTTCGTGCAGAGCGCCGTGAGTAGGCCTAAGGGTGCATGAGCAGAAAAACACCAGTGTTAGCTGCAGTAGAAATCTTACCCGACCCTCCAGAAGCGAGGAAATAATCCGAATACGTCAGTCTATCGACGCCGCGCCAGACTTGGAACATGTCCTTGAGGTTGCGATACCTGACATGCTCGTCAACGTAATTGCCACCTTTGGGGCTATCAACATGGCGTGAGCTGACCAGAGGAAATACAGTGCCCAGCTGATCGAATTGCCAACCACATTCGGCATCAGGCCGCGATATAGGGCCTTGAAGCTGCCTTCATCGCGCACAATATTCCGCAGAAGGTGGAAAGAGTTACCCCATTGCGGACGATGCACCTGGTCCACTGGCGAACAGTTCAGCGACGAGGGTACACACAACCATCAGGTGCGCACTCACACTGCAGTCGCGTCTTCAAGACATCGAACGGATGCACGACCAGAGTCGCAACCACCCCTGCAGAGAAGCCGGCAACTGACTCAACGATGGAGGGCGACAGCGTGGGGGTGGACATCTGGCCGCCTACCGGGGGAGAGGCTGGGGGCATCGTATGCGAAAGGGATGATCGTGCATGTCGTGCGGAAGCGACGGAAAGGCTAGAAAGGAAGCAGAGAGGCTTTGGTGTTGAACGTCATGGCTTTTTTGGCGCAGCGGCGACTGCTGACTCGGGCGGTGTTGCTCCTCCCGCTCCACTCGCTCCGTCTCGCCCGAACCAGCCCGAGCGCCCCGAGGCAGCATAGGTATTAAGGTAAGTTGTACCTACGGCATGGTCGTGGCCACGAATAGACATGATATCAACTTAGATGACTTGGCAACTTCACTGTGACTGCAAAATCGTCATTCGACTGGTCAGGGCTGATTCGACCGCGCCTTGGCCGAACGAGCCGACCTCTCCATCATATGGACCCAGCGTCAAATCAGAGCTCTTTCAATGTAAGCGTCTGTGTGTCAATTGAGAGGCGACGTACAGTTCAGCATGTTTGCGAGCAACGTATCGAATAGGGCATGTTAAGAGGCCATGGCGGCCGTTCGCCAACCGTCATTTGTCGCGTCTTTGCAACAGGCGGGAATTGGCCTACTCTACCGCCAATGCCAGAGTAACAGCCAATACAGTGGACTTGCGCACATTGCCATGTATGCTGCGACCAAGCTCCGTGGCAGGACAGGGTCATTTGTGCCAAAAACATGTTCAAATGGATTGATGGCGCGACAAGGGCCCCTCTCCTCTTACATCCATCACCACCTGGCGGGCGATTCTTCAGACATGGCCCTTGACGGCGCGCACCGGGCCATGCTCTGTCATATGTACAGTCGGCTCGGTTGCTGTAGCCCGATCAAACCCATCCTTTTGCGCCAAATATCAAAGCCTCTTTCCCTTACGCAACCATGTCATGGTGGCCCTTCTTCTCGTGCGGGTGGTCGTCCTTGAGGAAGAGAGCCTCGTAGCCGCAGTAGACGGCGAAGGCGACGGTTGCAATGCCGAGGCCAGGGAAGGAGCCCTTGAAGCGGTTCCAGCGGGAGAAGGGGCCGGTGTACCTCCAGGCCTCGCTGTGGCCAGGGTCAGCTCCGGCGGCGCAGCGGCTATGCGGACTCGACTCACTATCTCTTCCACGGATCATTGGCGGGCGAGCCGGCGGAGGCGGCAAACTTCCTGGGATCGAAGCCGGTGAGGTTGGCGCGTGGGGGCATGGTGTGGCTGCGGCAGCGCGTCAGTCGGGCGGTGCAGTGGACTGAAGAATGCCAACTCACGGCTGTCGGGTGCCTGGGGGTTGTGGGAAAGGGACCTAACGGGCAGTGTCTGGAGGAGGAGGGTCAAGATACAACTTCGTGACAAGGCCGTCCGTCATGCTGTAGCTTAATGGCCCGTGCACGGGCCAAGTAGGACGCTCGCGGATCACCTGGAACCAGCCGCGCAAAGGCATCCCGCTTCCTACCACATCAACCCTCCGCACAACGAGACCACCCTGGCCGATCCCTTGACGAGCGCATCTTGACTCCCCAACGGACCGCGCCCCGTTCTCACCCACGCAAACCGTATGCGCGCTTCACTCTGCCTCACTCTAGCATTGGGCCTCGACACTCGATAGGAAGGATGCCGCCAGCTGTGACCCGGTATCCGCCACACAACGTCTCGAATCCCTTCCAGCACCTCAACCAGCAACATGCGCTGCAGCAAGCTTCACATCTCCAGCATGCCAATGCCGGCCTCCAGGGGCAGAACATCGGTGCACATCCCGCCTTCGGCACCGCCAACCCTAACGGCAACATGAACCTCTTCGGTCCCGCCCAAAGCAACGCCGCCATGGCAGGTGGCTTCGGAGGCGCCGGCGCCCTTGCAGGGGGCGGCACCGGGCTGGCAAGCCATGCCGCGCAAATGGGCTTCGCTCACGGCGCCGCTCTGCAACAACAGAGAGACCACGAGGCGGCAAGCATAGCGTCAGGAGGGACCAAGGGCATGGGGACCCGGATACGGCACGTGTGGAAAAATAACCTTGCGCAAGAGATGGCGATGCTGCGGAGCCTCGTGGACAAGTACCCGTATATCAGCATGGTATGGTGTCCAGGGTCCACGTTTGGCGGGGCCTGTTGATGCTAACAGGTCAAAGGACACCGAATTTCCAGGAGTTGTCGCGAGACCGATGGGCGACTTCATCACCAAAGCCAGCTACCACTACCAGACCGTTCGCTGCAACGTGGACCTCCTCAAGATAATACAACTCGGCATCACCCTTTTCTCGACAGAGGGTGAAATACCCCCGGCGCAGGTGGATTCAGCATCAGTCACCCAAGGAAGATATCAGAACAACCTCATAATGTGCCCGTGCACGTGGACCTTCAACTTCCAGTTCTCGCTAGAGGAGGACATGTACAACGAGGACTCGATCCAGGTTCTAAAGAAGGCTGGCACAGATTTCGAAAAGCACGCTGAAATGGGCATCGATCCGTTGGAATTTGGCTCGCTTCTCATCACCTCTGGCCTTGCCTTGTCCGACGACGTCAACTGGATATCTTTCCACTCTGGCTATGATTTCGCATATCTCGTCAAACTCATGTGGTGCAAGCAACTACCTAACGACGAGGAGGAGTACCGGAAACTGGTTGAAATTTTCTTCCCGCGCCTGCTCGACGTCAAATTCCTATGGCGCCACGCTCAAAGACTTCAGGTGCAGAACAGCCTCAGCGCACAGGCGATGACCATCCTGAATGGGGTTGGAACCAAGTCGGGTCTTCAAGATTTAGCAGAGGAGCTCGGATGTCAGCGGGTTGGCACCCAACACGAGGCCGGCTCCGATGCCTGGCTCACAGGCAACGTCTTCTGGCAACTGCGCGCCAAGGTCTTCGAAGGTCACGTTCCCGATGAGATGAATGGACAGATGTGGGGATTGACAGGAGTCGGACCGCCAGCGTCGGCTACGGCGCAGGCAGCAGTACTGGCAGCACATGGCCATGCGTCGAACATCAACGGTGCATTCCAGGCAGCGCTTGCATTCCACACTGGTGCTACGCCGAGTAGGGACGGGCCCAGCACGCCCATTACCAACGCGGCGGGTTTGGCTAGCGGAACGCCGGGACCTGGTGGTCATGGCCTTGGCAGCATGACGCCTGGAGGGTTTGGTAACTTTCAGTATGCCAAATGAGGGCTTCTTTCGGCGAAAGCTCTCGGGTGTCTGAATGAATCTTCTCCATTCTTCTGTTGTGGCTGTTTCGTATAAAAGATCCCACATTCTCCTTCTATCACTTGGGCAATTTCTCGGGCAAGCGTTTGGTGTTTTGTGATTACCCCCTTTCTCAAGCTGGAGTTTTACAGCGGCGCCTGCGGTGACTGAACCGGGGCCACGTCTCTTGCATTGCTCGGCGCTGTGCTTTGCTTTTCAATGCGATGACGGCTTTGCGTGATGGTGCTGGGACTGGTGCTGGGGCTTTAGGCGGGTTTGGGCTGCCGGGTTGGGATCGGGTTTAGCAATCAGAGTAGCGGAATGTCTACTTGATTTTCAACTGTCTTATCGCAAGCAATGTGCACGCCTGCGTGATGAAGAAAGGTTAACTCTTGAGAGTGTTGGTATGCCACGAGTCATATGGCCATCTCTTAACCTCGTACCCATCCGGGGTGGATAAACGATTCGGAGCCATGCTGGTACCTATGCGTGGGACAAGCCTCGTCAGCTAATGGCATTACATTAAGGCCATCCACAACAATTGCAGGTTATCAGACCCTCTTGCCACTCTCGCCATTGAGAAGCGCCAACATCAACTGTGGTTGTCATCGCAATTGCTACTATCTTTACCGTCGGGCCCGCCGTTCCGAGATCGACGGCAACCGCGAGGACTTACCGCAACTGTCTCGGCAGGGCGCATGGAGCAAGAGAAAAGCATCGCGGAACCTGCATAAGGATAAGCGTTGGTCGGCTGCATGCAAATCGCATCCATCAGCTCAAGAGAGTCGTCGAGTCCAGCTCCGCTGTGTGCATCCCTCAGCGGCTAAGCCGGATTCAGTCAAAAAAGCCCGGATGTGACTCGTGCAGGTGCATCCAGCTTATCGTGTATCGCTATCGACCGGCGCACGACGCGCATCCTTTGACCATCCGTGGCAGGCTTCAAGCCACCTACCCCACATGGCGGGGTATCTGCCGTCGGCATGCTTGCGTCTATCTGTATATAACAGATAGAGGCATCCGATGCCGCTGATGTGGTCTCTTATATCAACCTTCAATCTTCCATTCCATCTTCCACCAACAAACCAATACCCTTCCTTACTCTAATACCTCAGTGTACTACCTTAACCTCCATCCACAGTCTTCGCAATGGTTCTCGACCGCTTGAAGCAGGTGGCCTCGCACGTCACTGGCCAGACGGCGCCTCCTCATCCCTTTGATCCGCTGTCTGAGGTAGAGATTGAGAAGGCGGTTGGCATAATCCGCAAGGACCACAGCGATGTCTTCTTTAATGCTGTAACTCTCTGGGAACCGCGTAAGAAGGAGATGATGGCATGGCTGGCAAATCCCGAGCAGAACGCTCGGCCTGCCCGAAAAGCCGATGTTGTCTGCATTGCTCCTGGCAGCAAGGTCTATGATGGTGTGGTGGATTTGGACGAAGAGAGGATTGTCAGCTGGGCACAGACTGAGGGCGTGCAGCCTTTGGTGAGTCGACAGCATATGAATACCACTGAGTTTGAGGCTAATTAAAGTCAGATTACCATGGAGGATTTGCAAATTGTCGAAAGTGTCGTACGGAAAGACCCCAAGGTCATTGAACAGTGCGGAATCATTGGTATCCCGCCAGAGGACATGTACAAGGTCCACTGTGATCGTAAGTGTGCCCATGGAACTCACGAGATAAACGCTAACAGTGAGATAGCCTGGACGATTGGCTATGATGAGCGTTTTGGCACTGGAGTCCGCCTGCAGCAAGCTTTGATGTACTACCGCCCACACGTGGATGACAATCAATACACTTATCCCCTGGATTTCTGCCCCATCTTCAACGCCGACAAGCAAGAGATTATTCACATCGATATCCCCAAGGTAAGGCGACCGCTGAACAAGGCACCGCCAAACAACTACCACGCTACCTCTATTGAGGCAGAAGGTGGTTTCCGCCAGGATCTCAAGCCCATCAACATCACGCAGCCGGAAGGTGTTTCGTTCAAGATGGACGGCAGGATCATCGACTGGCAAAAGTGGAAGTTCCACATTGGCTTCAATTACAAGGAGGGCCTCGTTCTTTCCAACATCTCTTTCAACGACAAGGGAAACGAGCGTCCCATCTTCTGGAGAATATCACTGGCTGAGATGGTGGTCCCCTACGGCAATCCAGAGCACCCGCACCAGCGCAAGCACGCCTTTGACCTGGGAGAGTACGGTGGTGGTTATATGACCAACAGTCTCTCTTTGGGCTGCGACTGCAAGGGTGCTATCCACTACATGGATGCCGCTTTTGTCAACCGCGCCGGTCAGGCTCAGACCATCAAGAACGCCATTTGCATCCATGAAGAGGATGCTGGAATCCTATTCAAGCACACCGACTTCCGCGACGATGCCTGCACTGTGACGCGTGCGCGCAAGCTCATCATCTCGCAAATCTTCACGGCCGCCAACTACGAGTACTGCGTCTACTGGATTTTCCACCAAGACGGTACCATCCAGCTCGAGATCAAACTCACCGGCATCCTGAATACGTACCCCATGAACGATGGCGAGGACCTGGAGGGCTACGGCACAGAAGTGTACCCCGGCGTGAATGCGCACAACCACCAGCACTTGTTCTGCATGCGCATCGACCCCAACATCGATGGTCCGAACAACACGGTCTTCGTTGCGGACGCCGCGCGCGGCGCCGGCGAAGTCGGTTCGAAAGAGAACTACTACGGCAACGCGTTCTATTGCAAGAAGACGAAGCTGGAGACGCAAGCCACAGGCACGAGCGACTACGATGGCAACACTAGCCGCACGTGGGAGATGTGCAACACCAGCAAGCTGAACCCCTACAGCAAGAAGCCCGTCAGCTACAAGCTGGTCAGCAGGGAGGTGCCGCCGCTCCTCCCCAAGGAAAACAGTTTGGTATGGAAGCGCGCCGGCTTCGCCAGACACGCCATCCACGTCACGAAGTGTAAGATCCATCACTCCCCCCAGCTCACTCCTCGCACGCATGCTAACACGCACACGCAGACAACGACGACCAAATCCACCCCGCAGGACGACACGTGCCGCAGACGTCAGGCGAGCCATCGCAAGGCCTGCCAGCCTGGCTCTCGGCCGAGCCCGACGCGTCCATCGCCGACACGGACATTGTGCTGTGGCACACGTTCGGCATCACGCACTTCCCGGCGCCCGAGGACTTCCCCGTCATGCCGGCAGAGCCCTTCTCGCTGCTGTTGCGGCCCCGCAACTTCTTCACCCGCAACCCTTGCCTCGACGTCCCGCCCAGCTACTGCAGCGTGCCGTCGGGCGTGCGCCAGGGCAACTCGCTCGTCGATCGCATCTCGCGACTGGCGTTTGATGGCGGCAATGAGGGCGACAAGGGCGAGGCCAAGGCGTGTTGTGCCAAGTAGATTGTGAGAAGGAAGTTTTGGATTTGGGTTTGCGGGTGCAAATGTGGGGTTTGAAGAAGGTGGTCGGTGGTGTGGCGTCTGTTTGGGAAGTTGATTGTTTTGCGGGTGTTTGATTGGATGTTTGATTCTTTGATGATCTGTTGGGATTCCCCTCGTTGTACCTACCTACCTCTTTGACCGCTACGGCATTGTCTTCGTGGGATCGATCTTCCTGCCATAGCCATATATAGGGCAAAGACATTGGATAATTTGGTCACCACTCTCTATGCCTACTACGAACTCCTTCGTCTGGGTGACTACGCTTACCGTACAAAGTTGGCGGGACGCGCATGACACAAAAAGGTAGAGGTTTCTAAGTGAGTGATACTCCGTGAAAATAAAAGTGTGTCAAAGCTACTCCGAATACAAATACCTGCGGGTATTGCAATCATTCCATGCTCCTACAAACAGATTTGAACAACCCATACAGATTACGTCTTAGCTGGACGTAGAGCTTGAACTCGTGGCTGGATAAAGTACTTCAAATGGATATGAACGTCATAACAACATAACCATATGAATCACTTCTTAGTTGGATGTAGAGCTCAAACTCGTGGCTAGATAACGTATTTCACAGGGGTATGAAGATAGTAACTAGCTAGCTATCTGGATCACTTATTAGCTGGCTGTAGAGCTTAAACTCGTGGCCAGATGAAACCGTTCATAGGGACATGCAGGCCGCGCCATCATCTACCCCTTAAGTCGTAGAAGCAGGAATGGATAAAACTTGTCGGAGCTTGGTACTTTGCAAAGTCTTTCACTGAGACAAGTTCTTTATTCACGGGAGGGGGAGGGGAGGTGCCATCACTGTGTCATGAAGTAGTGTATTCGTGCTGCATACTTCTAATTTCCATGCCATGCGCCCCGGAGCGCATGCGTTGCTGTCAGTTCCCAGAACATCATCATTGATATCCCAAAACAGAATGCCGAACCGACAGTCGGGTGCAGCAGGAAAGGAGGGCCGTCGTCAATCATAAATCGCATCTAAAGTCAATCTCGTCTGTATGACACTTTTCCACAGACAAAGGACCCATTCAAGCATCGCCCTCCTGATAGTCTCCATCTTCGTCATTGTCTTCGCTCAGGTAATACTCTTCGTTTTGAAAGTATTCCAGGTCATTGACCTTGATCTTCATTGTGGCATTTTCTGCCTCCAGGACCCTGACCCGGTTCATCATGTCCGTCATCTGCGTCACGTATCGTTGGTGCAAGCCTCGTAAGTGGCGGCTCTCGTCTATGAAGGCAGTGATCATGTCGCGGGCTTCGTCGAAGTATTTCCGGGCATCATCGTCGGTCAGTGGGCCGTATAGCTCGCCGGTGTGCATGGAGCTGGGACTGCTGAGGCTTCCACAGGCGCTTGTTTTGTCAAAGGAGCCGATGTCTTCCACAGATCCCTCGGGCTTGAGTACTGGATATTTCCAGGATCTCAATCGCTTCGCGGGAGGCATATCGTCTACGCTGTCGCCGGCAGATGAAGGCTTCTCGCAACGAAGTCTTTTTCCCTGGGTATTCTTGGGACCAGAAGCCATGGCGCGTATGTTCTGATCGAGTTTGATCCGCTTGATAAGAGGCATGCCATCCAAGCTGTCGTTATCTGATGATTCCTCGCGGCGATGAGGCTTTGCCTCGATTCCGGACATGATCGGCTCTGGCAAGGGGTTACTAACTTCGCCGCGGGCGTTCTGCACGGCCGTATTGGTATTGTTCGTGCATTGGTACTGAGAGATGCTGTCGCTGCGAGGGAACTTTCCGCCGCAGTTGGGGCACTCGAAAGGCTTTTCGTATATGTAGAGGATGCGACACGAACAGTGAATGCAATCGAACGGCTTGAAGGGCACCTGGAGTTCAATATCGGCTGCAGGAGAAGTCTCCCTGATAGGATCTTGCTGATGTTGTATTAATCTTGACATTCAACGGGAATCGTCTTTGACAGCACTTACTGGACCATCATCCGCAGAGGTTTTCCTTGTCTTCCTGGCAGAACTAGGAGTCGGAAGGAAATTTTTGAAGTTCGTCTGTGGAGTCTTGGGAGTCTGTGGAGTTTTTGGAGTCTGTGGAACCTTAAGAGTCGGTGGAGTCTTGGGAGTCGGTGGAACAGTGATTGGCCCAAACATTGACTGAGCTTGAGACTTTTGTTCGAGATCTAGACAGTGACTGGGTGGAGTGACCGATGTCTGGCCAGAGGGAACATGTTGCCTCAGATCTTTAGGGCTTGAATCGACCAGGCTAGTGTTGCCGTCGTGAATGCATCGGTGGTGGTGTAAGCTGTTATCATTATGACTGAAGACCTTGCCGCACTTCGAACACTTGAACTGGGACTTGTCCCAGTGATGTGCGCTATAGTGAAACCTGAGGCGAGCTTGAGTGAAGAATTGGCAAGGACAGATGATACAGGCAAAGCCTTTAGGTCTGTTCTCATTTAGGCAGCCGGACTGAAAGCTGTCATTCTCTTCTACACCCAGAGCCTTTTGGAGATCGTCTTCATCCTTCTCGTCATTGGCGAGAAAGTTAGAGATGGAGAGATCCGCGCCATCGTCTGTGTCTGAGGGAACAAGGAAAGAGAGCGGCATTCTGCATGAAACGATGGAAGGAGCTACCGGAATATCGCCGTCCGGTGAATCTTCGAGATCCATGTTGTTGTTTGTTGGCCTGTGGAAGGTGAAAGAAAGGCAACGGAAACATTAGGGAGGGAGAGCGAAAACTGGTTCGGAGTTACGGGGTTTTAAGGCCCTGTGAACGTGAGGTGAGGTTGCTCGTGGAAATCAACACAATTCTCGTCAGTCCAGCAGCCCATGGGATTGTAACAAATTTCTCCATTGATTTCACTGTTCTGCAACGGAATACGCTCAGTCTTGTTATGCGCCGATGACAGATGCTACAAGCATGAGAATAATGGAAGGACAGCCATTAACCTAGGGATGGCTTCGTTGTCCGGAGTGGCTGGTCGTGGTTGATGTCTCCATTCCGTGGACGGGCTCAATGCTTGCTCTCACGTCACTTGTTATTTGGAGGAAATATGAGAAAAAAGGAAAGCGCTCGTATTAGTCCAAGCACTTTTGGGAGAGGAGTGGAGGGGTCCGGCCGGTTGCCCCGCGGTGGTACGTGCGCTCATCCGGCATCACGGGCCTTGCATAAAGTCCATGAGGTCGAGTCCGAAGCCCTTGGACTCGGGTTTCTTGCTGCTTGCGAGCATGGCAGCCAGGCCGCCCTGCTTGCGTGTTTTGGCTCGTTTTTTGCTGCTGGCGTTTGCTGAGGTTGCGACGGGCGGCGGCGGCTGCTGCTGCTGCTGCTGCTGCTGCTGCTGCTGAGCTGCTGGTGCAGTCACGCCGCTTGCAGATGACGACGATGGTAGTGATTCTTCCTTTAGGGCGTGCGGGAGCTTCCGTGCCTTTAGCCGCTCCTTGGCTGGAGGGGCTTGGAACGGCGTTTTGCTATGGCACCGGAGGCACGTGTAAATGGTCATTTTCGGAGCAGCGTTGTCCGAAGCTTTGGACACCTTGGTCTTCTTCCGTGACTTGGAAGTCTCCTGACTGACGTGACTGGACCAGCCAGGGATGAAGATGATGCCACATGCGTTGCAGACTTCTCGTCTCCGTGCGTTCTCGGCGAGGAGAAGGCCATACTGCGATTGCAGGAAAGAAGACGTCTCGGGCGAAGATAGAGCCAGCGAGTGTGCCGCCTTGTGGAGAAAGTTGAGCCTCGCAGACAGATGCTTTGACTCTGACATGGGGGAAAACGTGTGAGAGGATTTTGGAGGAGGCATGGATCGCAGGGGTGGCAGGATCGGTGGTAGATAAGTCACGAGTCATTTGAGAAGCGAGAGCTCATGGCGCACGACTCACGAGCGGCATCCCGAAAAAGCAAGCACAACAAGCACGACGCATCCACCGCACGCACACGTAGGTAGACACCTCGCACGCCAGCGACCGCACAAGGTGCCAGTCAGTCTTCATTTCCGCCGGCGCGCCTTCCGCGCCGTCACGAAGCAGATCTCGGTACGCACGCCGCCATGGCGGCCCATAAGCAGCTCTTCACGAGCACGCCCAACCCGCTCCCGCACCCGCTCAACGCTCCAGCCCGCCGTGCGCGTCAGTAGCCGCAGGCACAAGGCCTCGATGCCCTCGGCACAGGCCACTAGCCACATCTTTCCCATGACGGCACGCCGTTCATCTGCGGGCCATGGGCCCATGGGCACGTCCACAACGGTCCGGTGCACGTCGACAAAGCCGGCCTCCTCGAGCTGCGCGCGATCCAAGTGCGCCAGCCCCAGCGGCCGCCCCGCCGCCGCTGCCGCTTCCACCGTCGCCGCTACCAGCTCGCGTAGCGCTGACGTCGCAAAGTCCCCGCTGCCGTTGCCCCCATCCAGGTCCATCATGAGGTCTACGACCTCGAGCAGCCCGCCTGGTGCCAAGCTCTCAAACGCTTCGCGGTAGACGGCGCCCCAATCGCTGAACGCCCCCTTCATGTTGCGTAGGTGCACAAAGTCGAAAGGCTCTGAGAAGTTCCAGCCGCCTGCCGGTGCCTCGTCGTTGCTCTCTCCCGATGATGGCTCGGCAACGAACGTTTCTGACATGGTCGTCGGCTCCAAGGGCCCGGTGCTGCCGCTTGCATAGCCCTGATCGATCGACAGCGCGTGCATCTCGTGGGCGGCCTTGTCGAGGCGGTCACGATAATCGGTTGATTCTGCTGCCACTTCAAGGTCGTCAATCTCCCAGACGACGTTGGGCCTGTCGGCGCAGGTGTAGGCCTCGCCGTCACTGCCGTCGGCGTCCGAGTCCGAGGCGTCGGCGCCGCCATGGTTGGCAGCGGGTAGGTCCCAGACCGCTAGGTCGACAGCAACGATTTCGGCATCGGGGAACTGCTCGGCCATCTGGCATGCCCATTCTCCCGGGCCCGTGCCGACATCGAGCACGCGTTGAATGCCGGGCGGTAGGGGCGCGGTGGTCAGGGCGCCCGACAGCGCGGTCAGGAAGATGCGGTGGAGGATCTCGAGACGTGTCTGCTCCAGGGCGTCGCATGGCATGTAGTAGGAGTTGTTTGGATAGGTGCGGCCATTTTCGCAGACGTGGGTGAGGTCTGTGGAGCGCAGGGAGCGGGTCGAGTGACTGGGTGGGTTGTAGGTTGTGAGTGAAGGGGAAAAAGGATAAAAAAAGAAAGTAAAGAAAAGAAAAGTAAAAGAAAAAAAGGTGGCGTGAAAAAGGAAAAGAGAGGTAGGTGTTGACGTTGTTGTCGCACACCCAGACGGACGGAAGCGACTCACATTGATCGAGAGGTGGTGGACTCAGCCCGACTCTCTGGGCGGCGCGCCCCTCCGGCCGGTAACAAGGCCATGTCGTCTCGTGAAGTAGCTGCAAGCCCTGTGTCACGGCTAGGCCCGCCGGCAGACTCTTTATGTACAAGCCGCCATCGGTGGAGAGAGAATAAGTGGCACGGCCTACCCGAGGGCGGGCTCAGCGTCGACTGCGGGGGAGAACTTCTTCTCATTTCCTCGGGGGGGGGGGGGGGGGCGGCACACAGCGGGGCCCAGAGTCTGCATCTGCGGGCCTAGCCGCCCCCTGGGAGCGACTCGTCATAATATCCGCGCCCCAGTGCCATTTTTTTCTATCTACTGCTTCTACTCCAGCTGCTGGCCCTCAAACACCGGCAGCCGCTTCGACACCTCGGCCCACGTCTCGTTGCCCTCGCACAGGCTCTGCACCGCCGCGAATATCTCCTCCTCCGACGCCCGCACCTGCTTGGTCGAGTCGCGGTCCCGCAGCGTAAACGTGCCCTTTTGCACCGACTCAAAGTCGACCGTGATGCCCAGCGGCGTGCCCAGCTCGTCGTTGCGCGAGTACCGCTTGCCAATGCTGGCCGACGAGTCGTCGACCCGGCTCGAGATGCCCATCTTGCGCAGCTTCAGGCTGAGCCGCTTCACCAGCGGCGCAAAGTCCGCGTGCGTCGACAGCGGCACGAGAAGCACCTTGGTCGGTGCGACCGTCGGAGGGAATGAGAGAACCTGCACTTCTTATCAGCTCTGTTCCGAGGCACCAGGCTCCGCCAACCACTTACTCCGCGAGCACCCTCCTCGTCGCCAGGGCGAACCCAGTAGTTATGCTCCACAATGCTGTAGAGGATACGACCAATGCCAAACGACGGCTCAATGACGTTGGGCGTGTACTCCCGAGTGTTCTCGACCCGCGTGCGCTTCTCAATGTTGATCAGGTCCGTTCCGAGCTCGACCTTGCCCTCCCCAACCTCGGGCACGTCGATGGTAATCTTGCCGTTGTTCTTGAGGTCCAGCGACAGCTTCTCGCGCATGTCTTGGGTCAGGGCCTCAATGGCGGCCTCAACCGTCTTACCGTCCTTCTTGAACTTGGGGCCAAACTTCTTCTTCTCAACGTCAATCTGCCATTCCTCAACCTTCAGAGGCTCGGCGCGCTTCTCCCTGACCAAGAGAGGTGCGCCGGTCTTGTTCATGTGCACACTCAGGTCTGCAAGTTGTTAGCGCAGTGACACAAATAACGGGCACGGGTGAAACTTGCCGTATGCGCTGCGATCGGCACAACCAACGCACTCAATCCAGCCATAGCTCGTGAGCAGCTCAGCGTCCCAGCAGTCAGTAGCGTAGTGAGCCATCTCGTTTGCCATGTGCTGACGGAACCTGATCTTCTTGGGATCGGCACCGATCTTCAGCAGGTATTGCTGGATCCTGGCCAGGAAGTAACCCAGGGTCTCGTTGTCAACGATACCCTTGTCAACGGCCTCACCAATGGGCGTGGTCTCAACGGTGGTCTTGCCGGAGAGCTGAACATCGCGGTTCAGAAGCTCCAGCTTGACGTCGCGGACATCGTTGAACCTAGGGTGCTTCTTGCCACCCTCAGGGTCCACAAAGTGCTCGATCTCGGCCATCAGGAATTCACGCACACGCAGAAGGCCGGCTCTGGGAGAAATCTCGTTACGGAAAGACTTGCCAATCGAGGCAGAAGCGAAAGGCATCTGCTGCTGGTTAAACTCCAGCAGCTTTTGGAAGTTAAGGAACTGGCCCTGTGCGGTCTCCGGACGCAGGTAGCCGGGCATGTTGCTGCTAGGGCCAATGGAGGTCTGGAACATCAAGTTGAAGGAAACCGGGGGCAGGAGTTCACCGTTGGTGGCAGGGTTCTTAATGTCGTACTTGGTGATGAGCTGGCCAAGCTCCTCGCCGTTGTAGTTGTCAATTTTGGCAAGGACCTCCTCATACTCGGTCACGACGGCGTCGTCGAGCTGGATAGCCTTGATCTCCTTGACCTTCTTCTTCTTCTTCTTGGGGTCCTCCTTCTCTTCGACCTTCTGGCCACGAGCCTCCTTGTCACCCTTCAGCCTGGACTCCAGGACTTCCTCGACCAGGTGGTCGGCTCTGAAGATCTCGCCGGTCTTGGGGTCCTTGCACATCCAATCCGCGAACTTGTCAACGTGTCCACTGGTCTTCAGCACTTCATGCGGGGTGAGCATGGTGCAGTCGACCTCCAGCATGTCCTCCTCCAGAACGAAGTGCTTCCGCCACACGTCAACCATGTTGGCCAGGAGCGAGCAGCCGGGCGGGCCATAGTCGTAAAGGCCAGAAACACCGCCGTAGATCTCGAAGGAAGGGGTGTAGAAGAGACGGCGGCGCATCAGCGACTCGAGCTGAGCGCGGTCGAAAGGCTCGCCAGTCTTGGTGGTGGTGGACGCCATTGGTGGTGGGTGTTTTGGTTTCGCCGGTTTGAACTTAAATGCTACAGGTGTAGATGCGAAGCTGCGCGTGTGAGTCAGGACAGATCGGCGGACCGGTTGGTAGCTTGAGAGATGAATGCGCAAGGAGCTCAAGGCCTGACGCATATACTTGGCTGCCCCCTCGGAAAAGTAAAGGTAGGCGAATGACGGTCGGTGGGGTTCGTGACTCCTCTCAAATGGAATGCGGAATGCGAAATTGTCGGGCTTGTTTGTTCCATTTGCACTCGCTCGGCCAAACTCCACCCGGACGCCGAAAAATGTTCCCTATACCTAGGTAGGTACGTCACCACGGTCACTACCAATAAAAAAAAAAAAAGTCAAATAAGGAAGTATACTGCCATTATGTACTTCAAAAGCTCCTTCCCATATTTCGTCTAATGTAATGTAGTTTGTATGTGTGTGTATGTGTGTGTGCGTGTCTGCCGTATGCCATCTGCCGTCTAACGACTGCCCATGCTGTTCTCTGCCATTAATTAATTAATCAATCAATCAGCCAATCAATCAATCATCACCGTGCCACCCCATGCCGTCGCGCGCCGTCACGCCCCATCCTGTCCCGTCTTGTTCTATTCTACGCGTTCGATCCAACTCTACCCAGTCCACTCCACCTCGAGCCTCTTCATCCACTCCCATCCGTCCCACAAACCCCCCATCCACGTCTCGTACCATATCCTACACGCACCGTTGCTCTGCCATATACGTCTTCTGCGCCTGGAATGCGTAGCTGATGGGGCCCGCGTCGGAGCGGCAGAGCAAGCGGGCAGTTTGAGCATTCGCCGTGCGCCGCGCCGCGCCGCGTTTCTCAGAGAAATATCTAGGAACAAGGAGATGCAAGAGAGAAGCAAAGAAATAGAGAGAAAAAAGAGCTCTGGTGCAGAGCTCCGGCGCGGAACTCGCGAGTTCCGTCGCTGGGTGGTGGAGATGAACGTGGCTGTAGATAGGTAGTAACGATTGACCGGCTGATCACGCGAGCAAACAGCGATCGAGGACAGGTGTCCTATCTTGTCCTGGCAATTCGTGCTCTAAGCCAACGATGGTAATGGTAGTGGAGGAAAGCGTCATTCCTCAACATCGTGCATAAGCTAGCAATGCTGCTGGAGATACGGAAGGTGAGCCCGTAGCCAGTGATACCAATAGAGCAGTAGTTGCTTGCTGCTGTCGTGCAGCATTTTCAAAACTCCGCCGGTGGTCCATTTGGTGCCCTTGTTGCTGGGAACGTAGGTATGTGCTGTGCTGGCAGGCCTGTACAAGGACAGACCGGTGCACGGCCATTCAAGGGGCTGCAAGCTTCACTATCAGGGCTTGCATGCGGGTCATGAGTTCCGGGACACGGAAAGGTTTGGAAACGACGTCGTCCTGGGTACAAAAGAAATATTAGTCACTGATGGGATGCCGAATGCTATCATTTCGGCGACCAAAAAGATCACTTACCATGCCAGCCTCGTTCGCCATGGTGATCTGTTCGTTGCGTACGTTCGCCGTGACTGCAATGATGGGCACGTGTCCGTCGACAGTGCCTTCCTTCTGCAGCTGGCGGATAGCGCGCACGCACGTCAAGCCGTCCATGACTGGCATCTCCCAATCCATGAGGATGACGGAGAGATCCAAGCCGCCAGACTTGCAGTAACGCGTGCGGCGCAGGTGTTCGATGGCCTCAGCGCCGTGGTTGGCTACGCTGACATGGCAACCCTTGCTGCGCAGCTGAGTGGCCAGCACGCGTTGGTTGACAAGGTTATCTTCAACAACCAGAACATGCAGCTTGTCTGGGAGCGATACCTTTCCGGGTTGCAGGGCGGGTCGGATTGATGGCGTGCTGGCGCTGCGCGGAGACGTGGGGCTGCGGAACTTAGTTTGATCGGAAGGTGGTGGCGATGCTGCGCGGACGGGTGTCATCAGGTCCGGTACGAACTGTCCCTCAGCACTTGGTGGGCTTTTGGTGCGTCGCGCTTTGACGTAGAACGAGAACGTGCTGCCCTTGTGCGACTCGGAGGAGAAGCCGATGGCGCCACCTTGCATCTCAGTGAGCCTGCGTGAAATGAACAATCCCAGCCCACTGCCGCCGTAGCTGATATGGGTGCGAGGAGATGCCTGCGAGAAGCGTGCGAAGAGAAGATCTTTCTCATTGTTACTCAAGCCACGACCGCTGTCCTGAACGGTGAACAGGATGAAGACATTCTCGCCTTTGGCCCAATCCGCCACAAGTGGAGGTGCCTCCGCCGCCGTCGCCGTCCGTATGTATGGCACGTTTCCTGCACTGCATGTTTCAGGCCGTTCCTTGCTCGCACCAATGCTAACAGTGATCTGACGTTTCGTCTCCAGCCGAGTGAACTTGATGGCATTAGTGATGAGGTTAATCAAAACCTGCAAGAGGCGTGTTGGGTCTAGAGAAATCCAGTCGAGACCCAGTTCGCCGTAGGTCGATTCCATCTCAAATTCCAAATCGATTCCCGCTGCCTTGGCTTCTGCTTCGAACATTTTGACGGCATGTCGACCTATCGATTCCGGTTGCGCGGCAACTGGCGTCATCACGAGCAGGCCACTGTCTAGCTTTGACATGGTTAGAATATCATCCACAATACACTTCATATGTGTGCTGCATTGGACAATAGTCTGGGCAGCGTCGATGTCCGCCTCCAATAGACTGCTCAATCCAGGATCCAGTCTGCCATCTTCTGCCACAATGCTGCTGTTAGAGGTGATGATGCCATCCGCGCACTGAATGATTGCACTCAAGGGATTGCGCATCTCGTGGGAGGTTGTGTCGATGAAGTTTTCCAGTTGGCGTTTCGATTCCAGTGCGTCTTCTGTTCGCTTTTTTTGCAGACCCTCTGCCCATTTCTGGCGGCTAATGTCCGTCACGCAGCCCACAATTTCTTTGACATCGCCAGTGTCAGATAGCTCCGGGTATGCCGAACACAGTATCCACATATGATTTTCACTGCCATCATCATGGTGAATTTCCGCCGCATTTTCAGGCGGTGACCATTTTCTGTTGATCCGGAGCTCAAATGATACTGGAGCCTTCTCAGTCATCAAGGTGGCAAAATACTTCTCGCAAGCTGCGAGATCCTCGGGGAATGCCAGCTGAGGCCACGCATCGCGAATGTCCAACTGAGTTTCCGGAAGTTGGAACATTTCGTGCCATCTCTTGTTGCGATAGTTGTAGTATCCGTTCTGGGCAACGATAAAGATTCCCACATCAGCGCGCTCGGCAAAGCGCTGGAACCGCTTCTCGGTCCGTTCGACTTCTTTTTGGCTCACGACCAGTTGCTCTGCTAGTTGGGCCTTTATGGACTCGGCCTGTGCGATCATCATCTCCCGTCTCCGGATCTCGTCATCATGCAGGACAACCGATGCCAATGACGTTCCCAAGAGTCTGCTCGAAACTGCAATAAATTGTTGGTAGTCGTCGTCGTAGGGCCGCCGTGGATTAAGCCCAATGATCAGGAACCCTTGGACGTTTGTGCTTGAAGTCGGGGTGATGGGGCAAACGACAAAGTCCTTGCTTGGATCGCCGAAGCCTCGCCACTCTATACCACGTATAATCTCTTCCGGCAACGCTGCCTTCTCTACATTTAGAACTGTAGGTCTCCGTGACTTCATGGCTTCTCGAAAATAAGGTATGAATCCATCGGGGCTCTGTATTAAATCGAGACGGTTTGGCGCAGCAGGGTGTCCAGTTGGCACACCAAGGGAGCCTTTGAGCACACACTGTCTACTCGAAAACCCGGTTGAACTGGCAGAAGTAGAAAGTACGTCACTAGTCTCGTCTTCTTCTTCGACAGAGTATAACAAAGCAAACGAAACGTCTTTCTCGTTGCTTCCGAGGACCTGCATGACCGAATGCCAGTAATTGTCCAAGTCTCGAGCTCGTCCGGTTTCCTCGCTTAGCCTGAGAAGTGTTGCCAATCTTCTTTCTGACACTACTGCCCTTGTGGTTTCCGTAACGGGTTCGTAGTGTCCGACCACATTACCCATTGCATCCATGACTGGTAGGAATGTGAAAGAGTAATAGGTCTCTTCCAGCATGCCATTTCTCAGTAGGAAGATTGGAAGATCTGATTCAGTAACGATTTCTCCAGTCAACTTGTTGCGCGTAATGAAAGGGGTAAAGTGCTCCCAGTACTCGACGAGGGCCGTCTTTGCAGAATTTCCCATGCACGTTGGATGCTTGTCTCCAACCAATGGGATGTAGGCCTCGTTGTATATCATTATCACTTCTTCTCCCCAAAACAGTACGCCTGGCTCAGGAGTCCGCATAACAAGATTGACCATGACACGAAGTTCTGTTGGCCACGCCTCCATAGGACCAATGGGAGTGGAACCCCAATCAATGGAGCGGAGAAATTGCACATGGGATGGTAAATCTGGAGGTTCATCAGGGTGGGTCCAGTCGAGTTCTGGAGCCAAATCGTCGACGCCCTCGCCATACTGTGGGTCCCATTTTGTCAAGCGTGAAATGGACTCATCAGGATAGTTTGCGGCAGGCGAGCTTCCTTCAGATTGCCCAGAGACGTCTTGGCCATCGCGCTTCACGATGCTGGCTCTTTTCCCGCCTCCGCTATCGTCGGATTTGGTTGGAGAGTGGTTCCTTGTAGGGACGGGAGAGAGACCGAGCTTCGGCGTCGGAGGCTCCAGGATGGCCTCGGGCTGGACCCCACTTATCACGCTCCACCGGTCTTTGATAATAACCTTGGTCCAAAACATGCCATTGAAGGTGATTCCGCGCAGCGGCGGGTCCATCTCTTTCTCATATATCCATTTCCTGTACTTTGCATACGGCTTCAACGAGAAGGCGCCGGGCCTGTCCAGGTTGGACTTTCCAGATATCACGCTCAGCAGGGCGCCCGAATCGCCAGCCAAAAGGGCCGGGTTAGTGTAGACGGGCTGCAGGATTTTGCCAAAAATGTCGGAGACGTCGAGGTCCAGGACAAAGGTGGGCTTGGGATCGTGCTGCAGGAAATCGGCCAGGCCGACTTGATTGAGAGTGGCGACGGCGGCCTTGCAGACGCGCTCTCGGGATTCCAGTTCGTTGGCGGTGGCATTGTCGTCGCTCACCAGGTACATGGTAGGGGTGGCATCGTCAGGCAGGCCCGAGGCGGTGGTCGAGTCGGACTGGGTGTGGATGGGTATAGCAGTGGCGACAACAGAGTCGTCCTCGACCACCCCCGGCGCAGCATTGTTCATAGCTCGAGGGTCGTGAAGAGAGCAGGCTCAGTGGAGAGCACGCAGTAGCAGCATGCTTGACGGAGAACGGCAACGGCGGCGGCGACGGCGACGGCGACGGCGACGGGGCGATGGTGGTGGTGAGGGCGATAGCACGGCAGGGATTGGCAGGCAAAAGTGAAGAAGGCACGCCCGCCGACGACGCCGCAAAGCTGACTGCCATGATGGGCCGCGGACTGTGACAAAGCATCTGGGCCTCCCATGACCTCATGGGCTCCCTGCAATTTGGACTTTCCGCATTTCCTCTTGACTAGTTTCACTGTTCTGCCCTGCCCTGCACAAGGCCCGCTGACCGCATCCGGCTCGGGTCTAGACGCCTGGGCGATCAAGCGAAACAACCCTCGTCGTCGATCCTTCGGCAAACTTTCCGACTGCCGCGTGCAACTCCTGACGCCCAACCACCACTCTCTCTCTCCTCTCTCCCTTAGCATACGTGGCTCAGGCCCTCTGGCTGCGAGTCAGGCCACGACAAAAAATATTCCAGAAAAAACTATAGGGCTAGCGGGTACACGTGGTGCCTACGCCTCACGCCTCACGCCATCAAAGGCCGTTACTCGGGCGAAAGACTCCTTCTCGACGACTTCCAAGTCCGACAAGTCACTCCTTCACGGTAACTCCGAAGTAGGCACCTACTCGAGTAGGGGCCCGTGCTGTTAGATTGGCGAGGCGAGATTGCGCCATGCTCGCCAACATATACCGGTTGCCGGTGCTTGGGTGGTCATGCTGACGCTGTCCGAGATCGTCGCGGTCCGCTCCTAGGCCTCTCTAGCCTACCGCGTGCTGAGTGAGCCTCAATCTCATATGCTTTTTCACCATGCCAGCCCTACGCAGTACCTACACTCCCACCGCCCTTCCATCCTCATCTCCCCAGCCACCCTTTAGTCATCGCTGCTTTGTCCATCTACGAGTAATAGCACCACTCCACCAATTTTTCGTACACGGGCTCTATTTACCGCCACATCTCGGAGGAGAGAGCAAACAGAGGTAGCCCGGCAGCCACAATGTGGCTTGTCCCACTCCTCCTCGGTTACAGCTACGTGTACCTAGCTTACCACCCACCCCAAGTCGCGCGTTCCATTCATTTGCTCGGACCCTGTGACGTACGTCTAAAATCTCGGGTAAGCCATTTCAAATTATCTGGGGTCGCTAACGAGGCGGGGAGGCATCAATGGACGGGTCGACAAACTGCCGTATTGCGCGAAGGATGCAGTAGTCCATTTACTAGCGGGGTGTTTTAAGATATGGGGTTCAAGGGCGTTGTCGATAAGCGTTGGCCGAGCGCCGGCCCGACATGCCTCCTTACTGAAAATATAATGCGGGCGTGTATGGAGGTACAAATGTCAAGACCTGCCGCACAGAATTGAAGAGGTAAGGAAAGTACGAGTGGATTGTCGTTCGGCGAGTCTTGGTGCCTGCAGATCAGCATTTAGGTACTTATGGTCTAATGCTTATCTGCTGGCGATAAAAATCGATATGCTCGAGGCGATTCCGAAGAACGGTATTGTTATTTTTGACGGCAGACCAGAGGAGCAATACGCTCAGCCCCTAAGCCATTTGGATCCACACTGAGTGACCACCTATTCGTTATCACTGTCCTCCTCATCATCATCCATGACCAAAGTAGGTATCTCCATGTCTTCATCGTCCTCCTCTTCAGCGTCATTGCCCCCATAACTGGCGACAGCTGGTGCCGGTGCAGGTTTCGCGGAAGAGGCTGCGGCCTCAACCTTTTGTTCTTGCAGTGCGATGCGGCCAGGACTACCAACACGGAGGCGCTTAGGAGAAGGGGCTTGTGGCGCAGTTTCCTCGCTGGGACGTTTTTCGGTGCTCTCCTTCGTGGCAGATACAGGCTCTTCCTGAGCTTTGATTGGAGCACCCTTGTTGGCTGCTTCCGCCTGCTTCTGTTCAACGGCCGGTGTAGTTTCCTTAGCCGTAACAATCGGCTCAGTATCCACCTGCATTTGATCGTTCTCGGGTTCGCCCGCGTTTTCCGCTTTCTCTTCTGCGTTCTCATTTTCCCCCTCGTCTTCGTCTTCCTCCTCTTCCTCTTCATCCACATCCATTGGCAGACCTTCGCGACCCGCAACCTTGATCACCGGCATGCGTGGCCGAAGAAGCATCTCCACGTCGGGCGACTCTGGGAATATGCGCGCAAGTAAAGGCAGCAAACTCTGCGTATTGCCGCTTGATGGAAGGTTCATCACGCTAGCCAAGAGTGCCTTCTCATGCCGAATCAACACAGCTGTACTCTCCATATGATTTCTTGCAGAATGATCGATGGCATGCGCGGGGAGGTAGGTGAGCAAGCACGGCAGGAGCGCATAGGCCGATTCATAGAGACCCTCGGCGGCAGACTGAGGTGCGTTCTTCGGTTTGGCGGTGCCAAGGAAGGTATCCGCATTCATAGAAACCTGTGGTTGTTTGTTCTTATTGCCGTTGGCCGCAGTAGTCGAGGAAGGCTGGACTGCAGGCTCAACTTTTTCTCTTGGAGCAAGGTCATTACAACAAGCGTGCATAATGCGATTCAGGCTCTTGACCTGTGCAGTGGGCAGCGCCTGTCCTAAAATGGGCAGTAGTTGGGTCAGCACCGAATAGGCAGCGGTGCGGATGGAGGCAAGTGACCACTCCTCTTGGAACAGGAAGCTCAGACGTTCAAGGAAGAATTCCATGACCGGAGCAAGTGCCTGACCAAACCTCTCCACAAGTGCTTCGAACAAGCTAATTGCTGCCACATGGACGTGCGGCAAGACGACCCACAGGTCGTTGCGCTCATCCCTGCTGATCTGGTCATTGAAAGTGATTCCGCTTTCTTGCTGCTTTCGACCCTTGGCTGCTGCAGGAGCTGTGAGTGAAAGGATTCGAGTAAGAAGATCCATAACGTGCGCAATGCGGAAGCTGACTACGCTGGCAGTCGGTGCAATGGTAAGTTCAGTCAACAAGTCCAACAGACCTATCAGACGTCGACTACCAGCGTATATTCCCGTCCATGCGGGGAATCCACAAAGGTCAGGCTCGCTTTGCTGGACCTCCTGTTCAACGGCCCGAACGTTGTTGTTGTTGAATGACTGAACGCCGGTGACTGATTCCCAATCTTCGATAATGGCACGGAAGACCTTATCAGCGGTCTGGTGCGAAGCTGCAACGACTGTCTGGAAGGACTTCTCCCAATCCTGCTGAGAAGCCCCCTTTGCAGCACAGCAGGGGATCTGAGTGTAGAGACGACGTGCCGCGGCGTCTCCCTCTGCAGTCAACAGGTTCTCTTGGGCTGGAGCAATCACTGTAGCAAGAAATTGGCCAATCTTAGTCAAGTGAGGACGGAAGACAGTAGGGTGACGAGGCAAGAGGCGAGAAAAGCTTTCAAGAACTGTCTCGGTCAAATGCTGCAGACTCGCATCCCCATCCTTGAAGCGAGTCAAGATGTTCATGCAGGACGTGATGAACGGCGTCAGGGAGGGCGTGGTGATCTCTCTCACAAGAGTCTGGTAGTCACGCGTGAGCATGAAGATGCGAGTCAGAGTCACTATACAGAAGACTTTGGTGGTCGAAGGGTCGGGCTTGGACAGGATGCCGAGCAGACCTCGCACCCAGGGCCCGCATTTTTGGAGCGTCTCCCAGCCGCCGAGCTCGACGGCCGACTTGACGAGGACGGCGCCGGCCCATCTGCCCTCGACGGAGCGGTCCTGGAGGAGGGTCGAGATCTGGGTCCTGAACTTGTGGACCAGGACGGCGGCCTCTGAAGCATCCTTTGCCGACGAGGTCAGCGGAAGGGAGAGGAGGGGCCTGCAGGCCAGGAGGGCAGCGGTGACATGAGGGATGATAGCCGGCAGGTGCTTGGTCGGCGTGGAAGCGATGCGGTAGGAGACAGACCGCAGCGCGGTCACGGCATAGGGATCCATCCGGCCAGGAGTCGAGAGTCGGGTAGGGAAGGTGGGGGGTGCAGATGAAGGGTGGATGAGGATTTCCAGAACAATTTGGCGCACGGGCAGCATTGGTGCAACGGCCTCGGCCTGCCCGGCGCGCGTCGGCCAAGTTGCTGCGAGCTGTCCGTCCGCTTCCCCAGACGCCGCTGGCCCTGATGCGCCTGTCCTTTACCGCTGTCGCCATGGCCTGCTGAACCTCGACCTCCTCAAGACACTCTCCCCAGGACCCGGCGAGGCTGCAGACTCGGCACCATGCCTGTGAGTATACGCCCGCGCCTGCCCACGCCGACGTCACCCTGCTGCCAAGCATATCCGTGTGCTAACTCTCCTGGCCGTTTTTGACAGGAAAACGAGAAAGCGCTGCGCTACATTGCCCAGCTGGACGACGCGCGATGCAATGCCCGCTGGGACACCGTCCCTGAGCTGGCGCGCAAAATTGAGAAACACGCCCCCCATCGCACCTGTACGATTCTTGATTCTCGCTCCTCCTGAACCCCTCCCTGATATTGACCCACGCCTCGACAGGCCTCTACCTGACGGCCAGAGCAGAGGCCGAGACGGCTGCCTACATCAGGCAGCGTCCCACGACTCCGGAAGCCCCGTCGCCGCCACAGGCCCCCGACCTGACCAAGCTCGTCTCGCCCTTGACCGAGGCCTATGACCGCGAAACCACCCATCGCGAGGATGCCTTTGCCGCGCAGGTCGCGCTGGCCTATATCCACTTTACCCTGGGCGAGCATGGAATGGCCGTTGCGAGGTTCCCCACCGACTTCTCCGAAACGGCAACCAACTTGAAGGGTGACGACGGGCAGCTGTCCAGCTGGACTCAGACTTGCATTGTTAAAGGCGCATACTTGAAAGGTAACCTGCGGCTCTGGTGCAAATGTTTGGCGTCCAACAAGCTCATCATTCCCAGGTTATTCGCAGGAAAAAGCGGGCTCGACGGCCGAAGCAACCAAAACCTATGAATCGGTCCTAACATATCTTACTTCTATACCCTCTCTTGTCAACACTTCTGTGCAGTTTAGATCTTGGGGAGAGACCCTGTTGGCTCGCTTATGTATATTCTCGGACCTTTCAGCGCCGACCGGCGCTGACGTCGATCCGGAAATCGCGCTACGAACATTCCAGCTTTGGCTACGGCTCCTTGACAACGGCAAGGCTCCTCAATTTAGCAATGAGCTTCAAGATGGCCAAGCCGGTATTCGCCGCACTGTTTGGAAAGCTCACTATAACACTCTCACTATCATTCTTCAACGCGGTCTTCTTTATGCCGGCTCACCAGATTTGCCCACCGCACTTTTGGGCGCAGGAGCGGAGCATGCTACGGAAGAGCAGTATCTGACGGCGAGGCTACAGCAAAGGTCAGAGCTTAAGATTGTAGAGTCTGTGTATGAAGCTTTACTCCTGAGAGAGACGCGCTTCCCAAAAGCCAGCGAAAACAATGAAGAGATGGACGGGTGGGCGGAGGCTGTAATGAGCAACTGGCGCATTCTTTGCGGCCCCAGCTGGACCGACGAAGAGCTTGGAGAGGGCGGGAAGAGCGCTGTCGGAAGGGGTGTCCTTGATGTAGGTAACCATAAAACCAAAACTGATGATCGTACAACTAATCCAAGCTCCCAGATCCTTTATCGTGCCGCCACTAAATCGTATCACTCCACTCGCATCCTCCGTCACCTCTTCGTCGTTCACGCCTCGTTAGCCGAGTTCGAGCTAGCTTTCAAAGCCTTCGACTCTTATGTCGAGATCGTCAGCCGAGTTAAAGATCGTGTCGAAAAGAGTGGTGAAGAAGATGCCGGCCTGGACGACGATGACATGGTCCTTCGCACTGCAGCAGAGGCAATTAGAATCCTTTGCCGATTCGGCTCGCACGAGGAATCCGAAAAGGCAAAGGAGGTTGGTGAGCTGATTGAAAAATGGTTGAAGCAGCAAACCCCCGCGTCAAGGCCTGGCACGGCAACGGCTGAGGGAGAGCATGAAAAGAAGACGGAGTCTGTTGTTTCGCCTCGTGCGCTTGCCATAGCCTACCGTGCTATTGGCATCAGTCGCTCACAGTGGGCTAGAATGACCTATGAGGCCACGGCAAGATCGACGTTGCAGGCACAAGCAGCCCAGGCTTTGCGTACGGCCCTGAGCCCAGAATACAAAGACTCTAACAACCTCGAAACTCTGTATGCCCTGGGTTTGCTCCTTGCTGAGATGAGGGATGTTAGCGGTGCGATCAAGGTCGTCAAGCGCGCACTGGCGTCGCACTCCCAACCGGATAACCTGAGGTCTGCTGGCGGCGTTGCCAGCGAGGGGGACACGGATGACGATGAAGCCAACTATGTCCGCGAGAGGAAACTCATCCCCCTGTGGCATCTTCTCGCATTGCTTCTCACGGCCAAATCCGATTTTTCCACGGCGGTCAGGACCTGCGAAGCGGCCTTTGACCAATTCGATGACCCTGAGATTCTTTTCGGTAAGTCACAACATGCCGAGTACCGGAGTGAGCACCTCAATGAGAGCTCTACTTCAATAGAGAAGCCGCGCGGAAGCACCAAAAAGGCTCTCGTCGACCGCATGGCACCTTTTGAGAAGGAAGGGATTCTGCAGGTCAAGATTACGGATCTGGTGTTGCTGGAAACGACCGACGGAACTACCGCCGCTGTTGATGCAAGTATGGAGTTGTTGAGCCTTTACAAAAGGCTCTTTGGTGATCCCACAGGTGGTCACAAAAAGATGCAGCTGCCATCCGCAACAGACGGTGTACCGCAGAGCCCAGCTGGAACAGTCAAGGGCACCGTCTTCCGCCGGCGCAAGAGCACCTTGACGCGGAGTATGTCGATGCCGCCTGGAACCGCATCTTCTCGTGCCTCGACGGCGGCTACAGAGGGACCCGGTGCTCCAGCTATCCATGTGACGGACACAAACAACAAACCAAATGGCCACCACCATTTATTCCATCACAAGCATGACAGCACACACAGAAGAAGCAGCCTTACGCTACGGAAGAAGAAAACGAACGACTCCAACGTCACCGATAAGCCTGGTTCTCCCGAAAAAGCGGCTACAGAGCCGGTTGTCGATGGTCACGGAAGTGACAAGAGCTCTAGTCCCGAACAACCGCTTCGCACCATTGCACACAACATTCCTCACGATTCACAGCCTCAACCAGCGGGCCACGAAAATCAGCCCCCTCGCCAGGACGTCCGCCTTCCAGCCCCTTTCCCTCGATTCCACTACTCGACACCCGAGCCCCGTTTCCCAGTGTTGCAAGAGCGGAAGCTTAAGATTTCTCTTCTTGTCGACGTGTGGCTTTTTATTGCCGGTCTCTACACTCGGGCATCGCTTTTTGAAGACGCAAGAGGCGCGGTCGAAGAGGCTTACAAGTTGACTGATATTCTGGAGTCTGAAGTTGCTCAAGAATCCTCGAGCGCCAGGGCCTTTTCCGAGAGGGGTTGGGGTGGTGGAAAGAGCGTTGAGGAACTTTGGGCTGATATATACGCTACAGTAAGTGTTACAAACATGATCTGAAGGATTGATTACTAACGCTTTGACAGCGCGGCCAAATATCACAAGCAGAGGGCCAACCACACGAGGCCCTCACTCACTTTGAGAAATCGCTGTCTCACAACCCCGATCACCCAGCGGCCATTGTCGGCCTGGCCAACATTCTGCTTGACATTTATTCTCAAGTGATCCCCGCAGAGCCACTCGGATCCCTCAAAGTGCCAAACACTCGGCCGTCTCCAAACAAAAGAGCATCCACCGCGACCACCTCCGCTTACAGCGCAGGGCACGCGAAGATGGTAGGACCGGAGGAACTAAACCGGCTTGCAGCAAGAGACCGAGCATACAGTCTTTTGTCTTCTCTCACCAAGCTCGGAACCGGGTGGGATTGCTCAGAGGCGTGGTACGCTTTAGCACGGGCATACGAAGAAGGCGGCCAGATCGACAGAGCGAAGGGGGTGCTGTGGTGGTGTGTGGAGCTTGAGGATACTAAAGCGTTGAGGAAGTGGAGCTCTGTTGGTGTCGGTGGCTTTGTGCTGTGAGGGGTCATTGGGGATCGAGATACCCATCGTAAGTTCAGTAAAATACGAGCGCCTCGAGTACTTGCAAACATCAAGCATATTAATAACAGCACTTGGTATTATCTTTGGTTAACTTACCTCGTCCAGCGCAGTATTTGTGCGGCTTCTTGTTCATTATGTCATTTGTATTTTGCTGTGTCCTTTATTTTGAGCCACTTTCCCAGATGTCAAGACTCTTTCCCCGCAACTTATGCTCCTCGTAATCCCTCTTGCTTCTCCTTACCATGCAACAGCGGAGATCGTTCTCGGAGATCTCCCCATACATGCATACATGAGGAAACTCTTGCGCAACTCAAAGTGAAGCACTTCAGTACTGACTGTTCACTTGCTCACTTGCAAGTCTTTTCAACTCCAACCCTTCAACCTTAAAAAGACTCCAAGACCTAACATCCTCTAAGTCATGGTGGGCTTAATGACGTCTGTCGTTCTCTCTCAGGAGTAGCTCACTCTCTGCATCACTGACAGAACTCTCGCGTTTTCGAGGCAAGGATCCTGCATCTGATCGAGACATCGACGTACCTCTCACCTTCTTTGTTCACCGCACGCCCGCCAACAAGGACCGACGAATCAACCTATTTCGACATGCTTTAATAGAACAAAGAAAGCCTTCTTCCCCAGCGCCGCCGCAAGATATCTAGAACAAAGAAACGCCATCATGCGAGCCGATAACAGCACAACTAATAACCACGCGTGCAGTGGTGGGTCCACGAATCCTCCAACAGACAACATGGTCGAGTTCGAGTTGCCCACAACACCACGCAAACGCGACAGGCGAACCTATGAAGACACGCCATCGACGCATGGCCTTGCGTCGCACATAACCGGTCATGAAGAATGCGGCTCGCTTTCCACGAGTCCAACAACCACGTTGACGTCTGGACCATCGCCCGAGACGCCCGGCAAAGGTGAAGTCCGACTGAAGGAGCCATTTTACCTATCCGACAGCCGAGACTACGAAGACACCCCCTCACGACCTGATCCTGCGTCGCGCGCAAAATGGCGCGATGGAGCGGTTTCGCTGCAGTCTGACCGTGGAGCCGTGCTTGGGGAACTGAAGATCAGGCCGGATACAGTGGAGGAGTGTATTGCGCTCTACAACACCCTCGCGGCGATATACTTCCCGCTCCCGGAGAGCCTCATCGAACAATTAACCAGAGACGAAGCCGAAGCCAAGTCGGTACAGAGTAGCAGCGTCAGGAGAAAGGAAGAAACGGTCGCAAACCGTGCGTCTGGCACGCAGCCCACACCCAACACCACAACCAAGCCCGCCACCGCCGCCCCGCCATCACCCACACCCGTACCCGTACCCTCCCGCCCCGCGGCAATCGACCCCTCCCTCCGCCACCGCCACCACACAGCCCTCAGCCCCGCGCACGCCTACGACGCCCTACACTTCCAGCACGCGACGCGCTGCGTCCTGCTGCCGTGCCTGCCGTGCGCGGCGCGCGGCACGCCCTGCTCGCGGCACTACCCGGCGTGCTACCAGTGCCTGCGGCGCGGCGCGGCAGAGCAATGCATCGCGGTGCGACAGGCCGAGCACGAGGACCTATCGGACATGGGCGGCGAGGAGGGCGCGGTGAAGCGGGTGCCGGACGGGGGCAGGATTGTCGTCATGAGGGACTGGGCGGACGATGCGGCGCAGGCGCAAGCGCAAGGGGCAAGGAGTAAGGGGCGTAAGGGGAAGGGGGCGGTGGCGGTGGCCCCGCCATCGCGCTGGCAGGAGAAGCTCGAGGCTGCGGAGGCGCTGGTGCAGGACATGCGCGCGCGCGCGGACAGGGCGAACTGGGCGCCGCGGAACCCGGTGGGTGCGGTGGTAGCGGCGGCGGTGACGAAGGTGGAGGTTACGAGGCGGAATCGGTGGAGCTGGTGGCTGCAACAACAGCAACAACAGCAGCAGCAGCAGCGCGAGAAGAAGTTGCCAGAGCCTTCCGTTGTCGTCGACGATGATGATGCCGATGTTGGCGAGGACTTAAGCCCGGTGCTGAAGACGCTGGACTTGGACGCGCTGGACTCGAAGCGGTTCAGTTCGGAGGAGGTGGCGCGGAAGTGGCGCGACTTGCAGCTCATGCACGGGTTTGGGCTCGCGTACACGGACTTGCGGCCGCAGTGGGGGGTGGAGGCGCCGGCGACGGGCATGGGCATGGCCGCGGTACCTTTGGAAGAGGTGTGGAGGGAGTCGGCGTGGTCGGAGGGGTCGGAGACGACGGAGGAGACGGAGTTGAGTGTAGTGCTGGTGAGGGGGGATGGAGAAGGAGACGGCAGGAGATCCAGTGTTTGAGTGGTGGTTGGGGGTGGTGGTGGTGGTTACGATGAGGACGATTTCGGTGACGACATGAGCGACGACAGACACGGTTTTATGCGGACTGGGCAGCACTTCTACTGCTGCAGCTGCTGCTGCTGCTGCACTTACTCTATTCCAGGACGGGCACGGAGTTGGGTAGACGGACAGATACAGACGGAGAGCGGGCGCGGTGGTTTCTGTCTTTTCTTTTTTTCCCTCTTTCACCACGCTTCGTTTCTCTTCCCGCTCGTTTCGTATGGCATCGGACTTCTGAGCGTTTTATCATGCACGCATACAAGCATACACATGCATCTGGGAGGCGCACTGAGGATACTTGACTAGCTGGTCAAGTAAATCTAAATTCAATCGTTCACTCTAGTAAGCAAAGTAGGTTTGGTATATAAACTAACACACACACACACACACACATCACCTCATTTGACAACCGGTAAAAAAGACATATGGGTATGTCGGTCTGTATACAATCAATCAACGCCCAGCGGTGCGCTCATCCCCGCCCACACACGCCATCCCATGATCCAACCAATCCAACCCATCCATCCGAGCCCCTATCCACTTAGGTAGGTAGCTTATGCGTACACCCATCCCATCCCAACCCAATTTAAACAGACCCATCCCATCCCACCGCAGCCATAAACGCCATTTGTCCCAACGCCCACGCCCACGCCCACGCTGACGATAACATCGTCGTTCTTAACTAAGGAAGGAAAGAAAGAAAGAAAGAAAGGAATGAAGAAGGACGAAGAAAGGAAAGAAGAGGGGAATACGTAGATAAAACAGACTAGTAAGCACAGCATTCGAAAAAGTCGAAGAAGGGGGTAGGAAGGAAAGAAGTAAAAAGTTATAGGTGAAGAAAGGAAGGAAGGGCGCTATGTCGTGTCATGCCATGCCGTCTGCGCTGGATGAGTGTGCAGTATCGCCAAAGGTCTAGTGCATGCGTACATGCTGATGCTGATGTCGAGGCGGATAAAAGTGTGGTGTGACGGTTCTCTCATGCGGGATGCATGTACTCCGTACCAGTATGTAGTGCGGTGTTGTGTGGTACAGCACCTAGCCGTAAGGCTACAGGTACTTGGTGTACCTACAAGGGGTAGAAGATGAGAGTAAGTGGGCGCCTAAGAGCTCTCTACGTACTCAGAGTACTAGATGAACTCGAGGCGCACACGCACACACGTACACGCACGCAGTGTGGTGTGAACATGCGTTTCCTCAAACCTTTCTACGCCTCCGCGGCGTATTGCCTACACCTACTCGTCGTCGTCCGCATTCAACCTCGTGAACCGGCCACGCCCAGCACCACCATCTCCGCCTCCCTCGCCTCCTCTCTCATCAACATTCTCCTCACCTACACGTCTTGTCAACCACGCCGCCAACAAAGTGCAGCACCCGCCAAACCGCAGCACCCATGCGACGCTCTCGTCGCCCGGAGTTCCGCGCGGCTTCTGCAGCGCGCGGAAAATCGCCGAGCTCACGATTGTGGCAATGACCTGGGGCGCCGCAATCGCAACGTTATGAATGCCCAAGACAACACCCGCGCGGTCCGCCGAGTCGTCCTCGCCCGAAGCCAGCAGAGCACCATCGCGCGTCGGCGGCGGCCGCGCGAGTCCCCGCCTGATGGCGTCGCGCTTGGAAATCTCGGCACTGATGAGCGCAAAAGGCGCCCAGTTCGTGATGGCCCAGGGGAGACCGACCAGCGCTACCAGAATGGTTGCAAACGTCGTGTTCCGCACCAGAATCGTCATCCACATGAGGACGGTGAAGACAATGTGCGAGAGTAGCCAGGCCCGGCGGAGTGTGAGTGATTGGATCTGCAGGTGATTAGTTAGTTCGAGCCACCGTTGCCAGCGCGACTTGGCTTGGTGCTTCTGCGGCTTGTAGTTGAAGTATCCGCTCGCAGACATGGAACCGGGTGTCGTGGGCGTCATGGGCGTTGTCGGATTCGGCAAGGGTGCCTTGTATGTTGGCGCAACAATAAAAGGCAAAATGATGCTCGCGGCAAAGTAGGTTATAGCGAAGATGAAGAGCGCCAGCGTGCCCATGCGGGTGCCCTTTTCCCAGATCTTGTCGACCTCCTCCGGTGACATGTGTGGGTTAGCTTCAAAGTACGGCTCCGTGTAGATCTCTCCAATGTAGGTGGTCGCGTAGAAGAGGAAGGGGAACCATCCAATCCAGGCCGCCAACTGGACCTGACAAACGCGCACAATCTGCGGCGGCAGGCGACGGACTGAGTGGTAGAGATTGGTGAAGAAAGAAATCACGCCGCCCTGGCTCGCAGGTTCGGGCTCGTGTCGCGGGTCCCTCTCCGAGATGGCCGAACAGCTGATGGCGACGGTGATGGCGAGGGCGAGACATGCGATTGCGCACAGGACTTTCATCTGCGTATTTCCAAAGAATGGGAACAGCTTGGGCAGGTTGACGTAACCTGACAGATAACCAAGGATGTTGCCGGTGCCCGTCGTGCGCATAATCCAGGCATTGGCAGATTCCTGCTGATGCGTCGGAGCATTGTCGACGACGAATGCGCGAATGGCAGCTTGGACTGTGGACAGTCAGTGGGTGGTGCTTGGGGGGCAGAGGGGTAGGGGGGCAACGGAAGGCGTGCTACATACTGACGTTGATGGCAAAGTCCAAGACGTAGATCATGAAGACGGCAAAGGCCATGGTGCTGACCCGAGTGCCTTGTGAGTCTCTAGCAACGCCAAAGATTGCCAAGAAATTTCCAACTATTTCTCGGGTCCATGCCAGGAGGAAGAGTGATGCAATGGTCGCGATGGCACCGCCCACAATGAACGGCCTTCTCTTTCCCCATTTGGACCTGCAGTGGTCACTCTTCAGGCCGACATATGGTTGGACTAGCGTCCCCGATAGAGGCCCTGCAATCCAGACGAGGGCCAGTAGTGACTTGCTGAGCCCGAGAGATAATAAATACGGCTAGACGCAGCTATATCAGTACACCGGGCGAGGCGAGTTACACGGCAGCTGGGGCACTCACTGAGCCATACGAAAGCTCTACGGACCACGCTATCTGCAAGCTGCGCCATGGTCAGCCTCGCATTCACGGCCAATACCTCGTCCGTTCTTGTGAGGCCACTCACCCTCCACCTGCCAGCGTCAACAGCAGCAGATACCAGCTGCTCTTGGTCTCCTCATCGGTTTCGCCGTTCCAACTGTCATCGCTAGCGAGCGGAGATACGACGGACTTGAGGCCGTTCTCGTCATCTTCGGACTGGCGTGGCCGCAGAAGGGGCGAGTGCTCGTTCATCTGATCGTTGGACTGGCTGGGGCGTGACAGAGTGATGGAATCTTGACGGAAGGACACGACCTTGGGGTGGGCGAGAGGGGGCGCATTTGAGTCGGGACTCGGGGAGCGAGAGTCGGCCATGGGGAAGACAATGGACGGGGGTCTCGTGTGCGGGATCGCGTGGCTCGAGTGGGCGCAGTGACGAGTGGACGGGCCGGGGTGGGCGGTAGGGCGTTGTTATGGATGGATTGGTTAGGTAGGCGACGGCGCAGATGTAGTCAGAATGGGAGGAGAAGGGCGAAAGCATGGCAAAGGTCACGGGCGGGACTGACGACGTCACACGCCCGGCCATTCCGAACTCAGCAGGTTCAAGCAGGTCGCCGGCGGCCATCAGCTGGCGTCAGCTGGTGTAGCCCCAGTCACGCAGGGAAAAAGCAGAAAGGCAGGACAGTGGCAGAGAAAGTAGGGCGCGTTGGCGCGTTGGCAAGCCGCGATTCGTCGTGCCTGATCGACAAGGTGGGCGCGCGCGGGCTGCGTCACTGCATGAGCCGGGACGTGGGGAAGCAGGACCGTGGACCCAGAGCCGCGGCCAGACAGGGGGGCAGCCAGTCGGTTGGGGACGGAGAGGTTGGGGGAGGGGAGGGGGGAGAGATAAGTAGCCGCAGCACGAAGATAGAGGATGGTGTGGCCGCAGCAGGGCTGGAAGGTTGCAGCATCATGGGGGCGCGATATACTTTGTTACATGAAGAAGTGACCACTTGGACCAATATCCGCTGTCCCCTTTACGGACTAGCCTACCCGCGCGCGGTCGGGTAATGCCAGCCGTGCCAGCTTTCTGAGACGCAGCTTCCTTACGTTACGCGGCCAACTGCTATCCTACCCTACTCCTACTCCTTCCTTCCTTTCTCGTGTGTCCACCTATACCAGTCCGTTGCGCCTGCTTTCTTCGCCTTCGCCTTCCGCTTCCGCTTGCGCGCGCCTACCTCCTGCGATCCCTCCTCTCTCGACCGCCCGGGCATGTTCATCTGCTAGTCGCTCCGCCCGCGCTCCACCATGGCCTCCATCGTCGGCTGGGCCGTGTCCGAGCTCGCCAGTGCGTCGCGCCTTGCATATACGACTTTCCCCAGCTAACCTTCTGTCTCTTCCTCCAGAGCGAGAAGCGTCCGACGCGGATCCTGACGGTCAGTCCTGTTTCTCCCCCACTCAGCGCTGCGCCCCTCCTAACGCCCCGCCGCAGAACCCGAAGCTGGCCAGAAAGAAATCTACGCCTCTTGGTCAATCTTTATTCTCATCGTTCTGTTGATCGTCGCCCTCATCACCAGCTATGTGCTGCAAACGCGCAAGATACAGGCCGTCCATGAAACCGTCATCTCCATTTTCGCAGGTAAGGAGGGTGGTCTGAGCTACCTCCAACCGGCTGCTGTCCGCTCACACGATACGTAGGTATGGTCGTCGGCCTGGTCCTGCGGTTGACGGCCAACGAGGCCGTCCTTGGCGTCGTCAGCTTCAACTACCAGTTTTTCTTCAACCTTCTCCTGCCGCCCATCATCCTGGCGTCGGGCTACGAGCTACACCAGGTTTGCCTCTCGGAGCGCGCCCCGCCTTGCCTCTACATCGGCTGACTTGAAGTCCTAGGCAAACTTTTTCCGCAACATCGGGACAATCCTGACTTTTGCCTTCGCTGGAACATTCATATCCGCAATGGTGCTCGCTGGTGTTCTCTGGGTATGGACGCGACTCCAGCTGGACGGCGTGTCCCTGACTTTCGTCGAAGCCCTCTCCACCGGCGCAACTCTCTCCGCCACCGATCCCGTCACCATTCTCGCCATCTTCAACACGTACAAGGTCGATCCTAAGCTCTATACTGTTATTTTCGGTGAATCGATCCTGAACGACGCAATCGCAATTGTCTTGTTCGAGACGGCGCAAAGGTACAAGGATACGGACAACGGAAACTTGACCATTCTGACACTATTTGAGTCAATTGGGATATTCTTGCTGGTCTTCTTTGGTAGTTTGGTCATCGGTCTTGTCATCGGCGTTATGACCTCCTTGCTGCTCAAGTTCACCTATGTCCGCCGCTTCTCCAAGATCGAGAGCTGCCTGGTCATTCTAATTGCCTACGCAAGCTACTTCTTCTCCAACGCAATCCACATGTCTGGTAAGGAATCCTCTGCGCCCCGCGCATCCGCCGCGTTAACGTATCTTAGGCATCGTGTCCCTGCTTTTCTGCGGAATCTGCTTGAAGCACTACGCTTACCACAACATGTCGCGCCGCACTCAATTGACGACGAAATTCGTGTTCCAAGTCATGGCGCAGCTGTCGGAAAACTTCATCTTCATTTACCTTGGTCTCTCTCTCTTCACCGAGACGGAACTCGACTACAAGCCGCTCTTTATCCTGATGACCGTCATTGGCATCTGCATTGCGCGCTACTGCGCCGTGTTCCCTCTCGCAAGAGCTGTGAACTTCATCATTCGCTACCGGGCTCGCAGACATGGCCGTGAAGTCGCCGAGGAAATACCTTGGTCGCATCAGGCAATGCTGTATTGGGCAGGTCTTCGCGGAGCTGTCGGCGTCGCACTTGCGGCTGGTCTTACTGGGACGAATGGGTACACGCTGCGGGCGACGGTCTTGGTTGTGGTGGTCTTGACGGTCATTATCTTCGGAGGCACTACAGCACGCATGCTCGAAATCCTCCAAATCCGCACTGGCGTGGTTGAGGAAATCGATTCGGACGACGAATTCGACATTGAGGTTGTCCCTGGCGGACGAGACGGCATAACGTACACCTCCAAGGCAGGTCGGGGCCTTGGTCACACACCGCGCCCCAGCGCCAACGGCTTCACGCTGACGCCCCTCGATGCCAACGGCAGCGGCAAAGGCGTCGGCTTCAGCAGCGGTACCATCAATGGCGGCTCCGGCACGCCTCCGACCCGGCCAAACGTCGCGAGCCGACGCAGTTCATCAAGGCACCAAAATTCCACGCGTAACCAGGACTACGCTGAGCAAGGGTTGCTCGAGCGCGAAGACAGTGGCGACAACGATGACCTCGATGACGCAGGCGCCGACCTCGACTTGCCCCCAGCGGTGCGTCGCCTTAGCCCGCCCACCCGCGACATGCCGTACCCGACGTCCGGGGCGGCCGAGCCGCACGTGGAAACGCTTACACGTATGGGACGAATGGCGGGCGCGACGGCGGCGGCGCGTCAGCTCCTGACGGGACTGAGCGAGGACCCGGCGGGTGCGTTTAGGCAAATAGATGAGGGCTTCATCAAGCCGCATTTGCTGCTTGATCCGGGGAGGAGTGGGGGCCATCACGGAGGCGGGCAAGGTCCATCCTAGATAATAGAGAGCGCGGGCCGCTCGTCGCGCACGCGTGTGTTTAAATGTATTTTTTCCCTGCAGACTTCTTTCAATAAGTGATGCGAAGTGGTAGAAACCAAAATAAAAAAAAGATTTCGCAAAAAGATTTCACATCGCCAGTGGAATGTTGTGCCAACTGGCCGAATCGAACGACCGATCTTCGCATAGCTTGTAAATACAAGTGCGACGCGTTACCACTGCGCCAAGCTGGCTGCTTGACCTCAGGCGAGATGTGCCGTTCTTTCACAACAAGCTAACCTATAAAGCGTAAAATGAAATTAAGCTAGACTAAAACCTTATAGTTCTAAAACTTAACCTTAGGTTCTTAAGTCAACCTTATTTTTAAGTTTGTTGGTTCGTAGCGGTAGAGGAAAGTTAAAAGTAATTCTTTATATTTTGTTTCTTGAATAGTTAACATTGGCCGCAAACTTTCTCCTCAACTTACTAGGTAGGAGATACATAGTCAAAGGTTGTAGGTTGATTCTACTGGATGGGTTATATGTATTACCCGTTTTGGAGATGTGAGTGGAAATGGGTAGGTATGTATGTGAACGTGAGTATGCATGTACCCGACCCATCACCTGTCTGCACCCGATGCATGCGGAACAATAGTACGAGTATGATCTATATACACACGAATATTCTACTACTAGTTACGTTACCATCAGGCTGTGGAAAGCCACTCAGTTACTTTACTTTGCCCACCGTTGCACATATTTCTATAAGCCCCCCAGCAAATCCCCGTTTTTTGTTCTCCCTCGAGTTTTCTTCTCCAACCCCCTACATCCTCATCCCCTCGGCCACAACCTTGTACTCCTTCCTCTTCTTCACCAGCCCCGGCCGCACCCACCTCCTCACCGTCACCACGGCCCTCGCCAGCGCCGGGAATGCCATCCTCTCGCCGACCCACCCGGCCGCAAACCCGGCGACCGCGAGCCCAAGCAGCGTGATCTTGAACCCGGTGCCCATCTCCGTCAGCTCCATGACGCGGGCGATCCACTCGGCTGGATCCAGCGTCATGTACGCGGCCGCGGCCAGGGCCGCCGCCAACGTCGCCACAAACGGCAGGTTGTGGCGGGGCGGCTGGCGGAAGGGCGGGCCCGCGCTGACCACGGCCGCCGCCAGCGTGTACTGGAAGCAGGACAGCAGGAACAGGGCCGTGTTGGCAGAGTTGCGCGCGTTCGAGTGCTCCTTGTCCAGCACAGGCGGCTGGAACCACGGCTGCCGCCGCACCAGCCCGTACGCCGCCCCCTGCAGCGCCACGCAGATGGCGATCTGGCCCAGCAACGGCGTCAGCACCTTGCGCGACACCAGGCTGGCCGTGGGCCGCTTGCGCGCCAGCACCGGGTACGCCCCCGTGCGCCCCATGAAGATGGCGATCGGCAGGATCAGGGCCAGGTCGATGAACAGGAACTGGAAGTCGCCCAGGTTGCTCGCCGACGCGTACAGGAAGCTGACCGACGTAAACTGGATCGCAGAGTACAGCGACATGTACTTGAAGCAGCTGAAGCTCGTCACCAACGCCGCCCGCCCCTCACGCATCACTTCCGGCACGCACGAGATGTCGAAGACGCGGCTGGTGAAGGGCGCCGCCACCGAGGCTTCGGCCTCGGACAGCGAGATGCCCACGTCGGCTGCCTTCAGCGCGCCACAGTCATTTGCGCCGTCGCCGCAGAACCCGCAGCAGTAGTCGATGCTTTGCAGCTTCTCTACCAGCTCGTGCTTCTCGTCCGGCGACATGCGCGCAAAGACCTGTCCGCACACCAGCATCTCCTTGAGCACCTTCTCCGACGCGAAGTCGATGATCCACCGGAACACGTCGCCACTCACCGCCACCGAGTAGTTGCGGATGTTGGAGATGTCGTACGGCAGCGACGCGTCATGTTCGGCCGGTGGTGGCAATGGCCGCAGAGTGTTCTCGTCCAGCGTGTAGATGGGGTTGTCGATGCTCTCCCACGCCAGCTTCGCCAGTGGCGTACGCGCGTCGCCCTCGACGAAGCGTGGTACGAAGCAGTGCGCGGTCTTGTCAATAAGGTTGCACTCCCGCGCCACACTGATAGCCGTGAGGATGTTGTCACCCGTGCACATGACTTTGCGGATTCCAGCGTCTCCAAGCTCGTTGATGACTCCAGTCGTCGTCGGCTTCAGCTTGTTCTCGAATATGATGAAACCAAGGAAATCGAGCTTCGATTCAGCTTCCTCGCGCTTCATCTTTTGGACCTTGAGCCAGTTCAGCTTCGGTAAGCTCTTGGTGGCGCACGCGATGACACGGAAGCCGCGGTGGGTGTAGTAGCTGAGCAAATCCTCGTAATCCGTAGGAACTATAATCAATTAGCAGTGTCTTGGTGTATAGCGGTTTGCGACACTTACAGCTTTCCGGACGGCAAATATCCTTCATGCACTCAGGAGCGCCCTTAACATAGATCTGCCCATCACGAGCACCGAATTGGCGGACGATGACACTGGCTCTGCGTAGCGAAGAGACGAACTCGAAAGACTTAAGGATGCCAAGCTCGATCGCCTTCTTGTTGGCCGTGTCCTCGTCGTCAATGTCAAACTCCTGGCCAGGAGGAGGCCTCGCCACAGATGGAGATATAGTGTTGTCCTCATCGTCCTCGGTGGGGTTCTTGCTCTGCTCGCCCTCCTCGAAGTTCCATCCTGTGAATTCAAACATCTTGACGTCCAGAGGATCTCCGATGAGCTCGCCGTCTACCTTCCTCAATGAGTGACAGGTAGCCATAGTGTATAGCAGTGACCTGTTGTACTTGTAGTTGATCGTAGGATCACGCTCGTATGGAGATCCAGGAAGCACGCTTTCCGTCTCAGTGAGGATGTCACTGAATCTGTTCGCAGGCTGTTGAGCCACTCTCAGTCCCAGCACATCAAGACCTTCCTCGGTCAATGTCCCGGTCTTGTCAAAGCAGATGACATCAAGTTTTCCACCCACGTTGACACGCTGAGGACTGATACAGTAGATTTGTTTCTTCTTCAGCCGGTTCAACGCAAAGTTGGTGCCGATGGTCAATGTCGCAGGTAGAGCCGGAGGTACAACAATGGTGATCAGGTCAAGTGCGCGTACCACAATCAGGTGCCAGGCCAGTCCCAGGCGCACAAAGTTGATAAAGGAAGCAATGAAGCCGAGGCCGGCAATCATTCCCATGACGGAGATATAGCGGAAGGAATCCCGATAGAACTTGAATCCGGAAGGTTTGGGGAACAGCATAGACCTGACAAGCGCTCCCTTGGTTGTGTTGAACCCTGTGCGCACAACGAGAGCGAGCGCGGCTGCTTCGTCATCCTTGTCGTCCTGGGGCCTCCTGGCTCTGATTATCTTCGTACCACAGAACAAAAAGTGTCTCGCAACCTCCGGGTGTACAGAGGCGGTGCTGAGATTCAGCAGCTCCAGAGCCTCGTCTACCGTCGGAACCTTAGTGACAGGGACAGACTCGCCTGTAAGCATACTCTCATTGACTATACAGTCGCCAGAGAGCAAGAGACTGTCGCAAGGCAAGTGCGTCAGACTCGGATCCGTAACTTCGTATACGTCTCCAGGAACCAGCTCGCCCGACTCGACGTAGCGCCAGAAACCGTTTCGCAGGACTCGCACATCGCATTCGAACCTCGACACCTCGCGCAGCCGACGCATGGTGGCTTTGGTCTCGATCAGGGTCGTAACAATACTGACCACTGAGATGATGAAGATGCAGGCCGCGTAGTAGTAGTATTGATCGAGGGACCAGAGAAGCAAACTGGCAATTTGGAAGACGTAGAACGGGTGGAAGACCTCGTCAACCAACAGCTGGCTGTTGCTTTTCTCCTCAATATCAATGAGGTTCTTTCCAAATACCTGTTCGCGATAGCCCCTTTCCTCATTCTCAAGGCCCTCGCGGACAGTCTGAACATCCGTCCACGCTGGGTCTTTCCAAACATTACCGAGGACAAACTTGTCGCGGATTGGGTGGTAGCAAAACCGGATGTAGCGGTAGTCCAGTATCCGAAGTTCGTCGACGTCGGGATCATCCTCTTCATCATAGTCTCGGAGCCCTCCCTTTTCCGTCCGGCCAAATACTGTCGACAAGGGACGACCGTACTCTTGCTTCCCGATGTTCTGTACAACTATCTCTCCCCATTGGTTCTCCACCACAACCCAATCACACTCGAGCAGGGGCGTGGACTTCCCGACGACCTTGATCCGCCAGGTCGGTAGCCACCGGAAAACAAGGAATCCCAGTCCGCCAGTCAAAACGCAAAGGAGGAGGTAAACGACATACCCCACCAGGGACGTTTTGAATCCGGCAACTACAATTGTGAGATCTTCCGCAGCGATGTAGATCTTTTGATTGAGCCTTCCACCCTTCAGGCGCCCTGAGGCTTGAGTGCTGGAGCTTGAATGGCGACGCAACAACGGCGCACTTGCAGACCGGGTTGAGTAGATAGAGGATTTCCGCCGGGTTCCCGATGGACGGCGTCCCTCCTCAAGATCCTCATCTTCTTCCCTATAGCCGTTGGCACCGTCCAACGGATGTTCGTCCTCATCGGCGATTGCCTCCTCTTCAACAGTATCGATCGACTCCCTATCATCCTCGTAGAATGCAAAGCTTGCGGTACTGGCGATGGAATCGGCGCGAGCACGACGGTGAGCAAAACCAGTGACACTGGTGGGAACGCTCTCGGACATAGGACCAGAGAATATCTACCGCATTGTCAGTATATGTGCGACCTATAGGTACCGATAAGGCAAAAATCGTGGTGCAACATCAGCCCAGAAAGAGACTGCGCTTCAGCGCGACAGGGTGGCAGGCTTCATCCGTACCTCATCTTGGGCCATTTGAACGTCTGTCAGAAGGCTGACACTAGATAATAGTTAGCATAGAGCCTCCAAAGCCCACCGTTCCAACTTTACTCACTCGCTCATGTTGGACTCGCGCCGATACATAGCACCGCTCCGTCTCCCAGGAACCACAGAGCTGCTGCGGCGGCCGTCGACAGCATGTCCATTTGATGCGTCCATGGCGGCTCTAGTCAGTGCATGTCGATGCAAAAGGAAAAAAAAGTAAAGAAAGGGTCAGGTGCAGAAACGCGGGTTGAAACGGCTCGATCAGTGGTGATCCGGTCAAAAGTCCAACTACATCATTGGCCCGCACGTCCAGGCACGGTCCCGTGCAGCGGTCATCCCCGCCTTAGCCGCGGCACACACTGCCAGACAGAGAAAGAATGCCACTATATTGACTTTGCAGATGACACGTCTGGATATTTCATGGCACAGGCTCCACGCAGACTCTTTCTAAGAACGACAACCATATACGCACAAATACGGTTCACGGGTGGCAGCATTTCAAATCGGCACGACAGTTGATTGGGAACTCTTTGTTCTACAGCTTCCTACGGACCTCTGACGGGGCGATCCAGGGGTATGACGGCGTACAGAGATGCCATGGACCCGCCTCAAAGTCGTCGTGGAACATCGTTGCTGGAAGCCTGACATATCCGCCTCTGCAAGCCTCCGGATAGTCTCGAGTGCCTTGGCCTGGTCTAAGGGTGCTCTTTTCTGAAGTTCAGATCGCCACTCTATAGCCTGTCGGTGGGTCACTGGATGAATTCGAAAAGGTCGTAAATTGGAAATCGGGCGATTGCTCTGATATTGTTTGATTCCAAAAACATGAACACCTTTTTGATGCCTAAGAAAGAGCACCCGACCATCGTGACATCCCGTCCATCCTTAACCCATTTAAACGTTCTCGAGAACGGTCTCCTTGAACTCACGCTCAACCTGGATAAATGGTTAGTGGAATCCTTGATTGTCTGCAGTATTAATGCGGGATCTAAAAACGAACCTTCTGGCCAGACTCATCCGTGGAGGACTCGCCGTGAAGGGTGAGGAGGGCACCCAGGTCGAACTTGGGCTGCTTGAGGATCTTGACCTTCCTGACGTGGACCTGTTGCTTATGTGTGAGCCTTCGTTCCAAATATTATCGGCTCCTTCTCCCCCAAAAAATATCCTGGTGTTACGTACATTCTGGAGGGGGTAGATGCCCTGGGCGGACTTCTCGATCTCACGACCAATGACCTCGGGGATCAGCTTGGTGGTGAGCTGGGAGAGGGTGACGCTGGAAGCCTCGCGGGCCATGATCTCGGTCATCTTCTTGCGGATGGCGCGAATCTGCGAAGAGGCGGCGTAGGTGGTCTTGCGGATCTGGTTGGGGCGGCGCTTGGTGAAGGCAATGCAGAACAGGCGGATGAGGTAGTCGTCGGTGGTCTTGACGACGACGTTGGCCTCAATCAGCGACTGCCACTTGCGGACCAGGGAGCGGAGCTTGTCGGAGGTGAAGTCCAGGCCGTGGAAGTTGGTCAGGCAGTTCTTGCCCTGGACCTCGTCGACCCGCAGCTTGACCTTGCGGAACGAGTGGTCCTCATCCTTCTGGAGGTCGGCGAGGGAGACCTCGAATATCCGGCCCTTGAGGGCGTCGTTCGCGTTCTTCAGACCGGTGGTCCTGTTGACCAGAGTCTTGCCGACACTGCGGAATCTGTGTCAGCCTGTGTGCAGCGCCGCCGAAGTCCCAATGTCGCATACTCTCTGATGGCGAACGTGGAGGGCGCCTTAACGGAGTACCAGTCCTTCTTGGCGAAGGGGTCGGTTCTCTTCTTGAGGCCCTTCTTGCCCTTTGACAAACGCTTGTTCTTGCCGACAGCCATGATTGCGCCTTGTGGTGGATGTCGGAGGGCGTTGAATTGTCGTGGTCGTCGTCGTCAGTCCGATGTTCGCGAACCTTGGAGTGGGAAAATCTGAGTGCGCTTCGGCTTGAGCTAACGTTTTTCCGGCCGCCGATTGGCAGGCTCACGTAAGTGCCATCACGTGCGCCAAGCGCAAGCACCCGTCCTGCACGCCCTGACGCTCCGCCCTTCCTTGCGCGCTCGACAGCTTCCTGCACTTTCACATCGCATAGGTGCGCCATCTCGGATTTGTGCATTCTGCATTTGCGCCTGGCGCCGTCGGTCGTGCAGCGCCGCGTCTCCGACGAGGCGGCACCTCGGAGGAATCCCGCTGTCTTCCTTTCGCAGCAAACACGATCCACACCCAAACCCGATCACGCTTTCTCTCTTATAAAGCATTCGCGCGCATTGGACGGCATTTTAAACGTATTTGTGCATGCAATTACAAGTCCTAGATACTGGGGCATGTACACCTCAAGATTACTGAAAATTAGGGTACCTCAAAAATCCCGTGAGGATTTACCCCTCCCGTCCCGCCGAAAAACCTCTCTGGCCCATCCAACCTACAACTCCGAAGGGTATACAGCGATTGAACGCTGAAACGCCGAACGTTGACCGAACCCTCTTGTGACTCCATAACGCCTGTCCTGATGATGGGGTTTCCAAATGACGGGAAATGATCAATGCCCTTGGGGGGTTACCGCTACGACTTCCACGTAGTCTTATCCACTCGCTGTCCGCGCAGGTGCGAACAAAGGCACAAGGCGCGGACGTTGCTTCTGGAGCCGGGGAGTGGATCTGGGGACTACCCTTTCCAGGGTTCGTGGGTCTGGGTGATGGGGGGTGCTGATGGTGCTGATGACGATGAAAACGATGGACGACAAAGCGCTGTCGCTGGTCGATGGTCGAAAATCAATCCTTGCTCTGCGCCTCTTCAAGTCCGGTCCTCTTGGTACTCGGAGTGGCTGTCGCTGCGCTCGCTGCTGGCGGTGGACTGGCAGTACTTTTCAAAGTCGGGGAAGCTGATGTAACCGCCTGATAGCTTATCAGTAAAGGTGGGAGCAAGGTCCAGGTTGGCGGGGCAAAACATACCCTCTTTGCGCTCGGAGAACCAGTAGTCGGATGAGTCGGCGTGCATGCTTTGCCTGTCCTCTGCTGAGGTGGGCGTCGTCAGGACCCATTCCTGCAACCAGCGACCCGGAGACCACGTACCAGGAGACTGTGGCGGGCTCGATTGGGAGTTCCTGGCGCGCGTGGAAGAGTGCGAAGCCATTCGCGTGAGGATGGTCGTGGCCTTGACGGGCGGAGTGCCGGCGTCATGGCGGGAGGCGCACGAGTTGTGCGTGGTCAATGAAGGTGGCGAGACGCTCGAGGGCGTGAGCGGAGGACGGCGGCCGACGGGCTTGGCGGTGGGCGGCGTTTGGTTGGCGGGCAGCTGGATGTAAAAGTTGTTTGCCATTGTTGGGGAAGCGAGAGATAGGGTTTGCTGATCGCTTGCGGAGAGAGAGGCAGATGGACTGCAGTTATGATGGAAGGCGTGGTGGCTTTCAGGCACTGATCGGCTGTCGAAGAGATGGAGAGATTCAGCCTTGATATGCACGCACCCAGGAGAACCGGTTTTGGCGGGGCCAATAATGACGGCAGGACGCGATGCCGCAAGAGGGACGTGGAGTGCGCTGTCAAGCGTTTATACGCGGACGCATAAGCAGCTGTGCGGTGAGCTGTGAGAGTACACAGACGGGGTGGGGAAAGAGGACAGCGTTCCAGACCAAGGCGTATAGCCAGCACATGTCATGGCAAGAGCTGAAAGAGCAAGCACGACTGGCTGGGCAGCAGCACCACGACGGGCGGCGGCGGTCGCGGACGGACGTGACTAGTCCGCCTTCCCGCCCTTCCACCCGCCGGTCGGTCTCTGTCGGTCTGCCAAAGTATGGGGCAAACTGGCATCGGCCACGTAAGGATCCCGGTCGTCGGCCTGACTCGCCATGGCGCTGCGTCGCTGTGATTGCTTGGCCGGTTGCGTGTTTCGTCAGACGACCTGGCCGTCGGCGACGCCACCCTGCAGCGCTGCCCCTCACCGGCTTTTGCTTGGGTACGTGTGGGTGCGCGCGTGGGTGTGCAAAACTGCTTGTTCGGCCCGGGCCATCCTGATTACACTACTACGGAAACCTCCCGACGCTGCCGAAACGTGCTTCGTCTGTCAACTGATCATCGCGAAACATTCTAGCCTCCGGCAGAAGCCTTCCATCTTCCATGCCCCCCCGGCTAAACAAATCACACCTCACCCGGCCCATTCTTTCCCCGCATATCTGATACCGATCCGTCCGCTTCATCAGTGCTGCGGCGTGCGTGTCAGCGCCAGTGCCACTGCAAGTGGCAGTGCCACGGATGATGGGTGATACCTACGTCGACGTCGTCCCAAGCACGGCCCTGTACGCTCGACAACTCCTCCATCGTCATCACCTTGCCTGTCGTGACTGCCAATGCTATGTCAGTCGTTGCACTGCCGCCTGTGGCTGTCTGCCGGGGAGAGATCGCCTACAGTAGCCGGCATGGATCTTTGCGTCAATCTCCACCCTGCTATCCTCCGGAATCATCTCGTCAGGTATGGGGACCCGTTCATGGATCGGGATGCCCTGCTCCACTATCGCATCATGTTTCATGCTGTCCCAGTTAGCAGGACAGCCACGACGGCCATGCAGCCCAGTGGGTCGCCGGTGAGCTTACTTTGACATGCTCAGCATACGATCAATCTTGGTGATTCCCAGCCAGTGGAGGATCTGTCGCCTGGGTCAGCCCTTCATTGGCCCACCGCGCTCCAACCCGGTGCTAACTCACGTCTGGCATGAGGGCCTGGAACCGCATGTCCTGCACGTCGCAGCAACGTCAGCTCGGGATCGGCAATGCATGTGTTCGCGTCCAAACCTTGACTCCCGCAATGTTCTCTGTCCTCTTGAAGTATTCGCTCGCTCCTGTTCACCACATCAGCCTTCAGAAATTCCCTCAGTCGTTCAGCGTGGCCTCCTCACTGTCCGTGCCACGCTTTCCTGGTTGTCAAGTCAGCGTCCGGACGCGTTGTCGTCGTCGTCGTCGCAGTCACAAGACTCACTTGCGTTGTACACCAGATACTTCGTCACCTCTCCTAGCGCACGCCCTTCTTTACGGAAGTAGATCACGACGCCACTGCCGCCATTTTGCGCCTCTTTTACGGCCTCCTCGATCCCGAAGATGAGGTAGGGCCGGCACGTGCAGATGTCGGAACCGAAAACGTCACTGCCGTTGCACTCATCATGCACGCGCAAGGCGAGACGAACGTTCGGATCGGACATCTTGGCGGGGTCACCAAAGCAGTAGACTGTCAACCCCCCAATGGGAGGAAGGAATAGCTTGATGTCGCCTCGTGTGATTAGCTCGGGATAAGATCCGCCTGTTTCTTCGAACAGTGTCCTGCGTAACATGCCCTCATCTGGAATATGCTGTCAGCCTTACTGTTGATGCATTTCGGGGGGTAGCACGCTTACCGATCCCAAACCTCTCTGCCACGCCAGGAAGGTACCAGACAGGCTCCACGGCGAACTTTGTCACAGCAAGCTCTCCGTGATCGTTGATACAGATCTTACCATCTGGCACTAGCCTGCCCTTGCGCACGCTTTCTTCAAGCTCCGGTATCTTCATGTGGGCTTTGGTCACGGCAATCGTCGGCCTGATCTCTACGTTCTCTTTGTCAATAGAATCTTTGAACAGCCAAGGTGCAAGATGGCCAAGGGGATCCATAGACACAATCTTCTTTGGGTCGCTCCATTGAGGGAATGGACCAATGTCAGCAGCTGGCTCAGTGTTGGTAAAGTCCGGCTTGTGGTTGACGTCGAGGTTCTTGCTTGCTACGGCCAGAGCATTGTATATCGAGTATGAGCCACCGTGAGCACCAATAGCTGTAGAAGTGCCGTTAGCACGCGTACAACGCAAGCGATTAATTAATTGTACCATTCCGCTTCCTGACGGTGTTGAGATGACGCGAGACAACAACAGGGCCTCTGACCTGGGGGTCCTTGTGTCCCCAATGCATGGGCAAGGGATCCACGCCGGCTTGGCCGGGGTAAGATGTCAGAATAATTTTCGATGATACGCTCGAGCGACGCGGTGTTGCCTCGGTGGGAGTAGGCGCTTCATATTGCTCAGTGACAGCCTTCACGCTCTCTGAGGGCTTCTCATCGTCTTTGGCCGCAGCACTGTTTGCGGCAGCGCCGGCAGAGGCCACGTCGTTGACCTGCTTGATGCCGGCCAACATGTTGACTCTGCCATTTATGGCGTCGACGGCAGAGGAGAGCTCAACATTATTCTGCTGGATTGTTTTCAGGCTGGACAAGATCTCGCCCAGCACGCTCTCGACATTCGGATTCGCACTCATGGTTGGCAAGGAGGGAACAGAATGTTATCTCGTCGTCTTAGATAGGGTAATGTAAGCTTGGCTTCCGGTTTAGAACTAGTCTACGCTCATCCGAGGTAAAAGAAGAAGGAGCTGCCTAGCTAGGCTGGGCGGGGACCGAAAGGCGCCGTAGGTGAATGAGGGAAGAGAGTTGAGAGGGAGGAACAGGCTGGAGTGAAGCGCAGTCTGAGCTGCACAGTCCCTTTTGTACCCCGTACAGTAATTTGGCGCCATCCAGAGCTACATGCTTAGCTGGTCAGGCGCCTGCGAGTTCGCCGTAGGCAATGGGAGCTTCCCCCCGGCCAAGCGCCCTTTATCGCCGACGCTCCCGGCCGCGGCGCCCGCTAGCCATACAACGTCATTCTGCCCAGGGCGGTGAAGTGGACTCGATGTTAGCCCTCTGCTCTCCCCAGCTTTCTTTTACTCACACTCCCACTATCGCAGCAGCAAGCTCACTTTGACGACATGGTACGGTATCAGCGCTGCAGCTTCCCCCGACTCCCGTGCTGACCGCTTCTCCTAGGGCAAACGCAAGGCGGCTAAGAAGCCTCAAGGGCCCAAGAAGGTACCGCCCACTTCCCGCCTGCAATGCGCGCTCCCGCACCTAACGCAAGCTACTCCAGAGCGACCCGCTCCCCACGACCTTCCAGTGTCTGTTTTGCAACCACGAAAATGCCGTCAGCGTCAAGATGGAGAAGAAGATTGGCATCGCCACACTGTCCTGCAAAGTGTGCTCCCAATCCTTCCAAGCCAAAATAAACCGTATGTGGTTTTTTGAAACGATGTCTCGCGCCGCGGACTGATATTTGGCGCAGCTCTCCTGGCCCCCATCGACGTTTACTACGAGTGGCTGGACGCATGCGAGGAGGTCGCCCAGAACCAACAAGACTCGGCCGGCAACTACGCGACCGACCCCTACCGCGAGCCCGAGGAGCTCGAGAAGATGCGCAGGCGGAGCGCCGAGCCCGCGCGCGGGCAGAGGCAAGGGTCTTTCATCGATGACGATGATGCTGGCGACGAGGGTGACTACGGCGACGATGACTGAGCAGGACTCGGATTGTGATAGTAAGCACGCTGTTTGGACGCAATGGGCTTGTTGTTCTCTTCTTGTTATATGTTTGGAGGGTAGTCTATTGGAACGAGGAGTTTGGCGCCTGGCTGGAGTGGTCTTTAAGATATCTCTATGGACCCTGGAATTTAGAAAGAAGTTTGTTTTGGAACGTTGACCACCACTCAAGCAATTGCGCACGGGATACTTGATCTTCTAACCAACTCGAAACAGCATCTCATGATACCGTCAAGACTGGTTACAACGCTTGAGCTGGTCAGCAAAACCCAACCCATTAAAAGGCGTTCATCGGTATCCGGCTTGAGTTATTGCGTGGCCTTTAGCATGCCTTTACAGATATAGCGTGAGAAACGGTATAAACAGCCAATGCTGTTTTCAGCCAGTCTTGATTGTATGGTGTATATCAGGTGATGGAGCAACATCAGGGGCGCAAAGAACTCGGTTACAACGTAGGTGAGCATTGATCCTTTGTCAACACCCCCTGATGCTTTCGTACATACGACATTGTACGGTAAAGGTTCTCTAAGACGTTATAGGTCTCATACTCAGGCTGTATGGGATTTGGACAGTTGGCATTTGCTATCCTTATATTTACCCGTGGGCCATGTGACTACCTAGCCCACAGCGCTTCGGCACCTTGCCGTTGCGATGCAGATACCCGGTTCATTCGAAAACGTGATGTTTTCATCGAAGTACCTGGTTTCCGGCACAGCGGTTCTTTGTTGCATTCGCCATCCAGGCGGCCTCGCTATTTTTAGAAGCTTCAACAATCAACAAATCTGGCTCAAATTCCGCTAGCTTGGATATATCCAATCGCCTACAATAGATAGGCGATGATCATAACCGTTTACATGGTGTAGAACCTGTCGCCGAAATCACCAAGGCCCGGGACAATGTAGCTGTTCACGACTTAGTAAACAAATCTGCTTGCGGGTTTCTTTGAACTTACTTCTTGTCGTCAAGGCCAGCATCGACGAATGCAGTGATGACACGCAATTTGGGATACTTCTCCGCAAAGTTCGTTGCCCCCTCCGGACTGGCAATCAAGTTAAGGAAAAGGATGCGTTCCTCCGGGACGCCACGAGACCTCAGCACGTCGACTGCCATCAACGCAGAACCACCTATGAATGCTCGTCAGCTCCCGGTACTTTCTAAAACTGGGCTCAGGAGCACCGCACCTGTTGCCAACATGGGGTCCAACAGCAGTACCCAGCGGTCCGCAATATCTTCGGGGAGCTTGTCGTAGAACAGCTTTGGCTTGCTCGTCTCCTCATCGCGCTGGATCAGAATTTTGCCTATCCTGACGGACCTGCAGCAGTCGCGAAGACCCTGTTCCATGGACTCTCCGGCCCTCATGATGGAAACGCCGCAAATTTTGCCCTCGAACTTGACACCCGAGTAGGTGGTGTTGAGAGGCGTGGTGATGGAGCGCTCGACGACGGGCAAATGGTTCAGGCCCTCCTCGACCAGGAGACGGATGATCCTGTTGGAGTAGAAGATGAAGTCGGCGCGATCAGTGTTCTTGTCCCTTATCATGCTACATGCGTGTCATGCAATCAGTCTGGTGCGGTTCTGCGGGCTTGCGCAAAGGTGAGCGGGCAGACGCACGTCAGAAGGGCGATGAGTTGCGGCGTCTGCGGCAGGATATGCACATTGTCGTGGGCGAGCTTGGTCGAGACGGTAGCCGTGGGCTTCTTGTGCGCGGGGCGGTACTCTGGGCCCACGCTCTGCGAGGGCGTCGGCTGGCTCTGCGACGAAGACATGGTGGTGAGGTGGAGGGTTGGTAGGTAGGTAGTGTTTGCGCAATGCGTACACGGAGGGGGGGGAGGGGTGGGTTGAGAGGAGTGAGGAGGAGGGAGTGAAGAGTGAAGAGGAGAGAGCAGACGTGCAGCGGGGTCTCAATCCAGATACTGCCCTCGTGCGCGCGCAGCTCAGGTCTTCCGCATCTTTGCCCTGGCCGTAGGCGGAATCCGATAGGTACCTTAGTGCCCTGAGGCCGGCGGCGACGATCCCTGCCCGTCGCCCCGAGCACCGCGTTCCGGGCCGATCGTGTCATGGTTTCACTTTCACCTGCCCGGCGCCGTCAACACCTCCGCCTTGTTGCTTCCCGCTTCACTGCTTACCTACCTTTGCTGCCCGCCTACTTTTTGCTGGTCCTCTTCTCTCAGCGCCTTGCACCGCCCGTCTAGATCCTCACTCCTCTGCCTTGCTGGCCCATCTCTGCCGTCGCTTCGCGCGCTGCGCCGCCGCCGTCGTCCGCGACAACAACCGCGTAAATCCCAGGTCCATTGTTGTCGCCGCTTCTCCAAAGGGATCGGCCTGAACGCCATATACAATGACCTAAGCTTCCCTCACAATTGTACGCTTCAATCCCGTCAGCCTTCCAACTGGCTTCACTTGCGCCAGCGAGATGGACTTCCCACAACGTCGTCGCAAGATCTCGACCTACGGAAAAGCGTCGCGCACTACCAACTATACCTTGAACAACGATATCGGATCACCGGAAAAGCCGCGCACTACAAAACCAATATGGAAAAGTCGGGCTGCGCAGAGAAGTGTATCAGAGAAGCAAGATGGAGGAGCTGAACAGCCTCCCGCGCGGACTTTCGCTGTCTTCGACGTCCCGTCGTCTGAAGATGAACGTCCGTCAGTAGCAAAGGCACCGGCAAAGCCTCGACTGCCCACTGGAAGTTCTTCCAAAACCTCCAGCAATAAACGATCTAGTCAAACCAGTGAAGACTCCGCCTCCGAACAACTGCGGAATGAAATCGCGGCTGCTGAGATAAGAATGTCTCCTCAGAAAACCACTCCGGAGTCCAAGGATGAGTTTGATGGACTAACACAAGGAAAAAGTACGTCTTTGTTGCCGAACAATCAGCGGACGAATGCAGATGGTCGGCGTCGAAAGGCTGCAGTTGGCAGTGCGCAAGCTCCAGACTCTGATGCAGCAAGCGAATTGCGACTTAAGAAGAGACCCCACTCTGTTACGGAGCTCTCAGTGGATGAAGCGGGTCCCGCAAGTGCGGCGCAAAAAAGGTCCCACAAATCTTTAAAGAGCAAGCGTAATGCAAGTGCGCTGCACAAAGATTCACATGTAAAAACAAAAGTTCCATCTACCTTCACAGCGGAGACTCTGGAGCAAACAAAGATGCGAAAACCAATGCCAATTCTCTCTGCTTCTGCGAATGCTCCAAAAGAGCAATCGACCAGTCAAGCTACAAAGAAACCAGATGTTAAGCGCTCTGGGGATCTAGCAAACAAATCTGAAGCTGCTCCAGCGACCAGGGCAGTGAGCTTAGAAAAGCCACGGCGTACCTACGGTGCCTCGTCAAAAGCAAGGCTTCCGATGCAAAAGGGCAAATCTGTTCCATCGTTGCTGCAAACCATGCTACCTTCCACCGAATCTAAGCCTTCCATCCCACCAGAGCCTGAAATGTCTCGCATGTCCCCACCGGATTTGGATGAAGATCTAGAAGTTGATTTGCCATCAACGCCACCAAGAAGGACGTCCCAATCACCATTCGGAACGGTCACCCCGCGACAAAATCAAGCGTGGAGCAACCTGCTTGACGAAACGGCTACGTCGAGTTCAAGCCGTCTCAGTCTGGATGATCTACAGCTACACACCGTCAAGCCTCGCCGTACTCAACTTCTCCGCACCACCCCCGACTTCTTATCTACCCGTCAGTCTTCAAAGGCACGCCTGATAGACACATTGAAGCAAGATGCTTCAGTAGATAGTGAAGAAGAAGATGGAGATGATAGCCTCTATGACTATAGCGATGTACTTCCGAAGAAACCGCTGGCCAACAGCAGCCAGTCACTCTCCGGGGGCACCAGAGGCAACACTAAGGCTGCATCTCAAGGAACCGCCAGTACTTTTTCCCAGGAAGCAAGCTCTTCTCAGGCTATACCCATTGCTGCTGGCCCAAAACTTACATATGCCCGTACAAGGTCATACCTCAATGAGGATAGCCTTGAAGACGCTCTCAACATTCCACTGCCAATGGACATAAGTCCAATGAAGGCAGGGTCCAGAGGAAAAGGTCAATCAGGGTATTTTTCAGGTTCGCAGGACGATGACCTGGAAGACAGTCAAAGCGGTATGCGTAACATACATGAGCTCCGCGCTGCTGGCGGCGCTAGGCGTATGGTAGATGATATCGAGAACTTGCTCGACGACATTGAAGCGAAGAAGGCGAACTCTATGTCAAGACGTCGCAGCGCGCTTCTTGAGCTATGCTTAAAACTAACCGACAAGGCTTACATTGGTCGTATGGTTGACCATGGTCTTGACCACCGACTTTTCTCGACTTGTGCCGCTGCAACCGACACGGTGCTCAGCTTTGCCACTGCTGCTGCTGTCATATTCTTCGTAATGAACGAAGCTCCGCCAAGTGCTCTGAATGAGATTTACCAGTCCGGGATCTCGGAGAGGCTTACGTCGCTTCTCAGTATTGATGCAGACATCAACCAAATTGCGAAAGAACGCAAGACTAATATGTCGAAAGTTGCTAAGAATGCCTTGGCCGACTTCCGAAATCAAGTTGCGGAGCAGATTTGGCTAGACGAGGCCCCTGAAGTGGTATCCCCGCTCTTGATCGGTCTCAAAAGTATCGAACTTCTCGTACGGAGGCTGCGAGAAAACGGCAATAAAGCGGACCTTCTCGGGTATGAGATCTGCGCGGACGTGTCACAGCTTGCTAAGTTGCCGTCGGAGAAGTTGGCAGCAAACTCGGCAACGAAGGCTGATATTACTCTGTTGGATCTCGTCATATCCACATTGGAGTCTGCCTCCATCAACGTGTCAGTCTGGTCTGGCTCCGGCACCGACCCTGCGGGATCCATCAGCCAAGTGGCTAAGTCCATAACGAGCATACTGAGCACCGACACTGCACAGTACGAGCAATTGGAGGTACTGGCTCTCAGACTAACATTGAATCTTACGAACAACAATCCCAAGATATGTGAGATGTTCTCTACCCCTTTGTTTGTACAGTCCATGGTACGCTCGATTGATACGCGGTGCCAATTGTTGCATTCACACCTTGATGAGGAGGAACATATCAAAACCTTGGATCGATTGGTTCTCTCTCTCGGAACCATGATCAATCTCGCGGAATTCAACGACCAAGCGAGGATCTCAGTCACCAGCGACGACGACGAACTTTTGCACTCTCTTGTTCGGTCCTTTGCCTCTGGCATAGAAAAGGCTGAACAGGCAGACTCTGTGGAAGAGTCTCAATCTGGTGTAGCATATGGTTACCTAGCTGTCCTTTTAGGAAACATGTGCCTCAACGACTCGATGCGGGAGAAGATCCGCTCGCAGCTCCCCAACAAGCGCATGGATATACTTGTTCGTGCGGTCGAGCAGTTCATCTTCGTGCACCAGAAGGTGGACCGCGAATCTCTCCAGGATGGGGAAGAGGGGAGGGAGCTGTGGGCCAACTTTACGGCGCGCCTGCAAGCTGTCGTTCAACGCCTGAAACAGAGCGAATTCGACTAGGGCGGTACTCCTAGTCCAGTTGTCGGAAGGCGTTTGGAATGGAACGGAATGCTCGTCATGGATGAATGATGATGAATGATGAGCCGGTGGGACGAACTGGTATGTCCGTAAGGTACGGCGGACGGAGGATATGAGATACCCGGGTGCATGCATGGGAATACTGAAAGCTCAGCGAGCTTGGTCGGATCAACCAAGGGTCACAGTATGTACATAGATAGACATTCTATGGTTGTATTGACTCGACGATTGGCACTAAGATGGGTATTGGTGGAAAGGGCGCTATCCGCGCGAACATCAGCCAGTCTCATGACCCCGACAATATTCCCGTCCTGTTAATGCCACTGGCCCTCGCGATGTATTGCGTCACTTGGGTGCACATGAGTCGCGGAGCCCCAGACATTTTCGCCAGGGCCCAGGAGAGAGAGAGAGAGAGAGAGAGAGAGCGGTAGCGGTGACCTGGGCGACGTGACGCGAGCATTACACAGGCTCGGAGAGAGAGAGAGAGGCAGCACCGATAAATTCACATGCAGCTTGGCGGCTCAAGTGCCCGCTGCTGCTCGAGGCTGTTTCCATTACTCGATCAAATGCGGGACAAGCAGCCTCTTACATAAAGAACGTACACACCTACTCGTGAGTCTCGGACCCTCCCGACTGCCTCCCAAACACGCGTTGCTGCGGAGAACGTCTTCTCTGTCTACAGACCCTTGGTTGCCCGACACGGCCATCGCCTGACTAGCTCCAGCCGCAACCAGCAGCCAGACCTCTCGTTCGACTTCAAGTCTTCCAAACCACTGCCAAACACCCATCCACTTATCCAGACGAAGCTACCACGATGCCTGCGCCCCCGAAGCAGCGCAAGATCGCAATTGTCGGCAGTCGCTCTGTCGGTACACCGCCCAAGATGCGCGCGAGCATCCTCCCTGCCTCCCTCCGTGACGTGAGCGCTAACCGCCAGCACAGGCAAGTCCTCGCTCACGGTCCAATTCGTAGACGGTCACTTCGTCGAGAGCTACTATCCCACAATCGAGAACACGTTCAGCAAGGTCATTCGCTACAAAGGGCAGGACTATGCAACCGAAATTATCGATACCGCTGGCCAGGTATGTGAGGTCTGCCACACGCCCAGAAAGACATTGCGCGAGCACGCCGGGCTGAGGCAACACCGCTGGGTGGAGAGGAGAGGCGGCTGACGAGCTTGCCTCCAACCAGGATGAGTATAGCATCCTCAACTCCAAGCATTTCATCGGCATTCATGGCTACATGATCGTCTACTCGGTCGCCTCCAAGCAGAGCTTCGAGATGGCGCGGATTATTAGAGACAAGATTCTCAACCACCTGGTGAGTACCCGTCTTCCCGCAAGCTTGCTGGAGGGGATACTGCGATTGACACAGACTGGCAGGGCACCGAATGGGTCCCCCTCGTCCTCGTGGGGAACAAGAGCGATCTCCGACCCGAACAACGCCAGGTCCCAGCCGAGCTTGGCAAAGCCATCGCTGAGGAATTCAAGTGCGCGTGGACAGAAGCCAGCGCCCGCTACAACGAGAACGTTTCGAGGGCCTTTGACATGATGATCGGAGAGGTGGAGAAGTCCCAGAACCCCGGCGAGCCAACTGGCGGGAACAAGTGCATTGTGATGTAAGATTGTTTGCTTGCTTGCATGTGGTTGTTGTTGCTGCGGGCGTTGTTGCTTTGACCACGGGCATGAAGGATGATTCCATTGCGCTGGGTGTAAGTTGGCTTACTGTGGGAGGTCTAGAGGCGTTCGAGGTCCATGTTTTGAAGATCCAATGGCACTGTCTCCATTCTCTTGCTTGTGGGAACTTGCATATCTCATCCTCATGTTTGCTCTGCTGCTGCTGCTGCTCCTGCCAATCACATGCGAAGGGACCGGCCTGCCGGGCACCCAAGCTCCCTGGCTCTTGAGTCTCAGCGGTCAAACTATTTTCCAGTATATCATCATCTTACTAATGATAGGGCTGGTCCCGTTCCAAAAAATGTCCCGCGGCTCTGCTCGTTGAGGGGCGCTACTCAGTTGTTTGTCTTTTCGCCATGTTCACGATCAGGACGGCTGCGCCGCGCGTGTTTGCGAGTGCCACACCCCGCAGAGCATTCAGCACCTCGCGCCCTCTCTCCAACTTTGGCTCCGAGCTTTCCTTTGATCTCCACGAGCCGCCAAAGTCGAGCGGTGACAAGGGGCTTCCCTCTGAAAATGCTCCCTTGGTAATTCTTCACGGACTGTTTGGCTCGAAGAGAAACAACAGGAGCATCAGTAAGTACGATCTCCGTCTCCGTCCGGCCGCTGCGCAACAGACACTCACACCGCGACTCCAGGGTCCTTGCTCGCGACCTGAGCCGGCCCGTCTACGCTGTGGACCTGCGCAATCATGGCGACTCCCCTCACGACCCGGCGCATAACTACACCGTCCTGGCGGAGGATGTGGAGGACTTCTTGGAGTTCCACAGGCTGAGCGGCTCGGTACTTATCGGGCACTCGATGGGCGCGAAGACGGTCATGACCGTCGCACTGCGCAGGCCGGAGCTCTGCAGCAGCATCATCCCCGTGGACAATGCTCCCGTCGATGCGGCGCTGAAGAGCGATTTTGGCAAATACGTACAGGGCATGAAGAAGATCGAGGCGGCCAAGCCGACGCGGTCGAGCGACGCCGACGCAATCATGCAGGAGTTTGCGAGCGAGCTGCCGGTGCGCCAGTTCCTGCTGTCGAACCTGATCCGCGAGGACGGTCACATGAAGTTCCGCATCCCCGTCGGGTACCTGGCGAAGGCACTGGACGAGATGGCCGACTTCCCCTTCAAGAACCCGGACGAGGTGCGCTTCGGAAAGCCCGCGTTATTCGTCAGGGGCACCAAGAGCCACTACGTGCCGGACGAGACGATGCCGATCATTGGGCGTTTTTTCCCGCTGTTCAAGATGAAGGATATTGAGAGCGGCCACTGGGTGGTCTCTGAGAATCCCGAGGCCTTCCGGCAAGGTATGTCCCCATTCCCCTTTGATAGTGGCGGTGGTGTTGGAGACTGACTGAATCCTGTGCAGCTGTGGTGGAGTTCCTCCAGGACCATGACTGAAGGCTCGAGCGGACAATAACCCGCAAGTGAGGCGGACTTAGGCGGGGCTAAGTGTCGGACGTGCTTCGGAGTTTGTCGGCGGATCAGTGTCAAGGGTGCGGAACAGTGGGCGAGTGCGTGATCGGAGGACTGAGGTCTGGCCCTGGAGCTTAGTAAAAGCACCAGCTCTCCAGCATGGGTGTCATTGGCGTTGTAAATATCAAAATACTTGTAAAAGTAGATAAGACGAGCAATCGGACTGTACATGTCGTCCACGCATTGCTCCTCTCCGATGTCGTAGGCTGTGGCTATCGCGGGCCAAAGCAACGGGAAGCAATCGGCTTGGCTCGCGTGTGATTTCCTTCAAGGTCCAGCAGATCATATCGCAATGCGAACATGGCACGACCTTTGCCCAAAATTTCGCCGCGACCTCTGTCGTGGGGCCATTGAATCCCTTGGCCAAGGCGGTTGTTTACTCATTATTTTACGCAGAAGAAGAGAGCTTCGAGCTTCTGTGGGTGCCTTTCACCGTCAATGTCCAAGGACGCGCACGACTATTGTACGGCCCTGCAACGGTTACAGCCAATGGCCCCTCTACGTGTAGGTATCATGTATGCACTTATATAAGGATGGACCCTTTAGCTAGGTAAACAACGGCCGTTTGTCGCTTAAGCGTTCGGCAATCTGATCTGTAGGCAGCCATACCCGGCTCAGCTAGGGCGCTGGGTAAATAAAGCGGATAATTATGAGGTCTGGAGAGAAGAGGTGTTGCTTCCCGCCTGGGGGAGCGTAACTAGGCAAGAGTCTCCGTCAGCGGGCGTCGGCGGGTACCTGGGTGGGGGTGGCTCGCGGCGGGAGCGGGTGGTGGATTTAGTCGTGGCCGGCGGGCGTCTCGTCGTCATTGCTCTTCCTCCCACTGATGACAGACAGGAATGGCAAATTTTCCACATGGATGAGCGTCTCCTTACGCGCGTAGTCAGGCGCACCGGTTGCAAACAAACAATCCAACATTGCATTCGGACGGAATCCGACCTTCAGCCGCACAGAGGCGTGAGACTTTCGAGGGCAAGAATCCTGGAGCTTCCGCAAAGGTTGCTGACGGCGTCATGTACTGGTGGGCTTGACAGCAAGGCGTCCCTTCGCGCTACGGAGATCACTTCGGACGTGGCACTGTGGCACATGTGGGTCGCTTTCTCAGCGAGTGCGGAGTTTGGCAGCGCAATCTTTGACGAGACCTGGCCGTCTGACGACTGGTGCATGTATTGTAAGCAACGGCAAGGTATTTCAGGACGATGGAGGGTGTGATCGATTTGAGATTTCTCCGAGCACGAAAAGCCGCCCCTCTTCGCTTTTTAGTTAAGGCAAAAGGCCCGCCAGAGTGGGTGACATCAGTCCGAACAAGCCGCCCTGCGCTCACCTAAAATAACCCCACTAAAGCCAGGCAGCCCGGTGCACCAGACTCCGTTCAACAACTCCAGACGCCCAACTGTCAACTGTCGCTGATAACAAGCTCTGCGCCGGAGTTTTCGCTGCTGCGCTCCCTCTGCCCAACGTCTCCATCCTCACCTCTCCCATCCCCCTCCACTGCTCATTCGTCGCGCGCAATGGCCGACACCGTCATTCAGCCCGAGGTCGAGGCCAACGCTGGGTGAGTGCCCCCTCCTCCTCCGTCTCTCCAATTCCACGAGAGCGCGCAATTGCCCGACCAGCATGCTGATCCGCCTCGCTCGACAGCAACACCGAGCTCAAGGACAACACCGTCATCATTGTCCTGGGAGCTTCGGGTGATCTGGCCAAGAAGAAGACCGTACGTCAATGCTCTGCTCTGCCCGTGAAGATCCGTGAATCGCTCACACTGTCCCTCCGCTCAGTTCCCCGCTCTGTTCGGTCTGCACCGCAACAACTTCCTGCCCAAGGATGTTAAGATCGTCGGTTATGCGCGGACGAAGATGGACCACGAGGAGTACCTCAAGCGCGTCAAGTCCTACATCAAGACCCCCACCAAGGAGATGGAGGAGCAGCTGGAGGACTTCTGCAAGAAGTGCACCTACGTCTCCGGCCAGTACGACCAGGACGAGTCCTTCGTCAACCTGACCAAGCACCTCGAGGAGCTTGAGAAGGGCCAGAAGGAGAACAACCGTGTCTTCTACATGGCGCTGCCCCCCAGCGTCTTCATCACCGTCTCGCAGCACCTGAAGAGGAACTGCTACCCCAAGTCTGGCCTTGCCAGGATCATCGTAAGTTTCGGCGCACTGCCAATGCGAAATTCTGCTGACGCCGCGATCAGGTCGAGAAGCCTTTCGGCAAGGACCTTGGCAGCTCCCGCGAGCTCCAGCGCGCGCTGGGCCCCGACTGGAAGGAGGAGGAGATCTTCCGTATTGACCACTACCTTGGAAAGGAAATGGTCAAGAACATTCTCATCCTTCGGTTCGGTAACGAGTTCTTTGGCGCTACCTGGAACAGGAACCACATCGACAACGTTCAGATCTCTTTCAAGGAGCCTTTCGGCACCGAGGGCCGTGGTGGATACTTCGACGAGTTCGGCATTATCCGTGATGTGATGCAAAACCACTTGCTGCAGGTCTTGACTCTCCTGACCATGGAGCGCCCGATCTCTTTCTCCGCGGAGGATATCCGTGACGAGAAGGTCCGTGTCCTGCGTGGCATGCCCTCGATTGAGCCCAAGAACGTCATCATTGGCCAGTATGGCAAGTCGCTGGACGGCACCAAGCCTGGCTACAAGGAGGACGACACCGTTCCCAGGGACTCCCGCTGCCCTACTTTCGCTTCCATGGTCGCATACATCAAGAACGAGCGGTGGGATGGTGTTCCCTTCATCCTGAAGGCCGGCAAGGGTAAGTTGCGCACGGAGATCGGAAATCGCTGGAAACTGGTAGCTGACTGTCAATAGCCCTCAACGAGCAGAAGACTGAGGTCCGTATCCAGTTCAAGGATGTCACCTCCGGTATCTTCAAGGACATTCCCCGCAACGAGCTCGTCATCCGTGTCCAGCCCAACGAGTCCGTCTACATCAAGATGAACTCCAAGCTTCCTGGTCTCAGCATGCAGACCGTTGTCACCGAGCTGGATCTCACCTACCGCCGCCGCTTCTCCGACCTCAAGATCCCCGAGGCCTACGAGTCCCTGATTCTCGATGCCCTGAAGGGTGACCACTCCAACTTCGTCCGTGACGATGAGCTTGACGCTTCCTGGAGGATCTTCACCCCTCTGCTGCACTACCTTGACGACAACAAGGAGATCATCCCCATGGAGTACCCCTACGGTTAGTCTTCCACTCCGTCCTTGGATCCAGCCGAATTGAAAACTGATTGATTGTCTTTAGGCTCCCGTGGACCCGCTGTCCTTGACGACTTCACCTCCTCTTACGGTTACAAGTTCAGCGACGCCGCTGGCTACCAATGGCCCGGCGCTGGTGAAGGCAACAAGTTGTAAGGTGTATTAGAGGCTTTTATAGGACTTAAGGGTGTTTTTTCTTGCGGAGAATATCTTGGCGTATGATAGATTAACAAATGAATGATGCTGGATCATGTCCACAAAAGAAATGTCAAATTGAATAATAGTTCTTTGCGACCATGCTCGCAGAAGAGTCAAAGGAAAATATATGTCTTAGAACGGCAGTCGTTGATATTTATAGTGTCTTTATGATGACCTCGGCTTTGTACTTTTCCGTATGCATGTCTTCCGTGCTGCCGTGACCTGCTGGCCGGGGTGGTAACTCATTCCGTCATAGCAAGATCTCCGTCGGGAGAATTCCGGAACCCGCCATGCAGCAAGTCGAATTTTTGGGCGTTACGCAGCGGGAGAAGCGCTGAAACCTACAAACCATACCTACGAGAAGACGCCGCTACGAGAACACCATGAGGACCAACCCCAACATCATTATTACGGGCACGCCCGGCGTGGGCAAGACGTCGCACGCGGAGCTGCTGGCGCAAAACACGGGCCTGAAGCACATGTCGATCAACCAGGTGGCCAAAGAGCACGATTGCTACGACGGGTTCGACGAGGAGCTGAACACGGCGATCGTGGACGAGGACAAGGTACGGACGACACATGGCGGGGGAAGGCATTGACGCGACAACACACATACACATATACAATGGGGCACGGGAGCTAACGGCGGGCGCAGCTGCTCGACGCGATCGAGGACAGCGTGAAGCAGGGCGGCTACATAATCGACTGGCACGCGTGCGACCTGTTCCCCAAGTCGTGGATCGACCTGGTGGTGGTGGTGCGTTGCGACTCGACGCTGCTGTACGACCGGCTGCAGGCGCGTGGCTACGGGGCCAAGAAGCTGGAGGAGAATATGGACGCGGAGATTATGGAGGTGCTGCTGGAGGAGGCGCGCGAGGCGTATGATGCGGAGATTGTGGTGGAGCTGCGGAGCGACAAGGCTGAGGACGTCGAGGGCAACGTCGAGCGCATCGAGATGTGGATCAAGAACTGGAAGAATGATCACCAGGATATGGTGGAGGAGGATGGTGGAGGAGGACGGTGAGAGTGAGTGAGCGGATGGGGCATGTGTGGACAAAACTTGAAGTGGTCTATATTGCTCGATGCTGGTGGTCAAGCGTGGGACGTTCAGTCGGCGTGGTTCTTCAGCCACTCCGTCAGCTTCGCCAGCGCCTTGCCACGGTGGGAGATCTTGTTCTTCTCCGACTTCTCCATCTCCGCGTACGTCTGGCCTTCGTACTCAAAGGTCGAATCCCAGCCTGGGGAAGGGTTAGTATTGACGAGTCGCTATCGGGCTTTGGATGCTTGGACTTACCGAACACCGTTGGGCCTCGGGACGGCACGATCTTGCCCTGTGGTCAAAGGTCAGGAAACAGTGCTCTGAGAATGGTCTCTGTGTGCTTACGTCTGTCCTTCCCTGGAAAAGGATGGGCTCGTGGCCGGGGCCCTCAGAGTAGCCGAAGGTGCAGACGGCTTGGGCGGACTTGTCCTCGAATCCGGCCAGCATCTTGTGCAGCTGCTCGGCTCCAAGGGCTTCCATGAACCATTTACTATAGAAAACGAAATGAGAAATGACTCTTGCTATTTGATTGACAGACTTGACTTGGAAAAGGAAAACCTACATATACGGTCCCGGCAAATCGTTCATCGCCTTGAAACAGAGGCAAGTGTCTTCCACCAGCACCGGGCCGCCAACCTAACAACAAAAATCAGACTTTTTAGAACTGAAAATGAACGATGCGAGCAGGAAGTGAACATACGAGCTCAGCAGCCTTCTTGCATTTTTCAATCGTCACTTCTTCCACCGTGCCTTGCACTTCGGGCAGATCCAGCGACTGGTTTTTCAGCACAATCGTGTCACCCAAGATGGCCTTGACCTCGGCCAGCTTGTTTTTGTTGCCAGTGATGAAGTTGAGTTCCTTGGGCGCCATTTTCGTCAGACTGCGTGTAAAAGATGCTGTTTGGTTGATGGACAGCAGGGAGATCTGCGGGCAAAGGTATAAATAAATATCTGGTAGGGCTGAGCAGCACTCCGCAGAGTCACCGGCTCATGCTGTGCTGCTTCTCTGACCCTGATTGCAACCCATCTACGACCTCGCGCTACTACTCTGGTGATAATCCGCCACGCCGCAATTCCGCGTCATCCTTTCTAAGAGTAGTGCACTAGATACCGGCAACTGCGGTCTCCACTTGGGCTTCCGGCGTCTCGATGCGCACGCGCCAATTGGCTCCTCGAACCGACCACCGCTCTCAGCATAATAATTCCACGACTGGGACTTCTCCTGTCGACATCAAGGCAGGATGGAGATCTTGCTTGCCGTATACCATGACCGCAAGGTGCTGCTTTGGGACGTCGGGTTCACGGTGACGGGCCTGGCGATTGCGTTGAGCCAGAGCTGGATTCCTAGTAAGTTGTTTGCCCTCCTTTCCCCTATCTGCGATTTTGCGATTCCATCTTCTACACTGGTCATGCTGCCTTTGTTTGACTTTTGTTTGCCTACTTGCTTGTGTTTTCCTGTCTTTTTTCGCGATGTACTTGGGTTGCCACTCGCGGTCCGTTTTCTGCTTTTTCACGGACATAGGGGCGATCCGCATGGATGGAAGTCACGGATTCTAACATTATCATACAGTCCCTGAATCTGCCAGAGTGTGGGATGCGCCGACTTTCTATGCTGCTATTATCATCACGACCATCGTGATATGCCTCTCCACTCGTCTTTGGTCCGGTCGTCGTCACCAGAATGCCTGCAGTAGCAGAGCTGAAAACAGGGCAGTGCCCATTATCCCTTACTGGGTACCCTTTTTTGGCCATGTGTTTCAATTTCTCTGGGGCAAAAGCTCGTTTTTGAAGAAGGCAAGGTATGTAAATTCCCCGTACAAATTTCTCTCCTGGTACTAAACATCTATCAGGGATACAAGCATGGATGAGAACTTTACTCTGAAGCTTGCTGGCATTTCTCATGTGGTAGTAAACTCACCATCTGCCATCAAGGCTCTGGGAGAGAAAGACTCTACTTTTGCGGACGACGAAAACTTCGTTTTGAATGCCCGGAAGATTGCTTTTGGCCTAGGAGGCAAGCTGCCCACGGGAAGCGCTGATGCTCCAGCTGCATTTTCCAATGCCTTCTATGATAAAGTCATTGCCGAACCTTACATTGAAGAGCTCATTCCAAAGGTGCTTGGTGCAATGAAAGAAAATATACCAAGCATGATGACATTCATGACGAGCCTAGTCGACCAAACACCATGGGAGCGCGCTGCAGAAACCCAAGCGGTGGAAGGTGCAGGCAACCGGATGTTTGCTATGACCAATCTACTGTAAGTGTCTCTCTCGTCCAGTAATCGACATTAATGCTAATATGATCACAGTGTACTTATTCGTGAGTTGGCTGGCAATATGATCACCCCAGCCCTCACTGGCGCCGGTTTGGTCGAAGATTATCCAGGACTCCATGCAGACCTTCAGCAGTTTGAAGACTACTTTTACCTTATGGCGTCCGGCATTCCACGATGGGTGCCAATTCCTGGAATCCCTTCTGGCACCATTGCCCGCAAGCGCCTGTTGGATCAGCTGGCTGCTTTGGGCCGGGCGTACAACCAAGTGTCTCAAGGTGCAGATACCTCGTACTACAGGCACCTTAGCGACTTCCCGACGATGTTCGCCGTCGCTCAGGAAACGCTTGCCAATGGCGATGCCTCCACACAAGCACGAGCTTCTGCCCACCTCAGTATCCTTTGGGCACTCAACTCTAGCGTCCGGAATCTGGTGTTCTGGCTCCTCGTTCATATCATCAGTGAAGAAGGCCTTGCCGAGCGTGTTCGTAAGGAGGCCAAGCCATACGCTCGCGCCACACAGCCGCCGAATGACTTTGGTGTGCCAGAGCCTCCACTGTTGGACGTCGACATTGAAGGCCTCACCACAAAATGCCCTCTGCTGGAAGCTTGCTACATGGAAACCATCCGGCTTTACGACAGTTCCTGGACCGTGAGGAAGGTCAAGCAGGACTTCTCCATTCACGACGACGAGTTGGTGCAGTTTGAGGAGGGGCAGTACGTCAACGTGTCGAACAATTTGCACAACACTTCCAGCCAGTACTACTCGGAAGCCGAGAAATTCATGCCCAAGCGCTTCATCAGCGCGGAGGAGGGACAGACGGCAAAGGCAGAATGGGGCACGGTGAGGCACGAGGGAGGCATGTGGTCTTTGGGCGGAACCATGGGCCTTGCGCACAAGCTGAGCCTGGCGATTGTGGCCAGTCTGTTGGCGGTTTGGGAGATTGAGCCTATGAGCGAGGCGGGGTTGCGGGTTCCGCGAAGGCGTGAGGCGCCGCTGATTGCAGGGCCGAAGCGCGATGTCAGAGTGAAGATAAGCCGACGGGATCTGGGGCCAGCGAACAGATCTTAAGGGAGGATCTATCTGGACGCTCCCGGAGGATCATTTTATCGTAGGTTGCATGGAGCAAAAGGGCGACTGTTCAGGGTTCGCGTGTGCTTTGAAGTATTTGACATGATGAAAGAGAGACAAGAGACAAGGTGTGCGTGTCAGGGCTGGCAGGCTCCACGTGGACAAAGAGTTGACGGGCGCTGTCATGCGTTCAGTGTGTCGTCCGCACCAGCCAGAAGCAGGCAGCGTCGCTGAAGTCAGGGGCTGCTCGGAAGCTCCTCGGCTCCTTTTCTGCAGGCGGCGCTGGCGGTCAGCGGCATGGGCGTGCGGGCGTCGTGCTCAGACTCCCCAAATAATTGCCCTACAACACAGCTCAAAGGACCCTTTCCCGAACCCCCATCACGCTCGCTGACGGCCCAGTGACACGCCGCCACCCGGATGTCTACTCCCTTGTCTCTCCTTCCTATCCATCTCCCCAATTAGCGTGTCGGGGCTTTTCCCTAGCTGTCCCTCGACGTCTGGGTCTCGGCCTGCGAGCGCGCGCCGCTACTATCCTCTCTAGGAGCCCGACTGCTCCACACCATCCTTCCTCCTGTTGAGTCCCCCCGCCGGACAACAACACCACAACACCGCTCGCCATGGCGCCACACCTCTACGAGATCGGAACGCGCGCGTGGCAGCCCGATGCCACCGAGGGCTGGGTTGCCTCGGAAGTCTCGCAGAAGATCGTGGATGGCGAGAAGATAAAGCTAGTATTCAAGCTCGAGAGTGGAGAGGTACGCGCCCCGTCAACCTCCCGCGCCTGCCATCCGCCCTTTGCTGACCTTTGCTTGCCCGCCTGCAGGAGAAAACAGTCGAAACGACCGAGGAAACCCTCCAGGATGACAAGAAAGGGTCCCTACCTCCTCTTATGAACCCTGCTATGCTCGAAGCCAGCGATGACCTTACGAATCTGTCACATCTTAACGAGCCTGCTGGTAAGACGCCATCGCTGCCGTCGCGCTTGCCATCCCGCTGACAGCAAGACAGTGCTGCAGGCAATCAAGCTCCGTTATGCTCAGAAGGAAATCTACACATACTCCGGCATTGTTCTCATCGCCGCCAATCCCTTCGCGCGTGTTGACTCTCTCTATGTGCCGGGCATGGTCCAGGTCTATGCCGGCAAGCACAGAGCGTCACAAGCACCCCATCTTTTCGCCATTGCTGAGGAGGCCTTTGCGTATGTCACCGCTCAAATGCCGCCAGCCATGACAGATTGTTCGACATACTGATTGCAACCAGTGACATGCTTCGCGATAACCGTAACCAGACCATCGTCGTTTCCGGTGAATCTGGTGCCGGTAAAACGGTCAGCGCAAAGTACATCATGCGATACTTTGCCACACGCGAATCGCCGGACCAGCCCGGTAGGCGGAATAAGGGAAGGGCGGACACCATGAGTGAGACTGAAGAACAGATTCTGGCGACCAACCCCATCATGGAAGCTTTCGGTAACGCAAAGACGACCCGTAACGACAACTCCTCGCGTTTCGGTAAATACATTGAGATCATTTTCGACAAACAGACGGAGATTATTGGTGCCAAGATTCGAGTATACCTGCTGGAGCGGTCAAGATTGGTTTTCCAGCCGCTGAAGGAGCGTAACTACCACATCTTCTACCAGTTGATTGCTGGTGCTACGGATGCGGAGCGCGAGGAACTTAGTCTGCTACCCGTTGAGGAGTTTGAGTTCCTCAACCAAGGCAACGCCCCTGTTATTGATGGCGTGGATGACAAGGCTGAGTTCGAAGCAACGAAGAGCTCTTTGACGAGAATCGGCGTGAATGACGCGACGCAGTCGCAAATCTTCCGTTTGCTTGCGGCCCTACTCCACATCGGTAACATCAAGATTACCGCCACCCGTACGGATTCGTCGTTATCCCCTGATGAGCCGTCATTGGTAAAGGCGTGTGCTCTCTTGGGCATTGATGCGGTTGGCTTCGCGAAGTGGACGGTCAAGAAGCAGCTCATCACCCGTGGCGAGAAGATCACGTCCAATCTTACGCAGCAGCAGGCGATCGTTGTGCGAGACTCCGTGGCTAAGTTCGTTTACTCGAGCCTCTTCGACTGGCTCGTGGACAGCATCAACAAAAGCTTGGCCCCCGAAGAGATCATGGCCCATGCGCGCTCCTTCATCGGTGTTCTGGATATCTACGGTTTCGAGCACTTTGCCAAGAACTCTTTCGAACAGTTCTGTATCAACTACGCCAACGAGAAGCTGCAACAGGAGTTCAACCAGCACGTCTTCAAGCTTGAGCAGGAAGAATATCTGAGGGAACAGATCAACTGGACTTTTATTGACTTCTCCGACAACCAGCCCTGTATCGATTTAATTGAGGGTAAGCTGGGTGTTCTCGCCCTGCTCGACGAAGAGTCTCGCCTGCCCATGGGTTCGGATGAACAATTTGTCACCAAGCTTCACCACAACTTCAGCGGCGACAAGCACAAGTTCTACAAGAAGCCGCGGTTCGGAAAGTCTGCGTTCACGGTTTGTCACTATGCCGTTGATGTCACTTACGAGTCGGAGGCCTTCATCGAAAAGAACAGAGATACCGTGCCCGACGAGCATATGGAAGTTCTCAAGTCTTCTTCCAACAAGTTCCTTACGGATGTTTTGGAAGCCGCCGCGAGCATTCGGGATAAGGAGACCAACGGTCAGAACAACGCGAAGCCTGGAACCGCCGTCACCGCAGGGCGTAGGGTGGCCGTCAACAGGAAGCCCACGCTTGGAAGCATTTTCAAGGCCTCGTTGATCGAGCTCATGAACACTATCAACGCTACTGATGTGCATTACATTCGTTGCCTTAAGCCTAACGAGGCTAAGGAGGCTTGGAAGTTTGAGGGTCCCATGGTTCTCAGCCAGCTCCGTGCTTGCGGTGTCCTAGAAACCGTTCGTATCAGTTGTGCTGGTTACCCCACGAGATGGACTTATGAAGAGTTTGCTCTGCGGTACTACATGCTTGTCCCCTCTTCCGGATGGACATCTGAAATCCGGGAAATGGCAAACGCCATCCTTCAAAAAGCTCTTGGAACCGAGAATGGCGGCGATTCTGACAAGTACCAGCTTGGTCTCACCAAGATCTTCTTCCGTGCTGGTATGCTTGCCTTCCTGGAGAACTTGCGCACCAGGCGCCTGAACGGAGCTGCGGTCATGATCCAGAAGAACCTGCGCGCCAAGTACTACCGCCGCAAGTATCTCGAGGCCCGCGAGGCTATCGTATCCATGCAGGCTGTAATCCGTGGATTCCAGGCAAGGCTGCGCGCGGACGAAATCCGCCAGGTCAAGTCTGCAACTACTATCCAGCGTGTGTGGCGCGGCTATGTCGACAGGAAGAAGTTCCAGTATATCCGCAAGAGCGTTGTCCTCTTTGGATCCATTGCCAAGGGTTATCTTCTCCGAAAGCACCTTCTGGACAAGAGATACAGCGATGCCGCGATCATCATCCAGCGCAACTGGAGGAGCTCACGCCAGCTCAAGGACTGGAGGCAGTACCGCCGCAAGGTTGTCATCATCCAGAGCTTGTATCGTGGTAGGAAAGCTAGGACGTACTACAAGTCCATTCGTGAGGAGGCTCGCGATCTCAAGCAGATTTCGTACAAGCTGGAAAACAAGGTCGTCGAGCTCACCCAGAGCCTCGGTACCATCAAGCGGGAGAACAAGGCGCTGCAAGGACAGGTCCAGAACTATGAGAGTCAGCTTACTTCTTGGAAGAACAGGACCAATGCTTTGGAAGCCAGGACCAAGGAACTGCAGGCCGAAGCAAACCAGGCCGGTATTACCGCTGCTCGTCTGAGTGCTATGGAAGAAGACTTCCAGAAGCTTCAGAACAACTACGATGAGAGCACGGCAAACATGCGCCGCTTGCAGGAGGAGGAGAAGCACTTGCGCGAGACTCTCCGCAACACCACCGAGGAGCTGGAGAGTACCAAGCGTCGCTCGAGCCAAGTCGAGACCGAAAAGTCCTCTTTGCGCCAGCAGCTGGCCGATCTGCAAGATCAGCTCGAGCTGGCCAAGCGTGCTGGCCCGGTCAACGGCGAGCTCACCAACGGCAACCACCACGCGCCGCCGTCTGGTCTCATCAACCTCGTCACGTCAAAGAAGCCCAAGAGAAGGAGTGCCGGCGAGCGCATCGACGTGGAACGCTTCAGCACCGCTTACAGTCCTCGGCCAGTTTCCATGGCTGTGGCTCCCGCACAAGCTTCTCGCCAAAACTTCACTGGTGGTAGCAGCGCCTTCAGCCCTACTCTGGACAACATCGAGTTCGAGCTTGAAAACCTGCTGTCCGACGAGGACGCCCTCAACGACGAAGTTACGATGGGTCTGATCAAGAACCTCAAGATTCCCACGCCAAGCACCACTCCTGCTCCCAGCGACAAGGAAGTGCTTTTCCCAGCATACCTGATCAACCTTGTCACTTCAGAGATGTGGAACAACGGTTTCGTCAAGGAGTCGGAGAGGTTCCTTGCCAATGTCATGCAGTCCATCCAGCAGGAAGTCATGCAGCACGATGGTGATGAGGCCATTAACCCGGGCGCCTTCTGGCTCTCAAACGTCCACGAGATGCTCTCCTTCGTTTTCCTTGCGGAAGACTGGTATGAGACCCAGAAGACCGACAACTACGAGTACGACCGCCTGTTGGAGATCGTCAAGCATGACTTGGAAAGCTTGGAGTTCAACATCTACCACACTTGGATGAAGGTCCTGAAGAAGAAGCTGCACAAGATGGTTGTTCCCGCCATCATCGAGTCGCAGTCGCTTCCTGGTTTCGTCACGAACGAAAACAACAGGTTCCTTGGCAAGCTGCTTCAGTCCAACAGTGCCCCGGCCTACAGCATGGACAACCTTCTCAGCCTCTTGAACAACGTCTACAAGGCCATGAAGGCTTACTTCCTTGAGGATAACATCATTATGCAAGCCTTTACTGAGCTTCTGCGCCTGGTCGGTGTCACCGCCTTCAACGACCTGTTGATGCGTAGGAACTTCCTGTCTTGGAAGCGTGGTCTCCAGATCAACTACAACATCACCAGGATTGAAGAATGGTGCAAGAGCCATGACATGCCTGAAGGCACTCTCCAGCTTGAGCATCTCATGCAAGCGACCAAACTCCTGCAACTCAAGAAGGCAACCTTGAACGATATTGAGATTATTCAGGATATCTGCTGGATGCTGTCACCAAACCAGATCCAGAAGCTGCTCAACCAGTACCTTGTTGCTGATTACGAGCAGCCGATTAACGGCGAAATCATGAAGGCTGTCGCTTCCAGGGTTACTGAGAAGAGTGACGTGCTCCTGCTCGCCGCCGTCGACATGGAGGACAGTGGACCTTATGAAATTGCGGAACCCCGTGTTATCTCAGCTCTTGAGACGTACACGCCCTCATGTAAGTGACTCACCGACACCATGTTCTAAAACACCAAAAGGCAAAAAAGTTAACAAGTCTCCAGGGCTGCAAACTCCTCGGTTGAAGCGTCTCGCCGAAATTGTGTCTGCGCAAGCAATGGCGCAGCAAGACAAGCTTGAGTTCGAGCCCACGAACGGCGATAGCGAGCCTCAAGGCCTTGCCATAAGCGACGTGGACGGCGTGTAAGCGCGGACATGGAGCGATGGATTGGGAGCTGAGAGGCAACGTCGTGCAAAGCCAATAAGACTCTTCTCCAATGACGACTGTTTGGAGCTTGGATACGGCCTAACGCACACCTAATTTTGAATCTTCTTCGGTGGTAGTCGGTCTTTTGCGGAGGCGCATCTGCATTGGCCATTCGTGGTGGCCACATGAATGGCATATGGGCGCTGTCCGTTCATTTGTAGTAGTAGTCTTGCACTTATGGGTTCTCATAGCAGGCGTACGCTTTGGCGATGAGCTGGCGTTGGTGGCCAGTAGAAGCAGAGTGGCGGATTTCTTTTCACGTTTTGCACCCGCGCAGAGGTGGCTATGGATAGGCTAGAGAGAAGAAGCACGCAGTGGCGGACACGGATACTACGATCTGACGTCGGTCATGGGCTGGTGGATGAATATAGATTTTCTGGTTTTTTTGAGCTTTTGTCCGCGTGGTGATTCCAATTGGACAGCCATTTTGCGGTAGAATTGATGTACATATTTCTTGTATAGTCGTCGGTCATATTCCACTGTTGTTTCTTTAGTTTGATTTCTGTCTGATCAGCGATTGGCATCTAGGTATGTACTGTAGATCTGATGATGATGATACCTATCGACAACACAGCGCACATGACTAAATCGACTGCGTCTTGTTCCAAACCTGAACTCGCACGCTGTCCACGCGTCCAGGCAGCAGCAAGTCCAACGCAGCCAGCCACAGGCGTATGATGAGGCAGTTTGGCATCAACAAACCAGCGCACATGTGAATGGGCCATGCTGACCTGCAGCGCGCGTGCCTCCCGAAACCGTAGTCAACCAACCACTTGCTTTTTCCCGCAGCATCTCTAGCCTCACCTTTTCCTCTCTCGGAGCAAGTGTCGCAACCATGGCCGACGTCCTTAGCTGCCCCTTCTGTGATTTTACCAGCTCTGATTCGTACTTTCTCATTCTGCACGTCGAAGAGCTTCATACCGACGACTCGCCATTCAAAGTAACTGAGCCGTCGGAGCCTCCTACCTCAGCGCTCTCTCAGACAAAGAAAGAACAACCCCGCAATAGGGACGACTCCCCGTTCGGCACTGACGAATGGGTGCTCTGTCCAGAAAAAGACTGCGATGAGCAAGTCTACTTATCAGAACTCAATGAGCACCTAGACCTGCATCTGGCAGCAGGCCTTACAGAACCGGAACACAGCTCATCCACTAAACGCGACAAGATGTTCACTCCCATTGCTTCGGAGCATTCATTCCATTCAGGCCTATCGGACAGACATCGCCACGGCAAAATGCGGCCCCGGGCTGACTCCCAGAAGTCGACGCTTGCCCGCAGCATCTTGGATATCTTCTGCCCGGTTTCCAGGCAGAAGGGAGGCCCAAAAAGGAGCAAGGAACATAGTGATGACTACGGTGCACGCCTAGGCGTACGTTTTCTAACCCCATCAATACAAAGAGACTAACCGGGCGCAGAAAGCAGAGCTCGGCCCGTATGCCTACGAAGACCAGATGCCGAATTGGCTGTATGAGCAGTTAAAGGCAGGTGGCAAAAAGACGACGCTCAACCGCATCGGCCGCGATGGGCGCCTGATCAAGCATGAAATCATCGAGAACGAGACCCCTGGCGTTTTGCCAATGCTGGCCCAACTGTGCGCGCTTGAGAAGTCGGTCAAACATGCGTACTTGTGCCATCCAGCCACGCTGCAAATTGGCAAGACTCGCAGAGAAGGCAGCTTCTGTGGCTACCGTAACCTCCAGATGCTAGTGTCGTACATTCAGGGCGCTAAAGCGCAGGGCCATGATCGTTTTACCGCCGGCACACCTAACATTCTCAAGTTGCAGGATATGGTTGAAGATGCCTGGGATAAGGGAATCAGTGAGATTGCACGTGAACAAACTGGTGGTATCAGAGGTACACGGAAATATATTGGCACCCCGGAGGTGAGTAATCCTTATATCTTATGGCTTGCAGTATGCTAAAGAGCTCTAGGTCGAAGCTGTCTTACGCAGCCTGGAAATTGACCATGGTATTCAAATGTTCACCGACCGCGACGACAGTCAAGCACATGAGCAGCTACTCGCGGACATCGAAGGTTATTTCAGAAGCGGCGTGTCGGATGACACGCCGGAGACCAAAATCTACAAGACGTGTCTCCCACCCATATACCTCCAACAGCCTGGTCACTCTCTCACTATCGTTGGCTTTGAAAAACACCACGATGGCTCGCGCAATCTGCTTGTGTTTGACCCACAGTTCAACCCTACGCCGGGGATGATGATGATCCTAGGCCGAAGAGGGCTGCGCACGCCGCGACCTGAACTGCTCCATGTCTATAGGCGTGGCCACAGGCATTTGAGCAAACGCAGAGACTTTGAGATGATCAAGTACGTTGAGCCGAGTTCTGTGCTAGACAATGAGATCCGCCTAACGATTTTGCAGACTGACAGCACACCCACCGTTATTTCCAGTGTGGGATGTATGAGTTTGTCCTACATCGGATGACGATCCTCATCCAATATAAATACTCAACCATTACCCAATTAAGCCCATACAGATTTCAAAGATATCGGATCGTGTTACATTCTTGCTAAACTACGCTCCTTCTCAAACAGGTCCTCGCCCGCTTCGACGACAGTCCGTATGTCTACGTCTTCTATCATGCCCCAACAGCCGTGTACGACGTCATACCAGAAGACGACTTCACGCTGTTTTTTCCTTGGGCGATGTACGGTGCCCTGTTTAGCACAACGGATGGACGCTTTGCCTCCAAAAGTAACTCGCATTGGTGCTCCTTCTCGATCGACGGCCGCCCCGTCTTTGATAACGGGCTGCTGGGGGACATGCCGGCACTAACGGAGAGGCACTACCTCTCTTGGCTTCAAAGGGACGACAGTAAGCTCGCGGAGGGAAGTCAGCGTTTGGGACGCGATAGCGTGATTGACGAGGATGCCATGGACATCGACAGCGGTGATATGGGTAACAGCAGGAACATGGACAATATGGACAGCCGATACAGATATAGCAGCATCACGCCCACTTCTATCAACCATAACGGCGGCGCCATCTCAGCCTTTATTCCCTTGAACGGCATCAACAAGGAAAACATACCCACCACTACCTCCACCGATAGCCTCAGCTCTGCCTCCTCACCCATCGCTGACCTTCCTGAAGACTTCTTTTTTATGAAGTCCTCAGAAAGGGACATTCCTACACACTACGCCTGTGGCATGTCCTACAAGCCGGGCGGCCACCACGTCAACATCGGCCGATGCACCGGTTCTGCAATCAACCGCTTCCAAGACTCGAAATACCAGCACGCGCGAGCCCGGCCCTGGCGCTCGCCTCAACTAACATCACTGACATCGTCTACGTCGTCTTCGGAGTCAACATCGTCCTTGCCATCATCAATAGCGACATTAGCAACAACACCAGGTCATGGCAACGCACAGGAAGCATCCGGGCCCTACCCGGTGTACGTACGCGACAGCAACGGCAAGCTCTGGCTGGACCTGGGTTCCGTGGATTACGGCAACGAGCTCATTGCTGCCGCCACCGCGACTGCCGCTAACAAGCGCGAGCCGACGCCTGTGCACGAGATGCGTGATTTCTACTATGAGCGGGATGCTGAGTCCAGCACACCGGTCTTTTATGGCACGGGCAGACAGACGATTAGTCACGGTTGGGCGGCTAGGATGGGTATGGAGACATGAGGGAGTTTGGGGGAGCTTGAGGGAGCTGGAGGGAGCGGACTAAGGATGGTGGGGATTGGAATGGGCTGGCGAATGAATGTGTTTAGCAAACAAACAATTCTCTTTTCAATTGCCGCGTCCATGTAATCGAGGGTTGATGATAGTTATCGGAAAAGCAGGCGCGGTCGGCGAAGGGCGCGCTTAGTCATGGCCAGAGCTCCCCCGAAAGGATACGTAGAGCCAGAGCAATGGCTGACGACGACACCATTGCTGCACGTTTTGGTTCTCGGCCACCATGAAGTTCCTCTCGCTGCTGACGACGCTCCTGCTGCCGCTGACGGCCTTGGCCGCCAAAAAGCCGTCGGTCGACCGCTTCCAGAAATACCGCGCGCAATCCACGCCCTTGAAGCTCGACGATGCTCTGTACAATGAATTGACGACGGCGCCGCGCGACTATGGCTTCGCCGTGCTGCTGACGGCCCTCGAGCCGCGCTTCGGCTGCAAAATGTGCCAGGAATTCCAGGACGAGTGGAGCATACTGTCCAAGAGCTGGACCAAGGGCGACGTCAATGCCGAGAACAAGCTGCTGTTTGGCACGCTGGACTTTATGGACGGAAAGGCTACGTTTGCGTCGGTACGCGCCTCCAATGCTTTTGTCAAGCATGTGTATGCTGACAGTTCTCTCCTACCTAGCTCATGCTGCAAACCGCTCCCGTCCTGCTGCTGTTCAACCCCACCGTCGGCCCCAATGCGCAAGTAGACATCAAGCCCAAGCGCTTCGACTTCGTCACCGGGTAAGCGGCCGCCTCCCCCCCCTCTCTCGCAGCGGCAACCACACGTAAGCAAACAGCAGCAGAAGCTAACAAGCCATGCCCTACTCCAGGCCGCAATCAGCAGAGAGCGTGCACGCGTGGATCGCGCGGCACATGCCCGAGGGGCCGCACCCGCCGGTGCACCGGCCCATCAACTGGATCCGCGTCATCTCGCTGACGACGGCGGTGCTGGGCGGCGTCACGTTCCTGGCCGTCGCGGCGCCGTACCTGCTGCCCGTGATCCAGAACCGCAACCTCTGGGCCGCCGTCAGCTTGATTGCCGTGCTGCTCTTCACCAGCGGCCACATGTTCAACCATATCCGCAAGGTGCCCTACGTCGCCGGCGACGGCCACGGCGGCCTCTCGTACTTTGCTGGCGGGTTTCAGAACCAGTTCGGCATGGAGACGCAGATTGTTGCTGCTATGTGTAAGTGCTGCTGCTGCTTTCTGGTCATTCCTCTGCTGGCCATGTGTGTGTGTGTGTGTACTGTGTGCTGACTATTGGCTCTTGCTTCGCTGCAGACGGCATCCTTTCTTTCGCAGCCATCTCCCTGGCCCTGAAGGTCCCGCGCATCGCGAACCCCAAGGCCCAGCAGACGGCCGTCGTCGTCTGGAGCGGCATCCTCTTCCTGATGTACAGCTTCCTGCTCAGCGTCTTCCGGATCAAGAACGGCAGCTACCCCTTCCGCCTGCCGCCCTTTTAAGCGTTTGGGGCGCGAGACGTCTGTCTGATGGATGTGGGGATGCTTGTAATTGTAGAGCTGATCTTGTTGCTAAATCGCAATTGCTGAGAGAAAAGAAAAGCCATGGCGGGATTACGTGACGCATGTTGGTCTGGAGACGCAGACGGTGGCGCTGGCGGAGGCGGCGGAGAAGACAGATGTTCGTGAGTGTTGGTGGAGGAAGTGGATCAATGGGTAGGAGGGTGGGTAGCAGGAATGATATCCAGCGTACAAGGCTGCTGGTTCAGCGTTGTTGCTCATTTGCGTGCTGTTAGGTACTTAGAACGCAGATCCGTTGACGGGTGCCCGGCGGAATGGTCGACCGCTGAATCAGTAGGAGTAAGGTTGTTCTGTTAGGGGAAATGAACGGCTCATGAAGCATTGACCGCAAACGACGATGACGACAGACTTGTTTTCCCTCTTTACTGCTGCTGCTGCTGCTGGCAGAGACGAGGAGCGGGGACAGAAACAGGAGATCAGATTCTCAGGAATTCATTTCGTTTCTTTGTCTTGCTTGGTTCCGACGGGACACGAAAAACGCAACAACCCTGACCGTACTCTGAAAACGACGGTAATAACTTCTGGGGATTTGTGATAAAAGCCCGGGGAGGACAAAGTCATGACGCGCGCACAAGCACACGAGCCCCCCACTCCGCGAGAAGAGGAGGATGGAGAGGAAGGTGTGTTGTTGTGTCGAAGCATGATGCATTTTGAACCGTAGCAAAACTCCTCCCTCCCCCACACGCACACACACGCTCTCACGCTTCATCCCCCAAAGTTTTCTATTGTCCGTTGAAAGCCCACTTCATCCCCCAACCAACAAAGGCATTCCGTACTGTGCCCATGTGTGAACTTTGTCTCCCCCCATCGCATCGGAAACCCCACCCACGACCGCGCGGCGGGAAAAGTTGCTTATATCGAAGAAGGGTACAGCATGATGCGGACGGAAGCGCCGAAGGACTTGGGGGGGAGGTTGTGCCTGAACTGGGCACGGACAACGCCGGAGTTGCCTGTGAGGTCATACACGTCAGTCAAACCGCCTCGCTGTCATTTTTGTGTTTCCTGTCGGCCTGCATCTTCAAGCGAAAGACAACAAAGGATGCCCCGGGGATGAGGCAATGGGAAGGAGTGAATTGGAGGGGGGGTGGGGGGAGGGAAAATGCGCACCGTGAGGCCTGGTGACCTTGCCCCAGATCACCCTGATCTTGGAGCCACGGACCTCCCTCGAGGCGCGGTAGACGAACGCGACCCTCTTGCCCGCGTAGAAACTAATTCCGAATTATGTCAATCTCGCCGTTCGCTTATAATTTTCGGGGTGGGTTTTCCTCCCCGCTCTCTCCTCCGCAGAAAAGAGAGCTGGAGAGACCCGAGGAGTGTGTGCGACTCACGTGGCATCCTGGGTGTTGTCGACGCCCTCGATCTTGATCAAGCTGGTGTTGGGGTTGGTGTTGCGCTTGCCCCTCTGGTAGGAAAGGTGGCGACCCCTGTGAATTCTGTCTCAGCATATGTCCGGCATTGTAATAAGCTCTGGGGAGGGCCTGTGGTGATGCGGTCGGCTTTGCGGGAAGGGATTGTTGCTTTGTGTGTGTTTGTGTGCTTGCGGGACCGCTTCCGCGCCGCGGGAGTGTGTATGCATATATTATATGCCGCCTTGGGGCAGCTTGAGTGCGTTCTCGACTTACTTAACATAGACTGTGAGGGATTGCAAGTTAGCCAAAATCCAATAGAGCATGATGCACAGCTTCTCAGCGCAGAGCCGCTCCGCTGGTGCAGCGAGCAGCCCGGTGCCGGAGCTGCAATGCGGCCAGCGGTGACTCCGATTTCCTCCTCTTGTCCTGGATTCGGGGGCGACTCACGTCTGTGACCAGCTTCGGACGGCATCTTGAAGTATATGTCCTCGGAGTGGGATCGTCGTCGAGGGTGAGGGTTGTGGGTTACGGGGTCGTCGTCGTCGTCGTTCGTCTCAGTCGCGAAAGTGTGCTGCCCGGACAAATTCGAAGTGGGCGGGCCTCGCTTAGCCGCAAGCGCCGATGTCAGCCTGGGGCAACGTTTCACGTGTGGCTATGGTCACGTGACGAAACATCAACCAGCCTGCCACCAGCAATACACACCTGCTTGTCGCTGTGCTGCGGCATCGGAGTTGACACGGATCACAGGAAAGGACAGCTCACACATTCTGGTTGATTTTTTTTTTTTTTTTTTCTTGACAGCATCCCTGACAACCAAATCGTTTCAAAACCACGCGCTACAAAAATAATATCGTGTATATACAATAAATGGCCAAATTTTGTTTTTCGGAGGAAACCCGCCTCGACAATGAACCAACATCAACCAACGTTTTTTCTTTTTGTTGAACGCCTCCCATGCTTTACCGTGCCCTCTTTGTTCTGCCCGTAGTGGAGAACGCCATGTTGAATGCCAGACAGCCGCACCCTATTCACACAAAAGGCGCAGTCATCAACGTGATTTTATCTAGTAAAGGACACGAGTACGGATGTTTGAGGACAGGCTCTCAAGCTCCTGGTACAGGCCCTGGATCTGGTCCTGGGTCACATCCGAGATATCCGCCAACATGTAGGCAACCTAGATTACATCAGCATTGGAAACTCGCCGACATTAGAAATACGGGAGAACTTACTTCGCCCTTGGAGTCGACAGTCTGCTTCTCAATGTTGTGGTCACCCACAATGTCGTTGACGCGACGAAGCACACCGGGAATGTTCTTGTGAATGTAGCAGACGCGGACGTGGTTGGGCTCGTCGGTGGTGAGGGCGCGCAGAGCAATCTCAGGCATGTTGACAGACTGCTGAGTGTTGCCTTCGTTGACATAACGCACCAATGCGGTACTGACCTCGACACCAATGGCACTCTGAGCCTCCTCGGTAGAGCCACCGATGTGCGGGGTGAGGATGAGGTTCTTGAGCTTGCGGAGATCCTCCGCCCAGTTGTTCAGTTCAGCGTTGAAGTAAGGGCCGTTGCCAGCAGGCTCGTTGGGGTAGACATCGAGCGCCGCACCGGCAAGATGACCGCTCCTCATGGACTCGACAAGGGCAGGAATGTCGACAACGCTGCCACGGCTAGCGTTGATCAAGTAGCTACCCTTACGCATCTGCTCGAGCTGCTTGGCACCAATCATGTTCTTGGTCTCAGGCAGCTCAGGAACGTGCAGAGTAACAAAGTCCGCGTTGTTCAGGAGCTCCTCGAGAGTGTTGACCTGGCGAGCAGTGCTCAAAGCCTGGGGGTGCCGTGTTAATTGTGGATTCTTTTTCCTTAATTTGACTGACAGGACGGTATACTTACCATGAGGTTGACAACGTCGTAGTAGAGTACACTCATACCCATAGACTCAGCCATGACGGACAGCTGGGAGCCGATGTGGCCGTAACCAACGATACCAAGGGTCTTGCCGCGAATCTCCCAGCAGCCGGCAGAGACCTTGTTCCAGACGCCATTGTGCAGTTCGTTCGAGCGATCACCCAATTGCCTGGCAAGAGCAATGATCTCGGCAATAACAAGCTCGGCAACGGAGCGAGAGTTAGAGAAGGGGGAGTTGAAGACGGCGATACCGTGTTCCGCGGCGAACTTAAGGTCGACCTGGTTGGTGCCAATACAGAAGCAGCCAATGGCAATGAGGTTCTTGGCCTCGCGGAGGACACGTTCGTTGAGCTTGGTCTTGGAGCGGATACCGATGACATGAACATCCCTGCGAGCGGGTCAGCATCTCCTGATTATTGTGAACCCGGAAGCGGAGCAGAAGGCGCAGGACGCTGCAGAGTCCAACCGCAATTGGATCCGCCAGTCTCCGTCTTGCGCCAATTCAGTCCACGCAAGCGCAAGTGCAAGCTGGCTTACCGGATCTTCTCAATCAGCTCCGCCTCGGGCAGCGAGCTCTTCTGGAATTCCACCTGGTAACCCTGGCCCCTCAGGATGTCCTGACCAGTCTGGTTGACGTTCTCCAGCAACAAGACCTTGATGTCATGGGTGGCGAAGGGCTTTAGGTGCTTCGCCTTGGCAGCGGCAAGGTGACCACGGTTGAAGTTAGGCGACGAGGGGTGGAAGGTCGCATTGGGGCTGGTGGAGAGATTGAGGGAATTCGAGACGGAGGTTGCGAGGACATCGTCCGCGGGGGCGGAGCGGCTGACAATATCGACGGCGGGAGACATGATTGCGGTGGTGACAGATGCGAGAGCGAGGATTGAAGAGGCGATGGGAGGTGAGAGAAAGGGTGCCGAGTGCGGAGGGTATATAGTCAGCCAGTCACAGTCACCCCGCCGTTGACTCAAGAGGCCCAAAAAATTGTCAGCCGTGCCCCTCGCGGCGTGCATGACGCGACCCGCGTCCGCTGTGCTCCTCCACCGTCGGCCCGAGGACGCAGCTCAAGATGCGGCATCTGCGGCATCACCTTCGACTCACAGTTGCAGCAGCTTGCGCCGCTCTCTGCACGCTCTCGCCGCTCGTGCAGAGCGTCGCCAGACAAGCTGCAATTCGCGCTGCGACAAGGATGCCAACGACTGCGTCGTTCGAGCTAGCGCTCAAACGGACTAGTCTTGGGTCCTAGGATTGCGCCGCATGGAGCATGTCGGATCGCTGGGAAAAGCACTACCCTTCCTCCTACTGCAACCAGCCATTGCATCAATGGGGAGACGACTCGCACATTGTCTCTATTTCAAAAAGCTACGACTTTTCCGCAACTGCCTTCTCTACCGTTTGCGAGGGGAGATTACACAACAGCCTGCCTCCTCCGCCATCCGCAAACATCATCAAGAAAAAAAAAACGAGGAAAAATAAAATAAACACCCTTGCCGCATAGCGCCCGGTCCTCCTGAAGGTGCATTGCAATCTCAGCTTAGCTATCTAGCCGGATGTGAATCGTAAAGCACGTAGAAAGCAGCAACCCGAATAAACCGACAGGCGTGTATGAAGCCTGCTAATACCAAGGAAGGTAGGGGATGATCGTGATGCCGTATGAAAACCGTCTGTCGCCAGAGCAGGGAAGGATCGGAGGGGGGGTGATCGTCGAAGGGGGGCCGATGCAGTCTACATCTGATGCGGTTGAACGGTCCGTGAAAGCCAGTGATTTGGGGAAAGAATACGATGCCCGAGGCGGCGTGGTATTTGTATCATTGTCAAGCCCATCATGGGACCCTGGCGCTTAGCTCTGCTTGCACTCGGCAGCCTCCTGCTTGGGCTTTGAGCCATCACCCTGGGTCAAGTCAGCTTTATGTTGATTGTATGGGAATGGCATGGAATGACGTACCTCCTCGTCCGAGTCGTCCTCCTCGTCACGGTCGTCGCTGAGGTCGTCCTCCTCCTCGTCGTCCTCATCCTCGAACTCGCCCTCGTCATAGTCGTCCAGCTGCTCGAACTGAAGAGCCTCGCCGGTAAACCAGTCAATGGCGCGAGGGATGAGCTTCTCCTTGATGTCCTCGCCGAGCTGGTAGTCGAGCTCGAGACGCTCCTCAATGTCCTCCCCGATCTCCTCGTCATCGTCGGTGGGAGCCTTGGGGGGCGAGAAGAAGTTGAAGAAGGACTCAGTGGGGACAGTCTTCTTAACGACGCGAGTCTGCTTGGTGTCTGCGATAACGTCAGTCGGACATGTCAATAAGCCGCGCCACGCTTGACTTACTCTTGTTGCGCTGCTTCTTGCTCTCGACCTTGACGGTCAAGTCCTTGTTCGGCAGCCACTCGATCTTGTCGCCCTCGGCGTGATCGTAGATAAAGTCACCCTCGTAGCCGTTCTCCTCCTGGTAGTAGTAGGTCTTGGTGATGGTCTTGTTTGTGAAGTACTCGTTCTCGGTGAATTCGAAGATCAGGCGGAAGCCGGGCTTGTCAAGGTACTCCATCCGGATGTCAACCAGAGACTTGAGCGCAGGCTCATCGCGGTCGGTGATCATCTCGGCCAGCGAAACCTGGTTCTTCATCGCGGACAGCCAGAACTCAGGAATACCCTTGACCTTCTCCGCGGGGTCCTCGGACTTCTCCTCGGGCTTCTCGGCCTCCTCCTCTTCTTCGTCATCCTCGTCGTGCTGCTCACCAGCCTGCACCTCCTCCTCGGAGGGCTCCTCCACGCCGTTGACGATCTTGGCACGCTTCTCATAGAGGGGAGTGAACTTGGCGAAGTACTTCTTCTCGAGCTGCAGGACCTCCTCCTGGAACTCCGCCTCAAGCTTCGAGTGCTCCTTTTGCACGCCCTTCAGGCCGGCAACGCGGCGACGGACATCTTGAGGAAGCGACTCGATGTAGCCAGAAGAGCGGCCGACGAGCGAGCCAAGCTTGCCTTGAATCATGGAGACGAGCTGGGGATTTTGGGCGAAAATCGATGCGGCGGTGGCGCGGTCCAAGTCCTCTGCAGGCGGGGTTCGCGTTAGCTCCGACGGGCAGGCGGCAAACGAGCAGAAGCAGCTAGACGGGCAGGAACATAATATATGGATGCGATTTCTTACCTTCCTTGATGCTGGCAACGCCGGGCTGCTGTGCGCGGGACGAGATGGGAGCGGCGTTGGCCGGGGTGTTCTGCGGCGTGCTGTACAAGGCAGCGTTGTCAGTGGCTGTTGACCGGAAGAATACAGGCAGAATACGTACGGCGCGACGGCCTGGTCGAGGCGCTTGTTGCGGATGGGCTCAGACATGGTGGTGAAGGAGAAATTGCTGAGCGAAGGGGGTTGGCGAGAGGGAGGGGAAGTGGTTGAGTTTGTTGTTGGACGTTGAATGTGGGTTGAGGTTGGCGCTGGAAAGAATTGCGAGCAGGACGCTAGGCCTCGCCTTTTTGCCCCCGTTGCGCTTTCACTAGTGCTTTCTCCCTGCGAACAATGCGCGTAGCCAGTGCGACCAAGCTGTCTAAGTACTATTTGTAGAAAGAGAGAAAAAAAAAATTCCTTGCTTTGCTTTTTTTGCCCGTTTGATTCCGGCCGGCCGCGCCTGCCGGGCCAACCCTCGCTCTGCGCCCTGCGCCAGCGTTGAGCCTCTCACGTGTGGGGCGCGCCGACCAACGACAGCCGGCTTCTACCTGTTCTAATTCTCTATGATACAGCTATCGCCCTGCCTGTGTGCGTGTGTGTGTGCGCGCGCGCGAAGGGGGTGGCAGAGAAAAAAAAAATTCCACAATATAACTCGCTGCCTGCTAACCCACGTACCTCAACCGGCTCGTCGCGTACGCTGCCCCCGCTGCAGAAAGTGCGCCGATGAACAAACAGACCGCAATTGCGTTCGGGCCGTCTGTTGAGTGATGCTCCGACGGATGTGCCTCCTTGGCCAGTTCTGGACTTTTTCCAGGCTCAAGGATTGAGAACACGACCCACGAGATGAACGTGCCCACAAACTGTGGCAGCGTCGTGAACAGATTCAAGATGCCCAAATATACTCCGGAAAGCTCGCCGCTGGAGCCGTGCGACCCCTCGTGCCCAGTGGCGTGCATCTCAATGGCACTGTTCGATAAGCGCCTGTAGCCCGCCGATGCCCCCAGCCGGTTGATCTCCACGCCCATGAAGGCGAATGGCGCCCAGCTGGCCACCGCCCACGGAAGCCCGCAAAATGCCACGATGGTCGTGGCAGCGCGGAACGAGTGAGCCATCGGCGCCAGAATCATCGTGCAGGTAAACATAATATGTGACACCATCCAGGCCGTTAGCAGCGTCGGCTTGTATTTCTCAGCCTGCTTTATGGCGGGTGCCAGCCCGGCGGGAGGACGTGGAGTAAAGTCGGGTTTCTCATCTTCAGGCGATTTGACAACCCATGGCAGCACGACACTAGCGACAAGGGTGATGGTCGAGAAGACGATCAACGACAGGCTGCCGATGCGTCCGATCTGCCCAAGCGTGTCCTTTGACGCCTTTGCCTCGGCCGGCGCATCATACCTGAGGTAAATTTCTCCAACCCAGGTCGTGCTGTAGAATAAGAACGGAAACCATCCTGTAACCACGGTTAGCAGACAACATTGGCAAAAAAAAAAAAA